ATACTACTTGATTTACCGAAAGGTGTATATATTATAACTTTATTGTTTTATAGTACCCCTCCTAGTTTCCATGGAACTTTGAATCTTAAAAATGGGAGTATAATTACATGTACCATCGTGACGATATTGAATCTCTTTGCGATACTTAGTTCCCATACCCATACTGAAGTCCCCAGCATTAAATTTATTCACTATAGATTTGTCTCGTTCCCAGACGTCACAAAAGGCAGCACTTTGCAATTTGTTTGGCTATATATTCAGTTTTATCAATCAAAGTTTCTTATTACTGTCTAGTAAGTTTCTAATCCTATCAGTAACTAATCTTTCCACAATCCGCATTCGATTACTCGTACCTTATTAACGTCGTTTATCCCTGTATAGTCCAGTATATATAGCGAGAATGTTTTTGTCTACGCAGGGTTTCGCCTTTTGCAGCGCCCTTTAGAGTTCAACTCAGGCCCAGGATCCTATGCTGTGCATTTCCTAAACCCCAACCGCCTACCCTACTTGGAAAAATTGAGAAACCGGTCTCATCAAAGGATTATAGCGGGTGATCTAGGGCGTGTGTCTTTGGATACGAACATTATCTCGAATATTTTGAATGAGGGACCCACCCATCCGATATCCATGGATAGAGGCCGTTTTAAATAGTTCAAACACTTCAACATGCCAATATGCAATTTTGGAGTACCTTACAAGCTCCAAAACACAAGCCGGATTAAAATACCAGGACGTTCTCAAGGCTCTGGAGGGCAACGGTATCAAAGCAATCGTGTGCTAGCCCCGAAAGCTCTGGGTTCGTTTGCAAAATGCTTAGCCTAGCATATGAACACCTCTTCCCGAAGCCTCTACCCTGCAAGACGCTAAAGGCATTAAAACGGTATGAATCTGATTTTATAAAAGCTAAGAAGCGTACGTGTTCCCTGTTTATCAGTATTTGGTAATTTATCTATACGGCCGCGTATGAATACTAGGGCTTAAACATATTTATATACATACATATCAAGCTAATCTATTTCTTCTTTATGTTTAATAGTTTGGTCCAAGAAAGTGCCAGCTGCATGGATGGATCATGCTCTCGCCTGCGAGGGCCACATAACGCCTATTCATTCCTGACGAGTGACTTCGAATTTTTTAAGCTCTTCAGGACCCTCAACCAGCAAATTTTGACAGTTTATTGTATCAAGAGCAAAGAGGTGGAAAGTGTCTACAGCTCAATTTTTGGCTTAATCCTTACTGCCTATAGTTGTCTCAAACCAGACTTCGAAAAAAAAAGGTGTAGCCCGTTTCTTTTGTAACTTATTAATCTCATTTTCTCATTTTTTCTTCTTTTTTAGTATCAGATCCGTATTATATCTGATGTTTCTGTATCCATGGCTGACATTGAGTTTAGGTAACTACACAATAGGGTTAGTGAAATATGTTATATAATTATGAGTATGTATGATTAGTCGCTGTTACCCCTGGCACATCTGAATCAGTGACGAGATTCCCACAAGATGTAGACTGGTATTCTTTTACAGCCAAGTGGGGGTCCACTTACAATTAATCCGACTTTATACCATCGCTCTTCAGTGTTTAGAGAAGTCATGAAGGATAAAGAGATGTGTGAGAATCTTCTTGAAAGGAATCGTATCGAGTCTTCTACACTATGGTGCTTGTTAGATGACTTGTGTGATTATGGTTATCTCGATTGCGAGTACGTTGACAGGTTACCGGATCCGATAACATATACGCGTATAAAAAACTCGCAGGTTACGGCCGTCTGACATTTATTATAACTGAACATCCGGAATCATTCCATTCGTACAAGTGTAACATCTGATTAAACTACCAACTGTAGTCTCAAAATTGCAAAACGTTCTCGAACAATCAACAGACTTCCATCGGCATTGACCTCATGACCGCTTTGTCCTCACCGCCCACCTCCTCCGACCGCACTTTTTTATGCCATAATCGCTAAGGATTAACGAATGATATACTATCGAACAAGAGTAGAGCGACAAAATATGCTAGAAAAAATGGCAAGCATACAGGCGAAAAACAACAACCACAAAACCTCAAGATATATATGATACAACGAGAACAATGTCCTATATAGCAGTAAGTTTTCTACGGAAGCTTCGGTGGCACAAAGACAACCATGGAAAAAGCTTTAAAAGAATAGTTCGCATCATCCAGAGACGGTGCAATCTTGGAGAATAGAAACAACCCGCCATATGCATACATTAGCGCATTTTCCAAGGCGAAGTCCTAGCTATTCCAGCATTCCCCATGTGGATCCCGGCATTACGATAGCCGAACGCCACCGATTGGTTCTCGGCTGACTGGGGGTTCTTTCGACTCAGCCTTATTCTTGACTTCCCCAACTTTTTTTTGGTGTTTCCCTGTTTTTCATTCTTTGGGGGAGGTTTCACTTTCTCAAATCATGGTTCCCACAGTACTGTTGGTCATTGAGGCGCAGGGGGCCTCTGACTCGTTCTCTTTTGACCTTAACTCATGCAGGCCCCCCGCAAAAAGTTGGCAAGGCTCAATTAGGTAGCCCTTGCTAATACAGAGTCAGTACAGATATGCACCATGCATGCATGCATGTATCCATTCATATCGCGGGTTAATAATATTATTTAAGGAAACCGATCCAAAGGATGTACGTGTGCGAGATTTCAGACGGGAACGGCTGAACAGGAATCCTTTAGATTCCATATAAGTACTTAACCTCCATAAGTACTTCCGGGTAGATACTTATTCATTTAAGATACTTAGCTAAGTATTTTATTATATCTTTAATTACTATTTTATCCAGTCGAAGACGAAGTTGAAGTCGAAATCTGTCGGAAGACAGCTGGAGTGTATTGTAATCAACTGGGAACAAATCCGTCGGCCCGAATCCGCAAATACCACGCACAACGCATCATCCGACAGTCCCGACGACAAGTCCAACACAACCATCTGGTTCCTCATTCCCGACCTCCATTCCATTCCATCCTCTCTCCTCAATCTCAACATCAACCTCAACCTCATCATCACCATCATCATCGATACCACTCCCGAAAGGAAGGACATCCATACATTATATACACAAACAAACAGCGATGGCCTGGCTAACAGCCCACCTCAAAACCCTCTTCGCCTCCAAAAGACCCAAAAACCCTCCAAAGCGCAAACCACCCACCCGCGAAGAAAAAGGCAAATACCGCGCCACAGACATCGACGACGACAACAACAACAATAATATCACCTCCTCCAATAATACCCAACCAGCATCATCATCAACTTCTTCCTTATCACCATCATCATCATCAACCACAAACTCCTCGGAAATCACAGACTCAGACCTCCTCCCCATAATCCACCACGAAGAACTCCACCTAATCCCCCAAATCCTAACCCAATTCCCAGCATTCTACCTCATCGGTCACAACCTACCTCCCGCACCGCTCCCACAAGCAAAACACCTCCTAACCTCCCCAGAATCCACAAAACAATCATTAGTCCACCCCAAAAAATCAACAGTACGAGGCTATAATCACGCAAAATCCAGCGGTAGAGAATGGTGGGATTACACACCGGATCACGGCGGAACGTTATTAACCCTCGAAGACGAGAATTTCCGATATAAAACGAAAGAATACTTTGAAAAATCGATTGAATTGTTACAAAGGATTTGTAATGAATTTAATCAAACGCTTAATGAAAATGGAGAGAAAAGGGTGGTTATACCGGAGGCTGTGATGGATGATATTGGATTCAGTACCATGCGATACTTAAGATACTCTCCCACGATTCTAGAACGACAGAATAACAACAATAATAATAATACCATTACTCAATCAAATAACGATTCAGAACCACCGGTAGCAAGCAGCAGTTCAAGCAGCCACAGTAACGGTTCCTCCAGCAGTACTAAAAATAACAACAGAAAATCCCAACAACAACAACAACAACCACAAAAAGAAGACGGCTACTCCCTCCCCAGAATGGAAGCCCACACGGACCATGGAATCCTAACCTTAATGACCTCCACCGAACCCTCAGGTCTCTACGTCTGGGACCGTAATGGCAAAATCTTCTCCGCACCACCAATATCAGGCACAGTTATGATCATTGCAGGAGACCTAATGACGCATTTCACCGCCCTAGAAGGGAAAAACATCGTTAATGACGGAAAAGATGCTATCGGTGAGGGAACAGTATTACCCAGTGTCCATGCCGTGGTGCTTCCAAAGGGTGGAGCGGAGAGGTACTCCGTTGCAGTGTTTTTGAGACCGAAGAGGGATATGGTTGTTAGTAAATATAGAGTTAAGAAAGAAGATGGAGAGATCGTGGAGGAAAATATGACGTTTGGAAAGTGGGCGGAGGAGAAAGGACAAGTTAGGGGGAGGAGATGTTGGATGGTTGGACAGGAAAGGTTATCGGGGGGACAAGACGTTTGAAGGGTTTATAATTTTTATAGTATTCTGCTGTTTGTTGGATTGATTGTATTTTTTCATCTTGATGTTTTTTGAGCCTGAATAGAGCGGATTTATTGTATATACTAAAATAATGAGTCTTCGACCTTTGTAATATCGAAGTTCTTGGAGCTGCCATCCGTCCTGGTGTAATAAATAGGATGGTCAGGTATCCCCTCCCGGCAGAAAGGAAATCTATAAAACAAAACGACAGTGATCAGAACACCCCGTAAGATAACTTCCTCATCAATGAAGTATCAATCCCAGTCCCAATCCAATACCACCATCCAAACCACCAGCAGTGAAAACCCCATAAAACCCACAAAGTCCATCCCATATATATATCCCACCATCTCACATATCATATACCACAAAAAAAAAAAGTTTTTTTGAATCCACGCATCACCCACGCCACTCCGACTCTCTACACTCAATCCACCTCGAACTCAACGGCTGCCAAGCAGACCCTCGTTTCTTACTAAGCCTGATAGCAATGGACTCATGAACCCCTCTAGTCATAAGGATTCTGACGCGATGAGCTCGTCGTTGGTGTTGATGTGGTTGCTGCTGTTGCTGTTGCCCGTTTGTACTCGTACTTGTACTTGTACTTGCATTTGCATTTCCATTTGCATTTGTACTTGCTGTTGTTGATAGACGAGGAGGGAAGGTGTGGTATGTCTTTGTGGGGGTGTTAATGTCGCATACCATTTTGAGAGAGAGAGAGAGGTGAGAGAGAGCAGGATGGAGGGATGGAGGGTGTGATGTATATTTATATAGAGATCATGTGATGATGACGATGATGAGGTCGGGTGATGATGGTGATGATGGATGAATGGCTGAGGAGGAGGATGAACAGGAGGTTGAGGAGGTGTGGTATTTTACCCCAACCAACGCATTTTTCAAAAAAAAATAAAAGATTGTATTCCATTAACAGTTCAATACAGCCTAAAGACCAATGCAAAAGTCTAAATCCCATCAACATCAACCCCAATAGCCTCCAATCCATCCTTACACCTTCTATACTCATCCTCCACCAGCGCCATATCAAATCTAAGCAAATCCGCATTCGCCAATTCGCCTTCAATCCTAAACACCCCTCCATTCTTCATAGTCCTAAACATATCCTCCGTCCACTTCAATTCCATAATCTTCCCCACCCTATTAACCACAGGTTTAGAAAGAGAATATCTACTATTCTCACTAGGTATCCCAACCCTTCCTCTCCCATTCTGTTGTCCCACAATCTTCAACCTCATCCATGATCTTTCACCCTCCTTATCATCATCATACGGATTGCCAATCCCCTCCAACCAGCTCCAAACACTTCTATTACGATTCATAAACATCTTCCCACATCCCCCATTATTATTATTATTACTCCCTTCAAACGAAGTAGGTGGTTCGAACCCAAAAAGTCCAATATCTTCTCCTCCTCCTCCACCGAAGACGTTACAAATTGCTAGTGGCGTGTAAATTACATTTTGTAGTGTAACTATCGCTACACCTCGGTTTGTGATAATGGGGAGATCGACGCTACCGCCTCCCGTGACGGTATCGCCTTGGTTTGTCATGGCGTTGAAGCTAAAGAATGTTTTAAACCAGCTAGCGTTGTTAGTGCTATGGACGTGGGTTGTTGGGGAGAGGATCCAGTTGGTTTTGAAGTCGTCTTCGAAGGGGAGGAGACGGTATTGGATGGCTCGGTGGCGGGGGTTGTAGGCTCCGCTAATATATATTTTTTTTGTTAGTATTATCAATGCATCATTAAAAGGGGCTAAATAATGGAGGGGAGGGGGCGTACGATTTCGGAATGATTGTTTGATCTGTCATGTCTAGAGGTTCGATTTCTATCTCCATATCGTTCATGAGGTTAGGATCGATATCCAACAGTCTAAATACCAAATCGTCAGTTGGTTTTATAAAACCTCCACTCATAATATATAAACAAAAAACATACTCTTCTTCCTCAGCATTCAGATCATCAAGACTAAAACTATTCCCCCCAAGAACTCTCGCCACCTCCGCTAGATTCTCGGCAGCATTGGGCGCCCCCATAAGAACTTTAAGAAGTGTGGGTCCCACCGCTCTTTCAGTCGGGTTTGAGATGTTAAAACCATGTTGAGTAAGGAAATTAGCTTCGCTTTGGAAGACTCTTATCATGTATGAAACTTCGGTTGCTGTGTAAGTTGGTGGTGTGATTTTGGTGGTGGTTGTCGTGGGAGTAGTGAAAGTATCGGTGGTGTCAAGAAGAGGAGGAGAAAAGAGAGCTTCTAGTGATGGTGATCGTTCCATGATCGATTGCGTATTTATTATAGTATCGTATAAGTCAGTATATTTGTTTATGTGAGGAAGTATAAAGGTGAGTGAAGTTTGGTCAATGGATGTCTTTAGGTACTATGGTAGTATTAGTGAAGTATTGTGAGTGGCCGTCGAGGTATCGATATCGATGCTTTTGAGGGAGAGATTTCTAGTTTTTGATTCCTTTGTTTTGAATAGTAGTACTAGTATGGTATTTGTTTTAGCATACCTAGGATTATGGGCTATATTTTATATACCTTATAGATATATGTGGGATAATTTGTTATGTATGTGGGTAATCATATGATCCGCACGATCTTGTAGCTCAGTCACTGATATGTTCTTGTATATATATGAGAATTAGTCTAGCTATTATTCATTTAATCTAATCTAACCTAAAAATGAACTGAAGAGTTAAGAGAGAAAAGGTAGTCTGGTGGAGGAGAAAAGGGAGCGCTAAAAAGAAGAAGAGGAGGGGAAAGCCAAGACGGGAGACAGAAAAGAGAAGAGAAGAAACCTACATCTACTCCGAGGGGACAACTTAATTACAGAAATACAAAAGAGTCTAATAAAAATTCTGATCGTAAAGCAAAATAACTGCAAACTCCAAGTTCTTCCGGATCCACCCCTATTCGACCGTAAATCTTTTGCAACCCGCGATCAAAAAAGAAATAATAGAAAAGACAGTAATAGAAAAGGAAAAAGATAGAAGAAGGGAAAACAAACAAGACCTTGGAGGAAAGAAGTATTAAAACGGAAACCTGCCACTAGCATCAACCAACCCCGCCGCCTCCGCCTGAATATACCGCTGAGTTATCATCTGAAGTTCTTGCTCAACCGACATCTCAGCAGTCATATCAGCACCCATTTCAATATCATCCATTTCCATAACTTGTCCCCCGAGATTAACATCCGTCATAATATCATCTCCTCCTCCTTGGCTATTCATCCAATCCTTCAAAGCTTCGTAGTAGTGGTACGATCGTAGGTCTGGCGTTGAAGCTCGGCTCGGAGGTCGATGGGATATAATTTTCGAGTACTCTTCTTGAAGAGCTCTGTTCTTATAAGCTTTGTATTTGTTCCATAACTTTCGCAATCTTTGCCGCTGTCGCAAATATTCCGATCGAGTTAATTTCGATAGGCGTTTGTGGGTGTTCACGAAAGCAGGTTGGAGACTTAGGTAAAGGACAGGACCCCGGGCGTCCGCTACTTGGCAGATATCTTCCAAGATCACTACAATACTGTGACAATATTCAAGGGCATGGGATTCAACGAATATCCCATGCCCTTTGATAAGTATCTCCAAAGATGTTCCAAAATCTCCAGTACGGGAGCAAGCGATACCCAAACTAAACATACAGATTGCGACAGCGGTGGATAGATAGTCTGTTTGATCATCACAAGTCCGGAGCCCCATGGGACGTTCGAAAGTTGCAAGACAATTCTGCAAAGAGCTTTTAAGCTTCGTGGCAGCTGAGGAGCAAAGAACGCTAGCTAAATTCCACAACGCCCCGAATATATCGATAAAACCTATGCTCGCAGCAAAATTCTGGCAACAATAATGAACATTGTATCCAATCTTTGACACCAGCTTGTCGAGAGCTTCTCTGTCACCGTCGCTAGGATTTTTATTTCTTGCTATCAGCTCAGCGTCATGAATGTGCTGTTTGACCAGAATTGGATGGGACTCTCCATAGCAACGGGATAGACGCTCCAATACCCTATCTCTCCCTGAGCATATATCAAGCATAGAATAACTAGAATTCCAGATGTATGTGTTGTCTCCCATTCCGATTTCTTCGAAGATTTTAATTGAGTGATCGGCCAATGGTGACAGACGATCCCCGAAAAATTCGAAATCGTAACTAGCAAACACAAAGAAAGCACTGTCGATTGAGATGGCCGTGAGGAAGCTTCGAGGTCCATATTCGAGTATGGACCGGGGGAGATGAATTATATGCTCCGTAAAGGCATTGTGATCGACAGCAATGAGATCATCAAATGAATCTTCAGAATTCGCCACGAAATATAAAAATAGTCTTTCAACACAGAGAATAAGGTCTTCTCCATCTGGATCTTCCACTTTCTCCTTTTCCTTTTCCTCCTGTTGACCTGACTGCTGATCGTCTATATTGTTTCCTTGAAGAATATTCAAGCAAACTTCATATGGCAGATGGAGCCCGTGTTGCTCTTCATTTTCTCTTGAGGCCATATTGCTCGCTTCTTTCGGCGAAAATCCCCTCATTATGTATACTTGCATTCTGTCGATCATATCGTTGGCGGTATTCTCCCAGTTGCAGATAAATGCTTCGTATTTATGCTCGTATCGTCGGGCATACCATCGAAGCATCGGGCTATCCCAATCGAGCATCTCCTCTTTTGAATCATCGTCAGAATAGTAATCAGAATCATCATCCCAAAGTTCGTATTCGCTATCGAATTCGCTGGTAATGGACTCCACTAGATCGTCATCCATATCTATCTCTCCAGTATCTTGGGTCCCCAGAGCTTTAAGTCCTCTAGTAATGATCTCTTTTAGCTGTTCGTCTGTTTCCCCTGAGCTGTGGGGGTTGGGTCTGGTGAGTTCTTCGTCTGGTTGATCGAGTGCCATGAATTCTTCCTCTTCCTCTTGCTCGTCTTCTTCCTCGTCTCCAATCTCATCTCCGTCTTCATTCGTTTTTCTGGCTTCGCCGAAGGGAATCTTTATATCGTCATCGATGATAGTTGTATCGGGATGGTCACCAGAATCTCTCACTTGAGAGCTCCCCGGGCCATCATTTGGCCTCGCTGCAAGAATTTGCTCTTCAGTTGGAGTATTTCTTTCCTCTCTCCCAGTACTTGCACCTGGAGTAGGAGTACACAATTCCATGCCGACGGGATCTGGTTCAAGACCTGATTCAAACCACGTATTAACATATGATCATTCAAGAAAAATGCAAAGCCGCCCAGTAAAGTCAAAATTTGGATTTAACTAACCTGTTCTGTCCGGCATATTCAGTATCTCATCAATATTATCTTCAATCAATCTTTTGCCCCGCCCCCTGAGCGTAACCTTCACTCGAGCGTCTGCTTTCCCTACTCGATATCTTTCCTTCACGACTTTCTGGATATGAGCTTTGCGGCTCTTGGTAAGATTTGCTTTCGACGCACCCCATTTTTCGAGGGCTCTTTTGAGGCGAGACTCTCTATGACAATAAAATTTAAAATTAGATCAACTGTTCTATACTCTTAGACCACAATTGAGACACTTACCCAAAATCCACCCCCATTTGGTTCTTGAGAGCACGAAGAATGGCCTTGTGGCGTTCTCCAGCTCTAAAACGTGCTAGTATGAACCCTTTGTATTGTTCAAGATCTTTTATTTTATTATAGACCCGAGTGGGCTTGTTGGGTTGGTTTTCGATGACCATGACTTGATTGTTCATTGTTGTGACCGGTTGGGCTTTTCAGCCTTGTGAGGGGTATTATACAGTATACTAGTATCGAACTGTATCTCAAAAACTATAATAATATAATGATGATAGTGTAGAAGTTGTTTACAAAGCCTTCTTTAGCGTATCGATGTCTGTTGAATTTCAATGTCGAAGCAGGGAACTCGTCGCCTTATTTATAAACTTCAACTCTTTCTCAAGCTGCACTCACTGCATCATTCAATCGTGAAAAATGCAGCTCAACAGCTCACATCCAAGCACAAGGCTGCATACCGCCATCTCCAACACCCTTGCTCCTCTCCACCAATAACCTCATCCCACACCTGATAACATCTAGTCCTTCGGTTATAATTCCCATCTCTAAAGAATGGACTTTTCTAACCAATCAAAACCCCAAAAAAAGTCCATTTTTTGGAAAAGTTGGCAGGAATAGCCTTCAGCCGCAGGAGCCTGCGTTCTCGATCCTGTTTGCAATGGTGGAGTTTCATGTTTCATGTACGCGTCGTTCGCTGCGCTCCGCCTGACCCTCGTTTTTCCTGTGTAACCCGTGAGTACATCCAAAATTCTTTCCGGTTCGCGTCTTAGAATTTCTCTCCGTTCGGGAAAACCCAAGACTGAAAGCGTATGCTGTAAAAAATCATAGCTTCCAGAAGCTTTTCTCATCCCTCCCCTTTCCCGTCATCATCCTTTTCCCCCATCAAGAAATAACACACTCCCTCCCCCGTTCCCTCTCCCTCGTCCTCCCCCAAAGCCCAGCTTGAGCCTGAACATCCAAACACCTCCAATAAAACTCATCCCGTCGCTCAACACTATCCACTTCTCTAAATAACCTTTCCAGATCGATATCTATTTCAGGAATAGTATTGATTCCACTGCCGTTTGTGTTGTGGTAGTTGATACTACCATGGATATCGATGAAATTGGCGGCTCGGTGGTAATCGAGGCCATAGTTTAACATTATAAATTTTAGAAGTGGAGAGGCGTGGGGAGGTGGACAGGGGTGGATCTTTTGCGGGAGGAGGTGGGAGGCGCAGACCATTTTTGTGGTAGGTTGATGAGGATGGACCAACACAGTTTCGTGAGGAAGTATTTGAGTTGATGGTTGACGTGATGGGGCGAGATGAGTTAAACAGACCAGACCAGACCAGAGATAGCAGAAGGGATATACTCGTATCATATACCCTCATGAATACTTCTAATAAGCATCCAAGATGGCTGGTTTAAACAGCGGACGTTTATCCTGAATAAGACTTGACGTGGTGGAGTCGATGGGGTTGGCGCATTGGTGCGGAGGGTAGGTTGATGCTGACCTCAACGCCAACACTTTCTGGAATTGGTGTCATAAACCCCCGTACAAAGACGCAGTATTAGGTATATAATACGAGTATCATATTGATATAATACCCACTACATTTCCTTAAAGTTTGTGAGTATGAGGTGGGGAATATAGTATAAGTGGGTACATATATTAATTTCGAATTATACACCGCGGACTGGTGCGGAATATATCTGTCAATACTTACGAGGGCTAACCATCTTGGTTAGAAGTGGTGCTAGACGTCGGCTGGTTAGTCAACAAGTAGCTTTTAAGTCATATCGGCAGTTGTATCGTAAATATAGTACCCGATTGTTTCGGTTTGGTGTAACGTAAAGACCTTTTATGTAGCACTCATTTTTGGAGTTTTCTTGGTATTTTATAATGTTTATTGCCGCTGAGCTGTTGAATATCTAAATTTATTTATATTAACTAGCTGCTTGGTTAATTTCTCTGTTTCTTGATAGTCTGACGGCTGATTGGCGAGTATCTTCATGTACTATATTCAATATTTACTTCATCGATATATTTTAACAATACTCTAATTGCTAACTCGTTGCTAATAAATAAATAGTCCGAACCCGAAAACCTAGTCCATGGCTTTAAGAATAACAATCAAAAAAATCTTTGATTTTTATGTCAAGACTTGATGAAGCCCTCCTGGACGGTGTTTTAATTAAAAATATAAGCAAGAAAAAATTTTCTTGTTCGAAGAATTAGCGCTTTTAAGATCAACTATAGCTATAGACTCTCACATGTTCGAAATTCGAGTCTGGATTTCCGTCGGATCATAAATTTAATAGTCGATCCTTGACATCCAGCAGCTCACCGAGTACCGGGGAATCCCCTTAGTAGCAGAAACGAGGCTGTCTAACAGCTCTAAAAGATGTGGGATCCAAGTCGTTAGTCAGCGTCTGGTGAGCTGGTTGAGGTATATATCGCAGGTTTCACTTATTTCGGTATGCGTACGCTTACCCCACAACGAAATTTTTTTGGGGGATTTATTTTCATTTTCATCATGAAGAATCTGAGCTAATAGGTAGCTTCGTAATGTGTAAGAAATGGAATCATCTCTACAATAGCTCTTGGAAAAAAGATTTAGAATTGAGGGAAGAGACTAGGTTAATCGAATCGGGTCGGGATAAAGGCTAAACTAATTAATTTTTCTTCCTATCTGGTCAATTTGCCATTTCGGGAATGGTTACACAAGCTTGATCACAACACAACTCAACGATGTTTCTGAGGGGAAAAATCCAACAAAGCGGCCTCCCGTGATCGTGATCGTGAGGCGTGACGTTCTTGCATTCTTCCAAATTCATGGCAAAGTTATTCGCTAATCTCCTAGTCAAGCTATTTATGAAGTAAGAATGATAAAGCTGCTATTTGTGTAAAAGTTACTATCTATATACGTGATATCTTTTTCCATGAGTGCTGTGTTATTTTCAGTATAGGGTTAAGCGGACGCAATTTTAATTTGATAGCCGACGAACAACAACCTCGTTCTCAGGACCATGCGAACAAGGGATCTTCCGCTAGTATATCGATATAGCAAAATTTCATAAAAATTTTCACTCTGATAGGGCATGATATGATATTATGACCTTGAATCTACAGAAAATCAGAGGCAGTAAGAACCCAGGCACAATATAAGCCATTGGACCCCTTCCCACTCTCCTTAAACCTCCTCAAGTATATACTCATCCCGAAGTTGATACTACGGTTCATTCCAGTACCATAAAAAACACATAGGAGAAAGAGCTTGTCATATTTCGTCTTTCAGCATATAAATTTTTTTTAATATGGCGTCCTTCCAGATCCCAGGCCGTATCAGGTCTATGGCATCAGCAGGACTACTAGCCTTTATTCTCTCTTCTCCAGGGGCTCTAGCTCAAGAATCCTCAGCAACTAGTACTACCACATTATTCTCTACAGTCGGTAACACCCGGACCGTGACTTCCTACCTTGGAGATTGCGCGACATGGCAGGGACTGCCCCTTTGCAACCAAGTCACATTCGGACCTATGACTTCCGGTGCAAATACCGGAACAGCGACTTCATCGGCCAGTTTGGTGAGCAGCACGTTCGCTGGACAATCTGGAGTTCCATTTGTCCTCAGCGGAAAAGGAGACTTTGTGGATAGTTATTTCAAGTTCGATGATAACACCGGTGCGGTCGTTATGGCCGGACTCGCGGAGCAGAGATTCGTGGCTCTTGTGTTGGATCAAAGTGGGCCCGGTCTTTTGCAAAACTCCCAGTATTTGGACGAACTGGTGTTCTTGCGTTACAACGAGACTATCAAAAATCTTCTGCCGGATGAAGACCCAGTTATTACAAACTTGGTAAGAAAAGTACAACACGACGCTACTGCGAATGTACTTCGCACCGACTACGAAACAACTTTTTACTGGAATTCAAGTACCAATCAACCCGGTTTAGTCAAAAACACTATCGACTGGAAATTCTACATCGCTTTACCCAGCTCAGGTAGAGCGAAGAGAAGAGGAATGCCATTATTCAACAAGCGACAGGAGACATCTTATGATATCTACATGTTGCCGATAAATGTTACAATCCCTCCTGGAAGTGCTTTCGTACCCATTGATTTCGCCGCAGAAGAAGCTCAGGGATTCCCTAGCAGTCTTTTCAGCTCCCTTCCTCCGTTTGCTACGTCCACCGCAACAACTGGTATAGATACTGCTTCTGACACTACCGCTACTGGGACAAATACAAGTGGAGGTACCGGAACCAATGGCGGTACAACAGCCACTGGAGGTACTGATACAGGTACAGGAACAGCCACTGGTACAGGAGGTACCCGTACCGGTACTGGTACGGGAACAGGAACCGATACCGCTACTGAAACGGGAACAGAGACTTCGGATTCCAATGGTCCATCCGGATCCGGGACTGGTACCGGTGCTGGTACGGGTGCCGGCACGAGAACGAACGGGGGCACCGGCACCGGTGGCTTTATACCTACGACGGATGCATACGAAATCATTACCAAATACACCCTTCAAGCATATTGTACTGCTCTTTTGTCGTACTTCTCACAGACCACGACGGAGTACGATACCAGAACAGATTCTTTTACCACAACAATTCCACGATTCTCATATACAACTACTATATACACCGAAACTACCCAATACCCAAGTTATACCACTGTCACGTATGGTGACATCAATAGAGGTCCAATTGGCAGGCGGATGATGAATAGAGCAGGTGATGGGTACGCAGTTGATGCAGAGGAAAACCCCCATAGAAAGCGCAAAGTTATCAGCGCTTTACGTGCAAGAGAAGTACCAGATCAACTACTGCCCTATCCGACTAACGCCATCGTTTCTGCTTGCGAAAGAGCCGCCACATCACCCACGGAATTTGCCCTAGCTGTTTCAACTGAAGTTATTGACGAGACTGAGACCGTAACTACAAATTGGGCTACATCGTTTACTACCTATGCCACGACAGCATATGTCACACGAGATCTACAGCCTGTGACAATCAGCACCATCGGTCATGGTTCCTACACAATGGCACGTGTTGACAAATCTACTAATTCATACAGTGGAAAGTATATTGAATCAAATAGTGGTGTTGGTGCTTACCCTTATATTAAAGACACCACAGACAATACCAGATGGACACCGTATTACAATTACGCGTCGGGGAAAAACTTGGCTGGTATGAACATCGCGAATGGTAGGCGCACTGTTTGGCTTGCCGGTGTCAGGAGCAAATTTCCAGGCAGTACAGACATCGCCGATTGGAAACTTGTCATGCAAGATGGTTCCAATTACTCACCTGGCGGAAATGAAGTTGCTATTGTGTGGTCCTATAATAGCGAGAGGTTGCTTCTTACGCCGGATACAGATTTTATTCCCGTCCCTGAGGCCAATGGCGCTAAAGTGGTGATGAGCTTTTTCGTCTGTAAGCCGGCAGGTCAGACTACTGATCAACTTTACCTTGGGCCCCCCGATTTCTTGACCTTTACTGGATCTACCGCTGCCGGTTGCGCTAATACTGGACAAGATTCTTGGCAGGCTAAATACCCGTGAGCGAGGGAGCTTGGTCTTCATACCTATTTATCACTTTTTTGTGCTCTTTCATTATTTTATTTCGATCTGCATTATTTGTCAAAATTTCGAAGTCCTGGTCACACCTACTTTGTTCGATGTGGTAATATTTAATAGATAATACACATATATATATACCTTTAGAAATTGAGGTTGGAGACTTGATCGTCGTCATATATATATATACTTCTAAGATTATATAGGTTTTTAGTGTTGCCACTCGCTGTTTATGTTGTTCTGTATATATTATATTCTATTCATGGATATTAGGGTTGTGTATCAAAATGTTATTAATATATTCTCTCTTCTACGCAAAGAGTTAGTCTAGTCTCTGGGATAGCATGGGCTATTCCATTGTTGACCAACTCGTCCAGTTAGATGTACACCGTGACTTGATGAACAGTAGGTAACTGGAAACGGTGAATAGTTTCATGATGAGGCTCAGATGTTACCTGGGAATGAGGGGGTTAGAATCAAAACGTAAAAGCTGAAGGACTATCATCAGTCTGGAACGGAATGTATCTATACATATCTTAAAATGTGAAGTGGATAAAAAGATACTAAAAAAGGGGGCCGAAAAACATATGTGAACATCAAAATGGCACCTTGCATAAGCACCTCTCAACCTCACTTGCCGGTACGATTTTATATCAACCCAAATTCTAGTTAGCCGTTAATATACTTACCAACTAGGTCATTTTTTGGTATGATAACATATCCTCCCTTTACGATATATATACCCTTTTATAAATTACTAACGTCAATACAATAGTACTGTGTAACACATCCGGTAGGTAGATACTACGCGAGACTGGTGCCCTACTGCTCGGCTCTCAGAGCTCGGGATTAGATCTAATAGGAAACCAAGTAGACGAGATTGGAGATAATCCGTATTATAATATACAATGCTCCCATAGAGCTAGCTAATATTGCCATTTAGGTAACAAGGCTTCTAAACCATTGGATAACCCCCTTCCATACCTCAGATTCCTTCTCATATTCAGAATCCGACCAACTTCCTGCTCGAAGTGCACTGACAGCAATACACCCAATAGGACGCTTAACCTTTCCATCAATCTGTAGCCTATCGAAATACTCTCTCAACTTCATAAACCTTCTCTCTGCACCCTCCAAGTCAGCTTTATTCCCAACGACCATCCAAGGTTTTTCACTAATCCCTTCCTCGGGTTTGACGTCATCTTCGAATTCCTCGCTCAGCTTGATAACGACACCCATTTCTTCCTCGTCTTCTTTTCTCATACGCTCTTCTTCTCTTAATCTTCTTTCCTCCTCTGCTGCTTCCAGTCTTTGAACTTCTCTCATCTTCTCGTATTCCATGATATCTCTCCAGAGTCCCTCCACTTGCTTAACAGGATCGAAGCCCAAGTCGACCACAAATACTAACCCCCTAGCTCTCTCCACATGTCTAAGGAAATCCCACCCTAGACCTTTATTCTCTCCAGCATCCTTCACTAGTCCAGGAATATCTGCAACCGTAAATCTCTCCCTTCCAGCTTCTCCATCCTCAGCTCCAAACAGAGTATCACCAGTCCCCAGTCCCTTATCCAAGACTACAGTCCCCATATTAGGCTTCAAAGTCGTAAAAGCCCAGTTCCCAACTCTAGCTCTACTCCCAGTGATACACCTTAACAAACTACTCTTCCCCACATTCGGTCTCCCCACAAGTCCCACATCGGCCAATAACTTCAACTCCAATTGAATCTTCATCGTAGAACCCTTCGACCCTTTGGTAGCCCACATAGGTCTCCTCAAATCCTTTGTAATAAAGTTCGGATTCCCATAACCCCCAGCACCACCTTTCAACAAAAGTATAGGTTCCATAGTCCTTTTCTTCCCCCCAATACCCCTTTCGCCACCATCACCACCATTACTGTCATTCTCCTCCTTCGAAAAATCGACTTTAAAAACCTCCGGTTGTGACATATCCTTCCTTATCGGTTTCCTCGGCGGCCAATGCGGTGAATTCATGTTCATAGCAAGACTTAACGGATAATGAATATATTCACTCCCCGGATCGTCAACATTACTCTTCGCAAACCTTCTAGGAATCCTTTTCTTCCTTCTCATCTTCTTCTTCAATATCTCCGCAGGATCCTGGTCCGTCCTCCCATCATGTGCATTCTTCACAATAAACTCCTCCCCTTCCTCTCCCTCTTGCTCCCCCATCTGTCCCTCATAATACACCTCCCCATCACCACCACCACCATCATCATCAAAATACTCTTCTTCCCCCAAAACTTCAGAAGGTAACGGTCTCCCATCAACCCCCCTCTCCAAAACTCTAACAATAGTCCCCCTAGGAACCTTCAACACCACATCCTCCCCTCTAGCTCCATTCCTAGCCCCACCGAGTCCATTACTCCCCCTCCCAGCCTTCACAATCTTCATTCTTGATAATTTATGAAGACTACCGATTTGCTCGTCAAGAGTGATATAAACATCTCCACCATCCCCACCGTCTCCACCGTTAGGTGGTCCATGAGAAACGAACTTCTCGCGAAGGAATGAAACACAGCCGTTCCCGCCGGAACCGGAGGTTAGTGTTAGCGAGAGGGTGTCGAGAAACGGAGGTGTTCGGTGGTCGGTTGCGAGGTTTGTTTGGGATTGTGGAGTTGCCGTGGTGGGGGTTGTGAGCGTGGGTAGTTCGGATTCGAGGAGGGATCGGGCGGTTGAAGGTGTTAATGTGGATTTTTGACGGATGAGACGGATGAAGAGTCGACGGGAGGAGTGGGGGTACAGGAAGGGGAGAAGGGTGGTTGGAGGCATTTTCATGCCGTTGAAAATGAAGAGAGTGTGCCTATAATAATGGTATGTGGTATCATGGATTGGTAAAGTTTTAAGAGGTTGAAGATAGTCTCGAGGCTCGGAGATAAAAGTTTAGCGTCGGTAAATTTTCCTTGTTGGAAATTTTCGTTGTCAACGCAGAAAATTCGAACTTCACGAAGAAAGTGGCAAATGACCTTTAGGGGAAGTGGAGAGTTCGTTCAAAATGATAACTTTTAATATTCTATTCTATGCAAGTTCGTTCTATCTACAGATGACGGTATTTCGGTGATGGTTTCAGTACTTTTGTAAAGTGGAATAGTCAATATAAACATCACTCTCCCGAACCTAATCTATATAATACAAGACGAATAAAAGGTATACTACAAAAGGACAAAGGATAGAAAAACAACAGAAAAGCCACAGAAAGAAACCCCTATTGAGACTCGACATTAAAAGAAAGAGACCATAGATCGTGGAGAATATACCCGAAACCCCCAAAAGCGAAGAAAGAAGCCCCATTTTATGCGTGTTCTTGTAGTTTTCGTTGGCAATCGGTAGCGTATCCGTGAGCGAGGGAATGATCAGGGAAGATATGTACAATTTAATAAGTGTTCCGTAGTCGCCGTAAAGATGTGAGAATTGAAGGGAAATCAAGTGCTTTCGTATCATCTTTGCTTAGATTAATACGCTTCACGAGGTTGCCTGTCGCCTCTTGGTCGGAAGCCACCTCCGGACCTGTCTCCATAGCCGCCACGGCCACCCTCTCTCCTACCCCCGAAGTCACCGCCGTCTCTCCTACCACCGAAGCTGCCACCCTCTCGTCTATCTCCGTACCCACTTCCGCCATCCCTTCTACCACCATACCCACCTCCACCTCGTCTATCCGAACCTCCACCTTGTCTATTTCCGTAACCACCGCTTGACCGGCCACCACCCGACCTGTCACCATATCCCCCGCGGCCACCAAAACTAGATCCACCACGGCTTCCACTGTCGTAACTTCCTTGCCTTCCCCCATCAGAATCTTGGAGAGCACCATCCATACGTCCAGTCCTGGATGAATAAGCTACACCAGCATTTCTACCTCGAACCTCTGACGCTTCCATAGGTGCAAGCCAGCCCTTTCGGACAGCAGAGTCAAATGGAAGTCCCATTTTGAGAGCCCAATCTCTGGATACTGGTGGTGGGAATTCATGTCCAAAGTTGTACTTGGAAACATTGAACAAAGACCTGACGATTTCCATACCATCAATTCCCTGTGTGTTGTAAGCTCCAATACTCGAAAGCCAAGCTTGCTTCAAAAGGGCGGAGTCCAGACGGCCGCAAGCTTCTACAATGGCTCTAGCGAATTCTGAAGCCCTGGGGTGTAAGGTGTCAAGATCGCTGAGTTTAGCGGACTTTGATACCAAGTCGTCATTTTGGTCGTGGATAAGGTCAATGCCCCGAAGTTCTCTGAGAGCAATTCGGGCGTCAAGGTCGCTGAGAATGAGGTACCCGACGCTTCGGCCACTCTCGATATTCTTTCCTCGAGCGGTACGGCCGATACGATGGATGTATTGCTCACGGTTTGATGGGGTACCGACTTGAATAACGTGGGTGACGTTGGGGAAATCCATGCCGCGGGCAGTAACATCAGAAGAGAATAGAATGGCGTTTTCACCCCGTCTGAAGGCGTTTGCGGCCTCAGTACGGCGGGATTGAGTGAGACGAGAGTGGATTTGGATCAAATCGAGTGGGAACAATGGGTGGCCTTCGCTTCCAGGGAGTCTGACGCGACGGAACATCATTGCTGCCAGTTCAGCTCCACGAGCTGTAGGGAAGAAAACCATGGCCTTGAAAGATTCATTGGCCTTTTTTGCTTTGTCATTTTCACGATGAAGCAATTCGAACAGAGTTGGGTGCAAATTCTCCATTCCCTCGCACATGATTACGTGCTGTGGAACCTTGGTGTGTGTTTCAGCTTCGTTCGGGTCGATGGTATTGACGAACTTGAATCCGCGACGCATATTCTCAGAAATCAGCTGACGAACTTTGTCGGGCATGGTAGCAGAGAACATGAGGGTCTGTTTTCCCTCGGGCAGGTAGCTTCTGATTTCCCGGACCTCCTTCTCGAATCCCATCGACATGAGCGAGTCGGCCTCGTCAAAAATGAGCGTTTCAAGATTCTTCATGTCAACTCCGGAGCTTGGATCAGAGAGAACATCTGCAAGGCGACCAGGGGTGGCGACCAAGATATTAGCCCCCCTTTGGTGGTAATCTCTGATCGAGTAGGATTTTCCGGTACCACCAACCATGCAGGAGACATGTAAATTGGTGCCACGGGTGAGAAGAAAGGCGTCTTTCGCAATTTGTTCAGCCAACTCTCGGGTCGGGGAAATGACGAGGATACGGGGATCGGCAAAAGACTTGTGTCCGTTGATATTCTGGGGGTATTCTGGCTTCTTTAAGCCACTGTTGAGAAGCTTGCTGATGGATGGGATAAGGAAAGCAAGTGTCTTTCCGGTACCGGTTTTGGCTCGAGCAATACTAGAAAATCCTGCTATTAGTAAAAATTTCGTTTATTCAATGGAGACAGGAATTGAACCTACAGATCGGCACCACTGAGAGAAACGGGAATAGTCTTGGCCTGAACCTCTGTCATATCTGTATATTTCATGTTGTTGGTGATGGTATGGACAATTTTCTCATTAATCCCGATATCTGCAAGCCCAGCGAAGGTAGTAGGATGACTGTTGGGAGCTGCTGCAGCGGCTTGCGACCCGGCATCTTGCTGAACCGCAGCCTCTTGGCGTAGCAGACGGGTAGTAGCGAACGTTCGGTACGAAGGAGTGGTATTCGGGATAATGAACGATGTAGCAGATTTCTCGGTCTGTCTAGTAACTCCGATCGCCTTGGTAATATATCTTGAAGATGCAATTCGAGGAGTTATCCGCCTTGGGAGGACGGTACGGATCGTGGAAAGCATCGTGGTGGCGGGGTGATGTTTTCTCTGACTAAAAAAAGTGGGATGCAATGCTCGAAATGGCGAAACCTGAGGATTAAATTAAAAAGAGCTGAAGCTCTTGGTAAAAAAAGGTATCAATGAAGATACCAAAGGCGACAAAGAGTGGCTGTCGTCGAATGAAAAGGTCAATTGAGACCAGAGAGGAGGAGGAGGAGGAGGTTGATGGTGGTTGATGTGGGATGGGATGCAGCAGGTTGGAGAAGTCCGACTAAATTTTTGTTCGCAGAGATTTTTTTTGCTGGTTTGCGGCGATAAGGAAAACGCCAAGACTCAGACATTCTCCAACATCAACAACACATCCCTCACAACCTGTCATGAGACTTGTGGCTCCCTATAGCCGCACTTAAGCCCGACTAAAATAACGGCCCGCTTCTCAATTAAACCCCCTTTCAGAGCATTCTTATATTAAAACGCTTTGGAAAGGTGATTTTCGGGGGCTCTCTTTTAAAAAATGGTCTAGATACAGTCTAGTTTAACTTTTATAGCTGAGTACCTAAAACAATATCACAGTATCAATTCAATTTATATCGCCAAGCTGTACCGCGGCACCAAGTTATGCCAAAGAAAAACAGCATAGTTTTTTGTATTTCTTTGTATAAGGGTTTGGATACCCCACCCACCAAATATCGCTAGGGAAAGCGTGGTGCACAGATACCGGGGGGACTATAAGAACCCTTTCTTTCAGTCGGGCACCGCGCGCGCGCGCGTGCTGAACTCACGAGTTGGCCTACTTTTGTTTCAATACTCATCGAAAATGGTGCCTTCTACGGAGTCCCATGGCCGGTCCCTTTCACCATCCCCTCGAGGCCTTGATCTTCCATACTGCCACTTCTCAAATCTTTCTATGCCAACCTGGTCAAATTCCATCACTGCAAGATGCCCTGATGCTGTTACCCAAGCAACAGTGTTACCGTAGAAATCTATATTTTCTAGCTTGAGACGGCTTGGTGCCCTCAAGATCTTACGACCATCCCACAGCCACCATAAATCTAATTTATAGCTTGTAAAGCTTGTCTACTCATAAGATAAACCTGGTTCAAACCGTCCACTTTTTGTATCCATTATGCTCGACGCCCATTTTGCTATATCAAAGACCCGATTTTTTGATATCACCCTATTCTGTGCGTTTGTGATAGAACCACGGCAATGGCTAATAGGGCCTATTAGAGGAGACTTTCGTGTTACCTGCCGGTTGAGTATATTCGATACATATACGCAAAGGTTGAGCCGACGCGCTGGTGGATGAGATCCAGGCTCTGCCCATGCCAGGCTCTGTCCATCGTCGATGAAGAACAGCCACACTACACTGCATGGCTTCGCTAGTTCTTCATCCCGCGGTATACTGAACTGGCTTCGCGACGGAATGTGATACAATATTATATTATCAGTATCCTGGCGGTCAACCCATGCTAAATACTGCCCATCTGTCGAAAAAGTTAGATAAAGTTGTTCCGATTCGCTTTTCGGGGATATGTAGGTTATCGTAAAATCGATTGCCGGAGGTTCGGAAGTTAAGTCCCAGATCCGTATAGAAATTACAAGGCTGGTATTTTGATAACATACCGCCAAATATTTTCTATCTAACGAAAAAGCCAGGCATTGGATTGCGGGCGCCGAGCCATCGACCTTACATTCGTAAAATAAATTTCCTGAAGGCGTACTCCAAATGTTGACATGCCCGTTCTCCATTGCGACAGCTAATTGCTCCGAATCAGCCGAAAATTGAACAGAGCTGGCTTTAGTGAGGGCGTTTTCTATGGTAATTCGTGGGATATCCGGAGCGGCGATGTCCCAAAGTTTGACCTGGCCGCTGACTATTTCCAGCGATACTAGCAACCGACCATTTGGGGAGAACCGCAGAAAGTCATCCCTGGAACCAATGGTCTGCATATACTGAGTATTCTGAACGGCGCTAAATGCAGCGCCTAGGTCCCAGAGGTCAACTCTACCAGAAGAAGACAACGAGGCTGCCATGGCCAATTTCATCCCAAACGACCTCCCAACACTTTTGACCGATACAACTGAATGCTGGTCTCCAATCGGATAACTAGCCTCCAACAGACCATCAGCAAGGTTCCACAGCTTGAGATAGTTGTCAGTGCCACCTGACAAAGTCAAATATCTACCGTTTATCTGAGAGACCGTAATTCCTCTGATTTTACCGCTGTGCTGGCCAATTCGCCTAATTGTGGATTCTCCCTTGGAGACTTTCGAAAAATCGTCTAGATATTCGATGCTGTTTCCAATCGCCATAACAACTTTGCTGCCCCTAGAACCGAAACATTTTAGGTCTGTGACCCGGTTCTCATGGCAGCAGGACTGGGAACATAATGGTGATGCCGGTCCGGAATCCCTTTGAACAACTGCCACCAATCTTTCCCGGTTCTGGTCAATGCGCCAAACCCTAAGGAGAGCGTTTTTAGACGCTGCGATGAGGTGACATTCGTAATAGCCTTCACTATGAAGTGAAATGTATGTAAAACATTCAGAAGGTACTTTGATTGTGTGTGCTAATGCCGGGGGCTCATAGGCGCCGTTAAATTCTTTGACAGAAAAGAACCAAATCTTAATGGAATGCGCCAGGTTCGACGCAGATGCAAGCTGCCTGCCATAAGCTGCAGAATTTTTCAGGTTCCGGGAGCACGCTGCTCTTGGGCATTTCGAGTTACCATCCCCGTGCAGAATACCAATGACTTTATCCGACCGCCTATCCAGTATCCGTATTCCACCACCACCAGTTCCAACTGCAATGAAAGTGTCTTTGCCATATTTAAGCTGTGTCGCGAAAACAATACATCCAGGGCCAACTTCAAATTTGAGTGGTGGTTCGTCCATTTCGTCAAGACTAAACATCCAGAGGGTCCCACTCTTTGATACACAAAGCAAGTACTCCGTATAGTTGTCGCTCGTCGAAAACTCAATGCACTGGATATCAAGATTGTCCCGAAACCAGTCCCCGTGTACACGAGGCAAACCTGGTCTATCTCCTCGCGAGTCCCATTCTGTGTCCGATTGTGGGATTCTCGCAAGCCAACTTATATTATTGTGGAATAACTTTCGTATCTTACTTCCTTCAGGTGTGTCTAGTATTGCTCGGGTGTAAATCTCTAACGAGGGCGTTTGAAGGGCCCAGATGTTGTCCGACACGAATCGAAAGACCTCATACAAAAGTTCCGACAGGACCGGCGAATCTACTCTCTAATTCATTCAATAGTTTAGCGAGGAATTGTCTTTACACGAAACCAAATACTTGGTCAGATTTTCAAGTGAAGTTTTCTTAGAGACTTACAGACACCATGCGGTAGAGTCTCACTATCCGCTCTAACAAACTACGCGTTATGAAATTTTCATCGATGAGACTCAAAAGCTCCAACCAATGGAGAAGGTGCTTTTCCAGAAATTGGTGAATTTGACCATCATCCCCGTGCAGTTGCGTACACTCTATTGCATGCTCTATCCAAAATCGACAAGCGTATCGAGTAACAGGTGAAGTATATCCCAGCACCTCTTCTCGAGCTTTGTGCGGCCACATGTCGGGATCGCTTGCCAAGGAAAACCCACAGATATCCCTTTTAAGGGTCTTATCAAGTAAAGAAAGACAAGATATCATCAGACTTCTATTTGCTCTTTCAGCACCGATATAAAAGGGTGTGACTTTTTCGGTTTGGGGGTCCAATAAAAACTCTTCGAAAGATAGATGGTAAGGACGAATCGCCTGTGCTGCATCTTTAGGGATATAAAGGACAGAGTGAAATCCCCGGAGTCTGACGAGGAGGTCGTCTTCGGAAATGTCCAGAAGCTGAGATATGTCTTGCCGTGAAATCGATGACTTTGGCACTAGGATGGTGCCTAGTAGATGCCTGACACTCTCAATTATCAATATCTTTTCGTCCTCGTCTTTCTCAGCTAACAGCTGGTCGAAGACTGGAAGATATATTCTAGCAAGTTTTGATGTATGGGTTTTTGATTGGTATTCTAGAATTTTTTCCAGCTGTTCCTTTGGTCCAAAGTGAGAACTATTCACTAATAGACAGATTGTTGAAGCGACGATAAACAATGGTGATGAAAAATCGACGAGCTGCTGGATGGTATTCTGCCCCGGCCATCCTGCTGTGAGCATTTCGTCATGCTCTTCAACAATCTTCTCAAACTGTTTCTCGAAAAATATTTTAATATCGTGCTGTATGATCTTTTGCTCGATATCATGTAGGACTAGACCTTCGTATGACCCATCTATCTTCTTGAAACCCACTCTGATAGGCGTCTCCGGACGGCTTGTGACGAAAACTCGAATATCCACGTCCTTTAGTTCTGCAAGTTTTCCGAACAGATTCACCAAAAGGCGAACATCATTGTCGTTATCGCATTCGTCCAACGCATCGATTACAATTACAGACGCGCACCCACCGCCACCAATCCCTCCCGATATCGAACTAAGTGGTTTAAAAATGAGACATTCGAATTGGTCGCGTAAAGCTTTAGTGGATATACCTGGGTCTCTTTTTATTGCGCTCTCAATATGGGGTATCAGATCTGGCCAGTGTGCAGATAGCCCTGCCGCTATTGTAGTAACGAACTTGGAGGCATTACCACGGTCCCCACCGCCTCTCTTAAAAAAAAGCTGGCCGCAAGCATACCCTTGGCTTGGAGGAGAGTAGCAACCGTTCTACAAATTGTCGATTTCCCAGTTCCAGCTGCCCCAGAGAGCCAGAATACTGGTTTCGTGTCGCTTCGCTGAGTATTGGTCCACGTCTCGAAATCTTTTAAGAGTTGCTCCCTAGTATTCTCAAGGCACTTTGGCTCGTGCTGGTCCGCAAAGGACCCGAACACCGCCGCTTCACTCGAGGACTAATTTTAGCTACCTCCATATACATATTTAAAGGGGGGAAATGGGCAGACTACCTTCGACAATTGACAATCCAGATATCGGTTTGATTGCGGCGACTATTTTATCGACCTTATTATCAATAGCCAGAATTACTTTCAGACTATCGATCTTCAACGCTGAGTGAATTGTATCTTCCAACTTTTTGAGATTTTCCACCACCCTTTCAATTTCAATCTTATCTAACGGCCACTTCAAATGTACAAAAAACCTTCCAACACGAGCCTTACCCCTCGGCTTAAGTTTCTGCTGGAGATTTTGGAATATATTTTGACATTCCGCAAGAGCCTTTTCCAATTGCCCTAAGCTGCCTAATTTATCTTTATCGGGTCCATGGATCAGCTTATTGACTTCTTCTGCAAGCTTTGCGATGGCTAGGATTCGGTCATGTAACGCAAGTTGGTCTGACTCCGCATTTTTGATGTCGCCGATGTATCGAGCGAAGAGTTTAGTAAGTTTTCCGGCTAGTTCGATGATTGCAATGATGCTTGCGGCGGCGCCTACGGCCTCCATTCTGTACGTTCTTGGGTTTTCCTGCTAGCCAGTAACGAGATAATTTCAATATAGATCAAAGTTTTTATTCCAAACGGAAATCTTTTCGAATTTTGGACGTTTGTGATGAGAAGAGAGATTGTTCGCAAGTATAAAACTTTTCAGCTTTATCAATATCCCCCTCCCATAAGCTGAGGTTGCGATATTTCCAAGCCTTCCTGCAATGTTTGTTGGCTTTGCATACCATAGCTTCCTAGCTTTGAAGCCCAGTGCGTTTGTCTTTATCAATTGTTACTGCATTGTCCAGGACGCAGTTTGAAGCAAACTGTGCATGCATCTATCATCCGCAGGATCCTACATAGCAGGATAATTGTCTTAGATTACCTGATACCTTGATCCTCCACATCGGGTTTGAACATCCATTTTACTTTTGATATCTTTAATATCCCTGAGTTTTACTTAAAATCAGAAATGACGCTCAATTTCTATAAGTAAATATCTAGTTCGAGACAAGATCATTAATCCGGTACTCCTATATATACCATATTATATTATAGTGAATTCGTGGGTGCTTTGGTTCCCCCACTACCGTAGTATACAGTAGTATTTGCTTTGCGAGACATGTTTACTAGGTAGTCCTTCGTAGCTGTGGCTGCTAGATAGTCCTGTATTCTACACTTCATGTCCTATTAACTATAGCCATTTCACGAAATCGAAATACTATATATGTTTGCCTACTGGAATACTACTCCTAATGCTCTTGGAACTAATTGCAAAAGATATCTTCAGGAGAAACCCCATCACTTTCCTTAGTATTGATTTTAACTTTCCATGGAGAAACAATACAGTAATGCATATAAAATACAATTATAAAAGCGTCACGAGACCCCTCCAGCAACGAGAGAAGAAACAAAAGTAACTAAGCCTTATGAGAGACCGTAACAATACAAGAAATCATATAGGGGGGGGATATATAAGCTATACAGAAGAAAAAACAAAGAGGACGTGAAGGAGAGATATATGTATTGTCCATCGATTGCTCCACACCACCAGCTCCGCTGACTTTATACCTTACCTAACAGAAGGGAAAAAAGAATGGTGAGAAAGTTTTAGGGAAACTTTTATATATATGAGAATGCATCTACATGATGTTTACAATGGATTGATGAGTCATCTGCCACCGAAAGGAGAGTTGAAGAGGTCGGGAAATTCAAAGGGAGTGGATGAGAACGGCGGTCTTCTACTCGGCTTTACCATCGGCGACAGAGAGGTCGCCAACGGCGTCCTCAAGTCGGTCGAACTTTTCGAGTTCTTCAATTCTAGCCTTGGCTTTGACGATGTTCTATTCACCCATGTTAGCTTACTTTCGCCCATGATATTATTGGAGGATATCCTTACCTCTTGGGTAACTCTTTCTTGGTTTTCTTTGTAGTGCTCAAGCTTGGCCTTGAGCTTCTCAACAACGCTTGGCACATCTTCGGCCCCAGTTGGAGCCGAGACTTCGACTTTGCTCAGTTCGTCGAGAATACCGATCGAGAGAGAGAATTTGGCGGGAGTAGGGGCCTCTGCACCTGCAGCCTTGCTCTTCTTTCCCTTCTTCTTGCTATTTCCACCAATGAAATAGTCCTCCTCATCCTTCTTCAAAACCTTCATTCCTTTGGGCTCTTCAGTGATGGTTCTTCCGATAGATGCTTTGTATTGGCTGACTGGTCCATCGGCCTTCTTTGGAGCGCTCTCGGGATCGAAGAAAGCGATCAAGTTCTCGCAAGTATGGATTTCACTTGTGAAAGCCTTGAAGCTGGCCTCCTCGAGCAATTGGTTGGCAACTTCCATCTTCTTCTTCTTCTCATAAGCCTCACGCTCGGCTCTTTGCTTCTCCTTTCGGACCTTCCAGGCTTCTTGCTCGTATTCTCGGAAGGCATTCTTTGCACCGTAGTAAGCATCCTTGAGAGCCTTGATTTCTCCGAACTTCTCCTGTTGTTCCTTCTGCAATCTTGTACGTTCGTCACGCAAGCTATTGAGGTTCTGGAAAACACCATCTTGTTCGGCTTTAATAGAGTCGAGTTCCTTGGTGATTTCAGTAAACCGGTCTGAGAGAGCCTTAGCCTCTGGATCGTCGAGTTGCGACCTGATATCAGCCAAAGAAGCCTTCAACTTATCAATGGCACCCTGATCTTCGTCAAATCCGGCGAAATTCTTCTTGAGCTTCCTCAAGTTTGAGATTTGATCCAATGTCCGGCGCTCGTCAACCAACTTGAGATTTCCGCTATCAACCTGCCCTTCCAACTTTCTAATTTCGGTATCGATTTCCTCGGGCGACTTGAAGCTAATCTTGGCACGTGCAGCTCTATGCGCAGCAATCTTATTGTTGATAGAGTCGTTCAAAGTCTTCTGACGGTTCAGTAGGTCTTGTCTAGAAGTCTTCTTGGTGGACTGGGTGGCTCGGATCTCTCCGAGTTCCTTTCTAAGGGTGGATTGTCGCTGTTGAGCAGGATTTTGAGCGCCATTGGCGCCAGCCGGCTTGCTGAGGTCGAGCTTGGCTTTAACCTCGTTCTATAATGGCCTCAAAGTTAGTATATATTACCAGCCGTGGCGCCCATGTTGGAGTCAATTCCTGGCGAGAATAGGCGACATGTAGCTACCCGAGGATACACACGAGGCATAACATAAAATCGAATTTATCTTATCCCACAGTCCTCAGGTAGCTCAATACCGTAGCTTAAGGTAGCTCAAGTGTACATACCAACTGCTTCATCATAACCTCGTGCTCCTTCTGGAGCTGCGCGAGCTCCGTTTGGTACTTGGCCTCATCGGGCTTCTCTGGCTTGACTTTTCGTTCAACTGCAGCGTCGGCCATTGTGACAACAGACAATCGTATAATATCCCCAAAATTTCGTAAAGAAAGAACTGCTGAACTGCCAGGAATGAAATTTGAAGAACGGCGATATCGAGGAGACGACTCCAACTGACTGACTGGTGGCAAGTAAGTGAAAGGAGACGACACGTTGTAGCTTCTGCTTCAGGGACAGGCCTTTTTCTTTTTTTTTTTTTTTTTTTTTTTGCCTTGTGGAATTTTGCCGCGGGCATTTTTTTGATTGGTGGTGGGCGGAAGATGTGTTGATGTGTTGGATTGAGATCCGGACATGTTTGAGATCACGTGTTTTTGGTCTGGTTTGTGTCGCGTTGAAGAACCGTCGCAAAATGTTCTTCGGCAGAGCCGCATTCCTTTAACCTCGAATCATCCTCATCACCACTCATCACCAGGATCATCGACAGCTTCCCCAACGTCGAATCAGCCCGATATCTGTAACTTCTACCATCCTCGCAGCATTCTTTGGCTCTTACTAGCTTCTAGAGCGTGTTTGTACTCCTGGGGAACTTCGCAACAATGTCGGATGCAGATGCCAGAGAGGTCTCGCGCCTTTACCGCGCTTGGAGAACAGCACACGAGATGATCGCCGATAGGGTTAGATTCGAAGCTCTACTATTAGACTAAGCTTGATGCTAAGATATACGACTGGCAGGGATATGATCTCACAGAAGAGGAACTGAACATCAGTCTCGACGACTTCAAGGTCAAATACTGCGACTCTGATGGCAGACCCCAGTAAGGCCTCCTGCTAGTTTTAGCTCTACGTCCTGTAGTAACTAGGTACATATATACTAAGATAACCCATTCTATAGGCGAAAGAAGATGACATTCTCTGCCAAACCATCTCAGTCGATGATTGACCGAAACACCGACACTCAAACCGGACAACTAATCCCAAACTCCTGTGGTACAATCTGGATCGAATTCTCTCCAGAGCCTTCCATCGGTATCAAGCAGATGCGTGTCTTCGCCCATACTATAGTCGAACACAACTTCCATACCGGTGTTTTCATCACAATGGCTCCCTTGACATCGTCCGCAGCGAAGATAATTCCGACGGTTGCGCCGAGTGTCATCGAATGCTTTTTGGAACAGGATCTGTTGGTCAATATCACACGTCACGAATTGGTCCCACAGCACGTCTTGATGAGTAGAGAGGATAAGCGAAAGTTGTTGGAGAGGTATAGATTGAAGGAGACACAGTTGCCAAGGATTCAACAAGCTGATCCAGTCGCCAAGTACTTTGGGTTGAAGAGAGGCATGGTTGTTAAGATTATCAGAAAGAGTGAGACTGCTGGCAGATACGCTAGCTACAGATGGGTTTACTAAGCGGTCTGTGGAGATGCGTGCCAGTGGAACGTGATTCTGAAGATAACTTAGCAGCATGCAAGTTTATGTGTACGATCTTAGCAGCGAGGAACAGCCACAGGGATGTTTTGGACATTTCATGGCTATCATACATGGCGTTAGAGGCGATAAAAACCGGATCTTAGACTGGCAATAAGAATTATCTATCTTTCATATTAAGATGCAGTGAGCAGACTTGGCATTGTCTATTATACACAACTGGATGGTTGATGCTCACAGCCCGCGAGGCTAAGTGTTGGATTTTGAAATGTTCCTATTGACGCTGTCGGACTCAGTCTCGTAACCAACTTGATGGTTGCACGCCTTGTCTCCTTCATTCCATGTCTGAAACAGTAGCATAATTTCGACAGGGCCCTCCAAGAATACTATGAATGGTAAGCTCGAACAAGGAACCTTCCGCCATAAAGCCCATCGGAAAAGACCCGGGCTTAGCTAGATTCTGCCTCCGAGAACCAATCAAAATCTCCAGTCTCGTTTTCTCCAAGTGAGCCGTACATGGATGATGTAGTCTGTCGAATCAGTTCATGGTTCCTTCCTTTTAGGTCGCCGTGATTATGACCCCCCTACTGCTGTCCTCACCCTCATAACTAGTTATCATCCGACTGCCTTTTGACGTCCTAAAAATCCCCAAAAACACTTGTAAACCCTTTCTTTCGGCCCAGCAGGCTTTCCTAAAGAATAACAGACCCGTTCTCTGTAAGCTCATAGTTCGTGAATGGAGACGAAGGATCTAGTCCTATAAATCCTATGCAAATTGCAGCGGAGCTGTAGCATGGAAATCCCGCTTTTCGAGAAAAGACGAAACTATGTCTATGATATCATATGATATCACTATGCAGATACAAAGCTTCCTTGATTCGGCGTCTAATTCTTTTATCTTTGAATCAAGGTCCCGAATCTACGATACCAATGATATAATTATGCATAATACGAACAACCAATCAGGATCTGTGGACCCTTTAACCCCCAGGGAAGGCAGATAACGCCTTCTTTAAATTTTGCGCATGATTTAGAAAAGAAGAAAAAAAGAAAAGACAAAAGAACTTCGAAATTTAAATTGTGACAGGCCTTGCGTCCCTTGATTCTTTCCCCACGAGAGGCAGGGATCCTGCTATCAGATCGAATATATCGGTCCAGGCCCTCAAACAAAAAAAAAGAGAGAAACAAATTTTGTGACTTAGGCTTCATAAAGAATGCAAACATACAAATGGCTGACGGAGGAAAAAATAATTCGGTATGTTCCGAATCTTTTACGCATGTGCCCAAAACAAAGCGTTCAAGGCTCGGTTGCAGTGTACCCTGAGTACCTTGGCTTTTTCGAAATTTCCCACCTTCGTTCCATTTATTGAGTTGTTGAATTATCGAACGTTGTAATCGATCCCGTTCCGACATACAGCCACGCGCTAGCCATACAAGCATGCTACTAGGTAAGTACATGCAAGTACACGTACAGTACATAGATACCAATTACTTCGCGCGGGCTCATTTAAGCATTTAGGGATCCAGAAGACTTTTTGCCATCATACCAGATCTTTCAGGCCAGTTTGCACCTTCCATCCAATAATGTGGAAGCCGGCTCACGAGATCGATGGGGCCCTTCATTCCAAATGCGGGGTTCCAACGCTCGAGGCCGCGGGGGCAAAGTTTGCATATTGCATTGGAGGGATTTCAAAATCTGCAATCCAATCCAGGGTGTCTCGTATAGCCCAAAAGATAGATCGATACGAGATTTTTTATGCACGTTTCCCAATCCAAAGGAATACGAATGCACTGTATCGTGCTTACGGGACCGGGTACACCAGGATATCGATAGTATGAGAACCAGTAGGCTAAAACGTCTCACAGTCCAGATCTGTGCTTGCAGCCAAGTACCTGCCTTGATCATGCACCATGACATCATGGGGTTTTTCAAGGCGAAACGACCATGTTGGATATTGATGTTTGAACCGAAACGTTAATCAGGGTCTAGACAACAAACTTAAGCCTTGTAGGATGCAGCCCGTTCGAAAGGGAACAGTAATTGCGTGCTGGTTGGCCTTACTCGGCTGACAGCTGAGAAAGTGTTTTTTTTTTCTCCGGCCAAGATTTCAAACATCACCAGCCTTGCCGGCCTTGTTCTACATGAACTGATCCTAACTGCACTGTTCATGAATTCCCAACTTTCCGTTTGCGTTGTGACAGTACAAGTAATGAATGCATGTAATCATGGATGGTTACGAGACTGTGATCATGGAACCCAGGGGGAAGAGCCAGTGGGTAACTTAGATCAGGTTTCACACTATCTCGTGGCTTATCAGGAATAGAAGGAATGGGCTCCTTCTGCGGTTTCTGCGCTCCAGTAAAGTCACTAACCCGATCTAACCTACCACAACTAGTACATGTATATACATATGCATTTACAGTCCTAGAGTGCCCCCCCAACAAAGGACCTCAAATCCTCAATCGATAATCTTCGATCCGGATCCTTAAAAAAATGCTTGGTACACCTTTTTATGCAAGTATGGCCTGATGGTGGTAAGATACTCTTGACACGGCCCGCATAACGTAGTTGGAAGGCAAATGGCCAAAGCTACATTGCTCGAGCTTGGTCGAATTAAGCTCAGCTGGGCTGAGACCACCATTCTCAATCTGACCATTAGCCCGCCCTCCCGAACTTGCGAACTCACGATCAATACATCGGGCAGTTGCAAATGTTTCTGATCTAATGTCTCCACTTGTCAAAAAAGAAAAAACCTGTGAGCAAAATCGATTGTATTCTCAACTTAATTTCTGATCAGCCGCACGATTGTCAAAAACTCTTGCATACTCAAAACTGATATTCATATAACGCTGTGACTTTACTAAAAACACAGAACAAAATTTATAAAAGCTAAGGGTCAAAAATATTATACCCCGTGTGAAATATTGGCTGCGGAAGATTTTTTGGAAACAGGCCGGCGAAAGTCCGAAGCCGACCACCTATCAGAGTGAGCTATCCCATGCACGGTCACACAAAGATTTAATCCCTCTTCGAATCCCCAATACCAAGCCACATACGTATGCATACCAGGGCGTCAAATCTAAGACATCCGGGCACAAATCTTGAGATATATCGATAACCGGGGTCGGCTATGGCGCCCACCTGCGCCGTTAATTAAAAAGCCTAGCAGCTTGGATGCATGCATCTAGTCTGTATGCACATCAGGGGAAGACTGGGGCAAATAGGAGATTGGGGCAAATAAGTTCAAGCTATCTCAAACTGAAACTCTATTCGACATACTGCCGTATGCATGTGTACATGTGTGCATCTGACCGTAGAGCTAGAATCAACATCTAATCAGCTAAATTCTTTGGGGAAACTGTACTGCATACTATATATGCAAGCCTGCGGCCGTTTTAGTCTCATCAGAGGAAATGATATCAACGTGATGTTCCTTTTTTTGTAAATTTGTCGATGGTTTTTAAAATATCTGCTCATGTCATCGAAGAAGAAAGCAAGGGGATGTTACACCGAATACAGAATGTTATTGACCCTGGGTCCACCTGATATGCTAGAGGTGTAATCGCGTGTGTCATAATATTTCTTTCATATCACAATTTTCGTTTTTGGGGTTGGAGAAAGTATCTGGGGGGAAAGACTGCAAAAAGGTGGCGATAGAGAACTAAGAAGGTATGCTTTCTAACCATACTGAGTCTATAAATACCACTATACATCCGCTATATACTAGTACTTTTCATTATCTATGATTAAACCAAACAAACTAACAAGATCATACATCAATTACATACCACTTTTATTTCACTCTATTACTATCTCTAATAATCAAGAACTTATTCCCTACAAATCTTTTTCCAATATGGGTGTTTGTTTCGGGGATCCAATTTATGTCTTACAGACGGAGTCCTCGGATGATGTCAGCAGCTCGAGTGGAGCCTATACCGATGACGGAGGAACAGTCTCCTCTCTTTCCACTTCATACATCCTGGCTATGATCGAGGATCTCAACTTATTACACCACAATCCCCAAAATCAGCCGCTAGATACGAGTAATGAAGATTTATCGATTTCTATTCTATCCCTCCGCGAAGCCACATGCTATCAAGACAGCATCTGCAGTCGGTCAAATGCCTCTACTTTTAAGGTAGGTTGATTCATATCATATCATGTCCATAATGTATATAGTAGATTATAGGACACTCAAATACACAATTTTAGTTGACGGCAACTACACAAAGTGAACAGAGGGATACAACGGAAGAGTTCGAGGTCGTGGTTGATATAGGTGGTTTCATTTGGCACCCAGTCGGAAGGTATATCAATGGAGATGAGGAGTTGGATCCATGGACGATATTTAGCCTTAGGACTTTGGGAAGTGGGACTGTGAGTGATGCTGGAGTTGAGCTGGATTCTGGATGGGATTGTGAGTTTCTAGCCTACCCGGATTATGCACCTTTGACTTCGTTGGAGAACATGTTAGAATGTGAAAGGTTGTAGATAAATACTAGTTACTAGGATAGTTTATGTAATAGGGATAATTATTTCTCATGTACATATTATGATAATGAATCAATCTTTAATTTAATATAGCTAGAAGACTGAGTTCTATAGGTTGAATATGCATAGACCTTGTATGGTCGCCAGATCTGCAGACTACTCAAGTGTAGCATAGCATAGACTTAGGATGAACTATGAAAACGATAGCAGTGCTAGTCGCAAAATTACATTGAATACATGAATATTAAACCCGACGATAATTAATTAAACGCAAGCTGTCAACGATTCGGGAAAATTCATGAATCCAATTTAAAAGTTTGGTGTTGATCAATTGATCAGTTTTCTAGAATCTCATGGGTCCTTTCGACTTGAATTTCTGTGACCCGTTGAAAATCTTTCCTTCCTTTGAGCTAAAGTCCATGAACTCTTCTGTCTCGTATGTTTGCGCGCCATTTATTATAGCACGTCCTTGAATCATCGCATCCCCATACTGTCTGATTTTGGTTCCATCAGCAGTGGTAACACTATTTGTGAGAGGTAGTAACTCCCTCTCACGAGCACGAGAGGTATGGGTTTGAGCATATGCCGAAGTGGAATGCACATGATTTTCACCACCTATCCGCAACGCTAATGCTACGTCCTCCGCATTTCTTTCTACATCAGGGTCTAGAATTCCAGCGCGAACCGCTCCAAGGGACTTTGGTGGTGGCCTTTTCTCTCGAGGATGAGGTATCGACATCAGCAAGAATTTCGTAAATGCAGCGGCCGTACCCGCCGCATAACCCTGCCATGCTTTATTTTTATGTGAGTCGGAATAGTCGCATATACCCCTAACCACCAAACAGGGCCAAACATCCATGACACCCGCTGCTTCCATTTCAAAGCACAATGCTCCAGTCTGTCCCTGAATTTTATCTCTAGCTATCCCATTGCGCAGGAGGTTGTCTCCAGATGCGATGGTACCATAGTGGATTCGGGGTGGTGGGGTAGAAATGTAAATATCGTCATCGTCACGGCCCCATTGAAGATAGTCCAGTGGTACTCCGACTTTTTTCTTTATATCGAGCCAGGAGCTCCGGGGTTCGCGATTCACGCGAAAATCGGGACTACAGGATGCACTACAAGGACTCGATTCTTCCCCGCGATGTTGATATTCATAGTGGAATAGAACATCCTCGTCAACCGGTGGCCGGAGCATCTCTTGGTTGTCTTTTTCGAAAGCGTTCGCAAGTATTTGGAAGATTGCCGCGCTAAGCGTTTTTTCCGGCCACCGGCGTACAAGTGGAAGAGCACGAAGTATAGTTTCGGGTGGCTTAGAAAGAACACCTGTCAGTTTGAATCCACTATCAAGGGATTTCCCAAAATCATGTTTTATAACTCCTGGAGAATTTTCTGACGGTCTGCTGACGACTACATCTCCTAACCTGATATCATTCCTCTCTTTAGGTGCACCGCCGGCGATTCCCACAAGGAATCTTAGTCCGAGATTTGGAAAATCATTGGAAAAGTCCGTGGCCACTCTAGTAGCAGATATATTTCCGTAGACCCCATCGGGCAAGGTCGTTATGACAACATTGATACCGTTGATTTCTCCGAATGTATAATGATTTGGTGTTTCAGTTTTAGATTTATAATCCTTCGGCGTTTCATGTTGCGAGTCGAGCATTGCTGTTGCAGCGGAGAACTCGACGTATAGGGCTGTGAGCCATCCGACTTTATAATCGTTAACTGACAGACGGGTCATGTTTGCTGTTTTCAATCGAAATCGATAGGTTTAAAAAATCGGAACTATTTGTATAATTGTGTAAGATAAAAGAGGGTGGGGTTGTATAATTGTGCAAGATTGGAGGGAGAGAAATATCTGTAACCTTCTACGAAAACCCGTTGTTCTTAAATGGATCGTCAGGGTCCATTTGAGCGGGGTTGCCAATCTATTCAGACGAGGCTCCAGGAATTCTGAGAGGCCTGTCCACCCGTCTTGCATTGTTGGGGCACAGCTTGGAGAGATGATTGGTCGGAGTTAATGTATCCTCGAATCCTAATCCTAGATCTAGCTCGAGGCAGAGCAAATTCAACGAAGTAGAGTGAATCCTTGCATAGAACGGATGACAGATTGCATCGAGGTGCCCAGTCTCTAAGCTTGGATTGTAGACTATAGTACTAGTGAACAGCATTCCCTAGGCTTCGAATTTTCGGCTAGTTTATATGGTGTGTCACCACAACACAATGTAATTCGAAAATACAACAATTTATCACTAATGCCACCAGTGACGGGGAAGGAATTCAGGTGACGAATTTAAGGCTTGAAATGATATTTACAAGATATTATGAATTTTATTGAGTAGAAAGATTCCAATTTGTAAAATATACCGGCTATTTGAACAATGCAACATTAACTCCGAGTCCAAGGTTTGCCAACCATGGATTAAGGTTATCGTCCGAACGCGCCCTAACCTTCATAAAATATGGACTTGTTTCCGAAAAATTGGAGTCTGCGACCTCATAGAAATCTTGATTCCGAGGGCCCTGCGTCGAAAGTATAGAGCTGATTCAAGTTTCAAATGATCCATGCAAAGCGTCCCGCGTTATATGCCCCCTCATCCTTCCTTTTCTGTCTATTGTTGTGACTTCTCCTTATATATCGATTCGGTAGAAGTAGACTCTCTGCTAGTAGATACCAAGGTTTTTGAGTCATCTTCGTAACTCTTTTCCGCTACCGTGGAAGGAGAACGATTTTTATTGGATTTTTTGAGTTCGTTGTGGTGTTGATTAATTGCTACTTTGACAACTATGTCATAAAGAGCGTTCGAAATTGGGGTAAGCATTGCGAGGATGAAAATAGAATATGTAAAAAAAATCTATGAGTTTGTGGAGCTTTTGTAGGGAAATGTAGTATTCCGAATATCGGATCGCTTGCGACTGATCTGTAGCGACCACTGGTATCTTACTGTAGTCAATGGTTCGACTTTGGTAGCGCTTTAATAAACCAACTTTAGCTAAGTAAACAACCTTAAAGGCCCCCCGTCGAATATTTATAAGAACGAGGTCGAGACCTAGAACCAAGAAATTGCTTACACCGTCAGCCAAGGGCGTTCAGGTGGATGTCTCACGTCGGCAGCTGTCACCGTATCCTGAATCAGGAAATTTCCGTGTTGTTCACAGCTCCCACTTGGGAAAACTATTCCCCACCAGCCGGCTTGAACCCATGGGACAGAAAGATCAACGTTATGGCCCCACAGAACAAGAAAGATTTGATTCGTGTAAAAGTGAACGGCGCGATAGATAATAGCAAGTTTCTACTTAGTGATTGGCCAAGCCTTTTTCCCTTCTAATTTCATTGTCCCCACTGTCAGCAGCGAACCTTAAGGTACCTTGGAAAACTTTCTGGTTAGCGAATATTCGGTTATGATTGGTTTACTTTCAATACCAAGATCGGACATCGGCCTCGATTAGACCCGGCGCTACAATATTAATGAAGCCTGGGAGAATTTAACCAGGCCCAGCTTGCTTGTCAGTGGAAAACAAGCTTTCTTTGTGCTACGTATACTTGTGGCGAGCTTTGGGAAAACTATTCTACATGTGTTAAGTTTTGGCAACACACATCCACGCTAAGGACGGGATTAGCCATCAGTGGCGCTGCGGCTGGAGCAACAATGCCTCAATTCAGGAGGGGTTATACGGCTGAATTCAAGGTCGGGCTACAGTCAGGGGATATTTTTTCCTGCCTTAGAAGTCGTTTGATTGTATTTTTGCCAACGAAGTAGTGAAAATTCCAAATATGAGGAGCTTGGTTTAATGTTTACCCAAGGCCAGGGCCTAAGCGGCTGTTTTCAAAAAACATTGTTTGATCATGAACTTGCACTTGAGAAATTCAACATTTGGCGTATCCGGGAGTTACAATACAGGAAAACAGATGATATAGCAATATATTGCAATAAGTTACTTGTTCAACTGGGTCTAGTACTATATAGGTAATTATGCTGAGTTTCAAAGTAATACTCTAACTATGGTCTACATTAAATCTTCAACCCAAACCTTTATCCTCTGAAGACGCTTCGCCACGGTTCTCAGGGAGCTGCCAGTCATCTAGAGCCGCCCTTCTTGGATCTTGGCTCAGTTCCCAGAGCCAAGGTTCCGGAAATCCTCTCACAATAATCTCAGAACCTATCTGAACTACGTTCGGATTGTTCTGATCAATTATTGCAATATTATTATCATCCTCTCCAAAATCAAAATCAAAATCACCTATTTCAAAGCCGCCCTCCACAGATTGTACCACCCGATTATTGTTCGCGGCGGTTACAATTGTGTCAGAATCGCCTCGATCGCCCCTTGAAGCTACGTGTGCCGAGTCTATATCATCGTCACTATCCTGGACCAGGCTATTCCAATGTCTCGGTGTACCTGAGGTAATCTCAAACCCTGGAAATTCTGCTTGTAGTCGTGGATTCGGATACCACGACGGGGGACGGTTTCTTCTGGTCGTAGGTGGCGGCGTTGCTTCTCTCTTTTCTTCTTCTTCTTGTTCTACTCCTGATAATATCGTCCAAGGGACGTTAAAATCTCGGATATAGTCGTCAAAATCTTCCGCAAGCAAATTTTCATCGAGGTCAATATCTTCCGGTGGATTAATCAATAGCGGAGCGCCAGGACGAGAACCGATATCTTCGTTAATATCTTCATTGGAAGTATAATAAAGAGCCGTTTCAGTATCGCCATCGCTATACACGGGAAGAATACTAAATTGATTCGAGATATGTTGCTGCATGCTTTCAAGGTCCATGTTGTATTCCTCTGCATCTGCCGCCCTATCTAATTCTAGATATGCGATGTATCCCCGATTTTTGTGACAGCCGGGCTCGGTGAAGAGCGATATACCGATTGGTATTTCATCTCCTTCGGTAAACTTCGCAAGCGTTACAGATTGCAAAATAAAATCTCCTTCCGGGGCTTCAAAGTCAAAACAACCACCACGGGAATCCGGCGGGACCTCGTTGCTAACTACCACGATGCCCCCTTCTTCGCGTTGTTGGCTTGAAGCTTCACTTTTTCCACTAGCAGTTCGTGTTAAAGGGATGCCTGCTGCTTCGCCGAGGATATCAGATATTCTACGAGAAGTAGCCCCATGATATCCAGCTATTGGGTGGTGGAGATTTGTTGCTGGTAGCGAAATGCGACCTGCTATTCCCTGGCCTGAAGTTGGGGGATCATTCTCAGCGGCTTGAAGTGCTGGAAATAACCGCTTTGTTCCCTCGAGAATGCTGGATGGTCGTTCTATTTCGTCGAAAAAGTTTTCAATACTATCTTCGGGTGAAAGATTTAGGAGATCTGGCTCGACGGACTTTAAGTTTGCTGACAGTTCATAGGCGTTAGAAAAGCCGTAGAGGGAGGCTATTAGTAGCCATGCAGACAATGAAGACCACATTATCTGTCGTGGGACTATTAAAGCGTGCAGATCTTACAAAGATAATGAGCCGTGAGCACATCATGGATCTGGGTCTAGGTGCACTGTGTAGGACTTCCCTCGAGGCGGTGGTTTTTGAGATCGATTGCGTCGATATCATATATGATCAGATATCAGCCCGATATTGGGTCTTTGAGGACTGCTAACCCTTCAAACCTTAAAACCCAATATCCTAGCAAGAAACTCCACAGACTAGCATATTTGAGTCAAATAGAACCCAAGCTCCATGCATGAGTGATAGCTCAAGATGATTCGCGGGTAAGTTGTAGCGATGGATTCGATCGTTGAGTTTCCCATGAATAAGTCTATTGTTCCACAGTGTGAGCTCCATATTTCTCAAAAACCAAAGCAAAACTGACGAATTATCTTTGCTTAAACCGAATACCAATTCCTCCCAACCTCTGGTAGTAGTCGGAGAAAATAGTGAGGATTATATTTTTCCAGAACGCTAGTATAGAAGAGGAAAGAGCCCTAATCGGGAAACGTTTCTCCTCAGCGATTCGCCCAGCCCATTAGCCGTTTCTGACCCCAGACATAAACCATGTCAACAGCCGAAATAAACATCTTCCCGGCAAAAAAGATATGAACCATCTCCAAAAGAGAAGATGGATAAAAAAATGGCAAAAAAGAAGGTTGGAAGTATGACCAGTAGGCGATTTGAACGCCTAGCCTTTCGATTACCATCAGCTTTGGAAACTGTCTGGAGTCGAACGCGCTACCGTTGCGCCAACCAGTCTTGAATTGTTGAAACAGCGGAAAAGTTTGCCTGAATTAACCTCAAAGGCGGAAAATGTGTTGAGAGTGTGGAGGGTACAACACTGCGTTTGTCGTGCTCCTGGGCCTTAGAAGCTTGATATTCTGTCAGCAGCTGAGAATATTCAACAAGAAGCTTGAACTTGGAAATAATGAATTGAGGTCAAGGAGAATAGTTAGGGTTAATACCGATTCTTAACTTAGTTTTTTGGTGACCAATCTTAGTCTGCTTCAACTCTTTGTCTCGTAAATCGAATGATTCCGTGTAAAAGCTCATCCCAGTTTCTGCTCACTGCTAGAGCTATTTTCAACAGCTTCCTAGGCACCTGTTCAAATATTTAATTGCTTCATGTCTGCAATTCTATTAGCCTTGAGGTATCGAGGCCCAGGAGCTTTCCTAGAGGCTGTACTAGTTTCCTGAGGGTAGTGTTTTCATTATTCCCGTTTGGTCTGGTTATTCCCGTTATACGATTAGTGCTAGAACTGCCACTTTTCCTTGTGAAAACAGTCATTGTTTTCCTCCTATTACCAAGTCATGATTAACCATATGTATTTGGGATAGCCAACAGCCTATTTAAGAGCCTTTTTAATTTATTTTACGACATTTAATGGCTTTCAATGGTGAATAACAGTTGATAGTAGTTGCCTAATTCTATGAAATTGGCGATCGATATTATTTTATATACTGCAACTACTTATATATTCAACATCATAGGGCTAATTTCCCTCATCGGATCTAGGAGATTAGATTGAACCTATCGAGTCTATACTCAAGAAAAATAATTTTAGCTAAGAGGGGACTGTCATCAAACTTTGACCAGAGGTACCCACCATCGTTTATCGTATCTCTCGGATCGTTTATAACGTTTATGGCACTTTGCACTTGGATTTCGACATGAAATGTTGCAATTTTCGCGTTGTTCAGCAAAGCCAATAGACCGAAATGTGTTGGCCAGCAACACGGCAGCAAGCCATATCACCCGTTCACGTGGACCATGGTTACACGGCAACAACACGTCTTCCTGGTTTCCGTGAAGCTTCAGTTGGCGACGACATAAACACCATGCGAAAAACCTTAACGACGTCGACGACCAAATGATCATGACTTCTCTTCAAAACTTCATCAACCGGCGCGCTACTACTCGCAATACAGCGACACGTTCTGAGTCGCCTGTCAAACAACATCCATCGACTTTCTCCAATGGGGGAAGCTCACACATTCCTCTAGCTTCCACGCGTGTGCCTTCGAGAAATTCTAGAGGTGCACCGGCAGTAGAGTTACAGGACGATTCTGACGATTTCAAGGACTCCGAGATCCTTTCTTTGGTGAATCAGGATGGTGGTGGTGGTGGTGGTGGTGGTGGTGGTGGATATGACGACGACGACTCTGACGATGAAAGTGAACGGGACGATAATGGCGAGTTTCTACACGACTTTAACAGGGAAGAAGTTGGTGGACGGTATCTGGTGAATAAGCACCATACTACTGCTCCTATAAATGCGCCATTGCAAAGGAATGGTGGTGCTACTGGAGGAGGCGGGGGAGGCGATGTATACCGCTGGCAGAAGAGCGCTGCACCGGCAAACGACGATCTATCATCAGACGAAGAATCAGATGGTCGAGTCACGCCGAGGATCCGGATTGCGGACGAGCCGCCAGTGTCGATAGCCGCAGCTAGTGAACGGGCATACACGCCACCGAATAGGGAAGACCCGGACCCAGCCAATGATCAGTTTCAGCAGGAGCATTTTTACACATCAATCGAGTTTGAGCCCCCGGCTGAAGATGCGCCCCTTCCGTCGACATCAGAAGGGGTAGAAGACGGACGCAACGATGTAAACGGGGTGAAAGGAGGTCAATCTTGGGAGGAGATTGATCGAGAATACGCACAGCATCATAAGGCATCGGTGATGCCTGTGCGTTTCAATGTATCTGGCCTGTTCGATGTTCTTAAAGAAATGGGCGTTCCAATCCGCGGGACGGAAAGATTGGCTCTTCAAGGTCAGTATATTGAACAGGTGCTACTTCTTTTGGAACGAAACTGACGGTATCTCAGACACTCTCAGCCACTACAAACTATTCTCGATACACAATCCGTCTCTACCGTACCAAATCTTGATACCATGTACCCCATCCAACCCTTCAGAACCGACCAAAATGCTATCCGAGATCGCTACAATATCCTTCATGCGTAGACATTGTCCTTCAATACCCACGCCTGAAGTCGCCTATCACAACCTCGACCCTTCCAATGCTTCAAGGGTCCCGTTTATGGTTATTAGATCTCTAAGAGGTCGTAGTGTTGCATCACTAGAAGGCGGGATTCCCACGGCTTTGAAGGACCGAAAACGTTCCGCCGCGTTGCTAGATGGCCTAGCGAGAGTACAATGCCAAATTATGAGGTCGACTAATGCCTCAAACTCACTAAATGTTGATCGAATCGGAAATATCTACTTCAAAATGGAAGCGAAGAAGCCAAAACAAACTTTCACTTTAGGTCCATTTCTTGGAACGGACGAAGATTCCAGCCAAGATCCTGAAGCGTCGGCTCCAGTTACAGAGCTAGCTGATCTGTGCCTTCAGGTTTTCCAATCGGCGGAGACCAGTTCTTTATCGTTAGCCACGGGAGGGAATAACGCGAGATACAAAGAGATCCGAACTGTAAAGCGACGACTGGCTGGTTTGCTCGGTCTACTACCATCGGTGCCAGAAGCGTACTCTCAGCTCACGCTATTCCATAATTCCCTGAGCATCGGAAATATTCTTATAGATCCTGCTACAAGCACTATTACTTGTGTTCTTGGCTGGAGGGACGTCTATACAATCCCATTTGCACTTACTCCCGTTTACCCAGTCGAACTATACCCCACAAACTCGGAATGGAGGTTATGGAGCGGTTCAGAAGATGCCGGTAGATCCGGCGTGGACAGATACTGGGGGTTGAGGAGTATTTACGAAACAAGGATGGCAAAGTACGATGCTAGATTTGCTGGAGATGTCTGGGACGACGAAGAAGTTGGTGGGTGGCTGAGAGTGTGGGAAGTAGTTAATTGTGGTGTTGAAGGATGGGTGAGGCGTAGGGCATGGATCGAGGGAGAACTAGAAAGATTGAGGAGACTCTAAACTTTCCATATCATTGTTTTATCTCAGTCGACTGTTCAACTTGATCACCTTGATTGCATTGCGGTGATTATTGTATTGCATTGGTGAGGCGTTAAGGTCTGGTAGGTACTCTAAACTTTGCATACTATAGTATATCCTAGGCACTAGCCAGAACTAAAAGATAATATGATAAAAAAGATTTCATTCAACGGGTATCATTATTAAAACATCGTATATCTATGTATATGGAAGTGGGAAGCAAATCCTGAAATCCAGCGCTAAACAGGCGTAAATGCATAAATAATCATGCGAAGGTTCGCAAGCATCCATATCATAGCATTACCGCTTTGTTGGATCTCCTGGTAATTCCATCACTGGTAGCTCGATCGGAGGCCCTCCATGTGGTTTTAATATCCCGTTCCCGTTCAGTTCCATTATTTCCGGTCTTAGAGGGAAAGCATCAACTTCGACTGCATATGGCCTGACTGCAGGGTATCCTCCAATCTCAGCCCTTGGAGGCGGCGGAGGTGGTTGCGCGAATGGTAAGTCCGGGAGATTCTGATTCCTTTTTTTCTTTCTAAAGTATAACCATACTAATGCTCCGATAACTATAACTAAGCCAGCGACTACACCACCTACGATACCGCCAACATTCGCTTTTTTCTGTTCCGGAGCGCTTGTTGTTGTAGGTGGTATATTAGTCTCCGTGCCTGTTGGTGGCGAAGATGTGGTTGCGGCTGGAGTGGTTATGGCGAATAGTTCTGCCATTGTTGGTTCTGCGAAGCCCTCCGGTGGTTCTGTTACTGTTGCATATCCCGAAGAGCTATTGATCACTTTGTCAGTATCCTCCCGCATAGTGGTGACATTGGTACGAGTTTACTTACTTTCCGCCAATTGCCCGGTATACCGGCTCTGGGATATCATAATCGCGCAAAGCCGGGTCATAATCGATTATCCACTCCCGCTCAGTCAGATCGTACATGAACAGCGCATTTTGATCTATGTCGCAATTCGCCGTGTCTCCGCCTACCAAACTTCTTCCCCCAAATATTGTGAAGAATCTATTGTTGACCACGTCGCATGACGGCTGCAATCTAACGCCTGGGCCGGGTAAAAAGTCTGGACTCCGCTCTTCCAATCGAATCCATGTAAACGACGGTAATGAAAGTGCAAAAACATCGCTTGGATGGCCGTCCCCAAATCCACCAAAGACCAGAATTTGGGTACTTGTATTATCCGGTGCTTTTATAGCAGTAGCGCAAAAGTGTCCACGTGAGACTGGTGGCGAACCGTTAGTTCGCTGTCGATACCAGTTATCCGTTGTCGTATCATGAATAAATATCGTTTCCATAGATAACGGCGTCCCATTCAACGTTCCACCAAATAAAATCCCCAAAACATCCCCAGCTGTTGTTGTGAATGGAATCGCGGCTCCTACACTGTCGAAAGCACCGTATGGAGTCGTTTGATTCGTCCAAGATTGCTGAACAGCATCGTATGTCACAACTTGATTTCGTTGACCTCCTCCCTCACCGACAACGTCACCACCGTATATATACCCCTTCCGCCCAACTGGATCGAAAAAATTGCGAAGCGAAGAAACTTGTCCCGTCTGTCCCAAGAAAGGCGTATCTATCTCCCCCCAAGTTTCAAATGAATCATTCCCAGAATTATACCTTCCCAACCACGATTTCCCCGGCCGACCAAAAGAAACTAAATTTGCATCTCTGATAACACCGCCTTCAACCGTACCACCACCTTGCGTATATATTATTGTCAAACTTGTAGGGTCCCACCAGAAAGATGCGCCTTGGTTGTCGGGGATATTGACGGGAACTATGGAAGGCGGGAGGATTGTGGTTACTGAGGCGGTTCGGTTTAGGTTGAATGGCTCGTTGAGGTCGATTACTCGGATCCACGGGGAAGAGGCGATGCGGGTCGTGCCATTTTCGATGACCGGGGCGTAGCCGGTTGTTATGTAGAGTTTATTGTCGAGTACCAGACCTTGGAGATACTTTGTTAGAATTTGTAGTATTTTTGGAAGTTTTTGGTGGGTCCTAAATACTTGAATGCCCGCTAATCGCGCAGAAGTTCTCTATGGGGTCGAGTAGGTACGGAGATCTTGTTGTCATTGCGGCTAGTTTGTTCAGTAATCTCCCTCTCTAACCTCTATGGATACGATGTCTCGAAAGTCTCGATCGCGCAATACAAGCGCGAAAACTCGGGCAACTCTTGTGGATACTCTGAAGTAATTGGAAATGGGAGAAAGTTTAAATGCGACGCTTGAACGCCAACCTAACGAAAACGAGCGTGTTATCGATATCAAGACGAACTAGGAATCTCAAAATATCAGGGGAAATTTAAATTGAAGGAAGAGAAGAAAAGGATCTGACAATTGAAATACAAAAATGCCGCCCAGGTATTTGGCTCCGTAAACCAGACCCGCTTCAGGCCCGATTAATTATGGCCCAAGCTCATGGGACCGCTCAAGGTCCTTTTCCTTCCCCAATTTCAAGACTTGGGGTTTTTTTCCCTCGTCCTGTTCGCGCTCTGCCAAGGTGTTAGTCCATCGATGGGCTATTTCAAGGTTGGGCCCTTGTGGGACAGCCAACAGGACCTGAAAGAATGAACAGGGGCTACCCTGGTTTATTATTCTAAGCCGCTTTTTTGTCCGGCGCCCCAGCTGTCTCGTCTGTGTCTGACAAATTCGAAATAGAAACTGGAGATGCATCATTGTCAGCAGGACATACATTAATTTTATAAGGGGATACATTATAGAGCTTTCCAAGAACTTGAAGCTTTAAATTCCCCTGAATTCGAAAGAGAGTAAATAAACTACAAAGAAATGAACACGAGTTGGCTTTGTCATGTTCTACCCCGCATTCTATTCGGAGAGATTATAGGCACTATTATGTGGTCCTCGGTTGCATGTTATTGGCTAGAAATATCTTCGACGAATTTCGTTTTTTTGGTGAAAAACTCGACCATTGAGAACAGAACCCAACTGCCGAAATGTCAACAGCGGTTTAATTCCCATGCGATATCAATTGAATACGGACTTCGAAATTATTTTGATTAGTAGCACTCGAGAACGTTAAAATACATGTATCCCATACATCTATGAGAGTTGTTTTTTGCTAGCCGCGAATGTACTCCAGCACCGAAGCTACTTGAAAAACTGTAATCTAGATTGCTAGTAATTAAGTGTCACAACGCAACCACCGATAAAATCCAACAATTAGGACAATTTCGTGACAGTGTGACCGAACATGAACATTTGTACATGTCGACATAGCATTGCAAATTATTCTCGTTATTCTAAGAAGAGTATGAATTCATCTGTATCATTTACATGCTGTTTTTATATCAGTATACCATAGATTCTAAATTTTCTAAATGCTGACTTGGAAACTCACCAATCCAGAGGTGCCTCAGAGTAAGTGAAACTCCTGTTCGTTTCCTACAGCCCATCCAGCGTCATAGCTATCGATCGCCTCGCCATCCATCTTCCCATGAACATAGGCTTCACCAACTATTCGGTACCAAGGTTGAAGAGGACCGGCGATTACCATGCGTAAGATTACTGGTACACTGCAACCGTAGATGATACACACGAGATCTTCACTTCGTGCATCACCAGGGCAGAGACCGAATAGCTCAGTCGATTTCAGTTCCTCGGCGTTGTCCTTTCCACTATCCCCATATATTTCCCGTAAGTTAAATTGCTTACTATCACTCTTCCCACCCTGGCTATCGTCTGTTGTCTTATTTTCAGGCTTTTCGGCTTGTGCTGGAACCACCTCTTCAGTATGTCCCTCTTTTGGGTCGCCGACGGTCGGAAGCGTATAATCTGGCCTCCTAGTGACGGTAGCTGTGAAAAAACTTCTATTCCAAACAACATTTTGCACTCTCGTAAGGTAAGTCGTCATCATGCCTGGACGGCCCTGTAGAAGTTGACCAACGTTTAGGTCACCGCCGTTAAAATTATCGGCGATTTCTAGGCATCGAAGACAGGCTCTTCGATACCATGTCGGTGGAATCAGGCTTCTTGTATCTTTATTGGCGACTAAAGTTCTCCATATCTTATCGGGTACGTTTCCTTCCTCCTCCATTTCTTCAATTCCCTTCCAGCCGCCCATATTTAAAGACTCTTGAAGAATCAGCCCCCCAGTATTTTTCGGTGATACCTTCTCAACCGTAGCTAAGATAAACCCTCGCACAACCAGAGACCACGGAAATAGTTCGGAAGGGGTAGGTAATGTGGTCTCAGGATTACATTGTGTAGCGTCTTTATCTTCGTTTTTTACACTATAAAGAGACTGGCTTAATTTCCCATCGTTCTCAGATTTGAATCGAGAGCTAGGCTCCTTTGAGCGCGACGCCATATATTTAGACTGGCCAACAGACCCAACAAACGTTTCTCCGTTTTTGCGACCCTTGTATATCTGCTCGGGCTCACCGAATGCTGAGTTTGATAGCAAGGCGATCCAAGAAGGAAGGTTCGGGTTGACACCCCCATTTCCACTTTTTGCGGGCATCGCCCAAGGGCGGCAGATGATGTCTAGTGGGTATTCATGGTTCGAATTGCCATCGATGCAGAGGGAAATAAAGTCTTTGTATACGTCGGCGGTGTTTTTTTTATAGTTGATTAGTTCTGCCGTGTACCCTCCGGTTTTTTTAAATGTGTCGGAAGCAATGAAAATCAAGCTGTAAATGAGATCACGCTCGTCGGAGGTGTCAAATGTTTTGAGGGATGTAACCAAGGATTCCAATGTCTTAATCGGCTTAATGATAGTGCCGTCTTCTGCTCTCCAGAACAAGCTGCCCAGTTCTTCTATTAGAATATTTGCCCCAAAGTATTGAACATCTCCAAGTGTGTCAGTACCGTCCCTCCATGCTTTGGGATTAAAGAGTTTCTTGATATTGGCTTGATTCGAAACTAAAATGGAAACGGCATCGACGAAATCCGACCAGTGTACCTTTTTTGAACCACAGTGGATTGTTGCTTTCTTTGCGAGGGCAATCTCTTGGACAACCCAACGCCTCGAGAACCAGCGGTCTCTCATTAACTCAGAGATGTTGAGCCATTCGTCCGCCCGCTCTGTGTCCTCTACGTAGATGCTCAACATCGCGAAATCCTTGACTGTCTCGATGAAGTCCATGGCCCTATCACTCCGTCCTCTATCATCGGCCTCACCTAGCCAAACATAGACCTCCTCCGCCATACGATAAATTTTAACCATTTCACGAAGTTGTAATGTCTTTTCCATGGCATTATCTTGATTAATGCATAGGAAGTCGACCCATAGAGTTACGGGGTCCTTATCTTTCCGGAGCCGAAGCAAAGCACGGAACAGATTTGGGCGAATACTTACCCTTCTAGCATGCCTAGCTGTGGATCCCCAGTCAGCTTCTGTTGGGTGCGAACCTCTGTCATCGTCATGCCGGACGTAAAGATATGCAACTGGGGGCTCTGGGCCCCAAAAGTATGAGAGGGCTGCATACTTTGACGTACTGGTGGATTCAGTCGCTAAAGAACGGGTTCTCAGTGAGCAGATCAATGGATAATGCTGATGAGGCGTGGGCCATATTGTCAGTAGTCTAATTTGACCTTGTTCGAGCGGTTGGTATTTAAGGGAGGCTTTCGATAAATGGCTTAGTCCTGCTTGATTGGAGGCGACACCCCTCGATTGCTTGGATGATTTGCTCATTTCATCTTCAACAGACTTCTCTCGATGGAGAACTGTTACTCTATCTTGTAACTCCTTCGACTCTCTTTTGCTGTTGATAACCCTTGTGAAGACATCTTCAAGTTCTTCTACTCTCCTAATAGTATCTTCCATTTTCTTTAGCCGTCCCGCTTTGTAAACATGGTCAATGTACGCCCCGGTAGCCTCGTGCCCGGCCTGCTGATCAGCAGTTACCTGTTGGCGTACCTTAGTCGCTTGCTCGCGCAGGTTGTCTAGATTTTGTTTACGTTCGTATTGCTCATCTAATTCATTTTTTCGTTCTTTATCGAGTCCTTCATCTTCTGTTCGAGTCCCATCCATCTTGATCATGCTTTCCCTTTCGAGCTTGTATAGCTGCTCCTTTAACATCCCCTTCTCCGACTCTAATGCACTCTTTTTTTTCTTTATCAAAGAAATTTCTTCTTCTATTTCTTTAGCCTTTCTCTTCTTTTCTTCCAATGCGTTTTGGAGATGTTCCTGAGACTTTCGCATCTTTGAAATTTTCGATTTGGCGTTTCTTGATTTCCCGTCCATAAATATGTTATAGCCTCCGTTGTGCCTTTTGTCTCGCGGGGTTGGTGATGTCGCTCTGCTTTCTTGAGGCCCCCACTCTTTTGGCTCTAGCAGGTTGTTTAGTGGCCTTGGATCTTTTTGTGATGGGGCTTGGAATGAAATTTGCTGTTCTGTTGGGGTCCTTGCCCTCTCAATCTCCGGCTCTCGATCAAATTTCTTCTCTTCCTCCTCACTCTTCTTTTCCCTTCCCTCTCGGAGACTCCCATTCACATACATCTTAGGCTCCCCACCCTCATCGTCGCAATTTTCTCCAGTCTCTTGACCCTTTTCTTCACCCTCGTCCTCATGAACTTTAGTATCATCTTCATCGTATTCGTCGTCGTCGTCACCTTCGTCATCATCGTCGTCGTCACTATATTCTTCGCTACTCTCTTCTCCGTTACCAACATTTTCTTCGCTCTCATCATCGCTTTCATCCCAAAATCTCATCACCTTTACGTCTTCCCCGACCTCGACTCCTTGGATCCATGGCTCACCCTTGACTTCGTATTGTATCCTGGGTATGGCGACCTTCCCCGGCTTACTAGCTTCTTCGTTACGGTTAGAGCTTTTCAAGATATCTTTCCCGCCCTTAATTTTTTCCTGTTCCGATTGAAATGCTGTCATTCTTTCTTTTGATCTGTCAAACTTCTGCTCTAAGACTTCTGATTCTTGATTTAACTGTCTTAAACTCAAGGTACGCATTTCAAGGGTGTCATGATCCTCTTGTAGCTTCTCCTCTATTACCGACAGTCTTTTATTCAATTTGTCTTTTCTCTTTGTCCCCGACTCCGATTTTTGATCAATAGCTCTGAGCAGCCCTTCTGCAACTTCGTTGAGTTCTCTTGGGCGCTTGAGTTCCAGTTTGGCTAACTCAGCTCGACAGGTCTCCCATAGCTGCTTTTGATTCTTCCGTAGCTTCTCTTGCTCTTTTTTCTGTTTTTCGATTTCATCCTGAATTTGCTTCCCACGAATCCCTGAAATCCTGTTACCAGGTGCTCTAAACGTTAAGTAAGGCGGCCGACTTGGCAACTTTCGGGGGGGCTCAGGTTTATAATAATCTCCTTGTAGGTCGTTCGTCGGCATTTTTGCTAACTGTAATCAACCCTAGATGTCTGCGGGGGCGCGGGGGTCTAATGTAGAGTATGAAAAAGTTGGACCTTTAGAGTTTAGCCGATTTTCGGGAGAGAGTCTGTGATGAATATTGATTTGATAGCCAGAGGAGCATCAATATTCTGCGGCGCAAATTTATATATTGCCAATTGGAGTGGAAGCTTCCCAACAATGGAAGTCCGAAATAGTTTTGTACAGAAGGTTCAAAGCCAACACCTTAGCTTAGATTGGATTTACAGACCTTACATATACACTAGGCATATAAGACGTGGAGGGGAGGGATCGTAACTATCAAGTTAAATTCCGTATCTCTTCTCCCGTCCCCATGTGGGGCTCTCCACAATGCTATCTGCAACCGTGCCGTCCGATATTTCTTCTTCTGAAACGCGGAAATGTCAGCCACCAAGTTGCAAACATACCGATTTACAGTCATTTCGAAAATAGTACGTGCCTTGTTGCACAAGGCTATCCTCAATCGCCGAAATCGGTTAGAAAAAATGGGTTACACTATAAATTCTTTGCAAAGTGCACACATACAGTGAGATATTTGAGATCGCGAAGGCCAGCCCGTCCATGGAGGGGTAAAGGGTCGTATAATGGCCTTATGTGGCGTTATGAAATTCATTTGATTGGCAGGTTATTTGGTGTGTCCATCCTCGACAGGATACCACGGGAAGCTCATAATATAATTTTTAAATTTTGCGTATTCACAGAACCGAAGCGTTTGGGCTTGGCTTAAAAAAGGGTATGAACAGACGGAAAGGTGGCACTCGGGTGACAGAAAAAGGAGAGCAAGAATCTATAGTGTGTTGTTCGATTTTTGCTCTCCTTTTTCTGTCACCCGAGTGGGTGGGTATAACACATCTGTGTTAACCTATCCTGTGACTGATAGAACATGCATAATGCGCATATGCGCGTCTCTTATCAACCGAAGGCAGATATAACAAAATTGCGCAAGTAGAAACCTGTTAATCCAAACTCACAAATCTGAGAAACACTCATATGCCCCGCTATTGGCTCTAGGATACCCAAATATCTGAGTTTTTTCATCCAATATTCCTAAATCTTGGGGAGATAAACCAAGTTTCAGACTACGGTGCAAATTTGGGGTTCTGGCAATTCGCGGGAGCCAAGCTATCCGTAGTTGCTTGCCTATCCAGGCACGTTTGTTCCAACGCGAAAGCTAAAGAGCCTTAGTATAGTCTAGTATCCCAAGGTTCGAAAGCGGGTAGCGTTAGTACCGCAAGGATGCCCTCAGATATTATATACCCCTGATCTTGAGAGGCGAAACAGGCGGTCAGTTGGCGTGGGTACCCATATGGAGTATAAGTGTAATTATAAGACTAAGGCCAAGCAGGAACCTTTCCTGGCCTCGGAACGAACAATAGAGCAAGAAAGAATGCGCAAGGATTAGATGCACTTATGGAACTATAAGTGGTAGAGTTTCTGCAGCTCCATGTTTATTAGCTGGCTTCTTGCGTCGTACAGAAAGAGGGGTAACCGAAGAACTTTTGCTCATTCAGCACCTCATATTTTTAAGGGAAATTTTTCGAGTCGGTACATGATTGATTGAGAATTGGGGTTTTTTTTGATTCCGAGCCCTGGAAATATAATATTTAGACATTGGCTGTGGAAGTTAGTCTAGAATAATGGAATCCGCGGCTCTGTCGTCTACCAATACTCTACTACATTTGGCCTATTCCTTTCAACATACCTTCAACACGGTTCGAAACGGCAGCCGAAGTTCTCTGGAATATCTAGCAATGTATCTGAGGGAAAAAGTTGAAAGGGTAAGATTTTTAAAATTCTGGAAAATGCACAGCTACTGACTGTTCTCTTTAAGATGACTCTAGATCCACCTGTTGATACGAGGGTCGAAAGCGTCGGATTAGATGCTGCTGGCCTTGTCGCACTTGCCGATATTGGAACGGTACAAGAACGAACTGTCCTGACTGGAACCTCCTCGATATTAGATATTTTCGTTCTAGTTCCTGGGCTTCATTTACAGCAGAAGGCCCCTGGGTTAAATGCTGGGGAGCACCCAGCATGTGCCGCTCTTACTTCCGGTTATGTTTTCCGAGTTGAAAACCCGGCAACTGTTTTCTACCTACAACGAGTCGGGAGAACCGGCCAGCTGACACATGTTGAGGTTCGAAAGGTTGAAGAGCCAACCACGTGGTATCGCAGTCTATTCTTGGCATTATTACCGGGTCAAGAGATGACTTTTTTGCCCATAGCTGCCTACATTCTAGCTGTCTCGTGGGGACTAGGAGTTTTGATCCTTCTTACCCTTTCTAGGGACTGGTGGGGTCTTATTATGTGCGGATGCCTCATGATTTCTCGATTTATCAACTTTATCATAATTCAACTACGGGACCGCCCGGGTTGGACTGGTGCAGATGAGGAAGGGGAAAAGGGCGACTTACTTATTCTTCTAAGCGAAGATCGGTGGGTTAGAATGAAGGGTTATGTTAACGACCTCAAGGCAGTGACATCTGGGCAATGGCTGAGACGTGAACACCCTTTAGAAGGTTGGTTTACTGCGATCGCAACTGTGATTGTATATCTCGTTGCTGCTCTCGCCGGAAACGTGGAGCAATTTGGGAAGATCCTTTTGCTTTGTCTCTTTGTAGGCTCGGCCGGTCTCCTTGCGCTTGCGAATACCGCTACCAAGCAGCTTCACATGCACGGGCGCGTTCTCGAAGTGGTTGGGAAACGCATATCCTACAAGCGACGTAAAGACCTTACGGACGAACTGATCAAAGAGACCGGTAGGGATGATTGGGCCCTTGGGATGGGAATGAAACCAATGAGCCAAGATATTAAGGGCTTTAGAAGGGGTACTGCAGTCATAACCTAGCTCTTTTTTTTTATACACGTGGACGCGTGTCGAAAGAGATACTCAATCGCCGTTTATTGATCGATGGTGACTTTAACTCTCTCCATATTTACATATCACTTGTCTCAAATGTAACATGAATATTCCATCCCACTGTTAAAAATCTACCGAGCATAAACTTTTGCCCTTTCTTGACAGTAAATGCGCAAAAGAGTTGCCCTTTTTTGACAGTAAATGCGCAAAAGAGTTGCCCGACAATGATGTTCATCGATCATTGATCATCAGGGCTTGAATTTAACGCAGCCTTTCGCTCAGAGTGTTTCCACGTGGCTAGGGTTGGATAAATTCTGGACACAAACTTACAACTATGATAAAAGGGTAGCGATAAAAAGAAGGAGAGATTGGTATTCTCAAGATATATAGGGAGTCAATTTCCAAAGACAATCAGCGTCTATATCTTTGCGACTAAAAGGCCGCCTTGTGCCTAAGTCCTACAATAAGGCCGTATAGCCAGGCCTTTTATAAAATTACCATAACCTCATTAGTCATTTGCAAAGGACTATTATCGATCTATTTTATATTCCAAAGTCAACCTTTTACTATTACTTTGTAAGGAGATTTAACGGGTTCAACAGCTGGGTTTTATCTTGTCAACATGGTGACTAGAAGTCCTTCCTATAGAGACCGCCCACTCCGAACAGCTTACAGAGGACCATTCTCGCGGTCTACCGTCAAGGTACTGCCGCCAGATCATTTTATAAATGAAGCCATCAGTCGTCCTGTTCTAGAGACTTTAGTCCAGAAGATAGACGAGCTAGGTCTTAAAATTATTTCCGTCGACCCTGTCATTATGGATGATCTACCTACTTTACGAATCACATCCCGACAAACGAAACCCGAAGACTTCGACTCTAAAATCGCTTCAAATATCCGCTCGATACTCCAAACGAGAAAATTTTATTCTATCAAATTTTCCGAGGATGAAAGCAAGACACCACAGGTACATCCACTATCACCTAGAAATTATGGCTCCCTTCGGCTCCCTGGGCAAAGTGTCGGTATTGAGGGAGTACCCTGGGGAGGGGGTACAATCGGTGGGTATATTGCATTCGACGATCCAGCTATGGAGAATTACCGCTTCGGTATGTCTTGCCATCACGTTTTACAGCCGACAAGACGAGAATGCAATGGAGAAGGTCGTATGGAAAAGATTTCCCAACATCTCAACGAAATCGGAGTACTTCACGGCCCAGTATCGTGGGTCTTGAAGGGAGGAGACCGAGTTGTTACTCCAGCGCCGTCTGACCATATAGATCTAATTGAAGAAGCTATAGCAAAAATTGCTGCATTTCGTGCCGAGGGAACATCGACCAGAAGTAGCTCTGAAGATCTAAGTAGATCGCCCTCTGAGACACTTGCGGCGAAAAGTCGTGAACGAGAAACAGCGGAACACTTAAAGCTTTTACGGAAACATGATGGTACATTTGGGAAAGTGTCCGTAACATCTGGGTATCGAGTAGATCCTTTAACTGGGTTCTCAATTGATTGGGGCCTTGTTAGAATGCCAGCAGCGGCAGCAGCAGCAAATGTTGTACGTCGATAATCCCGCTTCTCCATTTTCATATTTAGCACTTTGGATTTCTAACGCATCTCGCTCGCAGTATATGTTTCCATTAGCTGGCTGGGAAGGTCAGACTCAAAAAGCCATCCTTAAAATAGGAGACCCAATTCCTGGTGAAGAAGTCTGTAAGCTTGGACGAAGTACGAATTTTACTTCGGGGATCGTTAGTCCAGCACTACATGCTATCGATTTGGGCCGTAATGGCGTAATCACAACAGAATGGGCGATCATTGGGGATAGAAATCTCCCATTTTCTGCGGACGGTGATTCTGGAAGCTGGGTCATAAATAAAGAATATGAAGTTGTGGGAATGATTGTTGGAAATAATGGTGTGGTCTCCTATATGACACCTATTAAGGTCGTTATCAAAGATATCGAGGCAGCTACTGGCAAAGCAGTGATATTACATGGAAATCAAGGGCAAACATGGAGCAAAGCTAAAGAATGGAAGCCAAGAAGGTTTTTCGGCTTGCTTAAAGGTAGCAGTCATTAAAATACTATACGAAATGACCGAATATAAATACACATCCATGTATGTACTGCTGTATAGGTAGGAGCTCCCGAGTATCTATTCTATATTTACACTACGAAGTTGGGTTTTATATCGATATACGGAAGATAATATCGATATAGGGCAGAACATTGCTTTATAGTTAAATGAGATCTGAAACAACAGGTGTTCCTTCCCCTCATTGGTATGATCAAATCTGTTGGTTTGAGTATGCGCGCCACCAACCGGGTCCACGGTTGGTGCGGGTTTGACCAAATATAAAATTTCAAGGTACGGAGAGCTAAACCGCATTTAATGCCACAGACACGTTATCAAATGCAATGGTAACCTAGTTATTCCCATGGTCGTTGCCGCATATCATGTGGCAGTCTAAATTTTTATAAGAGGCTGAGCATCCGGACCTCCATAGCCCACGTTGGTTTAGACGTGAGGGACTACGGTGAAAAATTTGTACAAAAAGCTTTTGGTTGGCCGGATTAGCTCAGATTAGCAAAATTATACAACGAGGCGATCAAAAACTGACATCATGATCGATACCAAGGCGAACACGTTTGAAGATACATTTGTTCCACATAGGCCCCATACTATACGATTTTGAGTTTACGGCACATGTAACTATGAGCTTGAAGTTGAAAGGATTCTAGGGCCATAGAGCTTGTATTCGGAGCCAACTAACCATAAATCGTGCATCACATGAGTGCATGCCCTGACTATCTGAAATAGCTTAGCACGTTGGATTAAATGTTTGTTTGGCCGCAGCGTTGCATTTTGGTTATCAAATTTGATTCCTTCCAGATCGGGGTACAATACAAACCGGACTTGTTAGATCGCGATGCCAGAAAGTCGCTGGCATGTATTTTATTTTGCCGCTGGGATGTTATAAATCTCTCGATAGGATGCCGCTTTAAATTAGAGGTATACATATCACAATGGTTTTCCATAAAACTAAATTCAATTCTTCCCTCTTTGCTAGATTAATTTCTCAACTAGAGCATATATATCTGTTCATTTTTCATATACTATCTTGAAGAGCAGAAATGCTGCCACTTGTTCTTTTTTTTTACTTCCTTCGCCTGACATTTTACTTTCCTCTGTCGGTATATGCAAATAATGGTGATGATAACGGCAGTGATGATGACGACGACGACGATGAAATCAATGAAGGCCTTATATATCCCGAATATAAACCAAGTACAAAGTTGGGAACTTGGGGGCTCCAATTCATGGCAATGATCTGCGTCGTGAAACCGGAATTTCGCCGCAGAAACGATGTATTTGAAAGATTAGACGAAGCCTTTATGACAGGAGACCTTGCCCGACTTATTTTACTACCGCCTCGAGAGAAGGCTATCTACAAAGTTCAAAGCGACAATTTGGGGGTTCTGCTATATACCGCCACTGTACCACTAAATTACGAATACTTTCATACCCTTCACTACCTCGATATCATCGACGAGACCGCGAAGATATTGGGCTTGAACGTTGTTAACAATCACGTTCTTGAAATTGTCAAGGAAATGAAAATGTTTTTTGAGGGGACTGATGACGTGTCTGATAAGTCTAAAAAGTATCCTGTAAGACATCTCTTTTAGACAAAAGTCGCATTCCTAGAATTTATTTCGCAGGAATGCGACTTAATATGGGTTCTAAAGGCTTACAACACTATATAATCTCGATATAACTTGCAAATTAAAATCAAGTCCTGATTACGGGTTTGTTAATTAAGTTAAAGGCTAACGCGTGATCTTATAGTTCAGCTTCTGCAGCGCGAGCGAGCCTGTATTTCCCAATGATATTGACGGAGAATCGCAAAAGTATTGGAGCCATCCCAGCTTACCAAAGAGAGATCTGAGTTTTTGGAAGATACCCGAAGAAGAAGAAATTCCAGAAACAGATATTGCAGTCACAAGAAATGCGATGGCAGAACTCCCTTATTTATCTTGGCCATTTTCTCGAGATATCCGAAGCAAATTGAGCCGGCAAATGAAGGAATCATATTATCATTACAAAGAACCAGGAAAAGGAGTAGTAGTCTACCTATTAGACACTGGAGTAGACCCAAGCCACCCTGTAAGCTTCCCACAGCCTTTAGGCTCGCATATTTCCCAAAATAAACTCTCTAATGTAGTAAACAGGATCTGCAAAGCGCAAAGTTCTCAGATTGGATTAGCTCCGGCCCGTTTCATATGGAACCTTGGACAGACAACGTAGATAATAATTTTTCTAATCAACCCCACGGCACCCTAATGGCGGGCAAGATAGTCGGAAAACTTGCAGGTGTTGCTCAATCCGCCGAGATTGTAGCCATATCCTGTTCACAAAGCTATGGACTTAATTCGGAAATATCAGGGTTTGATTGCCTTTTGAAAGCTTACGATCACATCAAACGATATAATAGCGGAAAACCCTGTATTATAAATTTCTCACGCGGCATATTGGACACAGACGTTCGTGGATCACACGAAAACCATCGTAACCAACGCGCCCTGGAGCTGGACCGAGTATTTGAATACATACAATATAAGTTCGAGAATCTGAAGAACGTTATTTTCGTTGCGGCTGCTGGGAATGAAGATCCAGTAAGTTTTTTTACCTAATTTCTTTTCTTTGCGGTGTGTATTGTCAGATCAGGAACTAGAGGCCAGAACTGCTTGAGCTTTATGCAAACACAACCTATTTGTCTATACGACCTGCAAGGTGTATACGGGCACAAATAGATTAACTTAGATCGGACCCAATAGGACGATGGCCCAATCTCAGATCCACCGGCCAGCTTAGGGAGTCGAGAAGACTTAAAGAGACTATTGGTAGTCGGAGGCTCAAACGCAGCGCTACACAATGTATACAGATTCAACAGCACCTACGTCAATATGGTCTGGGCACCAGCACAATGGATTCTCAGTCTCAAGTTTCTAGATCCGAGGGTGCCAGAAAATTTAATAGAAGAAAATATGTATTATGTAGTGGATGATGGTCAAACTTCAAGTGGTATGTCTCTCATATTCTTCTATGTAAATAAATATGAAATCCTGGCTAGTAGCTAGTGCCGACGATCAATTTAAGTTAACTGGGCCCCCAACTAACTACACCTCTTTCACCGCATCCAGCCACAGCAATAGTTTCAGGCCTCCTCGCCACATACATATCCCGAAACCGGAATTCAGAAACTAGAATGGACGACGCCATTGCCGAAATGAAAAGACTCGCACACGCAAGAATACCCGAAACCCGAGAAGGGCAACCTATAGACCCAAAAGTCGTCCCGGTCGTTTGGAACGGAGTACCAATAAGGCTATGGCCCAAAGATGATCAAGAAAAAATAAGGAAGTTAGTGCCAGGCGCACAAGATCTAGGGCTAGAAGTAAGACCATACATACATACCAAGAGTATACCGAGGGAGAGTCGGAAACCAGTACCCACCAGAACTTCCAACAATTTACCCGCTGACTGGACTTCAATCACCTCTTTGTACATACAAACCAAAAGTATACCGAGAAAGAGCCAGAAGCCTGAACCTCCTCCTACTTCAACTATGACAGATACACGCACCAGTGTTACATGGTCAAATCGTCTTCCGTTATTTAGAACTGCAACCGCGGAAATCAACCAAAAGGATGGACCGCTTTAAACCCGAGGCGATATCTACTCCCCCAGTTAATCGGTATATAATATTGATTTCATGAATAAATCTGACCGGTTCGTATGTATCTAGATGTTAGATAATTTTGTCCTTTTCATTTGGGAGGTTAAGGATAGACCAATCTTTACCCATTTATGGAGATATATCGATATTCTGCTTTTGTCGCTTTGCTATAGAATTCCACGTTCCTAAATTGCTTACTTTATTCACCATACATGCAGAATGGAGAGATGTTTGTTACATTGTATAGACTGTTGATTATTCAACTTGAATTTATTTAAGGGTTTTACCTTCCAGGTCTGGGAACGAGACAAGGGTTTTACTATTTTTAAATATTTTTTATCATGCATAATATCAGATGAAAATTAAGCCTGTGGCTTATTAAACCAACCTAAATCTTTTTTTATATATAATTCGGAGTAAACAAGTGTCCAATGCTTAACATGGAAACGAGAACATGTTCAGGACAAGAGACGACACTACCTACTAAAATATTAAAGTTCAATATACATGATTTCAATTACACCCCCCTTGCTACTGTCAAGGTTATAAGTATCACGAATTACATTTTCTGTTCCAGGCCCACTGCATAATCTAGTATATACACATCTATTAACAAGCTTCCTCGCGTATTGAATTGCCAGCCCAAATCCCCAGGCGATCACTATTGAAGGCGAAATGTTTATCTATACCGACCTAACCTCCACAAAACACCATAAGGGGTCCCCTTCCCTGGCTTCGATGTGTAAAAGAAACCTACCGCCTAAATCATAAACGGCGAAAACTCCGTCTCCCTAACATCTCTCAACGTCCCCACCGGACTAACAACCTTCGTAATCTCCCCTCCATCTCCTCCTTCAAGACCAATACCAACCCCTTCTACCTTCTTCCCTTTCCTCCTCTGGTTACCTTGTCCACCTTCACCATTATCATCAACAACCCTCAACCCTTCAATCCCTTCCAAAATATTATCATCATTATCATCTCTAACCCCAATACTACTACCACCCCCAATACTTCCCCCCTCCCCAGCTCTCTCAATCCTCTTCCACAATCTAGTCGCAGAATCATCCGGTCGTTGATGTTGCAGTTGTCGTCGCCGTTGATCAAATGACATAACAGTCATAGGACTGCTACCATCAACTTGACTATCCCCTTCAAACTTTCTTCCACTCATTTCTGTATCTTCATCGTCATACCCACTAACAGCATATCCAACTTTTTCAACCTCTCCTTCAACACTATTACTATCATTCGTTAATCCCGGTGTCGATGGTCTTTCTTCCTCTTGTTTTCCTTCCTCTTCCGCTAAAAAACTTTCCTCCGTCTTCCCTTCGAAACTAAACGGTCGGATCAACTTTTTTTCTTCTGCTTCAGCCATCTTCCCAGGGGCGGACGAAATCCTAAACCCCGTCATCCCCATCCCCTGAAATTCAACCTCGCTCCCACCTCCACCTCCAACTCCACTTCCAAACCCTAAAACCCGCCCTCTCCTTCTCCCATTCCAAATCCTAATCTGATACCTCAACTCCCTTACCACATTACAATAATCCAGGTCCTTCTCCTCCGTAGTCCTCGCAATATTCTCAATAGCAACCAACGCATCCTTCGGATTCTTATGCTCACTAACAACCTTCTGAATCAACGCCTTCCTCACAAAATTCTGTCGAGCAGTTGGCGAAACATTCCCTAGTAAATGCGGAGCTCGATATTTATGGCGACCAACTCCATCGGATTCATACACTGATGAAGTCCGAGAAGATCCAGAGTACATTAAATTCCACGGTGAATCCTTTGTAATAATTGTTGCCTCTGCTGTAGCTGTAGTGGTCAGAATTGTACCTGCTGGTAACAAACTATGTTTGTACCCAACATCCACCTGGAGTATCTTCATCTTTTCCATGCCCAATGTAGCATATAACCCTTCTTCGAGAGCTTCCAGCCCATCTTCGCTCATTGAATGGTGTCTTTGGTAGATGGAAGTGACCTCCATACGAACCATGATTGTAGCACGTTCGCCGGGTCGAAGGGTTTTAAGAGCCGTTTTTCCAATGATGGCTTTGATTGTTGTATTCTGGGCCGGTGTAAGCGTAACAGTAATATCCCGCATCATCCCAATGCTTTCGGCACTCCGTAAAGCTCGAACGAAACGACGGCTAACGGCCTGAAGTTTTGTGGAGTGGTCGTCTTCAAGCGTTGTTACATCCATCATCGAAGTTGGAAAACAAAACCCTCCACCGCCGTCTCTAGCATCTGCGTATATAACCTCACTAATGGGCCAATAGACACAACCAACGCCAATAACGTGAATTCTAACGTCTTCAAACCCGCCAACATCTGCCATACTACTTTGGTTTGCAGGAACTGCAGAACTTAGAATTATAAGGTTCTTGTTTTTCCCTTGGAAACCAGGCATGAACATCGAACAAGCAGCACGGACGACGTTAGAAATGGAATTTTCGAATATAAAGGGATCGGTAGTCGTATGTGCATTGTGGAGGAGAGAGAATGCGCGGTGTTTCGCTTGGTGGGTACAAGGCATCATAGGCATGAGAACTTCGCAAGCGGATGTGCTCGTGAACGCCGCCATACCGAAATTATCACAGCGAGTTCCCGAAATGTTCTCGAGGATGTAACCGACGGTCGATTTCATCGTCGTCATTGCCTGATCGGACATGTTTTGGCTAAGACAAGGATACTATGAATATCAGTCTGAAAGGCTGGTAGGATGCATCTGGGAGCTTACGAAAGATCAAGAAGAAACAAAATATCCAGGTTGTTAACCTCGGAGTGTGCGATATCTCGGTTGTTTGCAAGACTTCCATTTAGTTCAACGACAAGCCAAATTTCTCTTTCTTCTGCAACCTCAATAGTATCGATATCGGCCGTGACTTGAAGGTCCAGGTGAGTAAGAACAGGTTTTCGGTGGGAGGTAGTATATAATATAGATTTAGGTTCCGAAGTCGGAAAATCCATAGGCTTTCTCTTCATTGGAGTCGTATATGGGTCCAGGCCCTGAGCTTGGGCACTGAACTGTGAAAGATAAGACTCTGAGCTAGTTGAAATTCCCGCCTGCCATTGATTGGGGAGTTGAAGATAAGAAGCCCTCAGGTTAACCGGAAGCGGATTGCTAAATCCTCGAGTCGGCTGCCCTTGCACATACTCATTGGTTTCAGGTAGATAGGACATTCCACTATTCCTGTTAATCATCTGCATGACATTTGCACTATCTCTCTTTGGTGGCTTCGGGAACAGAGAAAGAACGTCTTGCACAGAGGCTCTATTGTCAGGCTGGATAGAAGAATAGACTGATGTAGATGAATGATGGGGTGGAGTTTTAGCTAAGCCATAGTCAGGGATGGTGCCAGACAGCCCAAGGAGGCTTCCTGTGAGTGTGTGACGTCGTTGAGGTATACGAGATCGTAATGTTTGTTCATCTGTATCTTTATTATTGTCGAAGCGGTAGTGGTTTGTTGGTGTATCATCATCCGAGAGCGCCCCGTCCTGCCCTTGAACAGTCATTGTCGAAGAAGCTCTAGAGCTCTGCCATTGGCGTTCACGTTCACGCTCCGCGGCATTGTTGGTATTGTATTTAGGACTGGAAAGACTAAGGCTGAGCTTGCTTCCAGCGAATCGTCCTCCGAAGAATCCAGAACTAATTTTGAGCCTAGCAGGCATCTGTTCGCTCTTAACTCTTCGTTTAAAAGGAATTGTGATTCCAAAGATCTTTTTCTTTGATTCCTTTCTGGAGACACCACTTGCAACGTCGGATGTAGAAGTTGACCAACGAGATTGCATCGTATCTCGGACTTGAAGATCAACACTATCTCTGTTGGTAGGTGGATCCATTGGAAGAGCTTTCGTAATGTTAAGAGGTCGAGGGGTGATATCTGGATCCCCAAACTTGGAGGAAGCACGCTTTGGAGTAACATCTTGACCACCGCTAGATGAAGAAGATGACAAAGTTAGACGGTCTGCTGACTTTTTGGCAGTATGCTTCTTCAATCTCTTTCTATCTCGGTTTTTTATTGGTTTTATCTCCTTTGTTGGAACTGGTGTTCGTGCTCGTGGAGTAGCAGGCATGGCTGGTAATGGTCGGGTAAACTGGGGTTTCTCGTGTCCGCTCATCGCTGGCTACACGAATCCCCGAAAATAGTAGAAGATCTGGCAGATACATGTCGGCGATTGGTTAGCAAGATCAATAGCAGGAGTGGCAGTGATGAGATCATCAAGCTCAACTAGAGCAGAGGAAATGCCCTCAACCTCGTGCTTGCCATGTGGAAGTGTCATTGGAGAGAACAACTCATGATAAAGGATGAATTATCAGGATAGAAGTGGTGTGGGCGTACTTATCTGAGGGTGTATATATACTATATAATAGCTAGTGCGGTAGTAGAGAGATGGAATGACGAAGGTGACTAGTAGATGAGGTTGATGGTAGGTGGTTAAGTGAACGTCAGAGCTGCTCTCCAACACTTCAGCTCTTCCCGTAGCCCCAGCCAACTAGGTACTTCCCCAAGTAGCTACCAGACGGCCTCTAACAACCACAATCATCACCAAGCTATATCCTCTCACGTAGCTATCTACGATCTATCAGTCCACATCACTACTACAGGCCCATGTAGCTATAGTCCACAGAATATTTACGCTATAGTCACCCTGCCGGTAATTTGTACTCCGTGTTCAACCCAGTATTGCTTAACTACTAGGACTATCAAAATGAAGCCACATATATTAGCATAAATGCATTCAAAATGCAGGTCAAATGGTATGATCATCTTCAAACTGTCACCGATTTTCCATATATACCTTATATACCAGTTATAATCATTCACAAATACAGAATTAATTACACAAATATTGACTGAACTGACCATTTAAGCGGGTTCCAAATTGATTTGCACATGAAACTCTCCTGAAAAGTAGTACGAGTGCCACTACACTTTTCTCGTGGCCAGACTCTTCAACTGTTCAATACGCCAGAGGATCTACTTCGAGGTGTTCCTAAAAAGACCAAAGCGTACAAAACTGTCAGTACAGCGTCTTAGGTGGAGTTATTGCTACTGGCGCTTTGGAATCCTGGAGGAAATGCTGGACCAGGATATTATTGCATGGCTCTTACTAAAAGGTCTGAATTTACACTGTATAGATATTCAACTGTCTTGAGTAAATGAAATCTAAGAAGCTAAAAGGCTTTGAAGCAGCCTCGAGGCAGACTTCTCAAATATGAAAGAACTTTCTGTCTACGATACTAATGCGTGTTAGGTGAAAGAATGACCAAACTGGCCAGGAAATAAATATGAGGTACAAGATATATAATAGTGAGCGAGAACTAGACCCCCTCCATCGTGTTAACATATAATATCCTAAGAAGCCTCAAAGACAAAATATTCTACATAACATCATGATACATCTAGATATCGATCCAAAAGTTCTTCTCCAAAAATGTCCCGATATCATACCTAAAGATCTCATGCTCAACCCCAGCATCTCCAACCCCCACCAATCCTGCGCTGGCACTCGCAGTACCCCTCATCAGCGCATCAGCATGAAGTCCCACGCACATATCCAATCCACTAGCTCCAGGACATTTATTCAGCCCATCCAACCTGGCTTCAATATTAACAGCTGGAAACTGCACTGTAACATCCGCGCTCCCACTCGCCAATCCATTCAATACATCCACATTCATTCCAACTCTTGGACCAACCCAAATCGTAGCTTTAGCATCCTGTACCCCCCAAGGACTAACCCCATTCACAAACCTTGGTTCCAAAAACGATATCTCGGGGACAACATCCCCAGTAAGAATCGGCAACTTGGTAAGTAAATTATACCCAACCGAGAACGTCTTCCACTTCCCGGAAAATCCAATATCCCGGATTTGGAAAGCAGATTTAATATCCAAATCCACCGCCGCAATAATCTTCGCCGCAGGCTCAATGGTCAAAATCTTCGGAATCTCAACCGCCCAAGGAACAACCGAGAACAAAGCCGTCTCTTGACTTCCCTGCCATTCGAAGCTCCATCCAACTCCCATATTCAAGTTAAAAGTAGGATCCACCAAATCGAATCCAACCACCAATCCAACCGTCTGCCAGTTCTTAATATCAGCAGAAACAGATCCGAACAGTTGAACTCCACCGGTAACACCACAATAGTTACAACTAATGGAAGCACCCCTTCCGTTCTCATTGATCTGGAAGAGATTGGACCCAATGAGATTGTAATTATATCGGGGAGTCGTAAACCTCTTCGTCGGCCGTCCAGCAGAATCAACGGCATCCTTGATATCATTGGCATATCCCTTAACAATATTAATCAGCCCATCAAACCCACGGGCCTTAAGCTTCCTCCTAAAAGTGCTATTTTCCTCATCAGTATCATTAATATCAAAAGTCCCAAACTCCGCATCGAGGGCTTCAATAGCATCCCTCAATTCAACCTTAGTCCCAACCATCAAAACTTCATAATCCCCAGATAGATCCAACCCCCCAATCTTCCAAAAGTTATGTTCCCCTTCAACACCACAATAATTCCCCCCAGCGGTGACAAGCGTAATCGTCTTCCCCATCCAAGTTTGAACCGCCAAATCCCTATACTCTTTCTTCACAAACTTAATCTTTATTCCCTCCTCTTCACAAACAGGAAATCCATCCAATCCATTCAACAAATCATCCAAATTAACAATCGGAGATCCATCAAGTGCCTTGTAAATCACCTGCGCCAAAAAAGCAGTAGAATTATCCTCTGCCAATCCACCAAAGAAAACATTCTTCGTGGGCACGGGGGGGATACTATCCTCCACAGCAGCAGTTTGTAAAGGAATAGGTCCACCGACAACGGTAGGCAAAGGATTCGCCCTAGCTGTTCTAATGTCCTCAGTGGACGTCGGTTGAGGTGGTATATAACTCCCAAAAGTGATAGACGGAGCGCTAGTGGTAGTCGCAGCAGCGGTATTGATACAACTACAAGCACTAGAAAGTCGAGATGTTAAAGTCGTGTATTCGGCATTCAACCAAGTCGGATACGCTTGGGAAGCAGTCGCCGGTGTGGCAGTATAGGTGCTACACCAAGACAAAGCAGAGGAAATCCTCTGAGGGGCGCGGAGGTGACGGAGGACGTTGTCTGCTGAGCAGCCGGCTGGGGCGGCGGAGGTGGAGAGGGCCCCTAACACCGCTGTTGCGGCGAGAGAGGTGGAAAGACGCATTATATTAATTATTAACGATGGTATATTTGAACGAGAGGATGAAAATATTAGAATAGGTTATTACTTTAGAGGGGGTGATGCATTCTTATCGAGGTGAATGATGATAGGAAAGAGGGATTAGAGTAGAGGATAGCTGGTGTATTTAACTTCCACTTTACTCTCACTGAAGAGTTAGAATTATAATGTTTTGAATCCAAAATCGACGGCATCACGCATATCGCCTATTCCACTTCCTTAGTATACTACCAGCTATAGTATCCACATCACCTAATTGCAACCAGCCACCCAGTAGTATTAACAGAACTTGCGTTGTTTTTGTGGTATCCACCCCACCCCTTTCACAGCCCTATAAGACTATACCCCATTAGGAAGCATTCTGCGACCTCATACACCAGCACACAAGCCCACTCAATGCTTGTGCTACGTCGGCGGCTTTTTTTCAGTTGTTTTTTTCGGAAACATCCATGCGAGAGGGCATGGTGTGATAAGTGTGTAGCTATATTTACCTATAAAATTCCGGGGTTTGAACTGGTGGATGCTACGTCGGTTAGAAGATTAGGCATCGAACAGTTCATTAACTCAGCTGGGTGATAATTGCAGGGTTAATGTTGATATTCAACCGCGCAGCGCTACTGGCTAATCAGAATACACGTTCGCTTTCGTTTAGACGAAGTTCCGAAGATCAAAGAGTTTTTAAGAACGTTAGAAGAAAAAAAGAATAATGTTACTAACCTCAAAGAGATTCGGTTCGGGTATCGATCAGTCCACCTCGAAGCCACGTCCATTTAACCTTAGATTTCTAGAATTCAATGAATCTAAAAAACTTTAAATGGCTGCCTAGGCTCCAGACGCGAATACTACGTTATAAAAACCAGTAATATAATTCCTCTATTATAGCGTTATTATTTACTCCGTATACGTGTACGGACAGGCCTTTTTTTCTAGTAGTAATCTATTGCAGTGCTCAAACTATCTACGGCAGATCAGCTCAGAGGGCCCTTTAAGCTGCAGTAGATGTGAAGAAGGTTACCCCATTTTTACATAGGTATATTGATTTCACTAGAATCCGCAGCTCGAGCGTAGTTCATTCGATAGCCCTTGATCCTGAATTTTAGCAACTGAGATATATAGTTTACTTACAGGCACAGATGTCAATTGAAAGACTTCGTTCTATCTTACTTACCTATATACCTTGGTCTCATCAATACCGTTATCCGCGGAGTACAATCGATGTGATTAACTCTTAATACGCTTCAGGAATGCGTAGATTTATATCAAGAGATTCATCGCGGCGATATTCTTTCAGTATAAGCCCGCGGGCCCTAACTCCTTTTAAGAGATCCTTTGAGGGTATCCTGACCAATTAATTGCCTGTCAACTGCCAATAATCAGACACCATGGGCCTACTTGGATATCTAGCAGCTAGCGTACATCGTATCTGATAAAACGACATCGTTAACGCGTTTAGATATTTACTTACTGATATAGTATACCAGGTAAGATATCTAACGACGTGGTGTCTAGGAACGGGACCAAATCGAACCAAAGATAACACACTCTGTATATATATAAGCCAATCCACCTCCGTCATGAATTCTCCTAAAATCTATAAAATTGATCAATTGAAACTCCAGGATATCAATAAGATCAGAAAAACGCCAATATCCCTCATGATCATTCAGTCATATATATATCCCGATCTCCTTCTTCGGGGTCATAAAGATAGTATCATAAATCTATCACCCCTCCACCCCTTCAAACCTCCTCCCTAGGTTCTCCTTAATAGTATCCAACGCTGCCCTCTCCAGGTCCAAAAATCGAATCTACAATATTAATACCCAATTAGCATCTCAACCATAAACTAAACGAACATAAAAGGAGAAGGAGGAAAAGGATACTAACCGGCACATCCCCTCCAGCCCCTACACTCCCCTCCCACTCCTGATAAACCCCTCCTTCCTCTAATCCAGTCCTCCTAACCTCATCCACCCGTCTCCTAAGTTCCTCCCTATCATTCTTCCACAAATTCCACGCCTCATCATCAACAATCACCGCCGCTTCGTTCCCCAGTCCACTTCCGCTACCACTACCAACAGGAGTCCTAACCTCCGGGCTAATCGGCGTATTCGGCACCCCCTTCTTCTCCTCCTCAAACCGTCTTTCCAAGCCCTCCAAATACTTATCCGTAAATATACTCCTAACCCAAAATATCACTTCAATCGGCGACGTGCCCTTCGGAAAATACACGCTCCTTCTTTCTTTCTCCCCATTCCCTGCACTCCCACTTCCCCCACCACCACTCCCACTTCCTCCTCCAAACGAAAAATTCGGAGAAATGGGGCTAGTAACAACAGTACTAACAAGCTTAACCCCACCTTTTCTCCCAATACTCCCAAACCCTTTCTTCCCACTAACTGTAACCGTCCCTCTAGGTTCAAACCACCCTCCAAAACAATCTCTCAAATTCACAGCCCCAGTATGGGCAGCCGCATACCCACCCACCCCCCCAAAGCCCCTGTTATTGATAATCCCCCCTCTGCTAACCAAGGGATGAATAACAACTCCTCCGTTACCATTCCAATTCCTGTCCAAATCATCACTACCGGATGATGTGGCGTGCAAGACGACGAATGGCGGGACTTCGGGGTACTTTGTGGGAAAAGTGATGGTGAATCGGATTGGGAGGTTGGAGTAGAGGTTTTTGGAGGAGTGTAGGAAGATTACGCCGTACCAGGTTGTGGGGGTGGTAGGGTGGGGGGTTAGGTAGACGCCTGGGATTGGAGCTGTACGGAGGGTGGCGCTGGAGAGGATGATACACGTTAGCTTTTGTACATAAGAATACGTTTTAGGTAGATTACTTAGAGTATGAGGGGAGGAGTACAATTCAGTGAGAAGCTGACGTTCTCGAAATGATTGCGAGGTTAGCATTGTGAATGATATTCGATACGAAGTAGTTGATGAAGGGAGGGAAGGAAGGAAGAGTAGATAGTGAGGCTCTGCGCGTGAGGTGGTGATTAAGGCTTAAGCTTGGCGTGATTCAGCCACCCATTGTCGGAAGCGGACAGATATCCGCATGGCGTACACACATCAACATGCATATCCAAAGGACGCGCGAGAAAAAGGAATATTTCATGGGCATCATGAATCAGATAAAATTATCGATATAAAGATATGGTCATTTGGAAATCACATTTAGTACTTTAATATACATGTTTTGAAAAAAACAAAAAAGAAAATTCATAACGTTCGCTGACTCTTCCCCGTCTTCCTCTTCTTCTTACGTACCCACAATATCTGCTGGCCGCCTTGAATAAAACAAGAGAAAAGGGATAATCGATACTACTAAAATTCTAAAGAAACAGAGACAAGGCTGGCGGTTCGCGTAAATACCCAAAACTAATATAATAATAGTACTAATAATAGTCGAGAGAATAGGATAGTAGCCAAAAAAAAGGAATAAACACCAAAAGATGCATCGCGTTCATCAAATCTTCCACCTCTACGCAGCAGGTTTATTACCCTTCTTCTCCCCGCCATTAGGATTAGGATTAACTGGTGCTGCTGGTTCTGGTTCGCCAAACAGCCTTTCCCTTCCGCATAAAGTCTCATAAGTAAACCATCCTAGTTTATTGGCTTCCTTGCCATTAGTCCATGCTCCGGCCCTCTGCGGCTCCTGCTTAATCTTCTCTGTCCACTTGGCCCCATCTTCATAATACCACATCCTAGGCCACCAGAGGTCGATGAAATTCTTGGGTCCATTGAAATGTAATAACGTCGGGATTCGGTTTGACACTTTATTCCATGCGAGATTCCTCCATTTCCAGGGACTCCTGTTCGGATTGGGCGATTTGCTGGAGAGACCTAAATCTTCTAGAGGGAGTTTTTCGGTCGAAATGGTTTTGGAGAATGTAGTCGACGTCCATTCTTCGGATGGGTTTCTAACGAAGGCGATATCGTTATGGGAGTATGTCATCGTCTGGAAAAGCGTGGAGTAAAAATCCACACTCATCGAGTTATCACCTTTCACCACCCTTTCGCCGTAAACCTCTGCCAAAATCATCTGGTCAGAATCTACTTCCTGTCCAGCCTGTTCTACTTTCTTCCACGCTTCATCATAGATCGATCTGACATGAGAAGCGTATCCGATGATAGTACCGGAGTTAACCCATCGAGGTCTAAAATTATCGTATTTCTCGCGACGAGAGCGAAGGATTGTCTGACGGTCTGTATCGTCTCCGAATACATCGCCTGGGAGAGGGGATTGCGGAATTGCAGTACACGCGACAGATTTAAAATCATTCGGCCAGCACTTCTTATCCGCTCCAAATACCACAGGAACACCCATTTTCAAAAACCTTGATAACAAAACTTGTAGAGGTAGCTGAAACCAAACATCGAATCCATCGATCATAATAATAATATCATCGTCGCGAGTACGGGTGTTTAAGTAGTCGTGGAACCCCTTGATCTTTTGAGCACGAGCGATGGCTTCCTGCCAGTAGGTTTGGTTGTAGTTTATAAGGAACGGAGGCGGGTATCCATTGACGACCGAGGAGAAAAATGTCTTGCAGAACTTAGCATTAGGAGACGTTACGGGGATTAGCAGGTGGATCCGACGGTCGTAGTCTTCTTGGTTGAAGAGAGTTAATTCGTGGGAGGAGACGGATGGGTGTAGCCATGGCCGTGCCAAGTCCTTTAAATATACGCTGCTCTACCAAATTATCACCACTGTAATTAGCTACCAATTGTATTTAAATAGATCAAAGCGAAAGGTATAGTGGGGGCGTACTGAAGAATGAGAGAAGAAGAAGATGGCAAGAAAGGAGAGGAGCACAGCTCCAAAGATGACCTTGCCTCTGCGGTGACCACACAAGGCCATGCAGAACCCCTGAGGGTTGGTCATGTCCCTGAGTTCTCGGGAGCTTTACTCCCTGGAATTACCAAAGAGGACGGGCGAGGTGGAGATGTATGGTAGGAGGAAGAGGGGACACCGGGGAGGTTTTGACGGTGGGTGATGGCGGCTGGAGATGGATGTTGGAAATGAAGAAAGGGAGAGTGAGCCAGCCAGGGCGGTGCGAATACTTGGAGCGACCACCAGACTGACTGCCACAGTAACTAGGGGCAACTTTTCGTCAGCTGAATTCGTGGTACCCCCGTTTTACAACACTAGCAACACAACACGTCTCGCTAGCCAAGACTACTCATAGGCTGGCCTTAAGCTAAGTAGTTAGGCCAATAAGTAACTCGGCTTGTCTCTGATAATCGATAAGTGCTTACCTAAGTACCTAACTAGGTAGCCAGGTTCAAAACAAGCTGAGAGGTAGGCTTACCCACCAGCTTAGCTAGATCTGTTCACGAATTCACCATATATATATATATATGTGCGCATAGCTACTAGCTTAGTCTCGAAGCCAGACGCCGGGTCAGCCACCAAAAAAAAGGTGCCACACGTTTGGCATCTGCTGGTTTTATTGCATTTTGGTTCGCAATACACCTTCGAAGATCGTCGCCAGCGCAGTATCAACGCTAGACGGGCAAAGGATCGTCAACAGACCGAGATACTCGGTCTCGTAACCAACTATGTGGTACAAAGACCTTCTCCAGTCTCGGCATTAAAGAACTTGTAACTTGTGTCCTATCTCTACTATCATTCGAATTCTCTAACTTTTATTGAGAATCATCGTGAACACGCTGTGCTGTGAAATTATTCATACGATTCTTATCTTTCCCGCCGATCTTATTCGGTCTATTCATTCGAATGCATTCTCTCCCTATATATATAGTCGACGTGAAACTGCATTGTATACGGTGCTCCGCCGGCCTAGTTGCGAAAATTACATGTTGTTTTAAAAACTATAAAATGTCTTTGCAACAAATATTTTTGACCTTTAATAAAGCCTTTCAATACTCGCTTTTTTATAGATTGGTTTTGGTAGGTGCGAGGGCGTCTGGTCCCAAGGCTCATAGACAAGCAGCTTCCCCAGACTATTCGATTCCCAATTCCCCAAAAACTGAACGAAGCTAGTCTAGCCGACTCAAGAAGACCAAACTAACCTGCATTATATCATCATTCAACCCAACAATATGGCCATAATTTGGACAGCTTTAATTAACCTGGTACTGCATTATAAATAGGACCCAACAACGTTGACAAGAGCTGGACGCAGTAATTAGCAATCAGTCCGGTTGTCGTCATGGCAGTAAGTATAAGAATTTAGATTACTTACCCATTGCTCCAGTCCGTTGTGGTTATCGTGCAACTCTTGGTATTTTGCATCTAATTGGTCTATAGACAACATAACCATTTCCTTAGCTTTGATACTGACGTGATCTTAACTTCTAGAGTAGCAATCCGTACCTGTAGTACAGTATAGTACGTCGTCCAATTCTCTATCAAGCCTAAGACTTTCTATAAATCGTGCCGCCTCTTCCTCTGCCCCAATTTGACTTATTTGGAACAAAACAGCTAGCAGAAACGTTAGAAAGAAGCTAGAAATCCTTAAATACAGATGGGGTATTACCAGTCGAGTCATAGCCATAATCCACAAGCCTCTTACCACACTCGAGGATAGCATTTTTAAACGTGTCGCGTTTTTCCCGGTTTTGTCGACCGTGGGGACCCTCAGGAAACCCGTCGGTAATAATAGTCACGAGCATCGGCCGCTTAAACTCTTGGGTGACAAGTGGTTTATAAACAAGCGGCATCAGAATTTTACCTTTGAGGCTTGTTCCAATTGGTGTCCACCCCCACATTCGCAATTCTGAAATGATTTTGTCAACCAATCCCAGGCTAGGTTTGCTATAGCTGTCGTTAGTAGGAGCGTTGATAAAGCGCAGCTCTATGCCTTCTCCGTCCGGAAGTAATTTAGTAGTTATGCTAGCTATTCGTTCAACTAGCTTTCTTAGGTCTTGAACGCGTGTACCCTTCTGCATTGAACCGCTGTCGTCTTTTTTTTTGAAATTAGCACATATATTGATATTCAAATAGGCATGAAAGAATAGTCTGTCACCTACCCAAGTATAAAACCGTCTTATAAAGAGTTAACTTTGTTAATTCCTTGACGTCGAGTACGTTCTGTGGATCTTTCTCAAGTTCAAGTGCCTTTCTTATAACGTCTTGTAAGAAAGGATCATCAGGTGGGAAAAATCTGTTTAGACCTGACTTTGTTATGTATTCGTTGACACCTTTCTTGAACTCCGCAACATTCTCTTTGAGCATTAATTCCTGATTAAACTTAGTTAGAATATGGTCTCCAATGCCGTACTGAAGGTGAATATACCCTGAGTTCCGGAGACATCTTTTCAATATCGCCGAAATCACCAGTTGTGCCGAATCGGTTGATGAGGGCCCCAGACACGGGGCTGTAAGTACCATCACCACCATCACTATCACCCTCGTCACCATCACCATCATCACTGCCACTGCCACCGTCATTATTGCTGTCATTATCGCCATCGTTATCGCCATCGTTATCGCCATCGTTATCGCCATCGTTATCGCCATCGTTATCTCCATCGTTGTCTCCATCATTATCTCCATCATTATCGTTACCGTCATCACCATTGCCATTATTATTGCCGTTGTCATTGTCGAGTTGGGCGGCATTATTGTTAGGAGGTTGGGTATCACTGATAGTGGTCCCGTCGGTAGCCTGGGTAGTTTGAGCTGCTTTAGGCTGGGCACCATTTGACTCCAGGGCAGACTCTGCGGTGTTTTCGGCGGCAACTCGGGTGGCATCATCAACTAAAGGGTTTGAACCCTCATCGACAGACTGGTTCGTATGATCAATAGAGGATTCAGTGGTTTCACCAGCTATAGTCTGGAGACCATTCTTTATGGCGGGCTCTGTAGTTTCTCCGGTAGCAGTTTTGGTGGTATCGTCGCTTGGAGTATTTGAACTACCATCGGCAGACTTATTCGGATCATCAATAGGGGAGTGGGTATTTTCATTAGGTATAGTCTGGACACCATTCTTTATGGCGGGCTCTGTAGTTTCTCCGGTAGCAGTTTTGGTAGTATCGTCGCTTGAAGTATTTGAACTACCATCGGCAGACTTATTCGGATCATCAATAGGGGAGTGGGTATTTTCAGTAGGTATAGTCTGGACACCATTCTCCACGGCGGGCTCCACGGTATCTTTAGCAGTAATTTGGGTAGTATCATTGATCGGAAGCTTTGAACTGCCATCGGCAGGCTCATTCGTATCATCAATAGAGGAGTGGTTATTTTCAGTAGGTATAGCCCGGGGGTCGTTCTTTATGGCAGATTCTGTGGTATTTGTGGCAGCAGCTTTGGTAGTATCATCGATTGGAGCTTTTAAACCATCAACGGCCGATCGGTTTGTATTATCAGCAGTGAGTTGGGTAGGATTATGAATGTCCGTTTGAATGGCATTTTCATGACTAGTACTAGGCCGATTGATGCCATTAGACTGTGCAGGTTTGTCTGTAGCAGTGGTACCGACTGGATGTTTTGAACTACCGTCGGCAGGCGAGTTCTTATTAATATCGATCGTGGGTTGAGTGGGGCTGGCAATCACAGCAGCTTCAGAAGTACTATCAGTATCAGACTGGGTGATAGCATTAGACTGTGCTGTACCCTTAGGATGTGCTGTATCCTTAGGATGTGCTGTACCATTAGGCTGCGCGATACCATCGGACTGTGCGGTACCATCAAACTGTGCGGTACCATTAGACTGTGCGGTACCATTAGACTGTGCGGGCTCCTTTATGATAGTAGGACTGGTCGGAGGCCTCAAACCACCGCTGGCAGGCAGATTTGTACCACTACCAGCAGAGTGAGCAGGACTACCAATTTCCGGTTCGGTGGCGTTTTCAATACCAGGCCGAGTAATACCATTAGGCTGGGCGTTGCCATTAGGCTGTACAGGTTCGTTTATGGCAGTGGCACTGACTGGAGGTTTTGAACTACCATCGGTAGACAGATTTTTCTTCTGAGCAGCGGATTTGGCGGGATTGCTAACGTTCGTTTTGCGGCTGGTACTGCCAATATCAGAATTTGCGGCACCATGAGGCTGTGCGGGCTTGGTTCTTGTAGTAGCATCATTTTGAGGTTTCGAACTACCACTGGCGGGCTTCTTTTTTTTATTAGCAGCCGATTTGGCAGGGTTACCGGTGTTCGCTTTGCGGTTGGTTTTGCCAGCAGTAGACTGGGTGGTAGGCTCAGCTGTACCCTGGCCACCAAAATTCATAGCTATAACACCACCCATAAGTAGGAGCGCGGCGCCTGCCTCGATCTTTCTACGTTGGGACGGTGTGGTGTTAGCCCACGCAACGACGAATGTTACAAGGCCGACGACCATCCCAGCAGCCTTGAGTCGTTCAGTATGCCATGAGTTAGGGGATAGGGCCGTTAGAATCTTATGACGTTTCTTTTTTGCTGCAAACTTCTCCGCTGACATTCCAGACTTATCCACTGCTGTTGGCGACGCTCCGTAGCTCATCAACATCATGATCAACTCGATGTTATTCTCTTTCACGGCATTTAATAACGGCGACGTGTTTTTATCATCCGAGGATGACAAATTTGGATCTGCCTCTGCTTCAAGAAGGATCTTGACGATTGGGCCGATGTTTTCCGGCTTTTTCATTTTTGAAACTGCGATCCAAAGGGGTGTTCGGGTTCCGGAAGGGGATCCAGAAGGCTTGTTGACATCTGCGCCATGCTTGAGCAGCAATCTGGTGGCGGAAATATCGCCATTTAATACAGCAGCACCAAGCGGTGTCAGTGAGCCTTCAGGGTCAACTTCGTTAATAGCTTTCAACCGGTCGCCCTCTAAAAGATCCTCCTCGGTGAGAGCTCCTCTCCCCACAAGATCATGGATGGTGCCTGTAGACATAGTATAGAAGTTCCTGCTACATCTATATCCACAAAATAGTATGCTATTCAGAGGCCAATACTAAGCTCGAATGTTGTTCGAATTGTTTTGAGGCTTAATTAGAGGAGCCTTCCTTTGCGTCGTCCGGGTCTGGGTCGGGGAACGAGACCAGAAGATGTGAATACCTGCTGCAGATCGATTAATGGTAGTTTTGAATGCAATGCAATGTGAACATCTGACGACAAAAAGATTGGAAGATAGAAATAAAATTCGGAACATAAAGTTAGGACTAAGCTGGCACATAATCTTACTCAATTCTATGATCTAATTACAATGTTAACCGAGGGGGGCCTGGAAGGAACTCGAAAAGAGGAGATGCATATGGTCGAAAATTGGAAGACAAAAAAACACACCCGAGTTTTGTTGTGGCAGCTTTGAGTTCTCTTCTTTCAGCCAATCGCAGAACGGAAAATTAATAGTGTGAAACGTTGTACCATACTACGTAAGCGTGCAGCAGCTACCCTGCACGCTATAGCTATGATATATATCCTGGAGAAGCTATCCTGGAGAAGATACCCTGAAGCAGTTCCCCCTACCCTGCATGTGTTTAAATTTTGCTGGTCTCGTAAGCTAACTGCAGCCTCCACGCGTGAAATGAGTATTTTCTAAGAGATTAACGTTCAGTACTGGGGCATGGGAATCAATTGGTGATAGGTCCACTATTTGCATATGTCCCTTCTGGACAGCTCACCTTGCATATTGACAATGCACCAATCTCAAGTACCCCCGCCTATGGAACCCAACCGAATTCCTGAAATCAAAAGTTTAAGAGTAGCTGAATCCCACCTGAGGGGTAGGCCGAGGCCAAATGCGTATATGCCTTCCCCCCTCGTTCCGAACCCGAACCCCACTTTCCTATCTTTTTTATATACTATCAAAACCTATCCCGCATATCAGCCCCGCATCCAAGCTAAGCAGAGTTTCTTTTATTTCAAATGTCAGCACTTGCGGGCTCCATTGGCTATATTAGACGTGACGAGCTCGCCGATTCTGCAGCCGATGCTGGAAATCCCGATGCAGCACAGGATTTATACGGGCTAGGGATTCGACTTGGACTGTACTTCCAAGTCCTAGGATGGATCTTCTACAGCTTAGGTGGCGGGAAAGGCTTGAAATTAGCATCAGTTAGCATCACCATACCAATACTGGTGACCTGGTTCCTTTTTGCGTCCAAGCAGCTTTTTAGTCCCTGCGAAGCGTTTATTGTCCTTGTCCTCCTATCCAGCCTAAACTTTCCAGCAAAAGCTACGCTATACAATGATTCCAAAGAGATGGTTAGAGAGACCACAGGAGTGGTAATGCTGCTGCTGGTGGAGCTCGGAATATGCGGTGCCCTGTTGTGGCTATTCGCTACGCTAGTTAAAAGTCTTCCGACCCTCCTAACGGAGAATGCCGCTTTTTTCTTCGCGAAAGTTCCTCTAAATGGATGGTTTCGATTCCTTGGTTTAGTATACTGTGCTTTTGACGCAGTGACATCGATAATTTCCTGTTCTAGGGTGTGCCGTGTATTCTATTATCGTTCCAAAGGGGATAAGAATATGGAAGAGATTCTGAAGAAAGTAGGATTTGAAGAGACTGATACTGTTAGTCATGTTCTTCATTGTGCTGTTTTGATAGTGGCTGTTCTGGCAGTTGAGCTCACTATCAAATGGAATCATCTTGCGCCCATAACGGACTTTCAATCGCCCGGGCAACTGATCCCGTTCACTACGGGTATCATTATCCTAGCCGATAGCATATTCGTTCTCAGCAATCAGATTATAGGCTGTCAAAAAATTATTTTAGGAATAGGGTCCTCTAAGGCGATCCAACCGTCGACTTCCTGCTAGTAGCAGGGCTCCATGGCGGCGGATTCGCAGAGAGTCAGGGGTTTAAAATCTTTAAAAGAGTTGCATGTTGGATGGTACACAGAATGGCTAGAGATATTAAGACACAACTTTATCATTCGGTCTTAAAATTTTATTTTTATATGTTTCAAATTTATATAGATTATCCTAACTAAAATCAAGAGAAAAGAAAGGAGACTTCTATATTCGTTATATTTATCCCTTAGATCCCTACAACCTAAAATAGCGAATATGGTGACTATCCAAACTATATGATAAAATATATTATATTTCGATTCGTTAGTGCCGAACCAAGTTATTCTCCGGTCCCGTACTGCGGGTATTATCTAAGTTCGACTTTTATCCAGCATCCCACGCCGATGCGTGTGCCAACGGCGAATCCTTATTCAAATTGGAAGTAGTTGAACTACATATCTGTCAATAGGCCTACAGTTTCAACGTTCTAGTACCATAATCATTGCTTACCTTAAAAACCTTGTTTTCGAAATGCCTGTCAAACGAAATTTCCGATGATTCCCGAACACCGAGTTTGATATCTCCTGGAGTAATTTCGGTCACCTGCATCCTTAGTTCAACAAGGTCATCTCCTTTGATAGGCAGAACGACCCCGAATGGAGCATTTTCTCCTTTGTCTTTTCCTTTCTCTAACTTTACAAAGCAGAATTCCTGCAAGTGTTCAGTCAGAGTGACCGTATCGTCGCTGGCATCCCAGAGCACCCATTTCTCCTCATTCCTTCTTTCCGGCCAACCCGGAGGGTGTATAAAACGAAACACATAGAGAGGTTCCTCCGGTCCCCCCGATACCGGCGAGTAACCGGGGAAGATATCGAATGCGGTATCTAGTCCCTCCTTACCTAGACGCACCTTACCAAAATCGCTATGACCCGGGAGCCGGAGATATATCCCCATGTCGTTCGCTTGTTTATGAGCTACCTTGAGAGACTTTCCTTTGTAGCCTACTTTTGCAAAGCGAAATATATCGCAAAGAACTTTTTCGTTAAGACGGGTCCCAGTAGGTCTCTTTTTCTGGCCGTGGCTGTTTACGGTTGTCAGAGGATTGCGCATAATACGGGACTAGTAGTGGTAGTGGCACTCACTGGATGGCAATCACGGCTTCGTGTCCCCTGCAAGGTAGATACACAGGAGATCCGCTCAATCCCTGTTCAGTCTTTATTTCATACTCTACTAGATCTGACCAGGAACGGGCGCAAAGCCCCGAACTCATCTTCGGTTGCCCAGCTTCCGAATCAGCTTGATATCCGCTGACCTCTAACACCCGGCCGATCAAGTCTTCATGGCGAAACATAAGAGAGAACCCAAAACCTTTGTTTTTGCTGATGTCTTCGTCTCTCTTCGTAAGAATCGCTCCGTAGTCGTTCTCTGCATTCCTAGCAGTCGGATTTCTCTCGTAGCTCTTAGAGATAAACACGTCGCTTGCCTTGACCTCGATAGATTTCCCATCCGGCTTCAGGATCTCGATATTTTGCGATAAATCCTTATTCTCGTTAATTAAGTTATGGCCAGCAGTGACAATAACGTGAGATTTCGTATCGGGGACGTTTAGATAAAACCCTGTTCCAGTGGAGGGCTTGCCCGCTGTAAGCCCGTCAGTATGTTTTAGAGCTTAGCATATATATGATATATGCAAGAAAGGATTGGGCGAGCTGTTAAAACCTTGTGTAAATTTTAACTTGACTATCCATTCGTTCCTCCGATCGATTTGAATGAGCTCCAGGCCTCCGGTAGGCCCAGGCTCCGGCTGCCTGTTCCAATCAGGGTCATAGAATAGTGGGCTTAGGGTTTCAACCATAGTTGCGGAAAAATGTAGGTAAGTGACAGAACTAATCACTATAATAGAGAATACGCATGCATTTAAATATATAGATTCTTTGAAAACTATCGTCGAACAGGTCCCAAGTTTAGCCAATTTATTTGAAATTGATACCGACCCTATATAGACAGAGGACTTTAGAAGCTGGCGCTACAGCCTAACTCACACCTAAATGTGAGTACATATCAAACGCTGTAGGTACGTGTGTCCATATTTCGCTATCTGTACAGCTGTTCTCCGAAGCTAGTGGCGAGTATACGTACCAGTAGGAGTGGGATGGGGCGGGGGCGGGACGGGCAGCACTTGTCATCCCGTTCTCCTTCTCTTTAGATCCATCCAATGTGCTGACCGTCGATCACGCTAACCTCGAATCCATGACCATGTGTACGTGCAGTGTATTTACCCAGATATGCATATGCATATGCACTCATGATCAGTAGCCTCGAATCGAGGCTCCATGATCAGACGCATTGTACGCAGATTGGTAGATGCAACATGCAACGTATGAACAACACAGCTGCACAGGTGTAGCACATTGCCCAATTAAAGTCCAAACATTATGCTATTGCTAGGATCAAACTAGCAAACTGAATATACTAGTAGATGAAAGTATTTTGGTGCTTTCACTCGATCGTATAGCAAGGTCTTAATAACGCTGTTCAGAGAAGTAAATAAAATTCATTTCATACGGATCTCAATAATTAAGGCATTTCCTTAGTCCTATATATATATTATCTTAAGATCTTGGATATTGACACCACACCCGCTCCAATATACTAATAATTCGATCAAAATCAAAACCTAAAGCTCTTATCGGCATTTTCACAGAAACATGGACTTCACGTGGCAAGATCTCGTTGATTACCTCCAAGCGCTGTCAGGCGCGATACCAGAAGAAAGCCCCAGTATACACTTACTCTATGAAGAAGACAATCTCCTGATCGAGAAACTTTGGTTCCGATCCAAACTTTTAAAACAATTCTTGATTACCCCGGACGTAAGGACGGACACTCCAGCTTTATATCTTCTGAACGATGAAACGGTTAGTAACATGTCAACAAACGCTCTATGCTCGAGCGCTCTACTAACGGGCCATAACTTTTATTACCCGAACTCCAGCGTCTCGTTTTCTTCGTCGATACAGAAGATGTTCTAAGGGGCGGTAGATATGACCCAGATGAACAAGACTGGGTGCTTGAGCTTGATGGAGAAGGAGACATTACGATACCCCAAAATAGCAAACTTAGCGGCTGTTTCACCCCTGAAGGGCAAATCGTGTTCTTTCAAAATGAATCTGGACTACTCCAGGGAATCGAGATCCAAGACTCAACGTGGGAACTATTACATCCTACTCCTGCGAAACCGGTGGAGGGGACCCGGCACTTAGTTATCCGCACCGCCAACGAAAACCTATACCTTTTTTACATCGGTCGGGATAAATATATACACTATCTGGTCAAGGTTCCTGAAACTGGGGAATGGCAAGGTAATAGTTAATGTTTCGCTTTGACGAAACAATATATAGATAGACGATAGCTAATTTCGAGCCGCAGACAATGTTCTAAACTCCCCGATACTCGAAAAAACTATCGTAAACTTCATGGTTATTCCGGACGAAGATATGAAGTTTGAAACGCAAATTTTGACGACAGACAGCTTGATCGGGATTGATAAAGTGGGAGTATTGACGGAGTTCGGAAAAGTTGCAGAGGGCAAGTTTACTCCGATTTCAGGTAAAGAATGTGTTATTGAGACTATTCGTCTTGTAAAAAAAGGTGTGAAAGCTATTGCGGGCAAGGCGGTGAAGGATAAAAAGACATGAATCGGCTAGCAAGATTAAGGGTACAAATAATACAAACCATGGCAGCAAAACCAGCCACCTAAGTGATAGTATTCCAGATCGATAGAGTAAATAGAGGGCACTACGGTAACACCAATAGCTTTTACCATGAGGCATACCTCTAAAAAATGCATCCATACTACTATTATGTCTGTTATTATTACAATAATATTGTTTAATCTTTGGGTTTACTGCCTTCGCTTTCTTAGTTTACGAGACAATAATGAAATCTAGTTTACGAGATAAGTTGTAATAACTAGGTAGTAATAACAGTAATGGGCAACAAAGAAATCTAGGCACCATTCCATGTAATTGAAGAGTTTTCCGGTGGGCTTACGCCGTCGGAGGTGGTTGCTCTGTTGGGGATTGTTTCCCCGCTCGGGAGAGTTCAGGTGGTAGCTCTGGAGCGGGGTTCCCCTCCGCATAGGCCTTTTTAAGGTTAGCAATAGCATCTTTCCACTTATCGCTCTTGCCCGTAGATGTGGTCTATATAGGATGGTAAATCTTGGTTAGTCGCCCTTTCTTCGCTAGAATCGCCATGACATCTCTTAGACTGGGATTGACATACCTTCAATGCGGTATATTTAGTTCTCATTCCCTTGATGATTATATGGGCCTGTTCCAAATCAACGTAAAGTTTTGCCATGTTTTCAGTTGTAACTTTGGTAGTATCGGAATTGAGTTCCTTCGTCACATCGTGTAGTCTCTTCTCCAAGTCGTAGTTTTCACCATAGAGTCGCTCATTATCTTCCTGAAGCTCTATAATCCAAGCCATTTCAGACGCTAGACCCTTGGTATCCTCTAGCAGATTGAGTCCCTGGATTTTCGAAACAGATTCTAAAGAATAATTAGTTTCAAAGCTTATTAACCATCGTGGTATTAAACAGAGTTCATACCCGATATAAGTGGGCTATCATTGGACCCAGCTGAAAAGATGAAGAGTTAGTCAAATCAGAAGTTATCCCCGATATTGTCATCGAGGAAGGCTTATACCCTGCAAACCCCCATAATCTAAAAAGAATTTAATTTAACCGAATTCTTTATCATATTTATTCTCATTGAGCAAAGTCCGTACCTGCGCCTGACGGCCCCGGCGTTGGCCCCCCATTACCCTCATTCTGGCCTGACATCTTAGACGTTGAAAATACAAAGGATTTCCCTCGAGCTCGTTAGAGGCTAGCCAACAGCTGACAATTCAGCAGGCTAGAGTTGGAGATAGAGTATGCGTACGAGATCTTTTTCTCGTTGAAAAAATAGGAGCCTGGTTGGTAAGGGGATATCTTGACCTGCGCAGTATTGTCGGCTACAGTAGGTTATATTTTTGAACGAAAAAACGTGCGGAGCGTGAGGTTTATATGTATGTCGAAAGAAATCGATTGCTTTCCATCTAACCCTCCGGATCCCAGAGCTATCGAGGTTTCCCTTTTGCTTTTTTGTTTTCTTTTACTAATTTTTACTATTACCCTTATTGCTTTTCTCTAGATTGAGTTAAAATAGATTGTTGTTCACTCTGACTGCACCATGCATACAGTCTAGTATATCCCCTCCAGTATATGCACATACAGAAGCGGGGAATCACATAGTTATATGCACAGGTGGGAGAAAGCCAAAGAACCATATTGTTTTTTTCACCGAAACATAAGCTTCGTCCAATGTTGCCCCGCACCTCAAATGCTTTAACTAGCAGCCCAAAACTTGTAATTCTTTGCCGTTGTGAGCTAGATTGATCAATTGAGCCACCACGTATGGCCAACACAAAATTGCTTGTTCGCCTCTCCGCTTTGTAAGAACTGCTACTCCGCTCAGTCTCGTAACCGTCCGACCAAATGAGCTAAGCTAACAGATGAATGCGCAAATTAAAAATCTATAACAGAAACCTAGACAGTCCAATGTTATCCCATAAACCAGAATTAATTGCTGCTGCGAGCAAATTCAGACATAAACGTGGAGCCATCCATAATTCGTCCGCGGATATAGAATCCAACAAGTGCAATTTCCAGAAATGACGCAGTTTCGGGCGGCCACACAGTCGGGAAGACATTGCGCCAGCTTTGCTACCTACAGCTAGCATCTTGTGTCCCATCTATGAGGTTTTCGATCCAAGTGCACATGGGGGACAAATAATCCTGAGCTAGGTCAGTCAGTGGGGGGATACTAGCTAGCCAATGGAGTAACTAGTCCCCTGCATGTTTGTTTCATTTTTTTTTTTCCAGCACCTAAAGGGTCGTCTTCAGCTACTATTTTGGCGAATTACATGCAAGAAACTAATCGGAGTATCCTGACAAGTTCAAAGGAGAGTTCCAGCTCATTCAGGGTTCCAATATCACCCTAAATCTTTTAGTCTCAAGCTGGTTAGGCCGAAAAAAACCCCGAAGCTGATATATGTAATCCAAAATCTAAGAATTTTTGGCTGCACTTAGTATTTCTGGAGCGCTACATACCTGGCTCTCTTAAGCTCTTCTCCTCCAACCCCTGATACACTTTTATAACAAGAGAAAGCACAAAAAGTGTCTAAATGCTTTGTTTTCCAACGCTGCTCAGCTATATCAGCTCTTTTATCTGAACCGGATCATACAAAAATCCGGTAACTACCCCCGAACTTCTAAAACTGTTTGCGGCGCAATCAAAGAGTCAGCATGGGCACTCATTCGCCAGGTAAAGCTTTACTTGATAGGAGCAGATATTAATTAGTGGTATCTTCTATGCTGACCACTCCCTCAGATAGTACGGATCTTCTGTACTTTGTGAAGCTAGATTTTCTGGGCGGCTGCAAGGAACTCGAGAAGGCGGTATCCAAACACGTCCAGAGGCTCGAAGCCGAAATTAGCGACCTGGTGGGGGAAAGAGATAGCTTGAAACGACAATTGAATGATTTGGAAATGAAAGGGGATAGTATGGTAGCAGATATGATCAAACTGATGAGGGAGAAGGATGATTTAAAAAGCGAAAGGGACACATTAACTGTGGAAAAGAATGATTTAAAGGTTGAAAGGGATATATTGACAGTCGAAAAGAACGATTTAAAGGTGGAAAGGGATACTCTAATAACAGAAACGAATGATTTAAAAACAGAAACGAATGATTTGAAGATAGAAAAGAACGAATTGATAGCAGAGGGAGACAACTTAAAAACGGAGGTCAAAAATCTGATAACACAGACGACGGTTTTGGTAACAGAGAAGAACGATTTAGAAACAGAGGTCAAAAATCTTTTGACGGAGACAACAGTTTTGGTAACAGAAAAAAACGATTTAAAAACAGAAGTCGAAAATCTGACAACGGAGAAAACGGGTTTGGTAACAGAAAAAGATGATTTAAAAACGGAAGTCACAAATCTGAAAACAGAGACAATAGTTTTGGTAACTGAAAGGGACGATTTGATAACTGAAAAGAACACTGTGGTAACAGAAAGAAACGATTTGAAAACAGCGGTGGAAGACCTAACAAAAGAAAAGGACGAATTTGCTACACAACAGGTGCATTTGAAAACAGCGGTGGAACATCTAATAACAGAGAAAGTGAAATTTATAAGACAAAGAGACAACTTGAAAGAAGCAGTGGTTATTCTGGTAGAGGAAACGAAACATTTGACAATCAAAAACAACAATTTGGAAACAGAGAAAAACAATTTGAAAACAGAAACGAACAATTTAAAAACAGAAGCGAACAACTTGAAGATAGAAGCGAACAACTTGAAAATAGAAGCAAACAATTTGCACATACAAAAGAACTACTGGAGGGCAGAGAAGACCAATCTGATAACAGAAAGGGATAATTGGGAACTAGAGAGGGCCAATCTAATAAAAGAAACGGACTTTCTTAAGGCTGAAAAGGCTAGACTGGAAGCAGAGAAGAAAGAACTGTCAAAATTAGGTAACTCACACCTTAAAGAATTGCGAGGAATTAATGAAGAGTTGCAACAGGCCAAAATTTTTTATCAAGACCATAGTATCAAACCAAGTACAAGCTCTAAGATATGCGTGCTTCAGGTTAAGATATGTGTGCTGATACCAGAGAGGAGCCAGTGACTAATCAAAGATTTTCACCCCATATAGGTTTCTGGCACCACCAAAAGAAATCCTTCCTGAGCTTGACCCCAGAGGCGCGAAAACTAAAGAAGGAGCAGGAGGAGGAGCAAAGATTGCAGGAGCTCAGGGATAAGGGTCAGACAAGCAGTCAAAAAGGAAAAACCCCGCTCCGATAGCCCTATTGAAGAACCTTAGTACATTCTATACGATGCTACTTAGTGATCTGGAGGCAAGACGGGTACGAGTTCAGCTGTTAGCATAAATGCATCTTTATGGTACACCTATCGCACTAGAATATTTTCGCCGATATGTCGGTTGATACAGCCAATGTTCCTCCAGGGTGATTTGAAGAGGTGGAAAGATGTTGGGCACCTATTACCAGAGTTACTATTCATACCCTTTTTTAGGGAAATACTTTCGACGGCCCCTTCTTGTAGCATCGACCCTCTGTTTCCTCCTTGGCATTTTTTTAATAAGAGCTTATTAATGAATACATCCTTTTGTTAAAATTACAATCTGGATGTCGATCTTGATTGCAATTTGAATTTTCTTATTCATTTTTGTTTTACCGAGAGTTTAGTTTATGGTGTTGATATCGTTGTACTTTTTAAACTAGATTAGTCTTGTCAGTCTAGTCGGATTTAAGTGATCTCGTTAGACTTAAGTGCGACCGCAGAACTGAAGTGTGTTGACGGATGCGTTGTGTGTATGAGACACGCAACACGTTTTTACGCAGCCCTGACACACCCCGACACACCCCGACGGCCGACTACTCGTACCACTGCTAATACTACCAATAATACTAATAGCTGGTAGACAAGTGCAAGTATGGTAACTACTTAAGTACGTAGGTAAGTACTTACCTAAGTAGATAAGTAAGTAAGCAGGTATACGACGAGCCCAAAATCTATGAAGGGACAAGTATGTCTACAAAAGACGACATCAGTATTGTACAATTCGGCCCAGTTGCCGGATATTAATATTCCTTGGTTCACGGCATATCCTTACCGGTTAGTTCCCTCCCCTGCATCCAATTATATTACATTGGCATGGCGGCCCCTCCGCAAAGTGGTCTCCACAGTACTTCTCCGCGCATACTCGATCGGTGTACAGATAGGAGGGGGTTTTATGTAAAGAAATATCAGTTGTCCGACGGAATAAAGGGAATACCTGTAGCACTAATAATTAGCATCGTCGTAATGTGGAGTTTATACGAGTCTAGACATGTGTATGCTTTATATTCACGGCATCTTCCACGATGCATCTTCGTGGCTTGGCCAGCCCTACAGCTTCCGCTCTGCGACAACTTCCCCATCGAACGATACTTCCACGTATGTATGTACATACGAGATCTCGAGACACTCACCCAGTGAATATACTAACTGGCAAAGAGAATTTCGGCGATACTTCCCCTACAAGCATGTAGCTCGCTTGTAATCTAATATAACGTTTCAAGCTAGGTTGGGTCAACGTTGCACCGTAAGGGTGTACCGACAAGGTTGTTCTCTCTTTTTCAGGCAGTCACCGGTTCAGCCTTACTTCTAGCTTGTGGTGTCGAGATTGTAAGTAGCTGACGAATATCTGACTGGAACCCTGTCACCTTCATTTTCATGCCGATTCAAACGTGATTTGAGACTAACATTGCCCTCCTTTAGTGGCACCTGCTCTCGCTCAAAACCCACGGCATATCGGTCGGCCCATGTTCAGCGTAACTAGTGCCGGGAACCGGGAACTGAAGCTGGACACGGGGAAGATGTCACAAACAAACACTCCAAAAACTCCAACGGCCAACGCAAATTAAGCTTCACACTGCACTGAATTAAGACCGGCCTCGAGACTAATTAAGACTCTTCTACAATAATGGACTATTGATTTAAAACCATAAAGTCCGAATTCTACACTTTATGCTCGAAAGACACCTTGAAACTTATTACGTTACCATCAATGATATCGATATCAATAACTTGAGGCTAGTATGAATTTTTCTAAGACCTAGTCTAGTTTTCGGACCGACTAAGTCCTTATATTATATGAATCAACATTTGAATATCAGTGCCGGATCGATTCCACCAACTTATATACATCCCATAGTATGCGATATAATGCAACTTTCGATTCCCTTTGTGGAACTTATATTACCTCCTCATATAGGCCCACCGATAGCCTGTTTAGCCAAAAATTCAGCGGCAAAAGAAGTGTGTTCCGTATTAGACGAACTTGAATCCCAATATTGCAATAGTTTCTTTCAGTATGCCAAAAATTAGTACGATTGAATCAGCAGTTTAGACTAGCCAATAGAGACGGACGTACCTTGAGTCTTATAGGAAACCCACTTATTGTGGTCTTGTACGGCTTCCCGAAGTCCACATCAATACGAATTAAGTCAGTGGGCGACTGGTGGCTGAACTCGACTGGTAGGCTCATTGGTGGTGACCCCGGTTCACAAAGGATTTTTTCGATGCTAACGGGCCTCTCCTTGACCCTGAATTCTGAAGTTTGTGCCAAGAGTTCTGTAAACCCTTTCTCACCAGGATCAATCCGACAGCATATATAACCCTTGATAAAATATGTCTCTTCACGCCGATAGATAGATTTTACCTGTAGGTAAAACAAACTTGCTCTAAGCCTATCAGCTAGTTGCTCGAGCAGGCTAGCTTCTAGTGTGAGCCCAGAGAAGGGTGGGAATACTAATTCCCTGTCTGGAATTAAGCTATGAAATTCATCGTATTCCCTGGCTCTGGATTCCATCGCGTCAATCTCGTTGACGGCATCCAATGCTGGCTCTTGCCTGTTCTTTGGAAGTCGGATATTCAAGCGACATGATCGCTGTCGAATACGCGCAGGAATATATTTGTTATATTGGAGCCACGCATCTTCCCCGTTCATAGTGCTCATCATTGTTGAAAAAAAGCCAGAGAGCCACCCTGGGACAATGAACCTTGATTCTGGCTCGTCTTGAGGAGCGTCCGCCTGCCCGGAGCCAAGGAGAGGACTAAATCATGACGAGCCTTCTCGCCCCAAAGCCCCTTAGACTCGGTGACTGCCATCTGAAGGGGGTTGTTTTGTTTGAGGCCTCCGTCTCGACATTCGGACCCCTGGTGCACCATCGGTGCCCACTGTGGTTGTAACCGCGACTCGGCAGGGATCCTTCATCCCAAAGACTTGCGTAGCTGGTGGGTCAGAGAAAGCTTCCTGTAATGCCTTTTCTAAGGCTTCCTCCACGTAAATCGAATCTCTACACCACCGTGCAACCCATCCTACAACCCATGTTTTAGTTAGGAACTTATGATCGAACCCGTCGCGGCAAATAGACCGAAACTTAGATGTACACTCTTTGGCAGTAAGTTTCTGAATGCCAATTCCCATTGCAACGAGACCTCCTAAACCTGTCATTTTAGTCACCTTTCCCCCTGGCTAACTATTCTTTACTTTGAAAAGGGCTTACCCGTGCTGGTCCCAATAATAAGGTCGAAGAAGGTCCCGATAGGTAGGCCAAGTCCAATAAGATCTTCTAGTCTTTCCAATATTACTAGTTCGACAATTCCTCGAACCCCGCCTCCATCCAGCGATAAAACTCTAATTCCTGACAATTCCGGGCGAATTTGAACACTGAATGGCCATTCTGGATGCCCAGACTCACCACATACGATGCAGTCGTTGTGCACATATGTTCCTTTACCGATTCCCGGGGCTGTCGGGTCATTGTCTCTCAAACAATTTTCGCAAATAACATGTTGACAAGGCAAACGGTACTCTGGCTTACCGACTAAGCAGCCGTAACATACGCTCGTAGAGGCAAATTTGTCATTTCTTTTCTTCGCCTGGTCATCTACACCCTGCTTGTTGTTTGGGCTTGGATAACCTCCCAATTTTCTGAGATTCTCGATATTAGCTCTGTGATGCTTTGCAACAAGAACTCGCCATTCTTGTCGGTTAGAATGAACTTTGGCCTTGATGGTTGTCATAATAGATACTACGGTGTCCTCCGCCTTCCCTAAATCGCCACTGACAAAGACGCCCTCTTTAAGGAAAGCACCGGAGCTTCGCTGGTGGCCTTTGATGTGCCCGGCCTTTGTGTTTACGCATCGGTCTCCGGTCACCGGGTCAACATAAGAGCATTGGACACCTTCGGATAGAAAGCGGTCAATAGCTATTTTACAGACACTTTGTATGTCTTTATCGAAGACACCAGTAGGTTGCAAGATTACATCTGCAGGAGGCGCTAAGTGTTAAATAGAGTATCTTGAAAATATTCATCTCACGGGAACAGCCTTATTACTCACTCTTTCCTTTTGCGAATATGGCGCTTTTTAGGATCGCTGACCCCAATACGGCTGCAACCGCATCAAACTTCTCCTCGGTCAACCCCTTAAGGCAAAGGCCCAAATATTCGGCAAAATAAAGCTCTACTGAGTCCGGAATAGCTGCCTTCTGGCGGCAGTAACCAAAATCGAACGGTTCATTGCTTCCCTGTCGAAGGTGGTCGAATGCGTAATCAATGATGAGGGGCATTTGATTCGTGTCGAAACGAGTCCACGATTCTGCGCGCTGTTTTTGAACTCGTGCCGTATCACTTTTAATTCGCTGTAAGAGACGCTCCGTCTAATTGTAGATTTCTGCGCTTGTGCCAAGTCGTCCCAATCCCATCAATGGAACATAATGTAAATAAACACTGGAGAAACTTCGAGCAAACAGATCACTCATCGTTTTGACGCCGTGCTGTGAGATTTTATAAATTGTTAGTAACTATTCTTTGGGAAATTTTGAACTTTTTCTTTTTTTGAGGCCAAATTGAACAGAAGAGATATTAAAGAATAATAACATACCTGGCGAGCAAGTTCGCGAAGCATATTGTTTTCCCTGATTTCTTCATCAACTGCTTGGAAGAAATCTGCTGTGGCGGCGTTGTAGTTACCGGAAATCCAGTTTTCATTCTCTATTTTTGGCGCATTAAGAATGATAATTAAGGCCGGAAGGGAACATTGGTTGATAGTATTTTGAGCACCAACTTTACTCCATTCCATCAACCTAACTGCCAGATCCGCCCAAGATTTGTGGTCACTGGTCACATAACATATAACGTCACTGAAAATGTAGAGAAGGCGAGGATACAGTGCCTTCACTGCATCTCGACGGTCCATAGTTATCCTAATCTCATATTTTCGTGTCCCTGCAGCTGTCACCCAGTCGTTCTGATGTTTTGCAGCAACCGGCTCCGTTCCCATAAGCCCTTCACAATCGGCAAAGAATATTGGCGTTTCCGTTCCAAATGAGGATGGTTCGGGATATAAGTTTACTTCTCCGGTTGTTGATATCATAGCTGAACTTCCGGAAGTTTGGCCAGGGATAGGAGCTTCGAAAAGATCGGACTCTTGGGGTTCTCGAGCGTGGTATAGAAGAGTCCTTACTATATCAACACTGTCAGTTCAGGCTTTTCATATTCTCGAGGAGTGCATGAAATGTGCGAACAACTTACTAAGTAAGGATTTCCCGGCCCCGGTGAGGCCTACAAACGAGGTAATGCTAGGGAATTGCGTCTTGGGGCTATTTTTATTGTGATGGAGCGAATAATCCATTAAATCTCTATATCTCGGAGTTTCGACAATAGTAGACACTCGATGGTTGCCCTGATCGAGTATACGAAGACCGAACCATTTTGCACGCTGATCTTCCCGAAACTCACTCGCTTGATACTCGATGTCGGCTATCCCCGTCTTCCCAGAAAACCTCCCCACGACTCTAGTCCAGAAATTCTCCGTCTTAGACGTACCGCCGCGGCGATGATCGGGCCTGCGTTTGAGGTGCTTTTGACTGAAGCATCCTTCGCAGAATTGCTCTTTACAAGAGCAATAAACAACGCCTGGTCTTTCTTCGCATAGAGCGCATTCTAACGAATCGTTCATGTTCATGGCTTAAGAAGCTCTGGAGGAAGCAGAAACGCTGGAGAAATCGCAGTTTGTATAGAAAGGACAAGGCAATATTAATAGAGCTGAAAGTAATTATGGTCGAGAAATTGAGGGCCGCTAATCTAATGAGGAAGAGTGATACTTGAAGGAAAGTGTTAAGAGGGTTAATTGTGCGAGAAGTTGAGAGTCTTAGATATAGAATCGAAATTTAAGACTCTACATGACCTTTTAAATATAGCTAGAAGGCACTTGTATCCAACTAGAATCTGGGAACGAGACTAGCTAGAAACCAGCTCTTCTGATGCTTCTTCAAGGAGGCTGGGGCATCAGCTCGAGAGTGGCGGGGTAGCTTAAGAGGTATCAAAGCTAGATCTGCATATGCATGCAGAAAGATCTGATGGCCTCCTCACCATCAGTCTTACAGACCAACCTTGTGAACCAACGGGTCCCGCTGCGGGGCCGGCGGCAAGCCCATCTCGAGGCTTAGTGGACCGAATATTGTATGGCAATGTTGAAATTGCATAAGCTACATATAAGATGCACGAGGCTACGCTCGTAACTTTTCAGATCTGCAGAGTGCGCTTCAGGCCGCATATTCGTTAATGGGAGTCTACGATTGGATAAAAAAGAGACAAGGACCAAAGCCAAATGCAATGCAACTAGAATAATATTTAGCAAACTAGCACCTAGTGGGATGTGAACTCCAAGTTGCCGAATATAACAGGCTTCCTCGCCAATGCAATCTCGAAATGGGGTTGATCAACAGTCTTGTGTAGCCTTGAATCCTGTGTTGTTGATATTGGCGTTGTTGGCATGTAGGAAAAGCTCTTGGACCATAAGAATCAAGAAGTAAGGTGCTAGCTCTGGGGAAATTTCTAGGCATAAACTATAGTAGATACAGTGTCTTGTGCCACGGATTTCCCCTCCTACACTTACTCGCGCTCTGTAGTATAGGATACATTACATCACACTACTCACACCATCTCGCAAGCTGCTTTAGCAGGAATGATACATGAGGATCTTAAAAGAGTAAGTTTGTTTGTGAAAGACAATACTTAAATAGGTAACAATAAAATTCCGAAAATGCCTATTTGGGAGACTTGGCCAAAAGTCCCTACTACACAGTAGGGCAGCAGTCAGCGGCCCAGCCAATCCACAGAAATCCCATCACAGAAACCCAGCCTTGGGCATCTACCTTGGGCATCTACATCTACATGCGTTCTCTCTCAGTCCCTTCTGCTAAAGCAGTCGGGCATTGTCTGCAAGCTCAGCTTCGATCGATATCAGTAGCTCGTGCTTCGAATCGATCCTACGAAAGAACAAATGATCGTGGTCATGATCATGGCCCTATACCATGACTAACTGGTTTTATATTAATTTATAAAACTTCAGGAAGAAGTCTTCGAGAAGAGTAATGTTTTCCGGTGCTACATTGATAGCTTGCTAGTGTGTCCTTGCAGGCCCTGCTCGACCTTTCGGACCTGCCTACTGACCGCCCTTGGCCATGGCCGGCCATGACCCCACCCTCGGGCTCGCCTAGCTGCTCCATCGGCTGTGATTGGTCCGAACTCGAGACTCTTCAATTTCTCACCGGACGAAGATCCGTGATACATGTACATGCATGCGAAATAATCTACGTCTACCTGGAACACTCATTGGTTCCACTGCATCGACGGTCGAAACAGGCCACTTAGGTACCAAATCCTCCTATTACACACGGTACATGTGAGGTTTATGGGATGTGGATATCAATGTGGGATATGAGTATGGGATATATTACGAGCATACGTCGTCAAAAGCTTCCTGCAGAACACTAGCGACATGTGCCCACAAGGCCCAGGTCTGGGCGCTAGCTTGTCCTAGACATGGCTCCGTCAGCCCTACCCAGGCTGATATTTCTCCCGCATATTATTCTGGTGAACTTCCCTTGCGTGTGTGAAGACAGACCATCTTTTTTTTTTTTTTTGATCCTCTCCTTTGCATCTGACGGCCCTCACATCCCCTCTCAAAGTTCTTTTCAAGTCCAAAACTCGTTTATAACATACTGGGGTCCTTTCTCCTTCCCATTTCGCCACTTGCAGTTCCGAGTCCACCAGCCGTTGAAAATTACTCTGCCGATTCAAGAAAAAAAAGCGGATATCGAAGACTTCGACACTTACTTACATATAGCGGTCTGAGGTAAATCTCCCCTCCCGGGAGCCAAAGACGAAGCCAAGGTCTTGATTGGACCGAATTGCTGCTGCTGCTTGCGACAACAGCAATCGAGACACTTACCTCTACAATACAGCTTACCCGCATTCCCCTGCAACTTTAATAAGACGGGCCTCAAACTCCACCCAAATTAACTCGAACGACACCCTTTTTCTCGAGAACAAAACGGAGGAACTAACTGCTTCACCCTTTTATACGATACAATCAAGTATTGGAATATTGAAAATATCGGCGGCCTCTTCGATTCCGACCGTTTTGTCATCTATTCTGCGGCTTCTCCAAATATTACACGCAACACGGCTGCGCCACCACCCTCGTCGTCCCGCCCTGACTCGGACCCAGATCAGCTATCATTGATGACAGCTTCGATTACAGCATCGCACCAGCTTTAATATTTTATAATATTACAAATGCCCTGAACGTATATTTTTCAGACAGCTTCCCCGAAAAGCTTCACACGACAAAGTCCAGCGCGGGTCTTCGTGCCCACTAGAAGCCAGGAATACCAGCCTTCCTGTGCATCGAAGGGCCTAAAATAAAATAAAAAAAACCACAAAATGGATACCACCAGCATAATCCTCATCTCCGTCTTCTCCACCCTCGTCTTCGTTCTTGCCCTCGTCGTCCTATACTTCGTCCTACACCGCAAGGTCACCATAATTCCCCAAACCTCACAATGGGGTTCCGCATATACAATCCGAGAACGTCGCCCCTTTATGGACCTTTTCCGTCGAAAGGACAAAAAGGGTCGGGCACCCATTCCCCGCCGCGGCTCGGACGCTTGGGATGCAAATATCTCCGAAGAAGAATTGGGAATCTTACGGCCAGCGCGTTCAAACCATTCTCGGGCGCCTTCAGACCCTTTCCAAGACCCTTACGATCCTCATATTCCCAGTAATATCCAAAACCGCAGTACATCCTACAGTTCCACTATTTCTCACGATCCTTCCCATCGACCAGCATTACCCCAAGACTTCTCAGACGACGAAGAATCAAGTCTACCACACTATTCCGCCCCACCCCCCACGCATGCCTACAGACCGGGAACTTCAACCCCTTCGACGTCAGTAGCGGATACCTCACAACCACGGTTCACACCAACCTCCTCACCGCCCCGGCATTCCCCGCCACCAAGTATAATCCACCACATCGACTCCTTCCGTCTCGAAACCCTCGAAACCACAATAACAGATATAAGGCTCACACTAGACTCAGCAAACACAATATTAACACAAGTTTCTGACTTATCATCATTACCAGAAGAAGACGATACACCACCTTTACTTACACCTGCCGATCTAGCAAAAATCAACGAATTAAGCTCATTAACCACCTTCCACACCGAATTATTACAACAACAACAGCAAACAGGTGGCAGGGGAATAGACGCCTATACAACCAAATTACCTAAATTCAAAACTTTGGTAGCACAGGGAATGTCGATCATTATGGCTGCCGAGGGCCGAAGAACAAAAGCATTGGGTCATTCGGGTCATACACTTACCAGTAATAGCGGCAATACATTCGCCAGCTTTTTTTCAAACGCTCCAAACCCCAGCAGTAGTTCAACCTCCGCTACTTCTGCACGTCCCCAGGAAGTCAAGAAAACACAACTCCTAAGCCGTTACGCCGACCTCAAGAAAACTGAGTCCTTTGCCAAAAACTCGTTAAGACAAATAATCGAACGTCGAGAAGCTCGCCGCGGGTCTCCCGGTAGTGAAAATCGAGAAATGGAGTTAGAGGTCAGAATGTTAGGACTGAGAGCATTCAGGGAAAGAGTCGTGGTGGGCAGAAAGTTGGGCGTGGAAGATGATGACGACGAAGGAGAAGAGATCTGGGGACTTGATGGTGTTGATGGAGAAGTTGGAGGCGAGAGGGTGGTTGTTAGTCCTATACCTCCTAGCGGGAGGACCGGGAGGACTCTCGTGAGGGAGGAGGATGAAGAGGAAGGAGAGGTGCCAGTGCCTCCGCCGCCGGCCTATGATGAACGGCTGGAGAGAGAGAGGGAGGCATTGTTGGACAGTAAGGAGTTAAATTAATATAATCCCTTCTGCTCGACAAACAGTATATGTAGGACTTTCCCCTGAAGTCTATGTATGAATATTTTCATTTGTCTGCTTTTCCCTTTGTCGTAATGTAATTAACGGCCGAAGTCATTTTGATAGCTCTGGGAGTTCTTGTTACGGGATTTCAACTTTGTGCATATTAATTACCTCTTTTTGTTTTATATAAGTCATTGCGAGCTGGTATCTTTTGTTTACTATATTTTTCTTTTGTTTAGGTTCTTTTCCTTTTGCTTTTGACCTTTAAAAATCAAGTGGAATTTGTTTCCTCTTTTATGATAGTCTAGTTCGGTGTATACTTAGCTATCTCATACCAAATGCCTCACTAGGTCAAATATCGACTGACTTGAATCTGTCTTCGTTCCCAGACACCAAATGCATAAATCATCCCATTAGAACTAATGATAGGTAGATGATTTTGCCGGGTCAATTTTTAAAGAACTTGGGTTCCTTCATAAATTTACCCTATCCCCTACCAGACTTTTTTCTAACTAGGGCGTACCGCTCGAATGAGCTAGATCGATACAAGTGCGTAGCCATCTAGCTTTGTCTTGTACCCAATTTGCCCTTGGACTCGAAGTTCAATGTTATATTGTGATTCTCGCAATCTTAACTAGTTCAAAATATTATACGTAGCTATCCAGGGGCCAATCTTAAACGCTAACCCTCCAAAGCCTACTGGTTGGCTATAGGAGGATTCTGAATTATATAAATATATCTGCCAAATTAAAGACATTTACAAGGAATTATATACAAGGAAAGCATCAAACCATTTTCATGCCCAATCATACATCTTTCATCATATCCAAAAGGACCATAAGCAAGAGGACCATAAGCAATCCGACCCATCACATGACCACAATCCTATCACTTATAGAGGAAATCAAAATATAAACCTCCTAAGCCTTCGGATCAAACTGTCCAACCTTCTCCACCTCCTCCGTACTAGGTGCCTGAGGAGGACTCTCATCTCCCTTTAGACCAGAATTTGTCCTTGAAGCAGCGGCAACAGCTCTATGGCCATCATCGACTCCAGCACCATACCTCAACGCCATTTCCTCGACTTCTTCGGTAGAAAGTAAGGGAAGTTCTTTGGCGGCTTTGACGTATGAAATATTCTCGCAGTAACCCTTTGCGAAGATAATATCTATTTCTTCGAGTGATCGCTTGCGAGTTTCTGGGTACCAGAAGTAGCTATTCGAGAGAAAAAAATGTTAGTAAATCACAACACAGGGTTATCCAAAATCCAACATCCACCGGTGCTCCTCAAAGAATCAAGGAAGAGGAGGAGAAGGAGAAGATATATAGATACTCACATAACCGGCAGGAAACAAGCATTAACACCCGCAAAGAAAGCATAAGCCCCCCATCCAATCCTATCAACCATAATCGGTGTCACCAGCACAATCAAAAAGTTAAAAGCCCAATTAGTACAAGTCGACACCGCATTCGCCTTCGCTCTTGTCCTCAGCGGGTTAATCTCCGCCGGATACAACCAAGGTAATGGTAACCAACTAGCTCCGAATGCAGCTATATAAACAAATAACCCTGCCGCAGCTCCCTTAGCCGCATATGGCGTACCGGGGATTAATCCTGCAAACGTAATTATCATACCAACCATCTGTCCAACTGTACCCCACAGGAACAATTTCCTACGACCGACACGTTCGATGATGAACCATGATGATGTAGCAAAGATGGAGTAAACGATCATATTTACACCACCCATCACCAACGAAGTGTGGCGAGATTGTCCAATTGAAGATTGAAACAAAATGGGGAAATAGTAGATTACGGCGTTACAACCGCCGACTTGTTGCATTAGTTGGGATGAAGCGCCGAGGATCATACGGCGGAAGTGTTGGGTTTTTCCGTTGGTGATTAGTTCGGAGAATGGGGTTACGTGGGATTTTCCGTCTTTTGAGGTGGTGGAGGAGGCGGCGATGGATTCGAGGATGATGCGCTTGTGGAGTTGGGTTTCGTGGGCGTCGATTGTGTGACCGTAAATTGCGGCGATTACGGCTGTGCCTTCTTCATCGCGGCCGCAGGATAGTAACCTGTTTTTGAAATCAATATCTATAAAATTCATCGGATTGTTTTGAAGGGAATAGACTTACCAACGAGGGGAATCGGGTAGTCCGGCCATTCCAAAGAAGATGATTAAACCAAATACGATTTGAAATGCAATTGGGAACCTCCAGCTAAAACTACTTTCGTATTGAGTTACACCGTAGTTTAGCCAGTAAGATAGCAAAGTACCGAACGCTATCGTTCCACCTTGGATACAAATTAATAGACCGCGGTTTTTCGTATTTGCGCACTCTATATTTCACAATCTCTATTAGTTGCTGTCCTACGCCGCTTTCATATTCAAATTTAGAGGGCAATATCTTACCGGCCTGATAAGTAGGAATACTACTAGTATTCATCCCATTCCCCACCCCCGTCACAATCCTCCCTAGCACAAACTGCACCAAACTCCCAAAACTAGTAACCTGGATCACAGTCCCCAAAATCATAATCAAAGCACCTCCCATAATCCCCTTCTTTCGGCCGATAATATCACCAAAGAATAATATAAATATAGCACCGATCAAACATCCGATTTCGTATAATGCTGTAACTAGGCCTTGCATTGTACTGTTATCACGGGTTGAGGGGAAGGTGGAGTTGAAATTTGGGTGTGTGATTAGACCCGACATTACGCCTTGGTCGTAGCCGAAGAGGAGGAAACCGATTGTGCATATTGTTGAGATGGTGAGGGAGAGGGGGCGGCCGTAGAGGCCGAGGTAGCGGCGTTCGCCAGCCATTTTTGAGGCTTATTTATGAAAACGTCTTTGTTAGTTTGGGAAACCAATTATTGAATCTTAAATTATCATTATATTGCAGATATTAGATATATTAGTATCGGGAACCAGTCGAGTCGATAATATTCTCGACAGATTTGAAGAAAAGAGAGAAAATAATGACAACTAGAGCCCGTTAAAGAAATGAATCGGGCGCAAGGGTTTAATATAAAAGCTTCACAAAACAACTCTTCCTAGCCGCCTGAAGCCTTACTACGGGTCCTTACCTTCCCTACCCTTGAAGAAAACCAAGAAGAAGGAAGTCATCGTTACACCGCTGATATCACATGTCTCAAAAGAGATTTTTCGATATTCATCCAACTTCCTCTACAATAGTTTCCCCAGAAAATCTCAAGAAAAATCCTGTATTAGTTTACCTAAAGTAAGACTAATTAGAAGCTGGGGAAGTTCTTAAGCTTCTTTTACATTCCTGCTGTTAACGGTATAGCTCCACCCTATACAAAAACCCGCAATTGCTTTTTTACCGAAAAGTAATATCAAATGTTTAACGATTCCCCTCGGTTCTTGCAAAAAACAACCGTAAGGCAGGAGATTATTCTTGTTTTTTTTCTCCGAGCCGCATGGGTCATAGGAGGAGGCATTACGGTCGCTAACTAACTAGGTTTTAGGTTGTCAACGAATCCTGGTTTTTTTTTCGTTAGGGAAGATCGTGGAAGATTGGGAATGTTGATACACCTTCCCAAAGGAATTGGAGATTTGCATGGGTGTGGTGTGGCATGTGTAAAGTACCTAGGTGGTGGAAACTTTCCGATGAGATGTTGAATTTTGAAGTTGAGAGTTGCGGATCAGGGCGTCATAGCGAAATTGCGGAATGTATTAGCTGAGCTTGAGTAATTGAGGAGGCGGATTATCTATGTGATGCATGAAGAAGATGACATCAAGGATGGGAGGTTTACGGTGTTTGTGCAACTCGAGGGAACAAGAAAATACAACTCGTCCAGAAAGGGAAATAATAGAAAAGGAAAAATACTGTATCAGGAAATGGCTAGAAATATCTAGACTTCCTATTTTGAAAGATTACCTCTTTTGGATAGTTGGACGTGTATTTTACAACGTTGAAAACACAGTATCTAAATCCGCGACCGATAAAAGTACAGCTCGTTAAGCAAAATCTGCAATGTAGGCATAATAGCTGTGGCATAACTCAGGGCATTGTGCGGACCGCGTCTGCAATACGAGACCAAACTCAGTACTAAAACCTAGATCTAAGTTGATTATTGAACAGACTGGTTGATTATATACTATATACCTATAAAAGGTGGTGTGTAATCAGGAACAGTTCAGGACCGCTAACAGTTATATCGACTATATCTAACCATCCAACTCAGCTTGCCGAAGAGTTTTAATATAAGACTACCTTCCAACATCAATATTTGTGTCGTACCCAGACCTGGAAGCATCAATATTGCTTTCACTGATTTCCAAGCCTCCACCGTCAGTTTACAGAACATTCTCCATGCATGTCACTTTCCATGTCACTTTTCGTGTCGCTATCCTCACTTTCTATGTCCAACTGCATCGCTGTTCGGAGCAGGTTGGCCGTTGACTTGTGCCTACGTTGTATAGCTTGTGACAGTGCTGTACTTTCATCCCTCGATTTAGCTTTGGGGTCCGCATTTCTATCTAGTAGTAGCCCAACAATGGAATCGAATCCTCTTGATCCCGCCAAAGCCAGTATTGTACTTCCATCACTTGAGACGGAATTTGGATTGGCGCCTCCGTCTAGCAAGAGCTTAACCACTGATTCAGCTCTAGTTGTTACCGCTAATTCGAGTGCTGTAGTTCCATCTCTTGATACAAAATTTGGGTCAGCACCTCTGTCTAACAACAGTTTAATCACCGGCTCGGCTACGTGTAAAATTGACACAGCCGATACTAGTGCTGTTCTCCCATCCTTCAAGACATAATCTGGGTCGGCGCCCCGGTCTAATAATAGCCTAACGAATGTCTCGGCGCCCTTTAACCTCGACACTGCCGACACTAGTGCCGTTTCTCCGCAATCACAGACATAATTTGGGTCGGCACCTCTGTCTAATAACAGATTGACCGTTGGCTCGGTTCCCTGCGACGCCGCTAACGCTAGTACTGTTCCGCTGCTGGAAACGGAATTTGGATCGGCGCTGCTGTCTAGCAGCAACTTAACTATATTGTGTTGATTCTCGAAATCCTGACCTGCGGCAATCGACAGTGCGGTAGCTTCGCGAGTAGATATGGTACTCCAGACCGATACGGCGCTATAGTCAGCGCCACTTCCTAGCAACATCTCAACTATCTTCTCGTGTCCGTTATGCGCAGCCCAAAATAACGCTGTCCATCCTTGAAATTTGCTCCTAGACTCCAGGTCGATTGTATCACTATCCAGCAGCATTTCGACGATCTTCGTATAGCCTTTCTCTGCAGCATACGATAGCGGAGTCCGTTTTTCAGGCCCGCTAACTTTGTTGCGGTTGACCCTACTATCCCCAAGAAGTAGTTGAACCATTTCGCCGTGCCCATTCTTTACGGCAGAAGCCAGCGGCGTTTTATCATCGAATTCCGGGTCACCAGAGTTTGGATCAAATCCTGTCTCCAGTAGAAGTTTCATGATAGCAACGTTTCCTTTTTTCGCGGCGTATGTTAAGGGCGTCCCGCTTTTTAGATCGTATGAATTACCAGAAGGTTTATGGATGTCGAGTAGGAGCCTCACAACTGCCTCGTAGCCTCCCTTAACAGCGTATGACAGTGGTGTCAACCCATAGTTATCTTCCAGGTTTGCTTCGGCTCCCGCCTTGAGCAGACGCCCTACGATATGTTCGTAACCTCTCTCAGCGGCATATGACAGGGATGTCCGCCAAATAGAGGATTTTGATTCTGAGAATAGGCCCGTATATGGCCAGCCTTGATCCGACCTTATTTCGAAATTTGTTCCAAGTCCAGCATTAAGGAGTTTTTCCACAATGCCCTCGTGCCCCCGCCGACAGGCACAGTAAAATAATACTTGCTTTATGCCGTCCCCTAAATTGGTATCGACCAACCTCTCAAGTATTTGTCTCACTTCTGGCCCCCCATAATCCAGGTCGAAAACCTTCAACTCACGGTCGAGTTTGACATACTGCTCAAGTATAAAGTATTCCTCATCTTCCCAAAAGTTTCCAGTCGTAGGACCCCCCTCATTATCAGAGAATTCTTTACTAACGATAGTTGTGGCCCTCTGCTCATCGACATAATACAGCGATCCCCGTCCACTACCTACCTCTAAACTGGTTTCTACCTTGTCCATTTCAAGCAACAACTTTAGGATGATTTTATTCTCACGAGTACTAGCGTAAGAGATCGGTGTCCGACCACCGTGAACCACCTCAGGATTCTGGCCTAGTATGTGTAGTATATGGGGCTTACTTCGTGAGTATGGGTCAGCATTTCTAGAGAGCAAACACTTTACTACGGCTTCATAGCCTTTCTCCGAAGCAAACGATAGTGGCGTCCTTCCTGCGAGGTGAGAATAAGTAGCTCTAGAGTCAGGGTTTACTCTCCCTGTCGCTAGCAGCAACTCTACCACGCGCTGATGTCCATTATTTGCGGCATATGACAGCGGAGTTTGACCAGTGCTGAAAGCCACGGAATCTGAATCTACTTCCTCTCTATCTAGCAGAAATTTGACAACGTCAATGTGCCCATTCTCTGCAGCATATGATAGTGGAGTTCGATCTGTGATAGAAGGAATTGGGCTATACAAGTCTTCCGAGCCATATGGCAATGGGGTTCGTACTCGACTTGCACCAGAAGCCATGTACATAGAATCCGGGTCCACTCTCCCTGTGTCTAGCAGCAACTGAACCACAGCTAAATGCCCACCCGCCGCCGCATAAGACAGTGGAGTTCGACCCGCGCGGGGGAGCACGGGGTCGGGTTCGACTCTTCCCGTTTCTAGCAGTAACTTCACCACATCTGCGTATCCACCCTCCGCAGCGTATGACAATGGGGTTCGACCTCTGTCGTCGCCTTCCCCGACCTCCCGAAGCGGAATTCTGAAAGGGCCCTGACGTCGACCCCCATTCCCTCTAACCACTACGTCAGGTTCAATGCCAGGCTGTGTAAGCAAAACCCTTACGATTTTGCAACAACCTCTTTTCGCTGCCCAACAGAGCGGTGTGAGCCCTTTGTTATCTTTTGACTCAGTGTTGCTGCCCATTTTAAGTAATAGTTCAACAATGACCTGACTTCCGACCTCGGCTGCTATAGATAGAGGTGACCGGCCGAACTTATCTTTGAAGTCTATTTTGGCCCACGTGCCCTTTGCCATCAGAATTCTGACGAGGGTTTCATCACCATTTACCACAGCTCGTCTGAGTAGGCACTCGACAGGACCACCATCTGGATCATAAATTTTAAGATCTAGAGGGCTAAAGTCATCGTATTCAGAACAGGGCATGTCGTAATAAAACAGCTTCTGACGTCGAGTTGTAGAATCAAATTCAGCTAAAAACATTTTAGCTATGGAGGGGCTCAAGGACTCCGGCTTTTGGCAAATGCCAGACCCACAAAACTTTTCCCCCAAACGTGCTAGAGCTCGCCGAGGTCCAAAGGGTATGTAAATGCAGTCCAAGTTAGTGCAAGTTTCAAGTAGAAGTCGAGCAGCTGCATTATTCTCATTACCTATCGCCCAAGCCAACGGTGTGCCACCACATATATCCCTCATATCACCATCCGCTCCGTTGTCTATCAGAAATGATATGGCTCTCAGGTAGCTTCTCCGGGCCGCGATATGGAGAGCCGTAACCCCAAATATATCCGTAGCATTAACATTAGCTCCGTTTCTAATCAGCAGCTCTATCGTCGACAAGTGCCCACCAGCAGCAGCCCAGAAAAGTGGTGTTCGACCATCGATATCCGGAAAATCAACCTCTGCGCCGCTTTTGACAAGCAGCTCCCCTGTCGCCGTTTGCCCGTTCCCTGCGGCCCATGACAATAGTGTTCGTTGAAGTCCGTCAGCCAAATTCAGGTTACGCGCTCTCAATATCATCTCACTTGTCACATTTTCTAGTCCAAAAAATACTGCTAAAAGTAGTCCTTTCAAGGCTTTAAGGGACGCCCCAGGTTCGTAGAATGCAGTGTACTCCATATGCCTAGCCCAATCCGTGGCTGCGGGCATCATTGCTGGAGCCGATAACTGGACTTTAGCTTCGTCCTCGAGAAATTCGATCACTCTTGAGTCCAATCCTGAAGACTTCTGCATATGATACCCCCAGTTTCGGGCGGTATAGTCGTAAAGAGGATTGCGCTTGCGAAGTGTACCTATTTCTCGACACCAGCCACCCCCAAATGATCTGTATGAGAGATAGTCAATGCAGATCCTCGCGATGTAGGTCTCCGCGTCCGGGAACCCGTGGCTTTTCGACTGCTTAAAGTACTCCTGAGTTGTGTAATGGACTAGCCTAACAATATCCCTCTCCTTGTCGACTACAACAAGCCCGGCGCAAACAGATACCACGTCTTCGATGTTGGGTATGTTTTCATAGTCCATCTCATCTTTACCAACTTCTATCCCTAATGCGTGCCGAAGCTCCAAAACTGTCAACGGCCTTCGAGAGTAGACGATCCACTGCAGCGCGTTTTTAGCAAGCCGGGAAAATTCAGTCTTTTTTTCAATTCTCTCCATCGTTTTGTCGTATGCTTCTTCGAGTAATTTAAGCTTGCCGGCCTTGGCAGATACTTGTTGGCGCTCTCGTATTTCTTCGAGAGCGATCCTGACATCTTTGATGGTCACCTTCCCCTCAAAGGTTCTAACATAGAGCTGCGCTAATAAGAACCTAGGCGAGTGTCAGTTATATGATCATGTCTTATCGATGCTAGAGCTAGAGTTCAAATATGTAGGTATTGAGCCACATACATGCCATCCGCAAAGTCAGTTATGACTCTCTTGATATCCTCTCTGAGGTTTTGATTACTCAGGATAACCGATGAGAACTCAAGCTCCATTTGTGAGCCATCGAAGCAGCCGCCGAGATAGTTCTCAATATCGTCATTGCTGGCTCGGATTTCTAGAGACGGGAAAGTTTCAAACTTTTTTATAATCTCAGGGATAAATCTTGATGTCATGACGAGGTTTGTACCATATTTGGTTTGGAGGCTAAACATCTCTTCTAATAGCCTCGCCCAGCTCATGCCTCCGCATTCATCAAGCGCATCAATGGCAATAAATACTCTCGCGTAAAGAGCCACCACCGATTGAAGGGTGTCGGATAGTTCTGCTAACGATGGTTCGCTCCTTTCCTTTTCATGAGTTTTGCGGAGCTTCTTTATAACTTCGGGTAAAGCTCCCCAGTTTTGTGAAAGTTGCTTTATGATACTTGATAGTAGCTGGTCAACCCTTTGCTCTTTTGTACCCGCCCGACTAAAGCTGCAATAGATATAAGCGATCCCTACATCAGATTTCTCGCGAAAGCGACTGTAAAGATCACCGATTATAGTTGAGGTTAAAACCGTCTTTCCCGCTCCAGGAATCCCCGGGCAGAATAATGTTTGCTTCTCAGTTGCCAGCCAGTATCGGTACTCGGCTGAACTCAGAAGCCATTGACCAGTTCCTGCTCGCTTATTTCGACAAATATCGTTTTGTTGAAGTGAATAATCATTGGGGGTTAGCCAATTGAGGATCTTCTGGTCCTCTTGACAGAGTTGAGCGGAACGAATGCCGTTGACACACTTTGAAATTTCTTCAAGTTGACGCCCAATTTCTATAACAGAGATTCAACATATTAACAAACAATGATTCAAATTATTTATAGAGGCGGGAACTCCCAATCACCTACTTCCGAGTGTGGGCATGGCTTCAACCTCCAACACCGGTACCACAGATAAAAGTTCTTTCGCAAATGCCGCGGCAACAGCAGCCGCATGCTCTTGCCAGACATCATTTTTCGAAGAGTCCGCATAGTCGCAGATACCCCGAATAACAAGGCATGGGAAATCATTCATCAATCCCGCAGCTTCCATCTCGACACACAATAGTTTACCGCCAAATTGCTCATTGAGCATGTCCCGGTGTTCTGCAGACTTGATAAGTGAGTTTCCGGATGCGATGAGGCCGTAATGGACGCGCATTTCCCGGACTTTCAATTGACTGTGGTCCCCGTGAACACCTTTCGCAGTTGCACCTTCCTCCAGAGCACCAACGACGCCCCGCCCCGATAGCCAATAGAACAAATTTACTACCACCTTGTGTAACAATAAGAATATAACAAGCCATATACTATTGCCGCTCGACTCGGGTTTCTTGTCATTGAGCGGTAGAAGCAATGGATCTACATGGGAATCAGACTTGATATATTTGGAAACCAGTCTCGGCCACTTTTGTGTCAAATCATACAAATATTCCGGAATTTTAGTTCCATTCATCTCATGAGAACTTTCTAGTTTTCCCAATGCTGCTCGTAGAGCAGAGGGGGGATTGTTTAGGGAACCAATTCTTTTGAAACCTCCACCTTCTTCCACCTTCCCAAAATCCCATTGAATCACTCCGGGATACTCGCCAGTCGGGGTGCTTACCACAACATCGCCGAGTCTAACGTCGTTAACTGGATTACCACCTCCAATGCCGACCATAAGGCCAAACTTGATGGATGGAAAAGTTCGAACCATTGCTGTAGCGACACGAGCAGCGGCATTGGTACCGTATGTTCCCTTCGGCAAACATGCTATAACAACTTTGTGTTTATTCACCACTCCTAGAGTGTATATATTGTCATCTTCTGGCGGCTTGGGTAGATCTGAATTTATTTCGTCCAACATGGCGGTAGCAGCGGTCTGCTCTTTTGGTAGTGCGCAAACCCATCCCACTGTGTAGTCGCTGTGTCTAAGCTCTACAAATTTTGATGGATTTTCCCCGGCTTTTCCTCCGGCAGTATCCCTTTTGTCATTTGTTTCTCCCTCCTTTTCTAACATCTCCCTAAATTAAGTGGGGGGGGGTTAAGGCTGGAAAGGCTGGAAAGATAAGGCTGATAACTTGATAGGTTTGTTTGGCGGGGTTGAGTATCGGGCTTCAGCTACCCTACCCAATAATATAGCGATAATATGAGATATTAAGCTTGTTAATTCTAAGAGAATAGATATAAGACAATTGGGTCCTCTGGAAAGGAATAGCGAAATTCGTAAGCCATGTAAAAGTGAGAAAAGAAAATACAAAAGAAGGAAGAGGGGTCGATGTACGAATAATGTTAACATGTTTATTTAGTCAACTAGGCAAGAAGGTTTCGACTATTCTTGCCTCAAGCATAGTACCGTCCCAAAATTGAAAAAAAAAAGATACCGATTGGTACCAAGACGCCAAGTTCTGCTTCTGAGATAAAGTGGATATCCTGCGCAGGATATAGTGAAAAAGCCTGCATAAGTTATGGTGAGATCCTGCATAATCCACACAGAATCCTGCATGACTGGTCTCATGTGATTGGCGAGACAAACGCTCCACACTATTGCAGCTGTTATAAATTTATACAGGTCAGATTTTACCAGATTTCGATTTCAAATGCTTCCCGGTCAATTTATCGATATATCGTATATTTGGTTAGATGCCTACGGGTTCGTAGTGCATATGCACCTGTGTACACATAGAAGCAACGACCCCTCATAAATTAATAAATACATTCGAAATTTAGAAAAGAAATCTCGCAACGCGCTTGGTAATCAAAATACCCTTCTGGGCCCCTCAAAAGTGATAACGTAAGCTCGCATATTTTATAGACAGTTTAACATGAGGGAAGGGTTACCTGGAATTTGCTACGCTGTTTAATTGCACAAAAATGTTACAGAACAAGTGAGTAATATTGTTGAAGCAAAGCTATCAGGATAATCAGCAAATATACAACATGTTCCTGCACATATGCGTGCCTTATTTGTATACATTTAACTTTTATCTTCTTAGACCGCCATCACGCTAGGATTCGAACGTATCTACGATAAATGATACATATCAATGATATATCATGAGGCTATTAATGCTTACAATTCTAAGGCCTATGTGTTGCAACGTTGTAGGTTTTCCCTCGCAAGAAAGCTAGCGCAGTTCAAATTAGAGCTCGAGGACCCAAAAGAAAGTGTGATTAAACACGCCCCCCTGCTCCAAAAAGTTAAAAGTACTCCGGTGGGGCCCGCTAGTGACAGTTCGGAAATAAACTGCAGTGAGTTCAGGGTTGTGGCACAGAATACAACACCAGGGGTTGACTTGGAGGGCCGGACCGTGTCCTCGGGTCTAATAACGGAACATATTACTGACTGGGTAATCTAGGCTCGGTGGGGCCGGTGTGACGGCCTATGATCTGGGCTGGCCTAGGCGCTGTGTATCTGGAGTGATCCCTATTCTAGAATTGTTGAAGTATCTGTGAAGCGTTGATCACAATGGTCTAGAATTCTATTGTATAATTTTTGAAGAATAATAGGTTTGAGTCAAGAAATTAAGGGCACTCTTGAGACCTCCGTAGTTTGAGCGATGACTGCGTACTCCAATTACAAGTATTGCATTAATACTATTATACTATCTAGTATGTTCTGAACTTTGATATGACCGAAGCGCCTTAAACTTGTGAGAATCTATCCTGGTTGATCGATCGTCGTCTGTGAACGTTATGTTGATTAAGCTAAGGAAGTAACTATCATAACATTATAATTATAAACATGCGTGTGATATGATTGCAAAGTATCTAATTAACTGTGTTTTGTGCGATTGAATTCAAATCAGCCGTTAGGTGTATTCCTCATATCTCATTGCCCTCTATATAAAAAGCTAGACTAAAGCGGGATGTAAAAGCTAGCTAGCTAGCGCTACCGGTGCACAACATCAAATGTTTAGGTGGCCTCGATGATGCAGAGTATGGTCGCAATTCCTGGGTCCGTGGCGCAAGAAAATAATACTCTGCATTTCGAATACGGTTTCGAGGCTACTATGCACGGAGAATATAACATCGCCAATGCCTCAGTGGACCGTTTAGAACAGCGACGCTCCTGTTACGGTGATCTTGGTATGAATGTCATCATTCATCTCGAGCTCCAGAATCCTCCTCGCATGCCTCCTACCCCACGCTTCTTGGAATCGGAGAGCTATGATATTATGGGCATCCTAACCGCATCCCCGATTCAATTCATTCGGGATTATTATTCATTACTTCGAGAGTTAAAGTTAGTTAAAAAGATATCGGCGCGGAGAAAGAATTATGAATACTAACAGTCTGCAATACTTAAATGCCTCCGCCTCCGCTGAACAGAATCCTCCGGGTCTGATGACCCAAATGAATCTTCTCCTGGCGCATCAGTTGATGGGCTATCCCCATCTACCGGCTCACCCTGGTCGCCCACCCGTTGCAGTTTCTTCTGTCTTAATTTTTGAAGTGCTTTTTGGCGTTCATTCATCGCCCAGAGCCATAGCCAACGTTTATCTCGCCGACTAGTGAGATTTAGCGTCGAATAAAGCATATCTGTGATTACAGAATAGAACTCGTCGCTCATGTCAACGCTTAAAGCGTCTAAACGTTGTAAAAATATTTCGTATGTGCGCTGTTGGAGAGGTTCCCCCTGGTCTGAGAACCGTTTGATGTATGGATCCATATCTGCCTCCACTTCCAAAAGCGCTGATTGTGAGCATTCCTAAATGCAATATGCATGGTTAGTTGTCTATCAAAACTTCTTCGCCTGTGGCGAGATCGCAATAGAGAGCTTTTTTCAAAATTTGTTCTACCTTGATAGTTCTCAAAATGGGCCCAATTTTAACGTTCAACCAGTTCCCCGTCTTTTCCAGATAGTATGGATGATTGAAAGCTGTATCCTCGAGCATTTGGTGCGTCACGGACTGGCCTTCTTTCAGCTTAGGCTTTGAGATGGCCGGTGGCCGCCGCGATGGATCATACGATGATTCAGACATCTTTTCGGCTCAGAAGATATGGGTATCTCTAGGCTATAGGCAGGAAACAATCCAAATCCTTTGAAAATGCGAAAACTATAAGTATTAGGAATACTGGAAATCTAGAATTCTGTGCTCACACTCCCGATGCCGTTTCGTTTCTTACATACCGGTTTTGCAGGCACTATTAGAAATTTGAACTAGGTACTAACTGACTCTACCGACATATGACAGACAAGACAAGACAGAAACAAACCATTATCATCCGCAACCCACCTCTGAATTGCGAGGCTGCTGCATTTTTCGCGCGTGCATCATGCATGGAACCTAGCTGGCTAGATCCTGTGCCACAATTCATTACTAGTATACATCGTCTGGCCGATGCTCATGTTCTCTTCTCAGTCCCCTTCGATCGTTCTGACTTTCGTAATCGTCTAATTTTTGTTTTTTGCCCTGCCCCCTTCTTGCGCCTGCTCGAACGAGCTCGAGTGCGTTTTAACCTGCTTGCTTTGTTTTCTCAAATGCATCAAACTTGCAAGTACTGCAAGTCTGCACGGCCTTGCAAGCCAAGCTACGGCGCCAGCTCACATCTCACCCACCGCGCAGCACACACACATCGCCCAAGCTTGGACCCGCTGTTTCAACTGCTTTTGGAAACGTTGGCCAGTACGTATGTTCCTTTAGACCAGGGCAGGGTTTAAACGTTTTGTTTTTTGAACCGGCCGAAAAAAAACAGTGGATCAAACTGCAACAACAATGCAATGCAGACCTGACCGGCATTACAAGCTGGTACAGCCTTGTCATGTGACCCGATTGCGAGCGTTTTTTCTTTTGAAAGGATCCACTTGCTCCCATTCTGGATATTCGGATCCTGACAGGGGTGGTTAGCTAAGAGCATATCGAACATGGTTGAGGAGTGGAGTTCGATGTAAGTACATGTAAGTAAGCTTCTGGATCCATGGAGGTTTGGAAGTAATTGGCGAATCTACCAATGGTTCGTTTGATTGCGGGGATTGAATGCTTATATCTTCCAGGATATGCTAGTACTTTTATCTGGCATATCTCATTCGCAGTAGGCAGTTCTCGTGGTTCCATTCTATATTAATATTGACAGATGATTCTTAAATTTATATCATATTCTCCGGCGATGTAACGTGTTCCCGGAAATAATATCCTGCCAATGTGAGAACATAGGACAATTGGCCATATTGGCGATGCCATGAATCATGCATGTCGTCAATTGCAGTTGCAGGGGTTCTTGGCTGGCTCGAGCTCGCTTCAAACGTTTGTACCGCATATTCTCACAATTCCAAACTAAGTGAGATATCCAAGACAATTAATAATGCACATGCTAAAACAAAAACCAGCCTTGCGCTATATACCCAATCGTTAATATCTGATACGCCGGATTCCGTCTAATCGAACAAAAGAACAATGATACCAAAACATCGATAACGGCATGTAATCCTTCGCCTAAACTAAAACCGGTCCCAGCCGAAACCCCAACTATTGGCGCTCATTTTGATCTCATCTTCTTGTGGTTGTTCTTGCTTCTTTCTCTCATCCTCTTTCTGACCATTGGTTTCATAATTAATTCCTTCACTACGATTTAAGTACTCTGCATCATCTACTCTCTGGACTCCTTGCATAGCCCTCGGGATCTCCGGCAGCTCTGCGATCATTGGGTTCATATCATAAGGCGACTGTGCTCCGCCAACTGGTGCAAAACCAGTGGACCCAGGCATTTCCATTATATGTGATGGAGGCTGGGATATATTTTGAAAGTTGTTATTGAAAGGCTGAGGTGCGACCGGTGGACGAGGGTAGTTATTAAAATCGCTGTTGTAGGCTAGTTGTGTGGGATTGGGATTTACTACAGCAGGGAAAGTGTTCGAATGCTGGAGGAGGGGTTGTTGGGGAGGTATTGGGTAGTTCTGTGGGTTACCATTCATATTCTGCTGGCGTTGCGGGCTCGGAAAGTTATGGAATTGCTTATGCGCTGTCGGAGTAGAAGTTTCATGGGAAAATCGAGGGGCATCGATAACAGTGTTTGCGTGGGTGCTGTGGTGGGCAGCTTGATTCATAGTGGTGCTGTGGTGGCCTGTTTGCTGGTTCTGGAACTGAGGGTGGGGGGCATATGTAGTCTCTTGATGCAATTGAGAGGGAAGAGATGCAGGAAGGGAGCCTTTGCGGACTGTAAGGCCTGGAATATCGACCCCTGGAGCAAAGTTTTCATAGTAACCTTTCGGGGTTTCTGCCTTGGGAGTTTCAACGAGCTCATGATGTTCAACTGAGGATTTGGGCGGTGAAGATTGAGCATTAAAGTTCTCAATTGCGCCCGTGGTTTGTTGCGACAGCTGTGTCGTTTCCGTAGGCCCTTGCGGCAAATACACCTGCTGGGTCGTTTCAGTAGTCCCAGATGGAATATGTGCCTGTTGAACATTTTCAGAAGGCAAAGATGGGGTATTTGCCGGCTGTACATTCTCATTCGACGCTTTTGTCTGAAGTGAGTTCCTGATAGGTAGGGATAGTGATGGTGCCTGCTGTGCATTCTCGATGGGATTAATTGGAGGTCGTGCCTGTTGTGCATTCTCACTGGGGAGAGTCGGTGGCGGCGGAACTTGGTCGAATGGCAGTGGAGGTGGAGGCGGGGGTATAAATGCCGAAGTCTCATGAGGAGTCGCGGTCCCCGCGGAAGTATTCTCAGACAACTTCCCGACTTGTGGCAGTGGATCTGGCTCTCCTGAGTTGAACTTTCGCCGTTGAACAACTTTAAGAGGCGGTGGCCTCCAGCCCTCTTCCTCTACCTCCTCCTTTTGTTGCTCCTTCTTTAGCTCCTTTGGAGCATTGTGAGGGTAGATTTGTGGGGTCGCCTGATTTTGTGCCTGTTGACGGTCACGATCATGTTCATGCGGATAGTGAAAACTTTGTTGATTCTTGCTAGGCTTCTGGTTGAACCCATTGTTCAACATATTTTGAGCATGAGACGGAGGGATCATCATTGAAACCGGACGCTGCTGCTGTTGGATTGGCTTCCTAGAAGGGAAGCGCTGTAACATCGATAGCGTTCTGTGAGGCCCCTGGCTAGTAGGTTGCTGCTGCTGCTGCTGCTGCTGCTGGTTAGGATTGTATTGGGTGTTCCCAAGCTCTACAGCACTCCATCTGTTCGAACCAGGTTGCTGGGCCTGGTTTTGGGGATTCCCAGAAGGGGTGTTGACGGGTGGGCTCTGGGGATACGAAACTGGCGCCGGTGAACTTAAGGGAGCGGTTGGCTGCACGTATTGACCTCCGTCCATCTCAAGAAGATTTCCAGGTACCGGTACATGAATTCGGACAGGAGCAGGAGCAGGAGGAGGAAAAGGCGCTTGCGGCCCGGGATTAGTATTTGGATAACTCACCGGCGCTGGAGTCTCGAGAGCTTGCGGCGCCAGTATAGAATTCGAGCGACCGATTCCATTTTGGCTGACATTTGGCGGCAATTCTTGCGGTGGGTTGATCAATTCCGGCTTTTTGGTATCCAAGAGAGTGGAAGCAGGCTTGACGCCTGGTGGCAAGTTGATTTGAACCTTTGGCTCGGCCTGCTCTTGAGAGGGGGTTTTCTCTCCGCCCTGTGCTGCCTCGAGCCTCTTGCGGTCTTCTTCCTCTTCTCTCCTTTTCGCCTCGATCCTGTCCTTCTCTCTTCGCTGGATCTGCTGAAGGGCTGCGAGTTTCCTTTTTGACATTTGGTCAAGCTGGGCAGGATTGGCCACTGGCTTCGGTGCAGGTGCAGGTGCAGGAACAGGCGCGGGCGCAGGTGCGGGGACGAAGGCGTTCGATACCGCTGGGGTATATGGCGGAGGGGCGCCCAATGTTTCTTGAAAACCATTTGCAACATAGCCTGTGCTTTGCGGTGTAATGATACCATTGAATCCTAGGACTTGCGGCTGACATGGCGGCTGGCCGAGGGCAGTCGGGAGAGCGCCTGGAGGACCACCGTATACATCCAGCTTTGTCGGACTGACGACCCCTCTACCTGCACCCGGATGGGCACCATGGGCGACTCCTCGAGCTCGTACTGCACCCCTACCTCGAGCTGCCACAGGGAATGAATTTTGATGGGCGAGTGGGGTACCTCTGCCTCTGCCCCTACCCCTACCCCGAGGTGCTCCTCCTCGACCTCGGAATCCTCCACCGTGCATCACACCCGCAGGGGCAGTCGCTGAATGCTGCAATGGCGGTCGAACTCCTCCTTGGCCGGAGAAGCTTTGAGGTCGCCCTCTTCCTCTGTGAGGAGGAGCAGCTCCTCCTCGAGCCCATGGAGGGCATCCAATGGTGGTAGCCCCTCGACCTCTTCCTGCAAGCGCGCCGCCTCTCCCCCTCCCTCGAGCCTTCCTAGCGGCCAATGCGACCCCTCCGAGCACAGCGGCACCCGCAACTGCGGCTCCACCAAGTGCTAGACCTGTTCCTAGCCCGCGATGTTTAGGATGATGATCATGGATATGGCTGTGTTCGTGTGCATGTTCCCCCTCTTGTTCCACATAAGTATAACCCTCCCCATAAGTCGCTGCTTCTCCAGACGGCGAGGTCGTCTGGTTGAATGCCCCTTCCTCAGTGGAATAATCATATCCACTGCCATCATCTATTAAATAACCGTTCTCGTCGTACGTGACCCCATACTCGTCTGTATAGGTTCCGTCATCGTTGTAACCTTCTTCGTATCCGGACTCATCGTAGGCGCCATAAGTAGAAGGTTCTTCTTCGTAGTACCCACCGTCAAGTGCGGTAGTATCCGTGGATTCGTCGTAGTATTCTTCGCCAGTGTATTCTTCGGTGTATTCTTCTCCTCCACCACCATCATCGTTTTCGAAGCCGCCTGTATCTTCCCCTCCTCCAAAATCTACGGAGTCCCCGCCAATATCATCGCCGCCATCTTCGTCAAAGGCGCCTGCGATGGCGCCGAGTGCTGCACCGGCCGCGCTGCCACCGCCTCCTCCAAAGGCTTTGATGGCCGAGATTCCCAGCTTTGTGCCGGCGGAGATGAGAAAGTCCTCCATGTGAACGTTATTGTGTTGGCGCGGTCTATCTCGACATTCCAACGTTCTGGGCGTGAATTAGACAGCAATTGATTGATACTTTGTTCGCGATCGAGTCAAGAATGGCAATATGACAAATATCGATAAAGAATAGAAGATACAAAAGGAGAGAAAGAAGGAGTAAGTATCTTAAGCTTCCCCAAGAACTTTACCGTACCTGATCTAGACTTTGTTAATTAAGACACCAAATACATGGACTTATTTAGCCCACTGGCTGGGTCCAACTAGATGGTCCACTCGAATTCCATTAGGTCAGCTAGACCCCACGAGGCTTCAAGATTTGGAAGCATAACCACCGTTTAAATGAGAACTATAGCACCAACATTTTGCCCCTCGCGCTGCCGCTGTTCATTACATGAATACTCAAGCTCTAGCCCGGCCGCCGTACTTTACAGGCCAATTGAGGGGGAATAAGATGCATGCGGCTTAAAAGAGTCCACCTCTTCATGAAATTGTTCAGCCCCGCCCAAGCGCTCGCTACAAGGCGGCCGGCTTTCAAGACAGCTGTTCGGAATTGATCACAAATTAAAGGCTGGCAGGCTCCGCTTGGGGGGAGGTTGCTTCGAGGTCATGCCACACCCTCCAAAATTGGATTCAAGGGATTTCGCGGGATTCTGTGTGCAACGTTTGGACTGAGCATTGGTCCAGAATCCAACTGGTCGGTTGGGTGGAGACCTTCAGCCGTTCGGCACCATTCCCGTTTTGAAAATTGGATGGCATCTTTCGATGGCAAACCGGATGTGGAGAATTTTATTAGTGTTCATGCGAGTTTCCGGAGATATATTTTTCTTTGGTTTCTTTTGCAGGAATGATCTGAGCAGAGTCCCATTTCAAACGAGGAAAGCCTGTATTGTGATGTTATCGAAACGGTAGACACGCCCTGTGCTTTCCGCCCTCCAACTTCGGGGCATTGTAAGGGCTTATCGGATCGATAGGATATTCGATACCAACTCGAAGCCAAAGTTTCATGAACCACAGGAGCGCCTTTAAGCAGGGCTCCATAATTTAGTTAATTCCCTATTTATTTTGCCAGCGCAGTTGTAGTGAATAGATACAGCCGGTCAGTTTTTCCAGCTCTAGACCACGCGTCCCCGACCAAGTTTTTTTTTCTTCTTTTCTTTCTTTTTACACTGAACTGAACTAACTACAGGTCAGTTTTCAGTCGTCTCAGATATCGCCTTCCAGGCAAGGGATACCTTTGCGCTTTTTGCGCTGCGCTATGCGGCTCCCAGGGCTGATACTGCCAGTTAAGATGCAGCCACCCCCCAGAAAGATCGAAGATTGAACATTCTCGCTTCTTTTCTGAGGAAACGTTTCAATCCGGCCCGTGTGACAGACAGACAGTCTAAAAAACCTCGAGGAATTTCGGTCGCATTTACAAATTCACCTTCTGGCTTAATTTAAGCTTTTAAAGACATAAGAATTCGAAAAGAGAGTCGAAAGAGTCCAGTCCAAGACCTCAACCGCAACCATGGCCCTCTGGCCTCGCCAAATCGAGACGATTTTAGACCCCAGACCCACAGAAGGAGCACAACCGCAGACTCCAACAGATCAACCCAACATCGTCACAGTCCCCAACTCTAATTCCGAAGCCTCACAACCTACAACATCCGTCGTCCCTCCGTATCAATACGCACAGGATAAATCCCTAACGGGGACATGTCGTCTGACAAATTCAACCAATGGCGACGCATCAGGACTCTTCAGTAATCCATTCAGATGCGAAAAACTTATTTCCGCAAGTTCGGTGAAGCAGAATACAGGAGCTATCGCTGCGGCAGTAGTGTTTGCGCTGTTGTTTGCGGCTACAGCAGGGTTGTTATTTTTGTTTTGGTGGAGGAGGAGGAAGATTAACGGGACTCGTGAGTTATATCCATAACTTCCAAATGTGGGGAGTATACGAGTATGATAGCTAACTGTCGTAAATTCCATAGCAATCCCACCGCTTGAGCTCAAAGATGCCTCCAACAATAACGAAGTTTCATCCCTAAGCCACCAGCTCGCCCTCGAACGTCGCCGCGTAACCGATCTACAAGCCGCACTACTTTCACAATCTTCCGGCCAACCAGGCGGATGGTCAACCTCCCACCCAAAGGACGACAGAACCGTCAAACGCTCTTTCTCAAGTATTTTCCAAGAAGTCAGAGACTTAGCAGGAAACTACTACGTCGGTGGTTCTACAGCACAAGTCAAAATCACGGCTGCAAGCGTAGCCGGTGAATTGAAAGAGGTTTTGGAAGAATGTATTAGTGGGTGGGAATCAATGTTGGAAACCCAAAAGGGGCGGGTAATGCTCGTTCGTATCATAGTCGGAGAGCTACTCCGAAGATCATGGGTCGATCACGAATTTCTAGGGAAAAAGACAGGCCATGCGGTTACAGTTCTGGAAAGAGAGGTGGTAAGAGGGACCAATCGGGAACATGCACATTTATGGCGCGTTCAGACCTTTTTAAGAGTTCTAGCTGGAATGGGTGAAGAAGCAAGGAATTCTGGGGTTCAAGCTGTGGCGGATAAGATATATGACGTGTTATCGCCTTTCAGGCCTCGCTCGGCCTCGGGGTCTAGTTCAGCAGGGAGGACGTTCTTGCATAATTTGGTCAAGCGGATGGCAGATTTATACTACGAAATGGCGACTCAGAATGCGTATTACGAATTGAGTCCTTACTTTAGCGTCATGAGGGAGCATGCTGGCGAAGATGAAGGCGCAGTGTTTGAGTATGCTAGTTGTGACGATGTGGAACAGAAATGGGAAGTTGGAACAGATGCGCATGGTAGGGAATGGTGTGCAGCTGAAGGGAGAGTAGTCAGGGGCTTTGTATTCCCCGGAGTAGTCAAGTATGGAGATGGACGAGGAGGGGGTTGGGAGGAAGGTAGAGTCGTGGTGTTCAAAGCGCAGGTTCTAGCGTAGATTGGTTTCGAAATAGTTACGATGTTATGACTTTACTAAAAACGGCGGGTAAGTTGACAGACGGTATGCTACGTTTGCAGCTCAGTTATTGGTGTAATTGACAGTTGTATCTAAATTTTACGTAATCGGAGATTAATTGAACCCATAACTACGATCTTACGGAGAAACGACAAAGACGCAAAAGAGCCCTGGAAGGCTGGGCCGGGTTCTCCTATTGGCTTAATTTGGAAGGATAAATATGTTTCCAGCTGCAGGGCCTAAATACCTCGCGAATGAGAACTACTCAGGAATATAGCATTTATTCATCAGTATCAGGCTCCCGAGTATACATGTGCATCATTCCAGAAATCTACTTGACCGGCTCGTCGGTTTCGAGATTGTGACATGTCGACATCCTGCGCTGCAGGCAGCATCAAATATATCCCGTGCATGTTCTAGAAGCACACGAAACTACGCCGAGTCCGCTAACTATTTATAGACTTACAAACGGCTTGACGCAAAATGACAGTGCATATCCGTCAGCCATATGCGCGGGCGTTCACAGCTAGAGCGCCGGGCACTGGATATCAAGCAACATCCAACGATCAAACATTTTCATAGCATAAATGTGTTGAAGATGTTGCATTCCCCAAAGTGACACAAGAATCGGATCACGGAACCATCAGCGTCAAAAACCAAATCAAACCTTCGAAAACGAGGGATCATTAAAATCCTTCAATTAATGGTTTATCTTTTTCTAACGGATGGCGTTTCGAAGCGCCTGTTGAAGTGCATGTAATTACGGATATATACCATCCCGATCGAAGGGCCCGAAACGCTCAATTAATTGCAATTGATCGATCAGTTATCATATTATAATTAACAGCTCAAGTCATGAATATTTACAGCCGCAGACATGGTATCGACAAAGCAGGAAAGTGCTCAAGAGCCTCATTCGTGCGCTTTGGACGACATATGCATATCTGATGCGAGGTTGGGTATAAGCACATGCTAAATTGTGCGATTGAACTTATGAACATCCCGTAAAAATGTTTTGGATCATTTCTCTTAGTTTTATGACATTATGACACTATCACGTTCGGGTATCTCGATCATAATGAATCTAATCTTGCCTAACTGCTTAGAAGAAATTAAAATGAGGGAAAGCTTATCTTTGTTTCCATGAAGGTTCGCGGTCCGTTTTCGGTCATTCCGATTAAATGTAAGTTTTTTTGACTTCTGACTTTTGAAACGCACTACAGATGCGGACAGGCAGATTGATTGATGGGGATAGCATCTGTCGGGTCTCGACGGAATGGATTTGATCCTTCAAAAAGAGGCGTTTGTGGGTGTGATTTCAAATTGTTGGTGGTAATGAAGGTGGATCCATGAAAGACTAGCTTTTCGCAACCAGCCAGCGAGCGAGCTATTGCAGTAGCCCGCGCACAGGGCAGCAAGGAGATAAGTTCTGGTTCCTGGAGCTCGTGGAGGCCATGGATCGAGATAATAAACTGCTATCAATATTTAATCCATGAAAATTGAGCGAGGGGTTCCGCAGCCAAAGAAGAAAAAGTTTTCCCTGCGCTGCCGTGCTACTCAAACTTACAAACAATCTCATGATCCTGATCCATACCAAGAAACTACCCAAGAGCTCCCCCCAAAAGCAAGTTTAAAAAATCTGCACCAAAAAAAGTGATTGCGGAGAAAAAGGCGAGCTGCAAGTGTGCGGAATAAGAGGCTGAAGCAAAGCAAGCAAGAACTGGCAAACCTGCAGCCGGTTGCCTTGGCCTTGCAGGGGGGCGAAAGTTCCGACCTTTTGCTGCCAAAAATGGATTTTTGTCGACGTTTCGAATGAAACCGGATTTCCTGGTCGCTCTTGAGCTCAAGGGAGTGTACTCCGTATAGACAGCAGCAAAAGATGGGCCCCAAGGCCCTGGGCAATGAAGTGGGAGAGGATGGAGGGGTAATACACAGAATGATAACGTTAGCCCTTAATTACGAAGAATGCGAATTAATATCGACATACGCAGGATCCAAGACGTCTGTCCTGCACGAGAATCCCGAAGAATTAGAAAAGAGGGTATTCGGCATCCGAAGCCCTCTCGGCCTACGAAACCCCCAGGCTTTGACCATACTATATTGTGATCGCCAGAAAAGTGATATGAATGCATTCGGTCACAAGGCTTTGCCTGGATCAGGATGTCCCATTATGACCCGTGAAGGGAGGAATTCGCATGTCTCCGGCCGGACTTCATATTCACGGTCAGAGTCCCCACGAAATAACTATCACAATTACTCAGCAAATTCCAGCTGGGAGAGGGGCCTTGACTACAGTTGACCATGGTGCCACGATAACTGAGCTGCTTCTTTTGTACCGCAGCTCGCTGGCCAGGTGCTGAATGTGTCACAATATGGTAACAGGCCATGACGAGGGCGACGGGGCTGGCGTTTTCTCCCCTGGCCATGGCCTGGTTTGCTGATAGTAGGTTTGCAATTGGCCCCACATGAAATAGCAATAGCGTTTATTCGTGACGAAAGCAAAAAGTAAAAAAACCCTGATTGGAGAGAAAGGCCATTCGCGGTGTCTCGTTTTTTTATTATTTTTTTGACTTTTGGTGGCTTTTGCATAGAGAAAAGGAATTAAAATGGGCGGCGTCATCGGTACTTCTCCGCTGGCTCTTGGAAGCAGTGGTATTTAAGGATTCCAGGCCTCGGCGCTTTTCCTTTGGACTCCTCTTTTCCCACTCAATAACTGTACTGTAACTAGACACTGTTCGCTTTTTGACGACAGCAGAGATATCGCCAGCATAAGTAAGTACTTTAATAGCTTCCACGAAATAATAATAATAGACCAAGAAACATTTGAATATGTACCTTTGTACGTATTGTATTTTATGGAGGCTAACAACCTGGTTTACCCGGCAGCAGCGAACAACCAACAAGCTTAGCGACCGACCTTAAAACGTTCCTGTCGCCAGTTAGCCCGCCGACAACCAAATCCAACATTAAAAACAACAAAGGCATTGTTGCCAACAACTAAAAAGATGGCTGGTAGCGTGTGGCCGTTCATCCCATTTATGGCCCTTCGTGGCGCTCAAGTTTTCTTTGCCATCATCGTGCTCGGTTTGAGCGGTTATGTTGGCGACCAGTTGGGAAGCTACTGGTAAGTACTCACTTACTTGACGCCGGTACCTCGTAAATGCCAGGGAAATCTATGGATCAAGGAACTAGCTTCGAATTCGCGACCTCGAGCTCGCGTGATAACAACACACAGCTTCAGAATGCGTGCATGAGAAATAGCCCTTGATCAGTAGATATCTGGAAGTAGAGCATAAGAGTACAGGTTACTAATTTTTATTTTGATGTTTTGTAGGTCTCCGTGGTTCTGTCTTGTGACTGCAATCTTCACACTCATTGGTTCTGGTGGCCTTATCGCTGCCTTCTTCCTTGCTCCTGCCTTCACTGCTCCATTGATCACCCTCGGAATCGATGCTTTCCTTTGGCTATTCTGGCTCATTTCCCTCGCCGGATTTGCAGACCAGGCTAGTCCAGTTCTCAATCTCGGCTCCTGTGATTACCTTATCAACTCCAACATCTGCGGTTCCATCAAGGGTAACATGGCCATGGTAGTTTTTGAATTGTATGTCTCATCATTCCTAAAATAACCCCCAAATCTTCCAATGAGAAGCAATTACTAACAATTTTACTACAGCCTTTTGTTCCTTGGAACTCTCGGTTACTCAGGCTGGTTGTTCTACCGCGAGCGTACCGGCAAGGGAGGTGCTGCAGGTGCGAACCCCGAAGGCGGTCACGCCTCCGCCGGCGCAATCGCTGGTGCTCCTCCTGTCGCAGCTACGCACGGTACTTACCCGATGCAACAGCAGCAGCCCCCCGTGTTTAATCAAGGACCTGTTGATAATGCACCTACACCTGTTCCTTTCCCACAGGAAGGACAATATCAGTATCCACCACAAAGTCCACCACCTCAAGGGTATACACAGAGCCCTCCACCTCAAGGGTATACACAGAGCCCGCCGCCTCAACAGTATCCGGAGATGCCTGTTCCAGCTGGGACACAGGGGTATCAGCAGCCGTATCAGCAGCAGCAGTAGATGAATTGTTTTATGGCGAAAAGAAGGGGTTGATAAGATTCTAAAGTCTGTCAATTTGTTTTCTTGATCATTCTTTGACTTTGCTTTCCTGCTAGCTTTTACTATTATTATTATTATTATTAGTTACGAACTTTGCATGTTAACTTGTGGATAGTCGGTTTATTCGCGAGTGGTCCTAGGCTGCTCCTTAGGAGCAGCCCGACATTCTTGTCCTCTCTTCCTCGTCACATACTTTGTATCATTTTTTTTTTAGGAAACTGAAGGAAGGAATGGAAAAGGGGTAGAAAAAGAGGTGGATCTTTATAGATGGAATGTCTATAGCTTTGTTGGTCACTTGACAGGGGCGGCGAACGGCTATTCGCGCTTTGTTAGCCTTCTTTTTATGACGTTCTTTTGTGATGATACCATGGAGGTCATTCATGTAAGAGATGGGATTGGGTAGATACACCGATTCTACGAATTATAATGATTTAATATCTACGTTTCTTCTTCCTAAAACTTCTTACACTTCATCTTGCTCGTGGGCGGGTGTTAAATCCGAGTAGTATTTGGATCCAACTCATATTTTCAACAATTTAAGGCTAGCTCTATTCCTAGTACTGCGAAAAAAATATCAATGACAACTTGATGTGATTATATACTTAAAAAGCTCATATACTCCGCCTATGGAACGGGAAGAATGCAAAGTGTAATATACTACAAAAGAAAGGCTGATAGTGTCCTCCAAAAAGGTTAATATATAACAAGAAAAAGTATGGAAATATATATCTAAACAATCATCCCTAAAACCACTGCTGCAACCCCACTAATGCCCCAAACCCCAATACTGATACTAACACCCCTCCCAGCATCTCCTCTAAACACCAACTCCGGTGGTCCATTCAAGTCCACCCCGCTAGTAATAGTGGGCATCGAAACACCACCGTCGAGTTGTACACGAGTACTCTGCGCTGCCGGGATATCAGATGGTTGTGGAAGTATGATACCGGTCAAGATGTAACCCGTCTTTGGAGGATCTATTGATGATTGAGAGGATGAGATGGATGAAGTTGAAACTGTGTGGAATGTGGTGGTTAATGATGGGGAGGGTTTATATGTGGCTATGGGGGGTGGGTTTTGAAGGGAAGAAGTTGTTTCGCTATCTAGTGATGGTTGGGGGGTTTCGATAGGGATAATGATGTTTGATGCCATCGACGTTGGTTCTTCAGGAGATAAAGCGGTGGTTGAGGACAACGTGGTTATGATTGAGGTAGATGTGAATGAAGGTATTGTCGTTAATTCAATGGATGTAGTAGATTCAGTTGAGGTAGACTCGGTTGAAGTCAACTCAGTTGAAGTAGTAGATACTGGCAATGCGGTAGCTGAAGAAATACTCGGCTCAATAGAAGTAGTAATTATCAAAACCTCGGAGGACGGTACTGGTTTTTTCTCAGGCTCATTCGTGGGTACCACTGCAACTGGCGGGGATGCAATCATCGTAATCGTCGGTCTATATAAGCTCGAAGAAGAGCTACTAGTAGTATACTCTGGTGTGCTAAAGACATAACCAGGTTCTGTTCCAATATCGGACACAACGGGACTACCGCTTTGTACGGTCGTCAGTGTCGATGTTGTTTCTGCCGGTAGCCCAGTACTAGTACTGATACTGCTACTACTGCCATCGATTACTCCATCGATAATGGTTCTAGTGACAACGTCGGTTTGGGTGGTGAAGGTGGTTTCGATTATCGTTTTGATATTTGTGATTATTGATATGCTTTCTGTCGACAAAGAAGTACTTTTAGTACACTCTACGGAGATATTTGTATCCCTTCGATCGTTATGTATATCTTGGAGTATTGGAGCTGCGGGAACAGTCCTGCTGTAAAAAGTGGAAATGAAAAAGATGTAGAAGAATATAGTGAAAGAACGTGGGTGCAGGAAACCCGTCCCGCTGGATCGAGACATTTTTTGAACGAGAGTATGTTATCAAAACGACAAGAAAGTTAAGCTAGTTTGATACCTAGCTCATGATGTCGGTCTAGAATCTATAGGACCCTGAAGAAGCTACAAACAGAAAAGATTAATATCCTTTCTTGCACTAGAGCCGTAGGTCAGATCGATATATCGGAAGACCGGCTCCAAGATACTTGGACGAAGAAAAAGGTTCATCAGAAGATATGTACTACGGGATACAAGCTATTCTATATACTCACTTCCATTCACTTACCATGTTTAACACCAATATGTACGATAGCGCTTACCGGTTCATTGTTAATTAATTATATTAAAGAACAAGAACAATACCGTTGTTCCATATATGCATACCCTAGTCTACTTCATTATCTACCAACACTTGCATATTGTAAAAGCAAAATATCTAAGCTTGATTCGGCCAAAGTTTGCATACATACAGCAGAAAATACTGGCCGTTTTTGTAGTTTTCTTGGTGTGAATTTCAGTAGATTTCTTCTAGCGCCCGGGAAGTCACAGATGTCTTGTCAAAGATGCATGTCTACCCATGTTATGCATGCAAGCTAAAATTGACCCTCCTTGTGAATTCAAAGCATAACTAAAAGAATTTAAAGAAAAACAGTTGTTAAGAACAGACCATTGCGAGTGAATGATCGTGTGGTGAATGCAACAGGTGTGATACAAATTGAACAAGGGTCGAGAACCAGTAACAGGACCGCGCGCTTAGAAACTCCCAGCTAGCTCTCGCATTCTTAATGCTTCTCAACTATTACATGATTTTTAGTGGGGAAATTTTGAAAAGGGTGGAATCTTGAGTAATGGGACAATAGAGGCTTCAGGTTTTGAAAAGTTGGAGGCGTGGTTGACGGTCATTTGGTGGAAGTGGCGCATGATGGGGAGTATTTAGTAACTATAGTGGTTATGATGCACGACACTTCAGTAACAGAAGCCGAGAATTCAGACCGGTGATAGGTTTGTACTTACAATACGAGACTAAGGTTTGTATACAATTAGTTGTATGTGAAAGTCACGAAAGAAAGATTATTCATAAGGTGGGCCGGCCGGCGCATGGTAAAACCCGGGCGGAATCGGTCCGATTTTGAATTTGATCGGGTTTATGACTTGGACTTGATCATTAAGCTAAGGATGTCAGGTCTATATTTGTCGGTAGTTATTGATATATCGATATTGTCTCGACATCTCCTACAAGAGTCTTGGCTAGAATCTTACGCATTATGAGGTCGACCTAGGCTTTAGACTTGCAATCTCGGTCGATGGTATACGTCATAGAAGCAACCTAAAATTATTTATTCAAAGGACAGTCAAGTTAACTTGAGTTGAAGAAATTTGGAAATTTTCAAGATAATAAATTGATTACTATCGAGGGTGCCTGTGAACATCTTGGTAAGATCTCGACGCCTGAAAGTTTAACAACACAAATCATGGCATCGGATGGTGAGAATCGTAGTCGAAGCCTGGGTTACGAGAACAGTTGAGGGAATTGGAATTCGGTTTAGAGTGAAAGGTGGCTCGTGGCCTGATCGCCTTTTGCGATGGGGGAAGTCTAAGATTTTATGAATTCGCCTTCCCCAGGATAACGACCAGAATGACGGCTGCCTGGTCCGCACTATCATTTCCCTAGCCTATACTAAACGGTTGTTTGAATCGACATCGATATAATTACATTCTCTATAGCTCTCATTCGTATTCTCAAATCGATATCTAAAATCTTCGAGACATTCGAGCTGATCAAGTAGACCCACATGTAACTTAGCTACCTACTTACCTTAGCTCACCACTAGGTTTTAGTATTATTTGTAATTATTTTCCCCAGCTGGCCGACAACTTGGCTGACATAACCCGGGTTATCGATTATCCTGTTTTTTTTGTTTTTTTTTCTTCCTTCTCCTTCACCTCCCTTCGCAAGGCCGTTGTCTCGTACCTAGACCTGGTTTGGCCGGCAGTTGCGTGTTTCAATCCCAACTCGCCCAATTCCCGTTCGTTGAAAGTGTCCGCTAGCTAGCTGGGCTGAATACGCAAGCTATCCCCTAGACTTTCGGAACGAGAAATTCGTCTATTAGCGAAATCCCACAAGAAAAGCTAGGATCGAAATGATGTTTTAGAAGGAAAAAGCGTTTCCTCAGTGTGTAGTATCTATTAATTGTTACAGGAAAGAAATACATCCTTGTGGTATGTGGGTCCAGAAACCTCGAAAAAATTATCCGGGGTACCCCCACCACTGTGGAGCTTCTAATAATAGTAGCGCATGGAGCTTTCGAAAACTTTTGGAAGTAAAGACAAATTCGGCGAGTTCTTCATAAAAATCTTGGAAGTGGGGCGCGTAAATATTATAATTGTTTTTAAAAAGGAATAGGTGCGGCTTATGTAACAGACTGTATTTGTGTAACCGTGGTCGTGGCGGTGATAATATATTATCTAAAAACTAAATATTGCAGTTGTATGAGGATGCTAATTGGGTGTCGTCAGCGTCGATACCATGGGGTCGATAATTAGGTAATTTATGGCCTCAGATAGGCCAGAAACCTTGGTTCGTACATTCGTATCATCGAAATAGGCATCCGTTGAATAGAGTCAAGTTTAAAGTTTCCCGTATCTTTAGCACTACTTATCGACGCGGCAAGTATTTCGCACGTAGAGATCGACGACAGCTATTCTTATCTATGCATATATACGAATTATATATGCTGGCCGATATAATAGCTAGCAGCCGTCCCGTCGGGATCGTGGCGAAGGCACGGCAGCAACCGAATCTGCATTCGATCAACGATGATATATACTTCAAGTTCTCTAGAGGGGGATAGTTTAAACGGCAACCTCGTATCAACATGCAGAAACTCGGGCCGGCATAAAAGCGTGACTTTGAAGAACATATAGATACTCACTAGTCAAGTGATATCAATAGGCTGCACCTCACCAGATATTAATATTCCTTGTATATCCCATTGCCACGGGTGAATGGTAATCCATGAGCCTGAACAACCATACAAACAGGGAAAGAAACCCCGTTCACTTACGTTCCGGGGCGGGGGTCGTAAATTCCGAATATAACCTGTGCGACCCCGCAACTATTATATGCCCCTGATGTGATATTGACATGCCTACCATGACTACGGCCTTGCTGTTTTCGAGGACATCACTCTACCCCACTCGTATTGCGGATTAAAGTACTACAAAACGTTAAAGTTAACCCGGTACGGGACTAACCCAGCCCACTCCAAAAATTGCTCCACGTCACCGGTACCAATATCCCACTACGATTCCTTTATTTCCCTTAGCCGCAGGAGCATTATGTCAAAATAGAAGTTTAGAGTCTATGTGTAACAGTTCTGCAATGCAACTGTCTGTAAGGATTGCAACTATAGCCCCAAAGTACCTGTTAGGACACCCTGTGATTAGTCGTACAAAGTTATAGAAGTTCAAGTCTAGCCTATCCTTCCCTATTCCGCTTATCGAAACTGGGCTGTTTAAACTTTTCCCTGAAGGATCTTTAGCATATTCACGAATTCCTTTCCCGATCTTGGGTGCCTGCATAATTCCCAGCCGTACGTTAATGGGATCCTGTGATACGATACACGGCTAAGCTAACATTCGAAGAAACTTGTAATAAAAAAGACATTTTTGAGCGATCTCCAGACTGAATAGGGTGGCTCGTTAGGCTAGTATAGCTATATCTGCAACGTTATAGCACTGCAATCGTCTGGAGCAACTGCAACCTTTGCTTGATATAGTGCCAATGCCGGTGGCAACCCGATCTGAGTCAAAAATCGAGGCTCTGCTCGGTCACTTGTCCTTAACGTAACGTTTTAGAATGTCGCATCTGCAGTTATTTTGGGGCGTTCCTGCGTCCGATAGTAAAAAAACGCCCGGACGCGTTGCGTAAGCCCATCAGTTATGTTAACATGTTGGAATGTCGGACATGCACTGCTTCGTCGGCCGATAGTTTGAGATTAATTTTATGGCTTGGAAGGAATAGCGGGCTGTTAGGTTTTAATACTATAGTGCTGCTACTAATTTATGGTGATCTCAATCCTGGGAAAACGAGACGGCTATGGTTTTATCCCATGTAATTCCTGTATTGTCGGATACCCCGACGTCATTGTTTATGGCCAGCCAATATTTACCCGTGCTCGTATTAGGGGATCGAGAAGTGCATGATCATGAGCGCGATCATTCAGGATGTCTAGCTATCGCTATAATTTATGAGATGGATGGGACGGCAGATGCGCATGAAACTTGAACCTGCAGCAACTAAAAATTAATTACTCGGCCGGTTGTCTCAAACCAGACTTCGCTCGGCCGGAAGAATATAGAAAATACGTCCCTTCGAATTACTACTCACCGAGCCTTGCGCAATTGCGTTTTCACACCGGAACCCGTGAGGAAACTACCTGTATTACTCTCCCCGTGGATGGCTGAAGGTACGATCGCCAGTAGTTTCGGGCAGGATGTCGTAGATCATATGCATTGTTCTGTCCTGCCATGCAAAGTCGAGCCTGCCGCGCCAGCATTTTCCCTCATCTCGTCTTATATAACGTGATATGTCGAAGAAATATGCACATATATTTAAACTCCCCCATTCTATGATATCGATGCTCGGGTGGCTTAGCCCCGCCGTAATAGTCCTCGCTTTGTGCCGACGCAAAGTACCCGACTGACCGGTTTTTCTTGGTTTCAAGGCCACGGCTTGGCTTGCAGGGGAATGGAAGCTTTTTCTGTGTCTATATTCAGCATACCAGCACATCCTGTGGAGTCAAGTTAATTCCGAACGTTTGAGCTAGTTATAAGGGCCATGAACAAGTTTAACAAGTTTTTTTACGCGTTATATATGTATGATTCCAAAGGCGAATGTTCGGGAAGGTGCATACAGTCGGCAATTGCGTATTTTGATATAACCCATGCTGATATAAATTTAATTGTGTATGAAGCTCAGGAATACCGTGGAAAAAACAACCGAGGCTAAAAGTTGACCTGGAAGTCTCCAGGCTGGGCGGTGTCGACTCGAAAATTAAAGACATTGAGGCGCGACATGGGATCTTCGGTTTAGAAGGCTTAAGCCTTTCTGGGAGACCCCTCTTCGAGGCATATATTCATTGACCTTCGTCTACGATTCCCTTAACGGATTGGGCTTTGATGTTCAGTGAACTGGCTGCAGACGGCTGTTCGCGGAGTGCGAGTGGATGGTGTGCGAGAGTGTCGGATCCAACGACATTCAACCCGCATACGTGTATACTCATATTATTGCACAATTGTTTGGAAACCAGGAATAACATTGTATACCCCAGGGTTTTATTTTATTGATGATGAACTCGCAGTCGAAGTTATCTCCGGCCACTTACAGCTGTACGAGTGCTGATGACGATTTTACACGCATCGCGGTTGCATGCAATCAATTGCATCGGCGAGATGAAGGAGTCACACACAGGAATTTCGTCTGTATTGCATTCAAACTACAAAGCCTTCTAGTTAATTAATTTCCAAAATAGACGGATTAGAATATATTTTCCATTTTCCGTTTCGACTAATTTGGCAAAAATTCAAGTAGGATATACTGAAATTTGGAGCTCGTATCAATATATTCCCTTGTGCCGATGCCTCCGTTTCAGCTTGCCCTTTTTTTTCTTCACCCATGTCGAGAGGTCCTCGTGTCCTGGATCTCTCTCGATCTCACCGACTTGGGTGCTTACTGTACATAACAGCCAAGCACAATCTTATTTCTCACCCTCTTTTCTCAATCCTGACGAGTAGTAGCGGATGTATGCTAAACAGAGTAAAAATTGCACCGCGGCGGTGAGCGGACCAGTAGCTAACTGTTGTTCATAGTTTTTCTGGTCTGGACCTGGACTTTTGACCGGGGTTCTACCACCTGTACAACTATCACCAAGCACCTGCAACTGTCAATCTGACCCCGTTTAGAGTAACCATTCTACACTGCCTTAAAAGGGAGCTTGGTTCTCTGGGCCTTCTTTTTCGCCCTTTTTTATTTTATTTTATTTTTATAGATCTTTTTTCGAAACAACATTTCTGGTTCCCTTGTGCTTGCGGCTCCGCCTCCCAGTAAATATAGTCGGTTCCCCCACAACCCTGCCCCCCGTTCAACATCTAACAGGGTGCCAAACTTGAAGATTTGGAAGAATACCAGGGCCTGGTCAATTGGGGTGTGTGAAATGATTGGTACTTTTTTTGTGCAGCAGAATTCTTAATACACGCTGTCATTGATACATCTGCCCGGTATATCACCCCAGCCTGATGATCTCGTTTCTTTTACGAATTGAATTTGGTTGTTCGTTTCTTCTTCCTGCGCCTGCATTCTTGTCTCGTTTTCTGAAATATAAACTCATATCCTGTCAGAAAAAAGTAGCAGCCTGGGGAGGAACATTACTACCCACGCTACCGGTGTTATTCCAGGGAGTAACCATATAATACCACAATGTCACAGGCTTGAAATCACGGTACGGTTATTAGCCTCTTTTCTTTCCTAACGAAAAAGGAAAACGCAATCGATCGCTGACCCACCGCCTGCCTGACGGATAGCTGCGTATCCCTAGTTGCTCAAAGCTGGAAGGCAGATATAACACAAACGGGAAGCCCGCACGGGTCTAACGTTACGTTAATTTTTTGTTTTATTTTTTCAAGCTACACTTCCCTGCCAACAATCATATCTACTATTCTTTATTTCTCCGACAAAAGGAAACTAAACGTTTCGATCGTTTATAGCATCTCCAAGCTCTAAGTTCTTGAAAGCCAGCCCAGCGGTCGAAATCTTCCCCTTTGCTTATGAATCGTTACCACGGATTTTATTTCGACTGAAGGAAGTCTTGACGGTCGGAGACTCTGTAGCGTCGATCTAATATCCTTTTTGGCGACACCAAAACACCAAAACACCAAAACAGACGACAAATCATCATACAGTTACGCCAATTTCTCAACTTAGTCTCAAATTCAATTGGTTCTGTTGTTGAATATGCTGCATGAAGAAGCGACAATGCCGTGTTCTCATACAGGTATCCGACAGCGGAGACGGATGGTGAAAGCTGCCCCGTCGACATGTTCCAAATCATTTACAAGGTATTGCGTAGCGCTACTAGGGTCGTTGACCGCTGTAAGCGTGGCTACTCCTGTGCTTGATACTTTCCCGACTGTACCGTCGAGAGACGGATATGTGCATGGCGGAATCAAGGTTTCGAGGAACCTATTATCACCAGTTGAAAATATTGGGTCTACTCAGCTCCCGAAAATAAACCTCCATCGTCTTTATACTCGGGCTTCGAACTCTATCAACAAAGCCGCAATAATTGTCGGCGTTTGTGGTGGATTAGCCCTTGTATTCGCAGTGGTTGGTGCGTACTTCTTCTGGCGTATCAGACAGAAACACCGCGACGGTACATGTGGCTGCGATGAAAAGGGTATTGCCTGTAAATATCGCCAGAGAGTTCCGTCTAGTGCTAGTTTCGGCGAAGAAGAAGAAGAAGAGGGTGGTGATGGTAGGAGACACAGCCGAGTGAAGAGCAGAGATATCTCACCACCAACTTCCCCACGGCAGAAACTGTTAAGCCCACCTCTTCACCACCAACCCGGCGACCGGAATCGATGGTCAACCTCTAGTTCTAGAAACAGCGGCCAGTTCTATGATGTCGAAGGTTTTGAGTACCCACAGAACTATAAACCACCACCATCATCCTTCCGCGCTCACTCCCCATCGGCGTCAATGGAATTCTTAGTTCCGGCAGCTATCGCCAACTTGATCAGTCCCATTACGCCTAGGGATCCCCTCCTTGCCCCACGCGGGATACCAAACAACGATGACGGCGTAACAATAACTCCGCCACGGACACCCTCGCCAGCCATCTTTGCAAAACGCTCCCAATCACCACATACTACACGAGCCTTGACCCCAGAGCCAGGGCCCAGTCAGCGTCAACTCCTCCACAACCGTGGCCGCAGCCTCTCATTCGTAGACCTTTCCCGCTCTGACGCAGAACTTCAAGAGGACCTTGACGCCATTGCCAGAGAACTCCAGCGCCGTCCCCGTTCAGGAAGTATTGACAGTCGTCTGATGCAAACGCGCTCAAATAGTCCTCAACCACCTACTGCCTCTCAGGATTTTATAATGGAACTTGAAGCAAGCCCGGGTATGTGGAATGAAGATATGCAGCGAAATCGAGGAGAACATGTAGTCCACGAAGCAGTTAGTCAGGAGTTCGCAGTGGAACTTGACTCGAGACCGTTGACGCTAGGTCTACCCAAGAGGACTCGAAGATTAACATCGCGGTTCCAGTGATTGATAGCTTTCGTCCTTTGAATTATGATACCACTGCTTTTGTTCTTTTTTTCGTCGGCGCGTTGTAATGATAATGATGATTGCTTTTGTACTGTATATACTTCGATGGGTTTGCAATCGGCTGGGAGATGTACGTCGATTCGAAGGTTGGACTCATGGAAGGGGTCCTTTGAGCTTCGGGACCCCTTTTCTTTTTGTGTTACCACAACGCAAATTCTGCAACAAATGCAAAGTTTTTGGTCGATGACATTCAGAGTCGCGAGTATGTCCTTTGGTAGCTAGCTACAGTAGTCTTTTCTAGTACGTAGAATGCAAATGAGGTTAAACATTTTCAATTCCCATGGTTGCTTGTCTTATAAATATTGAATTACATAAATTGAGGAAATTTAGTCTTGTCCTAGTTACATCTATCTACATATGCACCTCGCTTGAACCCGGGCCGACCGGCCATGCACATTGGCGATGATTTTGAACAACGTGTTTCCGATTACGGGACGTCTGGACTAGGTGAGTTTGCGATAGCCCAATGCGATGATATCGATTTTGAAGAGCTTCTTGGTCACTTTGTTCCCCCACCCTTGAATTTATCATATAACCTAAGAGCCGATTTGCAAACCGGCTACCATATCAATTCTGGGAAGTTTTCCGAGTTTGATCGAGGAAAAAGAGGTACAGAACGTGTTTACACATGCAAGAGACCGTGGATCGGTGACGAGGATCAAATTGATGAGGATGCACTATTCCCACTCAGGCCAGTCGTGCGATTTCATTACCTACAGGTATACTGTCAGGACTGACTCTTCTCTCTAAGCGCCCCACAATCTGTCCAATTCCGAGATAGTCTCATCGCCACCAAACCAACTCAGGCTTGACGTGGAAGTAACTCGCTGTCGGATACTGCCTGATGACTTGGTTAACTGCCCCAAGCTGCGGCCCTTCGTGTCCCCTCCACCAATGCGGGACGAAGTCTTTTTCATTGGGACATGTGAGTTGTCGCGCTGTCATTGGATCAAATGCAACGGCTTTCCCAACACATCTCTTGGTCCATATAATAGCCGGGACTTCCTGGCGGGATGATTCACTAGTAGGTCTTGTCAGGAACGAAGTATCCAGTGATATTAAAATTCTTAACTCCAGTATTTCAAGAAACGCCTTCTCTAGTTTCAAAAACCAGGTTTATAACTATACCATTATGATTCTTCAAAGTCGTGTTCCTTTCACCTCACTTCTTTACTACTCTCTCGTCTCTATTGTGGTTTTCTACTTTTTATTCGTCTCAGGATCATAGTTTTCCCCAATACCTTTGCAACTTTTCTCTTATTTTGTGGTTTCACCTGAATTAGAGAGATAGATAGCTATAGCTCTTTCACAAAACTCATCGGCATCTTGAAACAAATATTGAGCCCCGCGGCCGCCGTATCACAATGGGTCTCTTCCAACAACCCCTCCGGTCGACATTTCACGACCTTCCCACTCCACCGCCTTCTACACCTTTTTCACTTCCTCCACTGCAACCGCTGGCATCGACTGTGAATATTCACATCACGAATCACAATCATTATAGTGTTCAAACACCAGATTCAGCAAAATATAATTTTGGTCCTAAAGACAAACCCCATTGGAGTTCTTCGGGAAGGAAGGCCTGCATTACTCCCTCTCGAAAGAGTCAACACAAATCGCCACTCCTTAAGAGGCTTATTCAGGGACTGTCGCCAGTATATGGACTCCTAACGCCGGCTGCTACACCTCCACAACGTACTTCGAAAGTTACGTTAGTTGAGGAGCAAAGTCCCTTGGTCAAACAGAATTCGCAGGCGCAACAAAAGATCAATGACAAACGGCAGGTCGAGAATATCAATACAAGCTATCGACATTCTGAATCTGATATCTTACAGGATATGCCAAATCCCGCAGATATTAGGTTCTCTGCGAGCGCCGGTAATAGGGAATTTGCAGTGCGAAGTAGTCGGGTTGATATCCCATCATCGCCACCTACACTTCTGTCCTGTGATGATGTCTTAGTTTCAGACGATTCAGCCTTGGGTGAACTAGCGGTCGCTTTACGAACCTCCAAAAAGACTGGACTGAAGCGATCAGAACAAAAGAAGAGGACTCAAAAGCAAAAGCAAAAGAAGATCATCCCAGAATGTTACAATCACGACCTCCGGCTCCCAGGAGAAGAACCCGGGGTTGATGTAGTTCCTTGCGATTGGGTTCGACCCTATAATTCCAGTCGGTGGAACAACTATACAAATAAAAACGCTCAATGCAAGGTTCCGAAGTGCGATGTAAGTTTTCTCGAAATACAACCTTATTCTGGTAAATACTAATCGATCATTTGTAGGTTTGTATCTCCCACGAAACCTACGGTCCAAAATCCATTTGGGCGTTGTCAGCGCCCGCAGGATTCAGTGCAGAATCACATCGCCTTCGTTCACGTATCCGATACCTCTGCTCTGGTTGCCCACAACCTGCACCCCCGCCTCCTGGGGGGGTGGGACCGATCGAAATGTGTACCTGCGTTCTAAGAGATGGACAAGGACTTCCAACAGATATGTGGTTTCAATGCAAGGGCTGTGCGGAAACGGCGTGGTTTGAGAGTGATGCTAGATATGGAGGGCCCGATGGAGTATTGATAAAACGGAGGCCAAGGAGAAGAAAGAACAAATATGGAATCATAATCCGACCGAGAATTTCAAAGGATGCTCGACTAAAGGGTGGGTGCAGAATCAAGAGGTGTCTTTGTGGGAAGATTGTCCCGAAAGATGGTAGGTACGGTGCTTGGTGTACCTGGTGCCAGTGTCCAGTTGCAGGCCAGGATATGATGGAGTACGGCGGAGCCGCGACAAAAAGCGGGCGAGCCTTTTTACCCAAGAAGGAAAATGAGGACGAGGATTAGGATGAAGGGAATGAAGATGAATTAGTGGCAGGCCCCACTGAGCAGGAAGACGAAATAATGGATGATGCCAAAAAGGATCGAGGTGAAGACGAAGAAATGGCTGAGGACACTGACGACGATAGCGGAATTGATGTTTTTGAGTAATTTTTATGAAACCTGCATTTGGCGTTATTTTTTCATGGGATTGGGTGGAGTTTACATTGGGAAACGGAGCAATGGCTATTTATAAATTTAATTTGGCAAAGTTTTATCAACTGCTACAATTCGACATCACGACGACAGGAATATTGAGCACTAGATTACACACTTTATACGGCAAGCCTAAATTGGGGCGTTTTGTTTGATTTTCTGTATTATTTCAGCCTCTTCTTGTTACACCATTGTATGTAGAATACGACCTTACCTCTAACGACTTCATGAAGATACGATATCGATACATTATATACAAGTTTCGATATTCCTAAACTGCGTTGTCAACCAAAATAACACATAGGGATGTCTTACACCATACATCCGGTGTCCTAGCCTAGTAGCTAGAGGTAGTAAGTCTAGGGCCGTGGCTCAACCTCATTTTCATCTCGATCACTAAACCAGCCATTCAAGTCAGCTAAAGTGCATCAGATGGCAAAACCTTCCTAAGCCATGTCAACCCCCATCATCATCCTCGATGGTGCCCTAGGCACCCTCTTATGCGACACTACATCTCCAGAAGCCTCAGCCTCGCCGCTATGGTCATCAATCGACCTGCTGCATAATCCCAGTCGGTTGGCTGACGTCCATGCCCAATATATTAAAGCTGGTGCAGGATGCATCGAAACAGCAACCTACCAACTGTGCCGCGAGACGCTGCTTCGGAGCGGCGTTTCGGATGAAGATCAGATGAGAAAAATATGTCATGCTGCTATGCAGCTTGCAGTTGATGCAACCAAGGATTTAAAGCCCACGGGTAATAATAATAATAATGCATCGGTTGCATTGAGCTTGGGACCGTTTGGGATGTGTTTACACCCTAGCCAGGAATATTCCGGGGCCTATCCTCCGCCGTACAACACTGATTCGGCAGATGCGGTAGATGCATTAGAGAAATGGCATCGAGATCGGTTACAGGCATTTCAAAAGGCATCGAATGATGCTTTTGAAGAAATTGATATTTTGGCATTTGAAACCGTGCCGTATAAGCGAGTGGACGAAATTATAGCAATAAGAAGAGTTATCGATTCGGAAGAGTTTAGGGGAAGGAAAGCTTGGATAAGTATGGTATACACAGAAGTACCGAAGGAAGAAGTTATTGGTAGGATAACACGTAAAGTCTTCGAAGATATACCATTTGGGAGTACACAGCGAGGGATTGGAATTAATTGCACCAAACTTGAGAATGTAAGGGAAATCGTGAGGGTATATTCAAAAACGATCATAGATATAGGGATTCGGAAAGAGGATGTGTTTCTTGTGCTATATCCGGATGGCGGGCTAACTTATGACGTTAACACGAAGACATGGAGCGATGAAAATGGGATGGCTGAGGTTGAAAAGTGGTGCAGGCTCTTACAAAAGATCGTTGAAGAAGCAGTAAACGACGGATGTTGGGGAAGCATTATTATTGGAGGATGTTGTAAGACGACACCGGAACATATTTCCGAACTATCAAAGACATTTGCGGCGATTCAATAGTTATGGTTAACTTTACCGCGATACAAATGCATTATCATTCTGCTTTATCATGGTATAGCATGTGGTTTCGGCCGTGGGTTCGCTCCGATCTCATCCTTGTCCGTGCGACCCCAATGTATATACATATACATAGATAGAAGTCGGTCTCGAAATCTACTATAGTACTCCATCAGTCGAAACCAGCCTCTAGTGCTTTTTAAGCTATCTGATCCGAGGATCGAAAGGATGATAATAATACACTCTCGTCTTCTAAGATAATACACCCTCGTCTTCTAAGATAAATCTCACTTCTCTTATAGCTATAGTAAATCAAACAGATCAAAGAGTTAAAAAGGCATGTGAGTGCGGCACCCAAGATGCAATAAATACTATATATTAGGGAGCTGTGCACCTTAGAACGAGACAACTGTGCACCCTAATTTGTCCGTATATAACCCGTGAAGCAAAGGATATTGAAGTGTGTATTGCAGTTTCTGCAAGGTCAAATTTGAGGCAGCCATCTTTAATGGGGAACGTAAAATATATATTAGATTTGGCACATCGATCGTCAAAATTGCAAAAGGTAAGACTAAGATCCTGTTCGTACGGTCCTCATTACAAGAACCAATACTCCTCAACTTCACTTGTGAGTAAAATAAAATGAAAAAACCATTCCACCATCGCCAAGTGCCCTTTGATAGGAACACGCTCATTCACTCCATGCATATTCTTCTTGACCACTGGCATAGGAGCATAACGAAAGATATTTTTAGAAAGCTTTGTATACCAGAATGTGTCCGTGTTACCCATATTCAACCCCGCCGTCACAACAAGATTCTCTCCAAATACTGCACGAGTATTTCCCGCAACAAGCTTGAAAGCCGATGGGATATCTACTCTAGAACTTGTAAGCGGCGACGGTTCCCGTTGATTTTTGATCTCTATAGTAATAGAGGATTCTGGATAGTTTTTCTTTTGTTCTGGGTAGGCGATAAATTGTAATCCATGTTTCTTCGCAATTGACGACACAAGACCTGCGGTGGCATTTGTGACCTCTGATATGCTCGAGCCTCGGCGGATGCGATGATTCATCCCGAGGGTTACATACTCGGGTAAGGCGTTTATTTTGGTTCCGCCACAAATAGTAGTTACCGCAGTCGTAGATCGTAAGTCTGCATCGAAGCGAGGATTCAACTTAACTAGTGCGTCCGCTAGTGCTTGTTTTTCATCTTGGACGATATAGTCGTAGAGTTCTTTTGGAAAATCCTTAGCATGAGCTGCCGAACAGGCAAGAAAATCGAAGAGCGGGTTATCGTCTGAAAAGACTCTTTCAAATCGGTGAGATTCTAACGCCACAACAATTTCTGATATTATCCCAATACTCGAATGTGGTGGCGGGATCGAGGAATGCCCTCCACGCATTTTGATCGTGATCTCTTGATTCATAAATCCCTTTTCAGCGGTACTGATGACCATGATATCCGAACCAAACTCGCTTTGCATACTCGAGCCTTCATCTATAATTATAGAAAAGCCGTCCTCTCCATACGTATCTAGGAGATATTCTCCAATATAGTGCGCCCCCTGATCACCGCCGGTCTCTTCATCAAAGCCAAATGCTAAGACAATCGTTCGTGCAGGTTTAAACCCGCCTCGGATTAACAGATTTATGGTCTCCATAATCGCGACCAGCTGGTTTTTATCGTCCAAAGCCCCCCTACCCCAAACATCATTCCCATCAAAGTGTCCAGAGTACGGATGATGCTCCCATTGCTCCAGTGTCTCCTGATCTATCGGTACAACGTCCTGATGGGCTGCTAGCAGAATAGGTGGTAGATCCTCATCAGAGCCCCCCCATTCGTATACCAGACCGTATTCATTAACCGATTTAACAGTTAGGTGCCGAGAAACCGCGGGGAAAGCACTGTGAAGATAGTCATGAAACCGTCCCATTCTATCCCAACGGTCATCACGACCAACATCGCCGAAGTCGTCGTAAACCGCCGTTCGGACTTTGATCGCATCTCCGAGGGTTTTGGCGGACCGGAACAGGAAATCTGGAGACTGGAGAGAAGCAATGGCGCGGCTGAGACCCGGAGTATTGATTTCTGGATAGATCGGTTCGATGCGAGGGCACAGCTTTTCAATGTTTTGGCGACGAGGCTTATTTCGTGGACCATGAGTCCCGAGGGGTTTGCCCCTATATTCTAGTGCACCCATTTGGCATATCTTGAATGGCCCTGGGTCTAGACTTGATATGTAACCTCTATACAAAGTGACGCCTAACATTGAAACTGCGAGTAAACCCAAAAAGTTTAGGATGTATTTTCGATATCGGCCATCTTGGAAACAGCCGTGAGAGAAGGTCTTTTGCCCCGCAAGATCTTTGGAATCTTTGGGTAGTAAAACCTCAGGATTGCCCATGCTTTGGCTGTGAGAATCGCTTGATCAATCAAGAGTATTTGGTAATTAATTTGCGAATTCGTTTAGGAAATTTCGAAATAGAATGGCCCAAGAGTCTAGAAATCGGTTTAACAGCCAGTTGGGCTTCCGAATAAGACTAAATCAAATTTGAGTGTTAGTTAACATGCATGTTAAAAAGAACAATTAATCGACCAGCCATTCCATTTATAACACTGCACTGATGTCAACTCAATTGCATCCACGGCCCTCGACGTCACAAACGGATTATTATTGCACTGTATTCTGTCGTACATACCTCCTAACCCAATTCTATGTTCCGTGTGAAGCCTGAAAAAGAACAGGAACGAATCAAAGAAACAAATTCGATTCGGGGATGAATTTATGATAGTTCCGCTTCGCACAGTGGTGTAACATCGATATCTAGAACTAAGCTTGGTTCCACAGGGATGAACTTCGAACACATCAATACCCGAAAGCGAGGTGTGGTTACACGATTATGTCAGCGCCAACGCACAAAATACCACACCCGGTCCTCAGACGGGTTGACTAGTGTTAACAGTGAATGAATCGTTCGACCAAATATATAATAAATTTTTGTTTAGAAATATATTACATCAGAATCCATCCCAAAAGAACAAAAGGGGAAAACAAAAATTTCAGTCGCCAAAAAGGACTAGCTAACTATGTACAGCTCTAAGAAACCTCTTAAGAGCATCATACTGTGGGTTTTTATGTACGATCGGTCAAGACTATATACCTTTCCGTCCCCTTGATTTTTATAGACTATCTCTTAGTACTAGTAAGAGAAGTCAATAGCACCAACCATTTAAGAGTTGATACCGTCAACGAAACCCTGGTAGCAGGACTTCTTGTTGAAGTTGTTGTCCCAGATGAGAGCGTAGCCTTGACCGCTGAAGGTGCTTGGTACCCAGGAGTCCTTGTCGGAGACACCCCCTATAATAAATGTTAGAATCTCGCCTCAAGATTGATAAAATTATTTCAGGGAAACTTACAAACGGTGATACCGGAGCAGGCGGCGGTCTTCATGCAGGCAGAGACGACGGTCCTGTAGTCAGTAACCTGTTGGGAGATCTGGGAGCTGCTTGGGGAAGCGGTGGTACGGATATCGAGCTCAGTGATTTGAACCTCGGTATTGGTGCTGGCCAAGCTGTCAAGAGTACTCTTGTAAGATGGGATGGCACCGTTTCCGACAACCAAGTGGGATTGAGAGCCGACGCAGTCGACTGGGACACCACGGTTCTTGAGGGTCTTGACCAAAGCAACGAAGTTGGTGAGCTTAGCGCTGGAGTAGTCGAGATTGTAACTGTAATAATACCGTTAGTGGAGTGGAACTTTAACTGTTAAGAAATCAAGTAGAGTAACATACTCGTTCAAGCAGAGCTTGGCATTTGGATCAGCGGCGCGGGCAGCATTGAAAGCAACGTCAAGGAAGGTCCAGTCACCGAAGACTCGGGAGAAAACGGAGTCACGCATAGATCCGTTATCTTCGAAGACTTCGTTGGCAACATCCCAAGCATAGATCTTGCCCTTGTACCTGCCCATAACGGCGGCAATGTGTGTCTGGATGGCCGAGGTGAGGGTGGCCTTGTTGTTGATGTTCTTAAGCCTGTTGTTTCGTGTTCATGTTAGAATTCGTGAGTTATAAATTCCAGTATCGGAGTTTATATCATACCAGTTAGGAATCTGTTGATGCCAGACAAAGGTGTGTCCACGGAGCATCTTGCCGTTGTTCTCAGCGAAGGCAACGAGCTGATCGGCATTACCCCAGTTGTAAGAACCCTGGCTGTTGGGGGAGAGAGACTCCCACTTCATGGAGTTCTCACCAGTGAGCTGACCAGACTCGGTTCTGAGGATAGCAGCATTCTGAGAGTTGCTGAGAGTACCAGGGTCGGCGCAGAAACCGACGTACTTCTTGCCCTTGGCCTTGATCAAATTGTCAAGACCAGTGCCAACTGGGCCGGAAGAAGTGGTTGTGGTTGTGCGCATGGTGGTAGCCACAGTGGTGGTAGCTGGAGTAGTAGCTGGGGTGGTTTGGGCGGTTGTCGAGCGGGTAGTGCTAGCGGTAGTAGTTTGCTGTCCAACAGCAGACAAGCACTGAGCGTAGTACGGGTTAAGGGTCGAGCAAGCAGCCGGAGCAGCACAGTTGGTAGGACCTGTCCAGCCGATACCACCGCCTATCTAGGGTGTCAGTTGCATGTTCTACTAGAGTTCGCAATATCTATTAAAATTCAAAACTTACACTGTCCCCACATAGCCTGCTGGGCAGAAACCAAAGCTGGTGCCGCAAGGGCAAGAGCGACGTAAGTCTTCATCGTGAAAAGCTTCAAGTTCAGATTACCAGATCCAGAAAAAATAAGGGTCGTTTATATGAAACTTAAAATGTAGCAAGAATCTTGATAAAGGCTTCCAGATCACTGATCGGATGTTGTTGACTGACGCTCTTTTATAAGAACAATCGAGATGAATTTCAATCTGGAGAGAAACGGGTCTAGAGAAAGGGCCATGATCGAGTCTTTATATATATCTCATCTCATCTTCAAAATTAAGACAATCCCCCTCGCCCCCCTGGCATCTAGGCAAGATTAATCTGTGGATATCACAGCGGCAGTAACTGAAAAAGATCAAGGCCCCCAGGTGCCGTTTCCCCGACCCTCTTTTTTCGTCTTCCATCCGTTTATGATCTTAGTAGTGTTCCGGAGTATATTGAAAAGCTTCCCTGAAGAATTTCCTGAGGGTCTCATTTTCAGTTTGACGCACATACGCCCCACACTCAAAATAGAAGAATGGACTAGTAAAGTTCGGATGGATAGCCCGAATCTTTTTAGAACTTTCGCACGTTTCAAGGTACCTAGTAGGTATCTAAGGCATTATAGCCTATGTGGGCCTACCCAAGGTAACCACAACGGGTTTGCGCTTGGGGTTTATTGCGTGGCCGTGGATTTTAGCCGTGAGATTTAGCCGCCTCTTACCTTCATTACTATATTGGGCGGTAAGGCTCACTTTCTCTCTCTAAAGCATTTTGAGCAAAAACTCCGGGCAAAGAAAAAAATTTGGACTTCGGTTCAAAAAAAAGGCAAGAAGAAGAGTCAATTAGCTCGGGGCCCCATGTCGGCATTCAAACGCAGGGGTGGCACATCGGCCCGTCATCAGCGCAGATGCGCCCCGGCGTGGTCCCACATGACGTTTCAAATAGCTTCCAACAGTATCAACACTATTCTTTGTAAGGGCTGACGTCGAAAATTCAATGCGGGACATTCCGTGAGCTGTCTTATCGAACACTGCTTAGATCCCTTCGATATGAGACAATTGGCCGCAAGAGATAATATTATCTGAGTCCAAAAGAATTCTAGAACCGCGATAAAATGAAATGATTGATATCTTTACCTCCGAATAAAAACTTTAAAAATAACAATTAAAAATTAAATACTATAAATTCAGGCTACAATCATAGCGAAACCCGATCTACAAAACAGGTAAGTAACTCTCCTACTAGTGCGGTTTAAAATGATTTACCAATGACCCCACAAAGCTCCCGAAAACCCGTTCAAACCCTTCCCATCAACCATCATATCACATCATAAACACCCCTGACCCCTTCAACCTTCATGATCAACATGCAACTAGAACTTAGCTCGAGCTCGAATTCACAGCGCCCATGAAACTACTACAACGAAAAATACACGTACTAAGCCGTAGAATCCGGCAGAATAGACACGTTTTCCATCCCTTCCTTCTTCCAGACCCCCTGTATGCCTAGAATCTACCCATATTACTGACCAAAGGATGAGAGATATCTAGTTGCGGATCAGATGCCAATGATGCTTTAACCAGGCGAGCTAGGAATAATAATAATATAAAAAAAAGCCTGCAGGCTGTTCTTTCAGCCTGTAGAATAGCCTGTACATGTGGGAAAAGCTTGGGCATAAAGATCCGGATTCCTTCTTCTTCTCCATTAGTACTAGCCGTCTCACTTTTGTATATATACGCAGCATATCACTCGTTTGACGACTGGTCATGTGGTACTATAGCTATAATACAACAATTTACATGTAGCATCTGGATATTGAAGGATAGTACTGGTGACAATCCCCATAGCGAAACAAAATCAGAAAGCTGGGGTCGGAGAATTCATTATCCAGATAATAAACATCCTGACCCGGTGTTTGGCTAAATACACCTGAACTCCCGGAATCCTTCTTTGACAGCTTGACCTCGTATCTGACGCATGTGAACGGGCATATAAAACTGATTTGTTAAGCTAAGATTTCGATTCGAGTCTTGGTCACGGGGATCTTGTTCAAAACATTCCGTGATGTCGTCGCGATAAAGGAATATTCGATTCGTGGATCCGACGACACTCACTAGGATCAAGAATATGATCTCCTATCAAATCATACCCTTAGGTGTCTTCCTTACCAATCGATTTATAATTAATTAATATATGGGATTCCAAACAACCTATCGGCATAGCGCCGATAGTATTAATAAACCCTCAAAAATTGAGAGACATAGACACGACCCTAAAAGGAAAGCTAAGGAGTTATATCTGTCCGAGCTTTGGTAAACAACCAGCCCAAGTTAACCAAGCAACTAGGTAGTTGAACCAATCTATTGATCTTCGCCCACGACGATACCCTTACCAAAGGTTGACTTCAAACTCGACCCTGGTACCGAGGAAACGTTCAAAGTGCATGCACAGTAAATCAAGGGCCCAAGGACAATGCAGTGCAGTTTCAGTTGAATCCATGGATCCAAACCGTTCACCGCGAATGTCGCAATATATTGAGAAGTCCCATAAAGGCAACCATCCTAATTTCAATGATTTGTATTTTTTTTTCCATTTCAATCCAAATTAGAAGTTAAGTGAACCGCAACCATGAGAGAAAAGAAAAATGATGAAAGACGCTCTGTCTATGTACAAATGAGAATCCAAAAAGTCCTCAAGACGAAACTTAAACCTATATCTGTAATAACAAATTTCGATATAGATCGCAAACGTCAATAGATATCAAAATAAATGGAAAAAAGACGGGAAAAAGATGGAAAAAAAAGATATGCTTGAATCGTGTTGAACGTAGTTCCTGCCCCAACATCCCCACTACAGCATAACCGCCAATCTAGCCCATTACACCGTGACAAAATTGCTTGGAAAAGAAACACAGACGCAAGAGAAATATATCACAGGTTTATTATCGCCGCTGTTGAAAGAAACCGAAGTTTCGCCACTTTCAAATACCAACCCCAAATATCCCAGCTGCTCCTTCAGCACCCCCAACACCACCGATGTCACCATCATCACCAGGCAATGGTAAGAATTCAAACCCGTCAAGCACCCAGTTCAGATCGAAGGCGTCACCGCCGACACCACCCATCCCACCAGCCATTCCAGCGACTCCAAACATTTGGTTCATATCCACCACGCTGCCTGTGGTGTCTAATCCACCAGCAGAGACAACGGATGGAGTCTCGCTATTGCTTGCTGTCGTTGGAATTGGTAACATGGGATTTTGTAAACGTGTGGCAGATGTGCCGCCTGGTGTCGTTGGAGGTGCGGGTGTAGAGAGTGTAGCTAGGAGATCGTTTGGTATAAGTGGAGTAGATTGTCGCTGGAAGGCGTTAGAGAGAACTGGGAAAGTCTGTCGATGTTGTAATGGTGTAATCTGTTGTTGCTGTGCTGCTGGTGTTTGCGATTGCTGAGGTGTAATTGTAGACCCTGCTTGTTGTGAGGGTGTCGGGTTAAGTGTTAATTTATCTACTACTGATGCTGAAATATTATTAGCTCAATCGTCTAAAAGTTGGATATTTTCTCATAAACATACCAACGGCACCACCAACTTCTTCTCTCGCTTGTAATATCGCGTTTCGTTCCCTAAACTGCTCCCTCCATTTCCACAAGCTATCATATACAACGCTCTGGCTCATTCGGCTCCGAATCCGCAGGTCCCAGCCTGAATGAAGCGCTTCTCCCCCTTCTCCCCCCTCTTCCTTAGATACTGTGCTCATAGCGCCGCTAATAACACTACCATCTACACTTCCCCCAGTTGCCGATCCAGGTCCCAAACTTCCGCATTCCCAGAGTTGTGTGAGAACATCTGCCATACGTGCAGGAAGATCGTTATCGGCTATGGACATGTTCCTTAACAACCCCAATGCCGCATTAAACCCCTTGATACCACTTTCCACGTCAAGATACCTATTAAAGTAGCTGCTCCGCAATACCTTCAGCATCATAAAGGCTGCACAAGTAAACATTTGATAGACGTATACGGGGCAGTAATCGACCACGGCGTCTTCAACCTTGAGGATGTGGGTCACAAGCGATTCCGCAGCGCTGTAGAGGTTTATAACCCTATTCGTGCTCGCGGATGATGTTGTTGGGCTCTCGAAAAGGTAGAAGCTACGGAGGTGGAGGCGAGCGCAGAGGAGGTAGATGCGATGAAGAGGGGTGAGCGTGGCATTTATTTCACCCTCCAGTTCGTCCAGCCGGCGTTCGAGGAGTGTGATTACGGCGGGGCGGCTATCCCTCTCAAGCAGACCAATTGGGTCATTATTGTTCGAGTTAAGTGAACGTGTCGCCGTGTCAACAAAACGTTGAATGAGGACGAGGTTGCGAATATCCGTAGGAAGCGGGTATTTGGCGTTGTGGAGTACGGCATTTGAGATCGTCCAGTCGTATTGCGTGTCTGGCGGTAAACCAAGACCAGTGCTCACACTAGATTTGTCAATACAGGCTTTGAAAATGCCAGATTTATTTATTCTCACCTTTGCGAGCTTATATTGCAGCAAGCCCAAGTAGTAGTTCGATCACAGATCTCCATACTATCAGCTTTAGCTTTGTTGGCAAACTTGGTGTAGTCTTTGGTATAGGCGGGTCTGTGGAGACCCATTTGGATTGCCACTGACACAGCTAGACAGCTCAACATATATGTGGGGTCGTTCAGGGTGCTCGAGGTAGGGAATGGCCAGGTGGATATCAGGATAAGTGCCTTGACGACAAATTTGTTATGAGGAACTGTAGCTAACGTCGACCAGACCAACTTTGATACCGCCCGAGACAGCCGCATGAGAAGGTTCGGTTCGCCAGATGGGTAACGCCGCGAGCCAATTGAGATTATGACCCAGAAGAGCAGTTGGGATGATGAATAATACATCGATGGTGAAGTAGCGGGATCCAGCATGGGGAGGAAAGGGTGGTAGTGATCGAAATATCTATTGCAATTAGCATCTTCTGAGGGGAGGAGACTGTCTTGAATCACCTACACTTTGAATAGTTCATCAATTTGCCCCTTTGTAAGCATGACATCCTCCAGTGTCTGCGAATCCTTCGGTGGCGCGCTTTCTACTGTAAGCTTTGGCCGCCTGTCATTCTTCATATCAGCCAGTAGACTTGTGAGCTGCAAGTCCTGGTCATTATTATTTGCCTGCGAGCCAAATGCACCAAAACCATCAGGAATTGATTGCGAGGCCGCAAATGATGATATGGCAGAAGCTGACGCTTCCAGCAGTGGCTGTGAGATTTGACCACCAGGGGAAAACTGGATTGGCGGTTGAGCCACTACCGGACTCGAGGTGGTAGAAGTCATCCCCAGCATTGAGCGTAGATAGGCTACTTCCTTCTCCATCTCGGCGATTTTACTACAGATATCATCAGTAACGGACGTTCCGGATCAGTCGGATCGGTTGCTCTCTCACCTCCTCTTGACAGTCCGCTTGAAGTTACTGTCAATCCGGCATTCGAGCTTGAGCCGCTTGCACCGGGAACAGTCCGTATAGGGATTCTGAACGACATCACACCGTAGCTATAGCGAATACAACGTGCGTTAGCATGACCCGCACGCCGAACTGGCAAGCACCGACCCTACATCTATAGTTTTGCAAAAAACAACAACGCCTTGCTGTGTAGTGCTAAAAACAAGTTTGTTTGGTCTTCGGGAGTACCTTCTGCTGCCGACACTCATTACAAGCCCTCTTGGTTATCTGCTTCTCAGCACCAGAAATGTTGACTTTTGGGTTGGTCGTTGGACTAGTCAGAGTACTAGCCTCACCAGAGAAGTGAGCTCCGTCGATATCCATCTCCATGGCTGTTAGATCGCCGGCGGTGTAAGTAGCGGGGCTTCTAGCACCCTCGGTGCCATATGATTCGGTGGGGGAGTTCTGAAAGTTTGCATAACCATTCGCGATTGCAGAGTGGTCAAGAGAGGCACTGCGGAGGTGCTGCTGCCCCGCATTCTCAGGCGTAATGGTGGCATTGTTATCGGTCGGGGAAGGTAGGAGGTCATTGGGAACGGCGGCAGTATCAGAAAGGGTCTTTCGACGCTTAACTGGGCGATTTGAAGCAGTAGAGGAAGGAGGAGTGGTAGCAGCGGAGGGCGGCTTGGTCCTCATCTTATTCCTTCTAGCTCTGAATGATTTCTAAAGATCCGAGTCGGGGAGGTTGGAGCAGGCAAAAAATTGCGATGTCGGCGGTCGACAGGCACAAAAGTCGGCTGGCGCGAGGGGTACTGTCCGACAAGCCTAAAAAAAACTAAGCTCTTTCCTTTCCAACCTCAAAATTGCCGTTTTGTCGGGATCTTTTCGCACAGAAACGTCAGGAAGGGCAGGCAGCTTGTGCTTGTTTTTTTCGCTCGCATACGAACGGGTATGGTGTTAATCGATATGGGATAATGCAACTATGGCGACAATTGGTCAATGGCAATTGGCGCTGGGAAGGGTTGCTTTTCAGGCGGAAGGCCTCGTGCACGAGTCCGTGACTCATTTCCTAATCTAATCTGATTGAGGGCATCCTTCATGCTTCATTTTTGCAGAGACTGAATTTTGGCTATTCCTGTCGGTTGGCTGAAGAATTAGCTAATTGGCGCCAGTTTGGGGGTCGGCGATTAATGATGGGGGAGGGCTACCAGGCTTAGGGCTTTCCTCGTCTCGGAGACAGCCGTCGCAACGCAAATAGTACAACATGATGGAGTTTCAAGAGTTTCAAGAAGCCAAGATCGATATGATATCGACGGTGATGAAGGACGGAGAGTGTCGAGGAAAATAGGCGGGCGGTGAGTGTGAAATATTTGTGACTCAGATTCAAATCCCTTGGGCATCCGGCGATGTCGACCGACCGGCTTTTTTGAACCAGGAAGTTGTCCCGGTTGCCGGTTGGATGCATCTATGACACCACGCATCGTCGGCGGACCGCAGGATCTTTCTCCCAGGAACTCGGGTACGCGTAGTCTACATCGGATAAACCATACCTACGCATGCTCGGAAAGCGTAGTGCCCGACGTGACCCACAGGCGGGTGGAGACCGAGCAGGGAAGCTCCACATTCACTCAGGTACCTGTGGCTGGTGCAGGAACCCGTATAACCATATTCTAGACCAGACATCGAGTCCGTATCGATGATATTTGCTTTCAAGGAGGCCGAAAGAGCTCGTATGGGCGAGTAGGCACAACTGATTCAAGACTTACAGCAGCCATTGTCCATCGATGTCGACTCGCTAAAGTCCAACGGCGAAGTAATACCCTTTGTACCAGCAGTTATAAGTTAGTATAGTAAGTGCTCGATAAGAAATCCTTACTTGGCTTACAGAAGAAGAATATAGTAGTGCCCAGCGAAGTCATATGTAGTATTCCTAGCGAATATAGCTTGACGATGGCGTGTGACGATAGTGGTTGTATGTTACAGGGTGAGGTTGGGGGAGCTCGAGACTAAGTAAGTTGGAGGTAGTCTCGTGGGAAGAACCCCCACGAGATAATTCACCCCCCACTTGGAGCACATACGTTTACAGCCAAACGCCACGTACTTGCATCCCCCCATTTACTCATTCTTCGCTATTTAATTACTTAAGTGGTTTTAATAGCCTTCCTTAGCAAGGAAGGCAACCATCATTAGAATCATTGAAAACATCAAGACTACAGGTAACAACATACAAAATCATATGCATATATGGGTTAGGGCCTGGGTGCATCTACAACTGCAAGACCCCCCCATCTCTTTATATTGGTCATGGGCAATAGATGGTGATACATTTACACCCGATTGTCAAATATCATGTCCATACCGTAAGCTTCTATCTTTTCTTGACATCACCTCGTGCTCCGGCCCACTCCGTCGAAACACAAGCAATGCAATGAACATCAAGCATATTTTAGATACGCCCGAGAGATCGAATGAGGTGGGCTAAAGTCAATCAATGCAACCAGATACAGTATTATTTATTCCAATGTGGACCAGGTCAGCCGACATATATCAAACAGAAAACCGCGTGTGCAATACGAGACTATATATAGCTATATCAAACGGAGTCTTGCGATCACTACAAGCGACGATCTAACAAGCAGCGATTTAAAAATTGAAAATAAAATAAAAACTATAATAGCTGGGCAGTCACATTAACAGCCAAATCAATGGATGAGATTTGTAAGGACCAAACTAAGGACATGGCATGCTAGCAGACGGCCCCCGTCTATTCCTAAGTTTGGTGAATCGAATACATTTAGAGTCGGTCCAGATCTCAAATCGAACCGAAACCCAACATCGAAGCGACCTATAAGCTGAAATTTACAGGTGTACGCCACAGAAAATAACCTAGAAAGCAAGCTTTGGGAGCGTATTTGCCTAGGTCGCCAGCCATTTTCAACTTCATTCCCGTCGCGCCGCTCCAATCTCGAGAGTAAACTCGTAATGGCCTAGCCCACAATATACTAAATTTCTAGTGGAGACAGCTTATCAATACGATTATTCTTATGATAAATTGTATTTCGCACAGCTACATAGTCATGAAATAATTATAAAAATAAAATATACTTGCAGAGTAGACCCCGAACATGAACAACGACACGGACAACACACCTCCAACGTTGCATTTTCCACCCCTCCAAAACCCGTTCCCATCTTGGCAATCTTCAACCTCCTCCCAAGCTCAACCAGCCCACCATGTTTCTCCCCCGCACACCCCTCCGCCGCCTGCGCGCCATCTCGATATCTCCTCTAACAACTTCATTACGATCATACCATCCAACCCACTTATACCCTGGTCAAAAGCTTCACCCTAATCTAATTCCCCTCCTGAACACCATCTCCCCTTCAAGCACAACTACAGTCCGTTCCAATGACATCTGGAAAGTCCTCTTCACAAGCATCGGACCCAGAGATCCGGTTTGTACGCCTCTTATATCTTCTTGTCGCCCTTATAACTTCTAGAATAGCCACTAACAACTATACTACATAATATAGCTACAACAAACTTAAAATCCTTCTCAGAAGTACATACCGATCTCTTGGAGAGAGACACAGCTGTCCTGGTCATTGTTCCAGGGACAGATAAAGCCACCAAATCATGGTTGAAAGATATTGCAAAATCCACCGGCGGGTTCCAGGATAGACCAATAGATCTTGAAGGAGAGGTCAGCTCTAGAGTATTGGGGTTCCCTGTCATCGCAGATCCGAACTATACTTTATTAAAACGCCTGGGATTCCTTGAAGGGTATTTTAACATCTCCCTCAAATCATCATGTCTTCTTCTTCTTCTTTTTTTTTTTTTTGATATACTAATATGCGACAAAAATACAGAGAAAAACCTCACACATTACTACACATCATCGACCCAACCCACACAATCCGTCTAACACAACTCCTCCCTCCCTCTCTCGGAATAAACACCTTAGACATAGTCCGAACCCTCCACGCCCTTCAAACTTCCGACGACTATGACATCTTGATCCCCTCAGACTGGGTACCCGGTAAAGACGCTCTGATGCCCATCAATCGTCTTCGTAACCCTGCCGGCGTACAAGCATTAAAACGCGATATGGAAGCTACGAATTCGCAGGGATTAAGTAACCTAGACATAGATGATGGTTTACTAAGGGACCGGGACGATGAAGGCGAGCTTATCTATAGAAATGAATTGGAAGAGGAATATGAAAATAGAGTAGTGGATAATTCTATGCCGCCTGGAGAGGTATGGGAGGTTTTGCCATACCTCAGGTATGTGAGGATTGATGATTCTGTGGACAATTCAAATAGTATCATCGGGTACGAAAGGATGAAAGGCGATCTGATACGGAGTTTTGAGAAATTTAAATATGAGAAAGGGGAGAAACGGAGGGAGGAAGGGAAAAAGGAGGCGGAGAAGGCAAGGAGTCAAAGAGAGAGGACGGTGATGGAGTTACTTAGGGAGGCGGAGAGGGGAAGGCTGCCGCGGAAGAAATAGACCTGCCATCTTACTTATCAGCTATTTGGTGGACATGTATGAGTAGATTGTATTATATATACCCCCTCATTTCTATAAAATTAACCTAACAACCTCCCTCGCATCCTCAACTTTCCTCTCTTCCTCCTCAAACCATATATAAATCATCGTCATCCCCGATCCAGGATAAAACCGACAATCAAGCTTAACTCTTATCAGCTCATCCAGCTCCCGCCCTTCATCCTGTCTTTTGCTACTGAACACGGTACGATGAAAGTAAGCTATAGACCTGAATAACTTTCCAATACTCCTATAGCCATAAACCGGTACACCAATTTTACTTTCAAGCATTACTAAGAAGTTTGTAGAAAAGGACGGCTCCGGCGATGGTGCCGAGAACGGCCCTATTATACGCGTTTCTAAAGATGATTCGGAGTTCCCTGGCACAGCGGGGCGGACACACTGATCGTCTTCAAAAATACGCCAGTTGCTCGATGATATCTTCGGTTGGTACCCCAGCGTTTTCTCTTCTTCCTCGTAAAACTCTATATGGCATGGGTGGTATTCCCCCTTAGCCAACAGAAGATGTGTGAGATACAGTATCCCCAGGTGATACCCCGGAAGCGGCGGTAAAGTACCAGCGTCAACGGTACGTGGATGGACCGCATACCGCCGTGCCAGAAAGCGGTGGGAGTGTATGTGAGCATGAATGTAGCTTCGCCAGGCGGTACAGACTTGAATTAATGTGGGAATCTGTGTAAAGTCCACTGCTTCAAGAATCTGAAGCTGTAATTCCATAGGGAGACGCATGTCTAAGCATACATACATACATGCATGTAGTGGTAGCAAAGTGTGGACCGCGTCTGGAACACAAAACTATGGTGATAGTGACTTGTAAAGACTTTGGAATTTTGTAGAATCCATCCAGCTAGCGCTAGCGTTACGGCTAGCCTTCGAGACAGGAGGATGCATTTTATATCCATCCCCAACCCCGCCAAGACTTTGTCAATAACGCGTTAACGTTATACCATCAACCTAACAATCCGTTCAACTCTCCCCGGTTTGAATATCCTCCTCTCCTCAGGCATGGTAGCAAACCCCATTTCTAAATTTGCCGGAAATTCTATATCCGAATATTCATGTAACTCCGGTACAATCTTCACCACTGTTACCGCGTCCGATCCATTCAATGGCCTAGCAGCATACCTCATATTCGCCCTCTGAGTGAGAAGCTTGAGTGCTCCATGAATAGGGCCTCTTTGTTCCTCCCCTTCACTTTCCTCCCCTTCACTTTCCTCCCCTTCACTTTCCTCCCCCTCCTCATCCCCATCCTCGTCCTCATCCTCATCCTCATTCTCGTCGCCGTCGCCATCTTCTCCTTCTAGTGTATCCGCTAAACTCGTGGAGACAGCGGCGTCAGGATTGTCGAAGGGCATGAGATTCCAGAGAATGGACGGATGACCAATATCCAAATATAACAGCTCCGAAGGAACCTGTTCCTCGAGATGGGAAATAACTGCAGCTGGAGCTGAGGCAGCTGAAATAAATGAGACATCATTACCAAAAATCCCATATTCCAACCTGGTAACCGGCACATCTATCAACAGATCAGCCATGGTCATTTCAGTCCAATCCTCATTAACATCGATATAAATAACTCCCTCTTCTCCTTCTTCTTCCTTTATGTCATTAAACTCGACATGACAAGGATATAACTCCCCGCCATCTTCGAACCGTACGAAGTGGCTCAAATGATAGAGAAGTTTGTGGAAATAAACTGGTTTAGGAGTATCAGGATAGGGGTAGTAGGTGTATCGATTAGAAATGATAGCTGGAGATTGGAGTAGATAGTCACGCCAGGTGGTACAGACGCGAGAGAGGGTAGGGAGGTCGGTGAAGTCTGCTGCTTTGAGGATTTGAAACTGGAGCTCTAGAGGAAGACTTGTACTTGGCGCCATTGGCATCCTTGTAGTGTTGTAGTCTGTCTGACCTTTCTGATAGCTGATACCTTCCACGATGCGATGACAATGATACTTTGCTTTGGAGGTGAAGTGAAGTGAAGTGATTTGAGGCGAGGTGAGGTAAAAAGTTAGAAGTACATGTGGTTGACGTCGTCCAGGTTTTTATATTCATGACCTCGACTGTTGCATGTTGCAATTGGCATGCAGCATGTAGCTAAGTAAGCAGTTGGCCATTGCATTGCATTACACGGCGGACTGGAGCCGTATACGTGCCTGTACCACTCGACTCCCGCAGAAACCCAAACAGAAAATACCACATAAACAACTCATCCAGTTTTATAACTACAAGAACCTCACCCGAACAACCTCGCTCGCCCGATTCAAGTGTTCCCAGCTCACCAATTTCATCCTAAACGTAATCCCCATAGTCCCATTACCACACATTCTATACATCGCTTCTATTTCGACTAACCCTCTTCTCCTCCCAAGCCGATCCACTAGCGGCGGCCATCCGGCCGCCATGCCGACCTTTCTCAACAGTAGGAATGTTGCCAACCGCATCCCCGTAGACGGGCTTATCATAGGCGGAGGATAAAAAATCCGATTGAATTCGAGATTATACTCCTCTATCATACCGGGTCCGTCATAGAATGGTGTATAATATGGGAGTCGAGATGGAATACAAGACCTCAATGATCCGGGAGGGATTGGGGTTACAACCGGGCATGGAAGATTGTGGGGGATTATAACCGGATCGTCGGCGAATATTCGAACATCGAGGGTTCTCATTTGGGGTATAGCATTCGATTCATCGTTTTCCGGAGGCGTTAGCATACCACTGCGTCGCCAAAACGGGCCGACAGACCACCGTGGCGGCCCTGTCAATTGCTCGGGTCCTAGATGAGCGAAAATGAACTTTCCGTTGAGGAAGATGATATGGGTAACGTAAGTTAGAAGTTTATGGAAATGCCATTGTGGTGCATTTCGTGGACGAGCCCCGATGTTGAGGGGGAGGCGTTGGTATGTGTACCGGTCTGCAATGAAACGGGTTTTAACGTGTCGTAGGATGTAGGTACGCCATACATGACAGACGCACATGAGATTAGGGAGTTGGGTCCAATCCGCGTGATCAATTAAGAGCAGTTGGATATCGATTGGTAGATGAACCATAATTTCATTGGGATTTCTTTGCCGTCTGGCATTTCGGTCAGTGAAGGGTGATTGTGGAGACATTGAAGTTGAGATGGATTCCGAGTCGGAATTCCTGTTTACAGATGCGGCGATTTACTTATATCAAATACTTAAATACATATTGGTTATAATGAAAGATTATTAAGTCTGTCTATCTGATCATCACGTCAATTGATCTCCCATATACCTATCTAAACTCTAAATCCAGATCTATATAGAGTACCTCCTTGTCTCTCGCCCTTAGTAGACCCCAAAGACCCTACTTGAAGTAAACTCATATTCACCAGATGCTCAATTTTTAGTATATTCCAATATTCCGGTATTCTGCGATCAATCGCTAGGCCCTCACTGTCCAGTCTATGAGTCCACAGAACTACAGTAGCCCGTGACAAGGTGTGCACGTGTGAAGGGCCTCGGGTGGGAAAGGAAGATCTAATTGTTTTGTAAGATCTTATCATGGGTATATGATGAATTCTCCCATTCCCGCCATGTCTAAAACAGAGAATTCCACCCGGTGAAGATTTTGATAAGATGGATGGAGTCCCGAGAGCAGCCGGATTTGAGGCTAGGTTGGCCCCGGTGAAATAATAATTACTAGAACTTTATGTCAGAAATGATCAGGCAGATCTGAATAAAAGGCGAAGTTTTTACCTCTGTACTAATCACACCCCAATTACGCTATCTCAGGGCGCTATCCTACCCCCAGGAATATTAAATATAAATTAATATTAATACCACGACGAAGCAGCATTCACCCCATCAGCCCTCCAAAAGCTCTTAACCTCCTTCCCTTCATAATGCCCCTCTAGCCCCGGCGCTTCAAACTCCACCCTCCCATCCGGATCCTTCGGCTTTCTCTTCACCATGCCCTTCAATTTCCTTACAACCTCCCATTTCCTGATCAATCCTTTTGTTCTCCCCCGTCCTTCCTCCAAATCAAGCCTTTCTCGGGCAGTAGTACTATTCACATTTTCAGAACTTCGCGGCATAGGAGCCAACGCGAATTCGAGGAAACATACTCCAGATGAGTTTCGGGTATATTTCATGACGACTTTTAAGACATCGGCGTAGCTGTAGTTTGTGTAGTAGTCCGCTAACCCGTTATTTACGGCCTGGCCGTTCTTTTTCAGGAACTCCGCGATAGTAGGTGTAGTGGAGGCTTGTGTAGTAAATGGGTGTTTCCAGACCGATTGTTTCCAGGGTGTTACTCGTTCGTGGGCATATATATTATTGAAACTCAGTTGTAAATCATCATCCCTACTTTTCCCTTTCCCTTTCCCATCGGGTGAATGGTCGAGCGATAATAAATCTTTCCCAAATAAACCCGGATTTAAAATATACTTCACGGGTTCTCCGGTCCAGTTTAGATAACCCGGTGGTTTTAGATAGCAAGCGTGGTAAATTCCGTCGTCCATTCGGACGTAGTGAGTAAGGTAGGAAAGGATCCCATGGTATAGTGGTTCGTGGAATTTCGTGCGAGGGCCGTTTGCATGGCCCTCCGGAAGGGTGTAGGAGGTATACCGGTTTTGGAGGACTGATGGCGAAGTCAGGATGAAGGTGCGCCAGGTACGGCAAACCAGACTAAGAGTCTGGTGAGATTCGAACGGAGCGGCTTCGAGAATTAAGAGTTGGAGCTCGAGGGGGAGGTAAGGGTTTACTTTCTTATCGTCCATGGTTGAAAACACTCGATGCTCGATAGTGGAGTAGTTAAATGCAAATAGTCCTATGCATATGTAATGTATCGATAGCTATCAGTTATGCGACGAAGCCGAGCCGACCGTGAGGCCGTCGTTCGAACGACTTAAGTAGAAATAAAAGCTTTAGAAAGGCTAGTATTCAACCCCATATAAGAGTCATCGCCACCCACGCTAGTTTCAACGTTATTTTCAATCATGAAGTTAACGTTTGAGAGTATTGAATCAGCCGACAAAGGTGCCCACGATTGTGGTTGCGAATACAATGCAGGCAGCCTTGCGCATCTGGCTCAACCTTGGGCGCGCGGGTCCGGGGTTACGCCGCGGCCTTCTTCTGGTTAACGAAGCGAGGGCTGATGGTATAAGGTACCTATGATGAATATATCCAGTAGAATGCAATGGAATGACGAGAATTGGGTGAAATCCTACCCAGGCAGACTATGCAGATTTGTATGCTCCAGGATAAAAATATTTGGAATACAGATTTTGTAAAGTTATTGACTTGGGGATGAGCACGAATTGATGTCCTAAGCTATAGTCCGTGAACTACTTAAATTAAGATTAAACACTCACAAGCCACTTAGCTAGCACTCTCTCATTGATTAAATCGACGCCACCTTCACGAAATGAAAATACAACAGTACAACACCTCAGCTCGTGGAATCCCTTCCCCTACTTATCTAGACTCTCCCGCAGAATTACATTATATGGACTCTTAAGATCTTGTGGTTCAGATCTCAATCTTGTGTACGTATATTATCGCACGTGTGAGAATGTAATATTTACATTGTAATATTCATAACACCTTGTTAACAAATGAATGGCTTTGAAGTATTGTGCTCCTATAGCGCGATAGCCATGCACACGACACGTAGATCTAGTTATGACATTTTGACAGATATAAAATAAAATAAATAAGAAATAGATAAACAACAGATTTATACATCTTAGTCTTGTATTAGAACGCTTTGGCACGTTACTGACGTAGGGTGATGATACAGATACATTGCAAAGGTAGGTTGCCGCTAGGAACGAGACCAGGTCGCCGTAGACGTATACGCGTAGGCCCTGTGCCTACTTTGATTGCTCGATTCCCAAATGACCACCCATGGCCAGCCATCTAGGACCGCTTATACAATCGATACAATGGCAAGTTAACTCAACTCCAAGAAGCCCGAACATGTATACTAGCACTAGCACTAGCACTGCTCGCAGACATCGGCAGAACTGTGTAGCTATTAGACCCCCCCACTCCCGCCCTGATTCGAAGCTCCCCCCGCTCCAGCCTCGGATCTAGGCGCTTAGGGTTGAGCGCCGACCCCTGACTCTTCCGGCTTTGATGCAATTGCAGGTTCTTCAGGTGACCGTAGAATTGTCAAAGGCCGAATAATCATCGCCAACCCATATCCATCTTTATTATACAACGTCTCATCAAGACTAAAAAGCACTTGATAGAATATTGTCTCCTCATACCTTCCTTCCAACTCATCAACATCCAAGATAGAGTCCACGTGTATCTTAAAGCGTTCGAGAAAAGATCCAACAGTACCATCTCCAGGGTTCCAATTCGATTCGACCTTACTGTGGCCAGAGACATGTGTAAATGAAAAATCTGCGCCGCAGATAGGGGTAACGACTCGAGGATAGGCCCGGCAATCAGCAGGTTTTATCAATGGATCGTCAAAATATATAGAAATATTGATTTCGGGAAGCTTCTTGACTACCTTCCCATTCCCGTCCTCCTGGGTAGTGCAAGGCAGGAGTTTGTATGGGGCAGCCTTGGATTGAAACAAGCGCTTGCGGTAACTGAGAACATGGTGGAATTGGCGGACTTTGTATGGGTGATCTAAGCTTCCTAGCACGACTAAGGGCTCATACCTAGCAGCGAATGCAGCAGGAGAGTTATCTATGTAACTTCTCCATGTGGTACAAACGGCGCGGAGAGAAGGTTGTTCAAGCCAGTCGGTGAGGGCGGCGTCCAGGACCATGAGCTCGATTTCAGGGGGTAGAGTCGTCATTTTCTGTATATTCCGTATGCAAGAGAGCTGCTAAATTTCGTGGCAAGTGGCTCTTCTAGTATAATGCCGTAGTCTAAAATTGACACTTTAAATATAGTTGTATGTATAAAGTAAATTAAATGTGGATATCGATATCCGAGTAGACAAAAAAGGTATAAGTAAAACGGAATATATTCTTGATGCCAGCTTTGTTAAATATTAGTACCGGAGGTCTTGATTTTTTGGGATGGTTAAGCTGCAGGTTAATAGATCGGGAGAAGATTTAAATAACTGCCCCATTCGAAAGAGTCATTGAATCGCAATTATAACAGCTTAAAGAAAAACAAGAAAAATAAAAATTAATCTACAAAAGTATTAATTCGCGGCGATTAACCAACTACCACGTTGCATTCGCATAGCGTCTCCCAATTGTAACGCATACCCTAATGCATGGTCATTGCTAATTTTTGTATCGTAAATGCCAAATATAATACCCACGTGCGCATCGAATTGATTGATCTCCACGACGCTCGCTTCGAGGTTCGGGTCGCCCCGAACTGCAATTGCGTATGTATGTATGTATGTATGTATGTATGTATGTATGTATGTATGTATGTATGTATGTATGTATGTATGTATGTATGTATGTATGTATGTATGTATGTATGTATGAAATTATTCAAAGGCTAATAGTAAAGTTCCAAAACAGTTATACAGATCCTCCCCTTCCTTAGCTTATTGAAAAAATGCGAGTTATAGGCGTTTTTGAAAAACTAATCAATTGACTCCATTCATGAAGCAACGTGGAATTAACTGGCTAGGAAGCATGCCAAGCCTATGGTTTGACTGGTTAAAATACCACAATTTCAACACCATATCCATACCGTGTGCGTCTACTCACACCATGGCAGAATATTGAATACAAGACAATATCAATATCTCCATGTTTTATCCCACGGACCTACAGTCCCTTAGAATGAGGATGTAATTGGTATTTTTATCTTTCTAGTTAGAGTAATGCATCAAGTAGCTGAATAGGCTGGGGAGCGCTACCCAAATTCCAAATCACATGATGACCTACATCTCACGCTCTTCAAACCCAGCGGAAGTCTCTAGAGCTGGATATAAACGAGCATTCTTGAAAGACGCTCTGAACCATCTACGAGATGCATCTTCTGTCTATTTAAGTTCCTCCTTCTGGAGTGCCAGCTTTGAATCTCTCCCTCTTCACCAATACACCCACCATCCGACACGACACTTTCACCTCTCACTCCTTTTGATGTTTCTAAATCTCCATCTTGCGACATCTAGAAACGATTATTCCCTTTCTTCCCTACGTTATTCAAACTCTTTGTCGTTAGTAAAAAAAGGCTCGTAGTAAGTGGTTTCATGCTCTGCGTTTTCGAAAGGAAAGGGTTAGAAGGGCTGATAACGCGCCGCACATAAAGGGCCGAGTATTTAGTTGTCGCCCACCATGTCCAGCCTTCGCAACTTCGCCTTCCTCAGGAAGAAAACAGACACCAAAGACGCCCCAAAACCTCCCAGCCTCCGTCCATTCCTCCTCAGTCTTCCTCGAGAACAAGCAATGTCCATCATCAACTCCTCCCGCCCTCCCAAACCTGTCGAACCCAAGAATTCCGCTGATATGAGCGACCCTGTTCGTGACAGACCAGGCAGCCTTATTCGAGGTGCCAGAAGCGATATCTCCAACCAGCCAAGGATCTATGTACCATTTGCTCCCCAGCCAAGTGATCTGGCGAAGCTCATGTCCTCTCAAAAACCTGGCGTGAAATGTCAAAAATGCAACTCGAACATTGTACTCACCAAGGTCCTAAAGGACAATGGGAGCCGTAATGTTGAAAACTCACATCTTGGCGAGATCTTCAATTTTACGAAAGACCACGATGAAACTGGTACTCCCATTACAATCGAGCTTGTTTGGGCTTGTCGTATCAATCGACATGTCTTCCCTGCACCTGGAAACGAGATGCTAACAGCTCCGGTCATTCAAACCATCATCATCGACCCCGAAACTGGTGGTCCCAAACGTCTCACGTTCGCTGGTGCCCAACGATGGGTCAACCAAATGCGAGAGCTAATGCGCATGGGAGACGTCAGCCGCGCCAAAGAGTGTATGACCGAGATCGTTCAAATGAATGAAGGTATGAAGAAGGAAAGCTTCACCTGGCTGGAGAAGGAAAAGGCCAGTCGAATGTCCGCATCGCTCTCCCTGCCAAAGAAGATCGTCTTTCAACAAGACCAACAGCAGGAAGGGCAACCAAGGAAGCCAGAGGAACTTGAAGGACAGAAGTTACTTGAACAGTTTTTCGACGAGGAAGGTGATGTTCTCTATCAGATGATCACGAGCGACGATGATAATATCGAATACAGTGGTCTTGCCATTGACTCCAGCAGCGAGAGCAATCCATCAGACATGGCCGCTACCGCCAACGACAAGCAGCCAATGGAAGAGCCACCAACGGTTCCTGACGTCAAAGTTACTGTCACGGTCGTCACCAATCCTCAAAACGACAAAGGAAACGCCGAAGAAACCCCTTCTCTGGACGACAAATCCGTCAAGTCAACCAAAACCTCCATCTCCAACTCCACTATGTCCAATGCTTCCCTTCCTAAGGAAACAGAACACCCAACAACGATCGCCACGATGGAAGACAAGGTCGTCTCAAAGCGTCTATCTAAACGCTTCTCCCTCACAAATATGCTCACCGGCTTCAAGAAGGTTTCTCCTTCGATTAAACGCATCGAGGGGAAACATGACCTTGGCAAGTACGCTGAAGAACAAGCTGCTGCGGCCACAAACACCGTGGCCATGTTACCGGCCCAAGCAGAGTCTATGTCCCTCCATGAGATGCTTCAAGAGCCCTTCCATAGAATTGCTGAGGAGTCTTTGAAGGATCTTTCCGGGTATATGGCTGCTTCTTCCTCCAGCATCTCCAATACCACCATTGGCTCCACTAAGCCCGAGATGCCGGAGAATTCCCTTGCTAACATCTCTAGCGAGGGTATTCAGTCGGACACGCCGAGCTTTGTGACGGATAAGTCGGGGGCTGGAAATGATAGTACCCAAGACATTGAACACGGCCTCACGGTCGTTACTATCACCTCCGAGCCAGCTAGCAAGAACTTTGAGGACGAGTAAGAAGGTTGAGTATATAGGTTCTGAGTGAGATTTCTAATATCAACTATTATCGGTGTATGTTGGAAATCACATTATTACATATAATACTCGACCTCGACCTCGACCTCAACTCCTCTATCTTCTCTCTCGCTCCGGTTTTTGTTTTTGCAAAAGGATAGTAGGCCGGCGACGTCTACTATCTGTTTTTAATGTTACCCAAAATCCTTATGACGTTACGGCCATCACGAATTATGTAACGTAATGTTACATTAATTTTAAAATATCTTGATAGAACTCGATAGCTAGCTACTGAAGAACATGTTACTTAACGAAGCATGGTTTTTGTCGGATTAGCTGGCTGAAGTGAAATCAAATGTTTCTCCCCCCTTGCAAAAATCCTTTAGGTGTATTAGTTTACATCATGAACATGATAATATCTCTCATTGCCGTGGAGTAATCTTTCATCCACCCCGGTCGACTTGGGATCGAAAGGTAATTTCTACATAGGAAGGTAAAACATTTACGATCCGCTAGCCCTCGTGACGAGGCTAACATGCACAGTAACTAATCCACCCATACGGAATTCGCGACGTTCTCTTTCCGGTCCATGAATCCATAATATCGCGGGTACATTCCGTTGCAGGATCTAGAATGTATTACTCGTTGTCTATAGCCGCCTCGCCAACGCCGATCATTCTATGTAATATCAAATCGATTGGGTAGGCATATATCTACGGAACATCCCAGTATCCTATCAAGTAGAGGTTGACCGTACATATCTATTCATTGTGATTCTTAGCCTGGTAATGGGGCGACCGGATACATACGCTAGAGTGCCCTTCAAGAAAAAAAGGGAAGAAGAAGAAGAAGAGCGAGAACAAAAGCCTCCTTGCATGATCAGTGGTACAACAGCTCGCTTCGCATAAGCATATGCAACAACGGTGCCACCAATGCAACAAGCTCATGATATGATATCACTTTACTGATGTATCCAGGGCGTTTGAATCGTGGCAGGGTTACACGAAAGAGGCATGATCGCTGACCAGATGAGAGTCTGTCCCTTGCATTGTGCAGTCTCCGGAATGCGGCATTTGGCGAGAGGACTAATCATCTCTTTTGGAACATGAGCTACCCCGAATGGTATTTTGGTGATCAACAACGAGCGCGAGGGGATATTCCATTGAATATTTTTACGTCATGCACACAATAATCTCTTCTAACGATATGCGTCGATAGAAACAAAAAGCCCTTCCCGCTTTTTCTTCTATGGATTTGCTAGTTGAATCGAACCCCTTGCATAAAGATACATGCGCAGTTGCCTAAAGATCCTTTCATCACTTCTAACCTGCAGCTTGCAGCTTGCAGTTCAGCTAGCTAGACCGCGTTGTGTTGGATTAGATCAAATGATATCGGTTGGGTTGCACACGATAGCATCCTCGATAGGAAACATCTGTTGACGATCATCATTTCCTCCCAGGCCCTGGCTGGCGTGGGCGCTGAAGCGAAACACTTTTTTTCTTACTTGATCCATCCTCCCCGGGACCAATCCGATTACAACAATAAGGCACACGAGAATTAAGACAACTGAAACTTAGGGGGGAAGCGGGACACCCGCCCCTCGGCCAGCGGGATATCCAATATCCAAAGAACTGTTATTGCATTTGTCGGGAAAAAAGGCTTGAAGGTTGTCAGCCGAAAGGAATAGACTGCGATTCGCTAGGATTTAACGGAAAACTCTTCTCATTCTCCTTCTTCTTTTTTTTGTTATTATTTTCTTTTATGATAAAAGGAGGGCGGAGATGACCCAGTTAGAAATTCGAGAAGAATTTAGTGTCTTGATTCCCGCTCGGGTCGCCTTCGCCTTCTCTATAGAATTGGGTGGTGGGCATCCGATAGAAGTTCCGAATGTCTTGGAATTATTTGCAAAAGATGACAGGGAAAACGTAATGGAGTAACCACGGACAATGTACATACGAAGGAAGTATCTTCTTCGGAATATCTTGTAAGAGATCTCGAGAGCAGATATTTTGAGAATAACAGTATTTGTACCATTCTGATTCAGATCAGCGGGTAAAATGGACATCTGGGGGCGATTTCTCCCGTCCTGGTGGGCGAGAGCAATTCAAGATCAAAGTCTGAGTTGGGTCGCAGAAGCCCGCGTCCACATCTTGCGCCATCTGCTTTCCCTTCGCAAACAAAAGAAAACCTCGATTCGAGTGAATTCGTGAACTTAACTTTGGCAATACTGGATTGAACGATTTGCAAATCTTAAATTTTCGGATCGGGAGCTCCATCCAGTTCTCCAAGTGATTGATTACTATACATTTCCTATTGCCGAAGATTTAGTCCTGACGCAGCCGAAAGATTTTCGATCTAATATCTCCGAATAGTTGCTAGAAGAAAAGCGTTACAGATATTGAACAAAGTTGCGATTGTTGATACAAGTGATCGACATTCCTCCTACTCTATATACCCTAGCGAAGAGGCCTGAGCGATGTGATTAGGACGCTATCTATCCAATTCACCACCATTAGATATCGCTGGAAGGTTCGCGGGGTTCTAATAGTAGCAACAAAGCTAGTACATGCTCCATACTTCGAATCGAGATGAACATCAAAGCTCTGCATCGAAGCCCTGATCGAAAGTCATCAGGTCTAAGCGTTGTGTCCTCAGCGGAAACCTCAGAGGCGTTTCCGGAAGCCCCTTCCTAAGACCCTTAACTTCAAGATTTAGGATATGGCGGCGTTACTCTCGCTTGTTGAATCGGAAAGATGAGACGAGTCAGTGCATATTGTGCGTTAAAAGCTTCGAATTCTAATTATTATGCAAAGTTGTTGGTGGGGCTCAAAGCGCAGTACTGACCCTCATGAAATGAAGGGTCTGTGTGGCGGCATAGCTGGAACACTCGCTCACCAAGCAATTTTGCCGTGAACGTTGAAACTTTGCAATTGGACTGTTCGATTTGGTTAGAAGAAATTCAAAATCAAAACTCCGAGGCTCTCGGCTGAATTGCTAACCGCACGGTGGATCTTGTGCGTAACGATACGTATGCGCGTGACAAGCTTGATCATGGTCACAGCGAAAGAATGTTGAAACATAAAGAGTTGTCTTTCCTTTTCGTTCGTTTTTGTGTTTGGGGTGCATGTGTGGTCTTTGTTTTTTGTGCTGCTCCCAGCATTTTGGGTACGTTGACCACGGAGAATTCATGACAGCCTGGGACTGCAGATCAGGAACATTGAGGCCCTTCTAGCTTCGAAAAGGTCACGTTCGATCACGGAGACCACACACAAGCTTACCAATTGCTATGATGACCCTTGAAAAATTGGAACGCAAGGGATTTTTAATTTCCCTGTTATCAAAGTTGACGGCATATGGTAACATACATGCACCTTACAGATTGTGCAAGGCCTACCCATATCTCAGTAATATTGAAACTATTCATGCTATAACGATACATGCTAGGATGGACGATGTTAATCAGGTTGTTCTTGTTCGTGGGGTCCAAGAAATGTATAAAAGGGCTAGCACGAAAGAGGGTAAACCCCGAGCTACTCCTCGGCTGAGAAATAGACCATGCAGCGCGGAATCGGATTGCAGCATAAGCTTTAGGTGTTAGTGAGCTTGGAATTTTATCTTGGTAAAGTAGATACGAACTGGGCAAAGAAAACGAAAATAAAAGAGAAATTAGGCAAGTATTATATCTCATATGATAAGTTTCGAAATACGTAGTCTTTGCGACTTGCTACATAACTCAGTCTATTTGTGTTCTGGGTTAAGGATCCACTTTTTTGTGCGTCAGTACACCGATATTGCATGTGCATACCGATCTTAAGACAAAAGGCCTAGGGTCGGGTCTCCACGAGTACTCCATCGGTATCTTCCTTGAACCCGCCAAAAAACTGAAATGGCGTTCAGTGATGATACACAGGTTTGCATTCGCCCAGCGTTAAGCCTATCAGAAACGATCCGCTGTGTCGCGGATAAGGGAACAAAGGTCACCTGTGGCGTTTGGATCTGTTACTAAATTCGATTGATAGCACTAGCCACTATGGGCACTCTTGACATGCAATGTACCAGCTGTGCTGAACGAATACACGGACATATCGTTATTCAAGTAAGTACATACAGCTGTTGAAGAGGACCAAACGTTCTGCGCTGACGAACGGCGAGAACCCTGGGCTTCTGCCTGAGCGGAAATACGAACCCGGCAGTAGGACATGCTTGGCCCGTCAAAGCCGGGCGCGGCTCCCCCCTCAGCAATTTTTTTTTTAAGCTTTTAGACTTGTGTTGAACAGCGTCCATCCCGTGTCTTCGCCTCCTAGACCTTATTGAGCAGGTCACCGCCCATGGAAAATGTCTTCCTTTCGCCTAGAGACGAGAAGTTTAGTTAATTTGGTTAAGCTGCGAGGTTCATTTTTGCCCCTCAGAGGGCCTTGATCATCCTACCGCCAGGAGTGTGGACATGACTGAGATGTGCTAAGGTGCTGTGTCAATTGCAACGGGGCGGGGGTGGTTTTTTTGCATGGCGTGGGGGAGGGTACGGTCCTCGGTGCTATTGTAACCATGACCCCGGAACCCTTGAGCAATATAATCTAGACTGTTAAAGTTGCAATTATTACAAGGTGGTCATGCAAAGGTGAGCACACACGACGCAGCTTCTCAGGGGCAAATGAAAGAATATGATCTGTACAGGGTCGACTTCTAGAAAGCCTGAGGTGGGATGCTGGATGCTCATGGGGGGTCTTGAGCATCGAAGAAAATTGATCACAAGAATGCAGTGTTGTTTCAATATTTCACAATAATTATTGTAAATAAAGTAATCATACAAATAGTATATTGGGTATAATATAATGTTCATGTACACATAATAGTACAGCTGTGAAATGAACTTTCTTTGGAAAAGAAAAAGAAACCTAAGCAGGTCGTGTAAAGTCTCTATGTGCTGAAACCTTTCCTTTCGGATTTTGTGTCTTCCCCAGAAGTCGAATTAGAACAAGGAAAAAAAGACACCAATCCCAAACGAGTCCGCGGCCGCGCCGTTATATAGACAAAAATATAATAATCCTTCGAATAAAGAATAGAAATCGGTTCAATATATTATGAAGGAGTAAATCTTGAAAACCCGTCGAGAAACCCAAAAAATAACGAGCGCGTTGATAAAACTTTTAAGGAAAAACTCTCGCTGAGATTTAAAGCAAAGAAAATAAAACAGGATTGATTCGACGTAAAGGAATACCGACGGCACTGTACAAAAATATACCGCCGGGCTTTGCATATGGGTATAGACGTATTTAAGGATAATCCTTACGTTCGAACTGTAAAACACAAAAATAAATCGTGAATGATTAGAACCGATCCTTTAAAAGCACACACATATATTCGTAAGAAAATTTAAACGTTACTGGCATGATGCTTAAAAGTATCAGAGCTTCTTCGGGAGTGGGGACCAACAGTAGAGCCGGGAGGTGAGTTCTCGACATTAATCTTCACCTCGATCGTCTTGACGATGCGATCGCCTTCCTCGTCCACCCCTCTAACAATATTTTCTTCGGATTCGGTGGGTTGGCCGGTGGAGTAAACGTTGACGGTACCTCCTTGCTTGCCGTTGTAGCGGTCGCGGTTCATGGATTCGAGGACATATCCGCGGTCCTTTCCGAAGGCGGCAGAAGCACCGGTACGAGAGTTGTTTCCGTAGTATCCGTCCTGGTATCCGGCTTGTCCGCCAGAAGATCCAGCAAAGGTAGACTTGAAGAGAGGCTTAAGAGCTGGAATCGAGCAAGAAATCAAAGCGGCATTAATTTCGATTTGAGACCAGATGAGGATGTTGGCACCGTCGTATGGGATATCCTTCGAAGTGGACCAGACGTGGAGAGCGTAGATACGAGCGCAAGAGGCAATGACGGCAACGCTACCAACGGAGAAGATACCAATCAAAGCAACTGATATCAAAAATTAGTGGTTATTCTAACTGATAATAAATCGTACTGTGGAATCTTACTTCGCTTGTTTCGTCTCATTTGAAGTCTCAAGAGAACCGGGAGTGGGAGCAAAAGAATCCAAACGTCGGAGAAAATGTTGAAGGAAGCTTGGGCGAAGTAAATTGGCTTAAGATCTCTGCAAGATCCAGATCCTTGAAACAAGATCTCAGCGGACCAAGCATCGGGGACATGCGGACATTCAAAGGCATTGATGAAGATCATGATGATAGTGTAGATGGAAACGACAGCCATCGATGCATAGATGATAATTCGGTATGTCTTGGCGGCAGAGATTTGATGGTAAAAAGCCAAAATACTGAGCTTAATCAAGCCCAAGTCGAAGAGGTAGACTAACTGGTAGACATACCAGCTCTTCAATGTACCTTCTAGAGTGTACAATGGAGGCTTTGTCGGGTCCGGGGGAGGCTAAAGGTTTATTAGCACTGCTCTGTATTTTGCTGACTATAGAAATTGCATTTGATGCTCACCATATCTTTCATATGCACCCCCGTATTGAAAAACGCCTGCCAGTAGTTGATAGTTGCAATTCCCCATGTTATGATCTGTGGAACGTTGAAGCGTTAGCCGACGTGCTACGGTAGTTTTGCGTAAAAAAATCGCAGAGGTCTTTCAAGATCTCCACTACATGTAGGAAACAACGGAGCTTTATATATATAAAGCAGGACTTCTTACCAGTGCGAAAAGAATGAGCCAGTCATCGAGTCTGACACGACCTAACAGGAACTGACGACAATATAATCTGACGTTTGACAGTGGGCATTAGCTCTCTGGCGATCTTATAGGTGTAAGTGCATAGTAGTGTTGAGAGGTTTCACTAACCTCAGTCCAATAACGATAGTTGACAACGGAACCAACGAGAACGAGGTTCCCAAGATGTGGTTTGTAAGAGTTTCCGGCATCGTGAACGTCTCTCAGGACAAGTTCCGAGTAATGATCGCCAGTGAAATGTGAGAGCTAGAGGTTATAGGAAAGCTGTGATATAAATGATTGACACGGCTATGGTATGTTTTCGTCGTCCTCTGTGGAGAAAAGGGACTTCAAAAAAAGGTTTTCTGAATCCTCGGGACCACGATGGATATATATTCTTTTGAAGGAGGGACTAGGCAGGGTCTGGGAGGTTTTTCAATCTATGGATTTCTGGTAGCGGAAAGCCACCTTTGGTCCGTACTTTCCTCCTGGCTAGTTTCTGACGGGCGGGTGAGGTTAAACGGGATGGCTTTTTCCTATTGCCTGAAGGTCTGAACACCAGAAACAGTTCAGATAGATTGAAGCACATCCGGCTGGGTTCCAAGCCTGGGAAAATTGATCGCTTCTGCTCCTACTGCAGAATTTCCGCACCTTGGAATTGGGGCGTCGTCTGAACAGGGCATAGCTTATCTTCTGGGGTGACGATTAATTAAAAAGCAAGTTCGCCAGTTGTCCCAATATGGAGAAGCGGCCTGGGCACATTTTTCGAACTAGACAAGGAACAGCTAGCCGGTGGTCTGAGAATTTTTCAGGTTAGTCCTGCGGCGGACAGCCAGCACCCTCGTCTAATTTTCTTGCAAGAAAAGACCCGCTTGCATTTCGAGTGCCGTATTATTCTCCCCTTCGCGGGCAAGCCTTGGCTTCAGTTCCCCCCCTGATTTTGTGAATCGTTTCGGGTCCCAGGATCATGGTAAGAGGATGATGATGTGGGTAAATGCTGATGCCAGAAAAGACATGGATTTCTTGTTCTCGAAAAGAGAATTAACAAAATGGATATTTTGCCAGGCTACAAGATGTGTGGAAGTAATTGTACCGAGTCGTCCCCTTAACAGGTCTGAACATTGCATATTCTAATCAATTTGCGAATCGAATTAGCCAGGGCTCTCTAAATTGGAATTCGAGCTACGTATCCCCACTAACTTACAATCACTACGCTCGATGAAGTGTAACTACTAATAACCTAAATTCATAATATCGCAGTTTAACACACGGAACTCTGACCTGAGCCTCCTTAGTCCTGACAAAATGCAAATTTCGTTCATGTCTTTCCGACAACACGCCAAAATTCGGGCTATTTGGTGGCGTTTCTGAATCTAAAAGATCTTGTGGACCCTTCCCTGCTTCCCAAGGCATCCGGATCCCCTTTGACCTATCGGATGACACCAGAGAACCGAAGTGTACCAGATCCCCGGTCCATCCAGATTAGTGGTGGGGGGGTCTCAAAATCAGGACAGTTTAGTCTAAAAGAGTCTTAGATCGCCCCCCTCGACCAAGTCCCTGGAGCGAGGCGGGATTTTATGTGACACACCCCCGAAGGAAAACTCAGCGAACTGCTGTCTTGGCGGTGTGCGCTAAGCTGCATTTTTATGTAGTACTGGGCCGATGATATAATACTACTGTAATATAGAGCTGTCTGGTGGAGTCCTGACAAAAGTCTTGACTGCGGTCTCGCCTGCATGGAAGCTCCGCTTCAACTTTTCTGGTACTTCTTTCTGCTTAGGCTCGATGCCACACCAAGCGAAAGAAGGAAAAGACTTCAAATTAGCATTTCTTGTCGATAGCTGGGGTGTTTCAATCGTGATAAAAGGGTCGGCGGCGCGCAGTTAGCCTATCGAATTGCGCGAAGTTGGTCTCAAGCACTCAGTGTTTCGCCCGCTCTGAGAAGGACCCAAGAATTCTCCAAATGAACAAGAGTAAGATCTGTACAACCACTAATTTTGTTATTTTGTTATTCTACTGCTATGTATGCATCGTCGCCTGCATCCTATAACCTATAACTACAGACGATCAAAGGACGCGATCCAAGCAACAGGTGGAACAAGCGGCTCGTGCGGGAATACTCCAGCCTCCTATGTCGACTAAACTTATCGCGGGAGTAGAAGTGCTGATCTGACAGCCCAGACAGCCCAGAAGAATGCTTCGTACGGGAAATTGATTCCGCGGCCTCCTCGGTTGGGATTGGACAATTATTATTATGTTCTAACTTTGGAAATACGAAAAAATACAACAATATCGACGCTCAGACACCATTTCGGTATGCGCCGAGGCAAAATAAGTATCATGTTGATAAATTATAAAGTCACAACTATTGGTATATCACGCGGAGCATTTTTCCTAAGCAGTATTGAGTTATCCAAACAGGAAATCCAAATACCTTTCTATTATGGAAGATAAACCTCCTGGTAGATGTGGCGTCGAATTGCTGATATGGAAGTTTTAACGTTATATTGATTATTAACTCCTATCTGTATCAGTGGGGACTTTTGGTATGTATCAGGGGCAAATTTTTTATCAAATTTCCAACGGTTTTTTGACTTCAATTTGTCAAGGACTATCCTGTGGTGTCATCGGGGCGTACGTAAAGTCCGCCAGTTCGGTTGTGGCCCCTACAAGTTATCCTGACAGACTAGGCGGTTCCTGGCCCGGCGTCTTAGTCCCTGTCAGTGTCTTTCAGGAATCTTCCTTGTATTGTGCAGCATCCTCGAAATAAAGATATAATTCGAAACTTTGATAATGGGTATATGTTCCTGCCGAAATATGCAATGCGAAATGCAAGCTCAACTTCAGCTACAGTTTCCTCGACTAGGTAGGTTCGATAGTATGCTGCAGGAACCTGATTTCTGAGCTCCCCATCCATGCCAATCTGCGGGTCTTGTTGGTTGGAAAAAAAGAATGCATTGCATAAAAAACAACCTTGGCTTTTGCCGTCTAGAGTATCGTGAGACTTCAAACTCTCCCACTAAAACGTCCGGGGAAAGGGGAAGAGACAGCAAGAATGCTAACTTGCGCCAAGCGAACTTTGAGATCGAGATTTTTGAAGACACGGGAACATATCTACAATGCATTGTCCTATTCCGTAAACTTTCGCTTGTTTCGAAGAGCGAGCGAGATTGATGCATACGTATGTACCTTTATCACTTCGTGACGAGATTCCGAGATTATGGGATGGGAGAACTTGAAGCTTTATCCCGCGATGCTAATCTCGACCTCCTGCTTCTGGAAAGCTGAAGTATGATCCCCCACTCCAGTTCGCTGATACATGCCGCCGGCAGGCTCCAGGGGCCCTCATTGGCCATTTCCAACTTCGGAAAGCATCCGGCGTGATCAAGACTTGGAGTTCGCCTGGTCTTCATCCTGATACACCCGCTTGGATTAAGTCTGGTGACTTGGAAAATACAAACATCTACTCTGTAGATCAACCTGCAGCGCGCATCCCCAATGCATATCCGTCTTTAGGCTTTATTCTGTTTTCCCGTTCGTAACATTTTTATGTTCCGAGTGTGTTAAAAGCCTGAGGCCGTCGTTGGCGCCGAAGGAAGCGACCTATGGTACCATCCGGCTCGCTAGGGAAAAGATATATAGTTTCACTTGGAAGTTCTTGGAGCCACCAAGATTGTGATATCTAAACAACAAAGTCCCCTATTAGCTAAAGTTCTTTCATGATGAGATAGAAGGCGGGTCCCTCTTTTCTTGGGAACTTTTCGCACATACCTTTCATTTCAGCATCCGTCCTCTATCATAATTCATACCCATACAACCCTATTTTCTTCAGAGCAAGACATAGTCATGAGCTCCCCCATTTTTTGTTCCAAAACTCTTCGTGTATTCGCGCAATTGCAAAGACCTTCGTCCCGGGCCGCTCTTTGTCGTCCTCCTAATTTGCGTTTAGAATGTCGACATGTCAACGGCTGAAGGATGTTGATTATCACGCCACGGGTACCTTATCGGTAGTTCGTATCTACGGAATCACATCCAAGATCTGACCAAGAGTCAGTCAATGCCGCATTCTACCTTTACCCCGGATTTCCAGAGTTTGGACGAAACGATTTTTCTATCCACAATCCATATCACAACCAGGTTATTCCTTCCCTCCGAAGTTCCTTGTCGTTGGTTGCCTTGCTTTGCCACCCCGTAACGGCGAGATATCTCTGACAGGACAAGGCTCTATGTCGAACGCATACGAAACTTGAACTGGGGGCCTCCTGGTCGTAAATGTCATCTTGTGGGTGTGCATTGGCTAATGGAACCGTTAGCCCTGGCTCACGTTACAATACAACATTTTGTGACCGAAAAGTTCATTAGAATCGATAGAGTCAAGTCACATGCTAGCATTTTTTGGGAGACATAAAACCCTTTAATTTCTAGGTCTATGTTAGCTGAATTATTGTGGAATTTCGATATATATATCACTTGGGACTTAACTTTTACGACTAGTTGTGCGAGACAATTCTTAAGACGGAGGTATGGACGCCAATTCGGAAATGTGTCTAACTGAAACCGACGGAAATGGCGCTAGCCGTCGTCCGCCACATTGCGTCTGCAGCGACGTTTGCTAAACCTGTCGGCTAAATGTCAAGATGTTTGATCGGCGGCCAAAAGGATATTGGCACTAACGGTATCTTCCAGAAGCCCTTCAGTGACGCATATTTGTAGGTAAAGAATTTTTGAATGCAGACATCATGTTGGATTAGACTCGAAAAAGAATTGTATTTGGCTACCCGAAAAGAACTTCGCACAAAATCCACAAAAGCAGATGCAAAATGCGCCGGAGTCAGAACGAGGAGTTTATGTTTAATTACAAAAAAGGATTCATCGCTACCATAAAACAATCAAAAAATAAAAATATAAGATGTTGTACAGAAAATTGGTTCTAACTCCGAAATGTTCAACTCATGTTGACTTGCCTTGCCTTCTGTCTTCTGCAACTCCAACGAAAATCCTCCTTAGATATCTACAGTTTTTTGGAGTCTAGACCACTGTAACCATCCTGTCCCACATGCCCTCTAGTTGATAAAATGTAAAAGAAAATCTATTTGGATGACGACGTATCGTGGTATGTTTAGATCCACCGTCGGAGACACTGGTGGTATTGCGGAACAAAACGGGAAAGTCGGATTGCTATTTCTAGCTCTTGTCGCGATTTTGGTTTAGAGAGGATTGGGATAGTCGTTGCCGTTTATATCAAGGAGGAAGTCGTAGTCGTAGCACATTTCACGGATGTTCATGACATCCTTGACCTTAACACCAACGTTGGCCTTGATCATGTCGGCGTATCCCAAGTTGAGCGGCATGTCGGTAGTGGCATTGGCACACTTTTGAGTTTCGCCTGGCTTGTAATAGTCCATGAGACAAGATGGACCTCCGAAGTCTTGCATGTTAGCGGTCTTAAGCTTTTGCCAGGACCACCAGACGCGGTCGAGGTTGGAATGATGAATCCAGAAAGCCGGATCTATTTTTGATATATATTCTTAGCACTTCATCAAATAATTTATCACGAGCGGTATTGAAACTAACCTCCAGGGCTGACATAAAGATCACCCATTATTCCCAAAGTACCACCAATGCCGTAATGACCACCACCATGAATACCAGAAGCCTCGAAGGATGGACCACCTTCGACAATAACATCGAATTCATAGAAATTCTTGGCCGCAAGGGTAACCTTGGTTTGGTTCTTTGAGAGATAACGACCGGAGAAGTAAGGGCTCATATCACGAGACAAGCAGCGAGCGCCGTTACCACTGAAATCATTTCCGGGACCGAGATTGACAACCATGTTCTTGAAAGCACCAGTAGTAACGCAACCGCCGCCGGTACGTCCAGGAACTGCGAAAGCTGCCTGTGCGGCTGGGACTGGGAGATAGGCACCGTTTCCACCGAACCCGAGATTTGCGTCCCAGATAGGAGAGGAAAAGAACTTGGTGTTACCCTGTCCAACGTCTCTATGCCAGTCCCAGTACGGGAATGTACCTGTATAACCGGCTTCTTGACGGAGCATTTTCTCCATAGTCCAGGTGTAATAGCGGTGGAATGGCAAGAAGTGACCCTATACCCATTTGTTAGACCCTTTCTGTTGTAGTACAATATATATAGAAGTTGGACTGTTGTACATACGACATAGTGAACTTCGAAGGTTTGGTTGATATGGGTGGCGACTAAATCATCATATCTAGTTTTGGCACCAGCATAGATGCTTGCTGGAGTCCTTCCTGGCTTAGACAAGATACAGTTCATAGCATAAAGAAATTGGAACTTTTCAGTGTTCGACAAAGATCGCCTGCATATGTGTTAGCTGTACATATCTATACAGTTCCATTCCGTGGATATCAAGTACATACCATTCTTTTCTCTTTTGAATAGACTTGCAAGTACCAAATGGTTTGGTTGATGTGCTGCCACCCGAGCCACTAGGTGTCGGAACTGAGAACACACCGGTACTACATAGAACAAGAAGCAATGTTACTAAGTACATGATGCGCCGGCCGGCGACAGACATGACGGCCATCTTGAGGAAGTTGGAGGATGGTTGATGGAGAGGTCGATATCTGTAGGCAGAGATATTATTATCGAGCTGAGGGGTATTGGCAAAGAGGAAGTGATATGCTCGATGGTAAAACTGTGCCAGGTTGCCACGTTTTTTCCAACGGTGACGAGGGGGAGGACTAGATTTATACTTGAGCGAGGAGGCGACAAGATGGTCAGAAAAAGTAAAAAAAAAAGAAGGAATGAGCGACTATGGATAGTACTATCCAGGAAAAGTAAAAATTAAAAAAACGAAAGAAGAGACAAGGCTAAAAGTTTAGGGTTACTCGGAAAGGAGCGACTGTAGTTGGACTGGAAAGATGGCTGGCAATTGCAAATGCAAGATGCAAGAACGGATAGCACGGTTCCGTTCAGCTCGAAAACATTTACGAAACTAAAATGAGATTTTCTAAGAAAAAACGAGTGGATCAAGTGAAAGATTGAAAGAAAGATACAAAGGAGGAAAGAAATCCACAAAAAAGTACTCCGCAGTATAGTATATAACGGGTCCGGTACTTGTTAAGGTATAGAATGAGGTTCTGAACCTGCATAAAACGACAAGATTCGACCCACATGGGCCACCACGTTTTTCTACTAAGCTTCTTGGAATGTCTCTGGTGTGGATCCCAAACCTTCGACCTCGAGGCAGAAATCTACCAATTTTACCAATCATAGGGGAAGTATAAGCTGCTGGCTCTAAGATTGTCGAGTGGTTCCTTGGTCCATCCGTTTACCCAAAGTGGTTGGCACCACGGGCAGCTAAGTCCGTGCATAGCGTGTCAGCCCTTACCAAGCCCAGAAGATGCGACCGCAACCACTACAAACGACTCCAACAGATATACTTGGGAGGGACATGGTCCGGTCGCACAACGTATCCCCTTGTTCGTTTACCCCCATTTAATTCAATTGTTGGAAGAATAGTGCCAATTTGCATGAGGTTCTTGCCAGGCACTGGAAATTTAAATTAACATGCTACTTGACAGGTCAGATGATTCGTCGCAATCGACTGCGAAGACGCCGCCAACCGGCCGTTTGACGGCACAAAAATGGTCCCTTTCTCACCATGAGTGGGTGAGGCGTCAGTCTCAAAGTCTTGAGTCCTTTCACAAAACAACGGGCGTTTGGTCACCGCTTGTAGCTTTTTATGTCGCATGCATGCAAGCATGTAGCAGCGCAGCTCCGCTGTCGATGGAACCTAGCTGGCCGTATGCATTATGTCGCACCGGTGGCCATGTTAGTCTTCGGATTCAACAAACAGGCGCATGCCCACCCGGCTAAGTCGGATACCAAAAGCTGGAGTTTTATCCGCCTCTCGCTGCAATTAACGTATGATACACTCGCCATGTATGTATGGGCTGGAATATCGCGCATTGGCAAATCCAAAAAGTGACTGCATGCGCAAGCCAATATGCAAGTTCAATTTTCATTTACATACAATTATTGATAAGCTTGCCTGTGTTTCGGTAAATATTCCCAAGCCCCTAGCTCGAATGTCTCCATAATTGTGACTGCGGTAGCTTTCATGTCTCCTATCACAATTGCAGGTTTGACGGCAAAGCAGCTCGGCAAAAAGTGTAATATTTAGAAGGCCTGGATAATGTATGCCTAAAAGCGCCTGTATACGAACTACATTGTAATGCATTGTTTGAACGCCGCGCCAACGCTGCTGCATCACCAGCGAAAACCCTCCTCTTTAGCACGAGTACTTCCTTCGCTATCCGATTCCGAAGAGGTCCAGAGTTCCTTAGGACTCGGAAAATGGAACCCGCATGTTCCATAATACCCCTAAATCCATCTGCGAGAAAAGTCTAACCCCTGGCAATGAATAGACAGTATAACTTTTAGGGCTTAACATAGCTAATCTATAGCTAATTGAACTGTGCTTCGAGACGGATTAAGGTTAGAAGGCAAAATAATTAAATTTCTTGCTGGTCTTATGGTGTTCGTGACGACTGATTTAACTTCAAGCGCTAGGCGACATGCATTCTGTTTCTTTCGAGTTGGAACAACGAAATCGCTGGTGGCGTTGCTGGGCCTGTGGGGTCTTCCAACCCTGTCAACTTAACAAGGTCCCCACCCACCAGAAATTCAAATTTTATGGAGCTTACGATTTTGTACTTTGTAACCCTTGAGAGCTTCAGGCATCTCCTGCCACGCGAGTAAATATCTCTAATGATAAAACGCAATGGCGACAATTATTTTCTGATAATATTGAAGCAGATGAAAAACCTTGAAGGTTTGGTAGCGCTGACCTTGTTGCATCAAATTTCTGGCCGCGATATTATAGATAGTCAAATCTTAATGCAATTTCATAGGCTTCTATAAAAAGGGTTTTCAACTGCCATGAACCCTATCAGTTAGTTATTACCAAGAGAAACGTGTGTCAATGCAGCTCCAAGATAAGCCAGGCTGACCTAGTTTAGACACCAGTCTTTCATTTGAATATTTCTCCGCGCTAGTCCGAGCTTGAAAATGTCTTCGATCCAAAATGAAGGTTTCTGGGATATTGAAAGGGATAAACGACCAGATCTTGGTACTCCGGAATTAGGAACCCGTGGTAATCCTGAGCTTCCGTTGGAGCAGAGTCTCCTCGCTAGCTGCGCTGAAGCTGGGGAAACCTAGAAGCCATGTGCGAATAGCGCACAGACGAGTGATGTCACGAACCTTTGAGGCTTTTGGGTAGGACCGACAAATGTGATTAATCTTGCATCTTGAAGGGGATATCAAAAATGGGTTATACGAGTATCCGTAGCGTAATCGCTTCGGAAGCCAAGTAACGTCTATGGGGTAAACGACAAGTTAATGGAGGGAATTCGGACCGACGTCGAAAGTTACAAAAAGGTCGTTCGTCGGGTGTAAGAGCCGATTGACACATAGATACGAGCCCATGCTTTACAACATCAATACAATCAGCGAAACTATAACACAATGATTACGCCTTGTTGGTTGCTCCAAGGGTTCCACGTGTTTCTCGTCTACCACGTTTGTGACTGATGCACTCTCTATGCATCTATTAGCTACACTGCAGGCCATGCATGTTCAAAAAAAGTGCGGTTATGCCGAGTTATCCAGGTCATTGTAGGATGATCCACCGAATGGCAAAGGCAACGAGCTTGGTCTGGACTCTCAAATATAGCTTTACCTGATCCTGGGACAAGAGTTCTCCACTTAATTGCAATTAGGTGATATACCAAAGACACTTCGAATTATACGTGACGATCACTTCTGCTTCGGACTGTGATACGAGGAGACCAAACGTCAAAGCTCATCTCACATACTTCCAAAAGTAGCTGAGATATACGTATCCCAAAACGAATGTTCGAGACGAAAAATTAAAAACTCAATTGTTGATCAAGAGGCCCACGCCCACCACGTGGTTGACGCCTTGATAAAGCTCATCACTTTTGAGAGATCGTCGTTCGTAAAGGATTTCCAGTCAAGCAGCATTGGTGTTATCTGCCCGTTTTAAATCTTATGTTATGCGAGCCAGGATAGAGACTCGTCTCCGAGGTTCATCAATACTTATTACCATGTATTCTTCTGTGTGTATAAAACTGGGTCTTTCCCACCATCCAAGAGAAACTTGCGTTTAGAACTTCGCACTAATTCTGTGCGTCCGTGTTGCCCAAATATTTAGCTTGATTAACGATAGTGGGATTAAGCTTAACTGGCCTTTACGATAGGCAAAAAGCCTTTGGGTTTCTAAGAGGCGAAAGTCCAGCCTTCCGCCATTTTTGGCGGCCATAAGAAAAAAACCACACATACGGAGGTGCTTGGCCTTCGTTGGCGAAAGATTCCCAACCACATGCAAGCTTACAAGAAACTGGGCGGAAAACTCTACTGACGCGAACCAGACCTAACACAGGAGCCGAGCTGAGCTGAGCAGCTACCTACTATGTAGAGCTCGAAGATCTCGCTATCACCCGCCTATCGACGTAGTTAGGAAGTGGCGTCAAGCAAGGAGCTACACAAAAAGCCTAGCCATTACGCAAAACTGGTGCCAAAACTCTTTGAGCCTCGGGGAAACCTTTCCAGGTCCCTCAATTGATCAACACCCACTATTTTTTCAAGACATGCAGAAGGGCTTGAAGGCTTGAGAGAATCTGGTAGTCGTGAAGAAAAGAAACATGCCGTAACTCCTCCAGCGGAGTGACATTGCCTTTCCGCTGCAGCAACGAAAGAAAAAAAAGTCTTGGGAAAACTTTTTTATGTGTTGAAACTGGGGTTCACCATTTCCTTTCTCAGTGCGGGTGGGTCAGGCCAAGGCCGAATTTCACGTAAACCCCTTGCTCTCTGGTGGCGTTTTTCGTTTACGGCCTGCATAAGCCCCTATTCTGTCTTTTGAGCCCAGTATCCTGGCTATCGAAGGGTTCCAGTTCTCCCGGTGCCCCGGAAAAAGTTTTACCTTCCTCTTAAGCGGTTTGTGGGAAGGCGCGGTAATTTTGATTTGCTGGCCCACCGTCAGCTATTCGAATAACAGCAAGGGTCGGCTGTGGGACCCCTAGCGAAGCTCATCGAATGTTCAGTTTCAAATAGCGATTTTTGGGGGTTAAACTCTTCCCTCGCATCTCTGCCGTTATTTGAACGCTCTCCGACTTTGCGAAAGGAGGGAGGGTTGGGTTTTTGCACACCCAATAGCGCTCATTTTTGGGTGCTTCAATCAGCCGATTTTGATATATGATATAGGTAGACGGTTTGAACTTCGAATATGCTGCTTGCATACCGTCGAGCTGGTGAGAGCTGTAGCTATAGCTTGTAGCTGCTAGGTCTGGAAGGGGCAGCACTCGAGACTATAACTAAAGAGTACATGTCCCTGGTTACCAACAGTTTGGTTGACGGGAGGCGCATCCAACACGGAAGGAAGCAGGTTGTCTGCGAGTTCCCGAGGACACCCTCAAAACATCCCATCGCTACCACTCCACCAACATGCTCAACACATTTTCCGTTCCCTCAGACCTTTCCAGCCTTCTATCCAGTCTCGTACCTTCTATCATTCCCATCCAATAGCCTCTTCCCAAACATTTCACAAATATATCATATTGCCGGGACCTTCCCTAGTATTTCAGCGACTGGAGCATCATATGAGTTTCACGATACGATTTGCAGATGAAAGGGTATGTATTGAATTATATAAAACGGTTTAACTAAGGGGATATAGGTATAATGTATTTTGCACCTGCTTTGCATTGCATCTATAAGGCAATGCAACTTCCAAACAACTACTGAATCAAAAGCCCTCAAAGACATGCAACTAATAAGAAACAAAAGAAAGAAACATGGGGAGTATACTAATTGATATCAGATCATCTTTCGGGCTCTCATTCTATATTCTGTACGGATTCAGTCTTTCGTACGGTCTAGAATGAACCAGCCAACAGGTAAGAGAAGCAGCGATGTATATTGCTACCGACGTCGTCGAGGCTATCGTGCCTCTCAGTTCCGCTATATCCAACGATGTTTTTAACACCACGTATAGCTCTAACACCCGATCCAGTATCGAGTCCGAGTCTAGCGGTCTCAACACACTTCTTTACGGTTCCGGAGAGAAGACCGGCGGCAGCACACTCAGTGGCATACGCGGTAGCATCCTCAATGGCTTGTCGTTTGAGGAATTGCCGGCTACATGGTTTCTATTGGATTTCCCATATCAGCATTTGGTACATATCATCGGCTTAGGGTCGAATGTTAACTTACTCCTCCTTGAGATGCGACACATGCCTTGTATAGCAACTGGCTTCCACCGGACATGCCCATCTGAGCACATCTAATAATAGGGTCTTCTATAGTACCGCTCTTCTTAAGACATCGCTGAGCGAGAGTAAGAGAGTCCAGGTCCTTGTTGCACGAGAGAATACAATCGATATCAGCAATACCAGTATCAGTAATACAACCAATAAGGTTTGTTGGAATCTTTCCACCAGATCGTTTACATTCTTGGAGTGCTTTCGCTGTAGTGAGGGATTTGATTGCACATGGACCGAAGTCTCCGATGTCCATGTAAGTTCCTTCGGCGCTGAGCCCTTCAACGATTTCGTATAATTGGGGTGGCTCTTGGTTGTTACTGGGAAGCTCTGTGGCGGTTTCCGAGGGCTCGTAGATTGTTGGGGCAGCTGCTGATGGCACTGTTGAAGAAAACTGAGTAGTATATGTTTCCCAGGATTCTGGTTCAGTAGAGCATGTTTCTATGGAATCTGGTCCGATAGAGCAAGTCTCCGTGGGGTTTGGTCTACTAGAACATGTTTCTGTAGCATCTGGCCCAATAGAACAAGTTTCTGTAGAGTTTGGTTCAATAGAGCAGGTTTCTACAGAATCTGGCCCAATAACACATTTTTCTGTAGGATTCGGACCGGATGTTTGCGTAGAATCTGGTCGAGTAGAACATGTTTCTACAGCATCTGGCCCGACAGAACATGTTACCGTAAAATCTGGTCCGGCTGATGTCGGTCCACCTCCAATGCTGGTTCCACCCCTGCCGCTTGGCTCACCACTGGTGTTGGAGGCAGATGGTTCTGTGGAAGAAGGCCCTGTGGAGGCGTTTCCACCCACAGTGCTTGATGTTCCAGCGGATGTAGTTCCGGTAAAGGTAGGTTCAATGGATGCATTTCCACTCTTAGTGCTAGATGATCCTGTGGAAGAAGGTCCAGTGGAGGCATTTCCACCCCCAGAGCTAGATGTCGTTGTAGTTGACGATCCGCCTGAACCAGCGCCGACGACGCTACCATCTGGAATATCTTTCCCACCATGGCCGTAGTAACCTTTGTGACCCTTTCCTTTGCTATGGTTTCCCTTATACCCTCGGTCCTTGGAATAGTAGTCCTTGTTTCCAGAATGTTCCTTATAGGTATCGGGTTTGCCGTGATATTCGGGGCCGCCTCGAGAACTTTCATAGCCTTTGCCTCCATAATGTCCCATCTTGTGGCTACCATTCCCCCGATAATCGGACTTGTATTCTCCATGATATGCAGGTTTGCGTTCCCCGTGGTATTCAGGCTTGTATTCACCATGGTACACAGGCTTATTTTCACCGTGGTATCCGGGCTTGTGTTCACCATAGTAGGTTGGTTTGTTTCCTCCATGGTATCCGGGCTTGTACTGGCCTTGGTACCCATGTCGAGTCTCGCCGTGGTAACTGGGTTTATACTCTCCATGATAGCCAGAATTGTATTCGCTGTTGTGACCAGGTTTGTACTCGCCTTGATAGCCAGGTTTCTCGTTATGGTACGCGGGCTTGTCTTTGCCATGATATCCAGGCTTGTACTCGCCGTTATACATAGGCTTGTAGCTACCGTGATAACTAGGTTTGCTTTCACCATGATACTCGGGCTTTCCATTGCCCTTATACCCTAGCTTGTATTCCCCGTGGTTCTCGGACTTGCTATTGCTAGCAGGGTGCCCGGAAACATAACCGTGCTCAGTGTTATAAATACCATGATGACCATTCTTCTGAGGATGTTTGGAGCCATAGTAATGCGGACGATCATTGGTTTCGGGGTGCGAGTAACCGCCTTGGCCACTATTGTATTTGGGCCCTTGGTTTCCATATTGTTGCGGGGTATAGACAGGAGTATAGTCGGTCTTGCCACTGCTGAGATAAGGGCGGGGTCCTTGGGGACCTGGTTTTTGAGGAGAAGGCGCATAGCCATCATTTCCACCAAGTGTCTTCATACCGGAAAATTCAGGGCTGTACTCTCCATTATACCATTTGTAGTAGTCATTGTAGTTGCAGACTTTGTATTCCCAGCCGGTGTTAACATATGGAAATTGGGTTGGTTGGGCAACAACGGTAGAAGTAACGCCATAGTAACAGGTACCTGCTTTTTCACAGTAACAGGTCTCAGTCTTGTGGGTTGGGTATGCGGCAATAGTAACTGGTTGGTTCACTCGAGTGATCGTGACGACACCACTGTAGCATGGAACTTCAGTGGAAACCCAGCGGTAAGAGGAGGTCTTGTATATGGTCTCGCATTTCTCCTTGTTCTTGGAGCCGCAGACGACGTATTCCGGGGTACAAGAGTAAACTGGTTGGAATTGTTTGGTGACTGGAGTCGGGTTTGCACCCGGTTTTGGGGTGATGATAGTATAGGTAGTCGTCTCGCATTCCTCGCTATTTCTAGCGGGTGCAGCAGTGACATACCGTCTGTCGTTGAGGGGCTGGCGGGGAGCAGCAGATGCCGACCCGGAAATGAACAGCGCAGCTAGAGCTGCAAATTTTATGTTGCGCATCATGCAATAATATACTGGAGTCGCCTACTACCTCAACTTCCTGAAGAGGTTAGGCCCCAGTACTTAAATGTATATATATTCGACTGGATAACAAGGAGGAGCGCACGATAAAGATAATGCGCGAGTATGAATGAATGTGGGGTTATAGGGAAAAAAAAGAATGACAAGTTAAAAGAACTGTGAATAAACGAGTGAATAGAGTCAATATCGTATGTTGCTGGTGAGAAGGGAAGAAGCTCCCCTGGTGGTGAAGATCGTCGGGTCTCTTTATACCTGTCTTGAGACTTACTTCGTCGTCGAGCTTCATTCTTCTATAACCCCGTGCTAATATATATAAATACCTATGGCCCCACAGTAATCATTCGGAAGCATGATTACATGATGAATCTAGAACGTTAGCTGCCGTGCTAAACGATTGTTCAGCTGCCCTAGGTGAGAGGAATGAGAACTCTAATTTTCCTCACTGTGAATAACTGTTGGGTTTCAGCTAGATCAATTGGCGAGGAAGGGTTCCGTACTAGCGAGAAATGTGTAATTATGCAGGTTTAAGAATTAGGATCGAAACAGGGCATTCATTGGCTACGACAATATCTTCCCCTTTGCTCGAATGCCATTTTATCAATTCCTTTGCTGATATCTTCTGATATATACGGCCAAGACTTGTATATTCTGACTGTATACAGAAAATACGCCAAAATCTCACATCAATCTATTTATAAGTGTATTTAAAGAGGCCTTATTGTTGTAGGAGTACTTATATTATGCATATGTGCTAAGCACGACATGCTGAACGTCGAGATTAAAGCACTGGATTCGAAACACGTAAATACTGAGCTTTCAAAAACCATTAGCTAGCTTGATCTATTTTTCTAAAAACTTTACGCAATTAATTAAGATGTGGCAAAGACTATTACTGTAGGATCACGGGGCAGAACCCGTGAAAGAAATGGAACATGTCGCAAGGTATGTGCACTCTTACCATCTGAGCCAGCACACAGATGTTTAAAATTATGCATTCATTTTGTTGGGAGCCATGTGTCTACACATAAAAATTCTCGAATCATCATTCCCATCATTTATGATCGCACGATCAAGTCGGTCAGATCTCTCGATCTCGTACCGTTCGTTCGAGAGTCCACTAGATATGCTAAGTTTTTTGTACCAAACCACATAAAATTGGGCGGGTAACTCAATTCTTTTTGGAAACATCGTGCTCAGACTCTGCGCCGGATTGAATTATCCCCTCTACGGCTTGCAGTTCCGGGAATTGCATATGAGGGGTGTTCTCTATATATTGCGTGTTTTCGACCCCTTGCTTTGATCGGGCCTGTTCTGAGAATTCCAGAGCACCAATTGCCGTTCCACTAGGGACGAGTAAGTCTCAAAAAAGCTTATTTCTTCTGAATCCGGGACTTGAGCAACATGCCCGAATTCCTTTTCTATAAACCGGCCGTTTAAGCTATTGTGGGGTATCTATCGCCATGGTCGCGATCGGGCGCTTGAGCATCGCGCGGCCATGACTGGTCTAGCCCAGCTTGTCAGTTTGATTGTGTTGTCTATTGTTGTAGATCTTTTAGATACTAGTAAGATCAGATAGAGAGACCATTTTAGGCAATTTTGCCAAAATCAAACGGACTGAAAAGTCGAAACGTCAATCTCGATCTTTCCAGGTGCACAGCTGCGGATGCACAGTACAGGTTGAACACCAAACCCTGCTCACAAACCACTGACAATACCGACATCTACAACTATAAACTACTGCTTGCCTCATGGATATCTAGTGCTCGGTACCGGGTCCCACTATGATAATCGAAACGAGAAGGATTTTGGGGGCGCCGCAGAGTCTGTCCGTTTATTTGCGCTCCAATCGATATCATATCGATAGACTATAGAGCTAGACATCAGCGGTTCAAATCACATCGCGCCAGTATTACGACGAAGCATACATTACTTCTAGAAATGGTCCTATTACCGGGATACCGGGCCGCGAAAGCACAGCCTTTTCAACGTATACTGTTTTTTCTAGGCGCTAATGAGGTCGGAGGCCACGCTTATCTATATCGGATGCTGCAGAAGACCCAGCACCCGTTGTATATTATCTATGCAACTCGTCGCCCAACCGACGGTCAAGTTCCCTTCAATGTTTTGTTGAGAAGTGAAGAGTTTCAAAAGCGTCTTGCTGAAACCAAGTCCTCGATGTTGTTTTATCAATCACCATGGAAATATACAGACCTGGGTAGTGATGATGATTGGGTAACCAGGGCTAGAAAGCCGATTATACGGTGTTCATCGGCCCACGGCGAACGTCCTATCAGCTATATTTTCATCAACGGACATGAACACTACGGAATGCAACAAAACTCTGAAGAGAATAATATGGCCCGAATGCTCCGGCTCCAAAAGTACTGGGCTCCCTATCAAGGCGCTTTGACCACGATTGCGAGGCCCGACAAGAATAACATCTATGATCACCAAATCGCTTACGTCACCACAAAATTTTTTGTTACTCATATGAGCGCTACTATCAATGCCCTATTACCAATGGTGCGCGATGACGGCGAAGGGGTCGTAGTTTTGAAGACTCCCAGATCTGGCAAGCTTGAAATCGTAGGCTCGCGACAACTGCGAGCTGATTTTGTTAACCCAACACCCCGTTTCTATGAATCCGCAGTTCAAGAAGTCCGGAAAGTTTCTGATTCTTTAACGAAAACAAAACAATTACGTGAACCGCCATGGCCACATAAGCGTAATTGGCTGCGGTTAGGGGATATATTTGCAAAATCGCTTATTACCATGTATCAATCGTTCACACCATTCCAAAACATCACTTTCCGTCGGTGCGCCCATGACTACGACGACATTGATGGCCCCGCTTCGTTATTGATGGACCCGAATATTCGGATAGCAAATTCAGGATTTGACCAAGAAGACTTGGATTCACTTACTCTGGACTTCTTCGAAGACGTTGAAGCTGCGCCCCCGATAACAGGCGGCCTCATTCGCCGAACGGCGAGCCCTCTCGTCTTACCACACAACCGAGGTCGGGGTAATCGGAAGGACTGGATGACAAAAAAGCTTCTGGGAGGGCCTGGAGACCGGAAACCCCTCGTCAGATCCGTTATTCCAGCCTTGAGCATAGATGAAGGAGGTGGACCTAGCCGTTACAATCCCTTTGACCAGCGTTTTGAACCCTACCTCGCGCATCCGAAGGAGGGGAAGCCTCCCTTTGTGTCTAAGAAGAGGCCTCCATTTGCGCCCAAGTCTGATACTTAACGATAAAGGCAATGGCTCATGGGAATTTCCTGGGTGTACTAGGAGCCTATGAGCCTGTTTTTTTGTGTGAAATGAGACCTTTCGGCGCGCGCTGGCATGTGGTGTTGGCTGGGGATAGATATGGGCTTTTTGAACGGTCCTTCGATCTCCCATTTAAACATATAATCGAGGGCTCTCCGTTTTCCTCTCTCCTTTTGAAGGTTTGTAGACATCTTGGTTTTATACCATGTATATACACAGGTACATAGTTCCGGAGCTCACAGCACTGGGCTTTCCAGGTTACTTGCTAATGTCCTTCACCGATATACTACAAAAGCGCAACATCCAAGCTACATCATCTCTCAAGCACCACAACTCAATTACCATTAATTGTTTGCATTTTTTTGTTTGCTCTCGGTCTTGATTATGCACAAGCCCACTAGCTTCAGAACCATGACCGTCTACAAACCAATCAGGCACGCGAGATGACGTGGTAGGCTAGTCCCTCACCTTGGAATGCAAAGCAAGACATTCAACGCCACACACTAAGAAGATTTTTCTCAAAAAATCCGAAGAAACCCTCCTCGAAGTATTTAATACTAGTGCGGGGTCATGGCCATGGCGAATTGTCCATCGTGATCTTTCTCTGCTTCCCAATTCCAAATGCAAATGTCATGAATTCAGACTAGCAACACAAAAATTCCAACAATAGCCCATTCTCGAGGTTTATACTCCTCCAGCTCAAGTTCTTTCTTGGTCGGCTGAAGGGTACAATTACAAGTAATTGACCTTTTGGAAGAACTCTTACCTACATACCTATTAATCCTTTAAATTCTTTATCTCCAAGTTCGACTTCGAAATCTCGAGCAATAATGCTGTACGCATCCCCAACATTCTCCTCCAAAGTAGCGCCTCTTATGGCCCTAACCGGTCCTTATACAAACGGTGCCTGGACTTCCATACTATCCACCATCTTCCCGTTTCCATCTTACCTCGTCATACCCCGCTACCGCATCAAAGCTGGTGACTCCTCATCTAAAGCTGATCTAGTAGTTTGGGATGTCGAGAATAACGTCGCAAAGCTCGTCTACGAAGGAAAGAAAGTTGGGAAATCAACTTCGTCTATCGATGAAGCGGACGAACAGTTGATTGGGTATATTAAGACACTTGGAGTAGACTATGGAGTTGCTGCTGTAGGAAGAACGGTGGCTGTCGTAAAAAAAGTTAATGATCAGTTAGTGGAACTTCAGTGGGTTGATGGGAAGATGGTAGAGGACGCTGGTGAGCATCGGTATGATGTTGTTGAAGATGCAGATAAAATTGAGGCATTGTTGAAGGCTATTTAGCCTTGGGTACTACGCTTCCAGGGATTGGATGGGATACTGATTTTGATATTGAGCTCGGGGCGTCCGGGGGCTTATTGGGATTTCCGTTTTTTTGTTTTCATTCGATGCGGGGGGGTGTATTGACCACCTGTTTTTCGCTTTCTCACTTTTTTTCCCCGTCGACAATCAGGATGCGCTTTTGTACGGACGTGACGACATCTGAAGGATAAAGTTTCCTAGCCTCGTATACCAAGACCATAACGTTAATCTACTATTTTGAGCCGCATCGATTGCAACGCTACTGCCTGTTGAATTTTTAGGCGACGTAATACGGAATGAAGATGTGTTTAAGCTGCCTTGATTCAGCCCTCGAATCTTTTATAATCGTTTAGTAAAATATATATTGAACCGGATCTACAAATATCCGAATATCAAAAAGGAAAAGGAAAGCGTTATTATTATTAGAAGTTGTAGATATGCCAACTAAATCAGCAGCGCACGTGCTAGGGACGAACCTCGCGCGTGGCACCAGGTAGATTATCGCGGAGATTTCCCATTACGGTGATATCCTAGATATCGGGGTCAAAATTAATATATTTGATATGCATATATGCAGTTCTTGGAGCTCTTGTGCCCAGAATTCTCGTTTTCTGGGGGTTCATATGGGGTAATTCATTGAGGGGATTCTCGAGATGTGGCAATATATTAATATGATTTTAAGAATTCCAGAACTTCAATGGCACATTGCTGTCTTGTCTTCACCTCTCTCTTTATTCGTATAAATTGTAAATATATGGTTATATCGATCTGTAATATACCAAAATTGTTCATACTTTGCTGACTCGCATTGATTTAACGCCCAGGCCCTAGCCTTATGAATTCAATCTCGGGAATATATCATACATATTTTTGCAAGTAAACTCGAAGCACGTGCACGCCTTGAAGTAATCTTAAGAGGGAGTGTTACCTCCTCCATATATGTTGCCTACTTATACCAATGTTCTTTGTAGTAGAATAGACATACAAAATCCTTTGATCCTTTAGAGAATCTGGTGATCCCTTCGATAAAACCATGTTACACCGGATGATGCTTCCACAAGCCTATACTTGAGCACGATCTCAATGAAAGCTAAGAAAGGGGTGGGGTTAAGCAGCTCCCATCTGTTACAAGTAATCTTTACGTAGTCAAAACCTGAGTTCACGCCGAAGAGTGAGGTTTGTTTTTCAAACTCGACAACCTAGGGGGATATCATTTGTGTTAGTTGTACCATTTTATGTGTGTATTTTGAGGGGAGAAACGGAGCCTCGGGTTGGAATTATGGTGCGATCCCGCCAGCGCATAAGAGAAAAGTTCTATACTTACGTTGCCGTTGTAGTTTCTATCCTTCCTAGCCCATTTCTGGAAGTACTCGCAGAGCAAGGTAAGACTACCTTGGTGTGAGCCTTCGATGTGGAGCTCCTTGTCGCCGTATTTCCGGACGTAGATCAAGTAGGGGGTCGATGTTTCGAACAGGGCTTCTGGACGTCCTAAGGATTGGAGTGAGGGGAGCCTGTCTGGAGCAAAAGTAGGTTGCGATTGGGTCGCTGTCGTTGGGGGAGGGGCAGATATTGGAGCTGCAGCTAATGCGGTAGGCGGCACAACGGACCAGCCCTCGTCATCTCCTGGAGTACCAGTTGCCGCTGGCCCAGCTCCTCCTCCAATAGGCAGAGTTGAGACGCCAGTCTTTGCTGCTGGTGCAGCCTTCTCATTAAACAAGTGTTCGAAATCGCCGGAGAACCCTGCTTGTAGGACATTCTCATACACCTTTTCCCCTTTCTTTGGGAACAAGATCTTGAGCCGCTCCAAGCTGTCGTCCCAGAGTGTTTCCGGCCTGCCAGATCCGTATATATCATCGCTGACTCCAATTTCTAATTTTATACCGCTTCCACCAGCCGCCTTGACCTTCTCCAAGAGCTCGTCCGTCCAACTCTCAAGAGCATCGTTGTCAAGGCGTTCTTGAAGGCATGACGCCCAATGTTTCACCGCTTCCTCGAAGTACGGAACGAAGGTCCCTGGATCCGGATGTTGATGACTGAAGACGGTCCAAAGCATACCCCAATCAACGAGAATGTCGATCTGCTTGCCGATGTTGGCCGATATTGCGCTTATGGCCTGGTTCATTGGGCTGCTGGACGGTTCCCAGAGATCGCGTACGCCCATGCGAACTTTTACGGGGCTGGTCATCAGGACACATTGTTGTCAGCGTGATGTACATACGATATGCAATACCACGAGAAGACCAGATGGTTTGGCCTCATGATTGATTGCTCATGCTCGAATATGGCTATAGCGTTGCATAATATGACCGGTTGGTGTCTTTGCCAACGGGACAATTGATGCATGTATTTCCTTGGTTCGGCTTGATTTTGCGAACGGAATTCCGGCAGACTTACAGTTTTACTGCGGCCATTGTTTTTTTTTTCTGGAAGTATCTATATCCCAATGTTCTAGGTAGATGCGAGGTTTCGAGTGACTCCGAGATATGTATGTAACCCCTCGATAATCAATCTGAAGCTTTGAAAAAAAAGAAAGAGAGATCGATGAAGCCGGAGAGTTTAATCTTAGAAGTTCGTGCGGCTGAATATGGCCAATTGGTTTAACCAGGGGAAGGTTGTAAGTCTCCACCAAGGTTGATAGATGATTCAATGATGATGAGTGTTTGAATGTTGCAGACGAGGTTCTTGAAATAGAAGGGAGGAGTTAAAGGAGAAGTTCATTCATATCAAAACCCTCATGAAAGTAAGTTCGTCTATATGTCGGGTGCGGGGATCATTTCGAACCGCTGGAGAAAGTTGCTTGAGCGCGAGGGCACATGCATGCGCCCGAGGCCATAAAGGCAGTTTCGTATGCAGCCATGTGCATGCAGACGATCCGTGTGCCTAGGAGCCGCTACTTCGAAGTTCGTGATCGATCATGCATGAAGTTTAGTTTATGAGTCCAATCAAGAACAGGCTTTCCCAAGGCGTCTTTTCCTGAAGCTACCGAAGCGACCGTATGAATATCAATGTACCCTTCTAGCTTTCCGGTCCTTGTTCGTGGTATTCTTAGAAAGGGTTAGCGGCCTTTTTGGCTGGAGCTACCCTGGTCTAAGTTAAATTGGATTCAAAGGTTTCAAGGGTTTTCCAACTTTTGGCAGTTGGGAAAAACTCCTGTTGCTGTTAGCCGAGAACACCCGTGCTAGATCGAAGTTGACCGATTCGAATTAACCCCGCTATTATTATCAAAGTGGGTACGCCGCCGATGCCGCCTTGCTTCTGGGCGAGGAGTATTGATTGTCTATCGACATCAGGAACGGGTCCAAAAACTCCTGTGTATAAAACTTTCTGGCCACAAAAGGGTCGTCCACTCGAGCAAACTTTGAAAAACAAGATTTCAAAAGAAGGAATGTGCTGTATGGCGTTTTCCCGAGTATGGAAAGGGAACAGTCGCATATGTACGATACCAAAACCCCAAGCCAAAATGTTTGAGGTGGTCGCTGCAAATGGGATAGCAATCAACCTCAAGCGGGAAAATTCGAAAAATACCTGCTTCCAAAAATGCAACAGAAGAAACTGATCAAGTTTAGATCCCCATATCACGCCGCTGGTTCGGAACTTTGGAGAGAAATCGCTCCTATTGGCCCGATTTACCTAAACAGCCTCACTTGCAGGACATGGGCGTGCAGAGCTTAGCGACGCGGCGACCACAATCGAACAAAGTGGGTTTTGGGTATGCCTAGCTCCGTGTAAAAGAAGAAAAGAGAGGCCAAAATGGCACGGCAGGTGCTTGCATCACCACACTCCATTGACTCTGCAGGCGCATCAAGTTGCTACATGTGCGCACGTTCTTTCGTAACATGCAGGGCACTGATGAGTTACGTGTAAGCTTCTTGCTGTTTTGTTGAGCTTCGTCGACCGGAACTAGAATGACTCCGGCACGCTCGGATACCGACGCTGTTGAGACTTTTGAACCCTGAACGCGCGAGGGCTAATTGTGGAAGAAACCGTGATGTACATTTTCAGCTCCAGAAATAAACTAGAAGCTTTCGGATAGAAGAGGGGTAGAGGAATATCGTCGGGTAGACGAGGGATGAATATAAAAGCTTCGATCTCTCCCTCCTCAATTGAGTTATAGTTTCCAGTCCACATCCAGTCCCTCAAGTCAATCAGCTTTGATAGCTAAAAATCTTTCTTCTCCTGCCATATACCGTATCTTCCTCTAAGCCCAACCCCTTTTCTCATATATATACCATTCACAATGGCTGCCAAACTCCCACTCATTGCTCGCAAGAACATCCGCGACGAGTACGAAGCTAAGAAGGGTGGCCTTCTTGAGCGAATCAAGGAGTACACCGGCGAAGACTACGAGTTCATCGTCAACTTCCAGGAAAAGATCTACCCAAACATCGACACCGCCCAGAGCTACCAGGTCGAATCTCCTGGAAGCATTGCCTTCAGCGCCTATGAAGGATTGGCTGACAGACTTAAGACCGTAACCGACGAGGGCGAGGACCAACTCGTCAAGGACTTCTTCAATGAGGTCGTCTCATCCCGAAAGATCGATATCCTTATCGAGCCCATGGAATCCGGATATACTGCCTGCCGTGTCCGGGATGGTGTCCTGGAACTTGTCTTCAAGACTGATAACTACGGTACCAACAGCTGGTACCTTACCGAAAAGCTCATCAATAACCTCGACGAAGCCTATGCCGAAACAAACAAGGGTGAACTCCCACTCGAAGCTAGAAAGGGATGGCAGGATGACTTCGTAGCCAAGAAGGACAAACTCGAAGCTGATATTGCTGAAGAATTGCTTGGTAAGTACCTGAGTGTTTAGCTAGTGTTGCCTTTGCATGGGTACAGTTCAAGGTTTTGGTGTTTTGAGACTAACGCTGATGATCGTCGGTGTAGGCACCAAAGTTACCTTGGTCGCTGACCCAGTCGCCATTTGGAGAACCGCCGTTGAGGAGTTTGACAAGCTCAAGAAGAGGGTAAGTTGGTTCTGGTTCTGGTCCTGGTTCTGTGGTTATTCGAGAAGTGTTCGAACGCGTTGCTAACTTTTCCAACAGGACAAGGATCAAATCGATCTGGAATCCATCCGTCGTAACATGGGTTCTGCCGTTTTCTCCTACTTCGACGGTTTCCGATACCAGATCAACTACAAGTTCAAGCAGGATGACTTGATGGTCGAGACTTTCCTCGAGACCGCGCCAAGCAAGGAGGTTAGATTCGAACTCGTTCCAGAATTGAGCCCAGGAAACAGCTACCACGAGGCACTGTTCACCGACGACGCCTTTGTTATGCGAACGACTCCAAAGAACTGGTACACCAACAGCTCTTATGTTTGCGAGAAGATTGATACCTTGCTTTAAATCGGCTGTTTTGAGAGGGATTGGGGCTGGTTTGTGCTCTTGAGGAGCTTTGGGTATATATGGGCCATTGAGGGAAAACTTTTCTGAATTCGGTTCATCTTTGCCGTTAGATTACAATATTGTGATTTGCATGGTATTATCCTGTCACGAGCAACTTGTATCGTTATCTGATCACAATATATTTGATCTGCACTAGTTTAATCTGATTAACTGTGCATGTTAATACCTAACCGCTTTTATTGTACATGTACGAGCTCAAAGAAAGAAGGTCCGATGTCACTCTAGATCTGCTGCCAACCGACATACCCGCTAATTAACGAATGGCCCGACCGAGTAACCTTTTATTGACCTGGGGACGCGTGTATTATGCATAAAAATGTCGAAATAGAACTCGAAATGATGTTTCACCTCCGTTATCGAAAGGACTTGCCAACTCTGACAGCTCGGTGGGGTGGCCAGCCGGACAAATCTCTGCAGGGGTGTTTCCAACATTGTCGATATCTCGACGAAGGATTTTGTTGCAACGTTGGAAACGGATATTTTTCTAACCATAGACACATACCGCCGCCTTGCGCAACAATGAGATGTCATTCTCCCCTGTTCAGTGCATTTTTAGAAGTCAATATGAGCCTGAATTGCACATATTGCACATTTGTGACCTGTGGAAACTTTCGATGTTTGTCGAAAAAGACCCCAGGCCCAAGCCCACCAGTGTGCCTTTTTCGGTAAAACTAGCCGACGAAAAGGCAAACCTGCGAGATGCCTTGCTTGTACGACCTTCGAAATGCAGCCACGCTCCCAAGCGTAAATGATGCATATCGCGACGTTCTGATCGAGAGTAAATGCGGAGAAAATACATATATTTAGAAGGAAATCTTTCCGGTCCGGTCGCTTGTCCTTGGTAGTTACGACAATCGGCGTGAATCACGGTTTCGGATCGAAATTTGGTTGTATCTCCATGTGTAATGAAAGCGATCCCGTCGAATGGGGTTTGACAAAATCCTCCCGAAATCTACGGGATCACAGGATATTTAGGCCTGTTAGGCATCTTTCATGGGAGCCTGCAGACGGCGACAGACTCCGACACTCAACAATGCTCGAAGTAAAGCCAAAGTACTCTCCGACTTAGCCCCCAATTAAGAAGATATCCTGGAAACTGTCTAATTAATTCTTGACTCAAGAGTTCAAGAGTCCTTGATTTCTTTACCGTCTAGGGAAAATATCTATCGCTTATCAGACCACGCCTATAGGCCTACCTCGTGGGCCAACCCCAGAGTTCAGCCGCACGGTGCTGTTCCGATTGTAGCCCCTGGTTCTTTACCAAGAGTTATGGCGAGCCACTGCAAATTTCGAGCCATCTATTTGACTCTAGAGATTTTGTTTGCAGACAACGGACCCTCGGCACTGATTTGGAATGTCTTTTTGGATGGCTAGGTGGGGTCTAGAGCGTGCTAAAAAAACTCTTTGATTGGCCAAGGGAAATGGCTTTTTGCTGCGATCGAGGGTGGGCGGGGTTTTCTTCATTGGGCCTTTCGTTGTCGCTTTGTCAGATCCATGATCCATCATGGGTGTGCCGGCTACTGGAGAACCCAGCGTGCCGTTGTAAAGAAATTACCCTTTCCGGTAATAACGTCCAGTGGGACTCAATCGATACCAAGACCTCCACCGTGATTTCCAACCAACTCTGCAGAACCTCTAATCCCAATTCCGTAAAAGGCGCACTAACGTTACCCACCTGAATTGAAGGGGCGACAGGCCCTGAAAAGCCAAAAATGCAGCGTGCTCTTGGCGGTCCTTCTGGGGCGGCGCTAGTTGGGTGATTAGAAGTCGGATGGGCGAGATATCTCCAGTTTCCAGCGGATGAATAGTATATAAACACTAGGGGGCTGAACTCTCATTGCGACATTTCTGATATTTATCTTCATTCTCTTCCCCTTCATTTCTAGTGTCAGAATTCTTGCATTGTTCGATTTTGCAAATTCCTTTCCCTCCATAATTCTTTCAGCTTTGAGGCTTCCTTAATATATTTCGCCAAACATGCGTACCAGTCCTCTTATCGTCGCGAGCATCCTCGCCGTTGCAGTTTCTGCTCAGGCTCCTGAAGTTTGCATAGAGGTCGTCACACTATCCCAACAATGTATTCCTGATGATGCCTCTGTCGATGATCTCCAGACAAGCACCGCAATTGCTGCTTGTCTCTGCGATAACACCGGCTTCGATTCAAAAGTCGCCGAGTGTCTTGATGCAACAGGATCGGTCCTCCCCGAAGAGAGCCGTCAGTTCCTAGCAAGCTTCCAGGGTTATTGTAACCTCCTCGCTGGTGGCGGCGGCGGCGGCGGCGTCCAAACCAGTGCAACCGTGACTCGGCCTACTGAAACCAGTGCATCTATCACTCCCACTCCCACCCCGACTGGTAGTGGTGATGATGATAACGTCCCAGAAAACTGCCGCTACATTGCTTCAGGTCTCAGCTCCTGCTGGACCGATAACAGCCCACTCCCAACAGCCGCCCCGGTCGCCAGATGTCTCTGTGCTGGTACTAGCTTTGACGCCGCTATCGAGGGATGCTATAGCGATATTCTCGATACCGATCCCAAGGAAGCTGCTACTGTCTCCGCCTTTGCTGGATTCTGCTCCAGCTTCTCCGCTGGTGCCTTCGGCGGCTCTGGTCCTACCGGAAGCGACAATAACCAGCCAACCACTACTGGCGGAAGCAATTCGCCTAACCCAACTGACGACGAAGATGATGATGCTCCTTCTACCACTGGCCCTGCCCAGACCACCGGCAGCAACAGCAACAACGGAGGCAACGGTCCAAACAGCGCCGCTGGCTTCAAGGTCACCATTCTTGGAACTGCATTGGCTGCTATCCTTGCCGGTGCTGCCCTTGTTTTGTGATCGCCAAATGGTTTCCGCAATGAACAACCATCGACAACGGCGTTTCTGGGATTTTCGATTTTAATATTAATTACCTTTTACATGCTATAATTTCTATTAGCCAATCTTGTATACTTAGAGATTCGCTTACCATTATGTCCTTTTAGTCTATATGGCTTCTCATGAATGTAAATAATGGACGGGATACCTTGACACCTTTATGAACGCATATTCTTTTGCTATTCTCACATAAACCTACCTTTCTCTCTCCCGCCACCTGCGATTTCGGGATGTATTCCGTATGCGCGTGCGCTCTTAAAATTCGTTGCTAACAAAGCGCTGTGATCAAACCGATCTGACCTAATCCGGTCGGCTTATAATTATCCCTCGCCGCAATGTTGCCCCGAAGGATTGTCTGTATAGTAATTCGAAATTCTTGTTCGGCCGCAAATGCTCGTATCAAAATCCAAGGCCCGTCGCTAACGTTAACACGTTTGATTATGTTGGCAGCTGACTCCACTTACGACACCCCTTTGTATAACGTATAGTATGTTGTACGTGCTTATACCTGGTGATCTGGATTCGCACGCGGGCGACATTTACTTGCGTATTGCTGTGCGTATATATATATATATATACAGGTTTTGATAACTCTAGAGTAATCGAGCTCAAATGTATCATGAAGTATCGTTGAGACACCTTAGCTTACTTATGTAAGCTTACCTTAATTAATTACCTAGCTTTGAGCGTCAACATGAGAAATTGAAAAGAAAAAAAAGAGGGTTGGTTCGAAAGCGAGTGTTCAATTCAAACACCAACAGAACAAAAACTGCGAGCGGAGGGGTTTTCATACGACTCTAACGGGTCGTATCATTATCAAACCTCCGAATATTTCCAGCCTTAAAAAGCCATATGATGTTATCAGCCCTCAGTACGCCGTTGAAATAAGATTCGGCTTACGTAGACCTTTAGATGTTTCTTGTTTCGCGGTTCGTGTCCACCCCTGGCACCCCCAATCTGCATGCGAGCAAGCCAAACTCCAGGCGAGCAAATAAGGCCAGTCAAGCATTTCCATGGGCCGAAAATCTGATCGATTTCGCAGGAATAGCTGCATTTCCCACACGTATTTCTTTGTGTGACGTTCAAATCCTAAGGGTTTTTTTTGAGGCTTGTCAGCCCTGCCAACTGTGCCAGAAATTTAAGCACGCGCGTATCTGGTCGTATCGAAAACCCCCCTGACACATGGGCGGGATATTCCTAGAATCGGTTCCTTGTTCGAAGTGTTATTAGCTGCCATCTCAGGATGTTGTCAGCATTCCGCATCCACCACATCCACGTTAGATCAGCGGTTTGGAGGAGCTGTAATCGAATAACAAGTCGGTACAGTTTGCTGTACCCTGAGGCATCTGTCCCCGCATTCCGCAGGGGTACATATGAGGCTGGTATAAAGAGGATGCGGGAGCCCTCATGCGGAATTGGCGATATATCTCTTCGAAGGTCGTACATACTATTCATACTTCTTTCCTGCTGCCAATTACTTTTCAATTCGTGCTATTGTAGTATATTGATACATACACATCTACAAGCACTAGAGACATCTGACGGTTTTTGTTGTGTTTATACTAACACGGGTGGTTGTATCAGAGCACAGAATGGGCTCTTTAGGGACCGAAACCACAGTGAACGATGAGGTTTTTGACCTCATTATTGTAGGAGCAGGAATTAATGGACTTTATGCTGCGAGGTCATATCTTGCAATCCAACCATCTATAAATTTAATAGTAATAGATTCCGTAAGTGCAGGATATACTACCCGTTCGAAAAACTCATCTATCGGATATATTCTAACACGCTGTCTCGTGTATAGCTATCGACTGTCGGCGGTGTCTGGTCGAAGGAGCGTATATATCCGGGTTTACACGTCCAAACTGCCCCAGAATACTTCGAGCTCCCGGAATTGCAATACAAAGACCTCGATCCGCCCGTTGAATACAATGGCAAAGGTTTTATGACAGGTCCATCATGGTCTCGATATTTCCAAGCTTGGAGCGAGAAGGTTGGACTTACAAAGTACATAAGGCTCAATACTATGATCCGACAGATCACCCGGCATGAGGACGGTACTGGGAAAAAATGGTGGCGATGTCATATTGCTGATAGCCCTAAAGCTCTATCGGCTGAGAAATTGATTGTTGCGAATGGAATTACGAGTTTACCAAACTATCCTGACTTAGACTGGACAACTTTCACGAAACCCGTGATGCATCATCGGTATTTTGGGGAGAGGTCGAAGGAGTGGGATAATGAGGAAGTCAAAAATGTGACTATCTATGGTGCAGGCAAGGGGAGTATGGATAATATTGTACAGCTGGCGAAGGCTGGGAAGAAGATTAAGGTATGACCTACCGGCCGCCTCCCTTACAAGGCTTTGATAGATGCTGATTGAGAGCGTACGGTGCAGTGGGTGATTCGCAAAGAAGGCCGTGGACCTTGCTGGATTCTCGATGGCAATCTACCTGGTGGTAGACATGCCGAGTACCTGGGCTTCAGTCGAATCTTGGCTCTTTTGATGCCCTCGCTATACCAAGATAGCGGTTTCCCTGGCCTCCACTACTTTTTCAAACGTAACATCATCGGCAGGAATATCTCCAAGTTCATAATGAACTCATCTAAGAGAGTTGCTTTAATGCTGATGCAACCGATCACGCCTAACATTGAGAAGGCGATACCGGAATTACCTCCATTTTGGATGTATCATGTCATTGGAGTGGATAACTACGATGTGAAAATCTGGGATTATTTCAGAGATGGAACCGTCGAAGTTATTAGGGACAATATCGTATCACTTCAAGGGGACACTATCGGCCTCGCATCGGGTGATAGTTTCACAACAGACGCCGTTGTCTTCGCCACAGGCTGGAAAGCCGGTGTCTCTCTTTTTTCCGAGAATCAAACCTTGGAAATGCAACTCGGCCTGCCGTCAAAACAATATTCCGAAGAATACTCCTCGAAATGGAAAACCTTAGAAAATGAGGCAGACAAGCGTGTATACGCCGAAAACCCAATTCTCAAAGACGCCCCCACTGCCCCACGGGTACCACCACAGGAGTCAGGGCCGTTTAGGTTATACCACTATACCGTCCCAACAGAATTTGCAGACAGGAGTATTGCATTCCTGGGGGTTTCTCCAAGTCCTGGAACATCTCATTACGCCCTTATCATGGGATTGTGGACTGCGGCGTATATGAGTGGGAAACTGGAACTCCCAACCAAAGAAGAAATGGAGAAGGTTACAGCATTTGAATTGCGGTTCACACAGATTCGACATGTTGGGTTCTCGAATGAATTTCCGTTGATTTCGTTCGATTGGATGTCGGTAAGTAGTTTTCGCACTTGCATTCGGTTAATTATAGACATATTTGAAACCAGGCAGACGCTGACAGGATTATTATTATTTTCGATAGATTGCCGCAGTTATGTTACAAGAAGCAGGTATTAACCCGTACATGAAGAAGAATTGGATAAGTGAAATATTCACAGCGTACACATGGGAGGACTATACGACAATATATGACCAATGGATTGCGAAGTACGGATTGGTAGAGGGGAAGCCCCCAGCGTCTGAGTAAACAGACATCTATTTTCTTATCTATTTATTGGGCCGGGTTTTGCAGCTCATTTTCGAAAGGTTCAGTGCCCGGGGAAGATTTACCTAAGATTAGACTACTATAATTCAAATACAAGATTTTGATTTTCGAGTTAGTTGTCAAGTTTTATAGATTTCAACTAAACTGATACGAGCGACAGGTATCATCGATATATCGATATTGTCTCCGCTGCACATAGCTGTAAGCTTATGGTGTAAGTTAAGGTAACCTGACATAGTAGATGACAAGATCATGACTCAAAATCGTAAAACGATTACTATTTCCATGGATTTACCAGCCTTCATGATTTTACATTGAACTTTGAACATATATCGTACGCCTATGCACATGACTTCGTGAGACGGAGTGGATGAGGTGGTGGTGAAGTCAATTAAGTTGTAAAGTTGTGCACGGCTGCCAGCCGATTGAGTCACAAAGCACGCCGGATTTGCAGAATGACAGGGGTAAACCACGCCGCTCAGGGTTCCTGCCTGACTCCAACAGAACCTCAACAGGAGTCAAACCTGTCGGAAATCATATTCGGTTCCAGCCATTTCTTTATAGATTTAGACCGTATTTGAGCTCTTGGCTTTTGGCTTTCGAAATCTCGGCAGATTCGATTCATGGGAGCAACCATGTTAACCACTAGCTGCTGACGAGTCGGCCAATGTATAAAGCCCTCTGTATTTCAGCTTCGACAAAGCCAATTGCTTTCCTACAGCGGCGTCCATAGAGCAATCGGTTTCCCATGTTATTGTAACTCGCTGTTTTCAGTTTTTTCGTCTTCATTGCAACAATCGATTAAATCCGGCTTGGTCGAATCCGAAAGCTGTAGCCCTAAAAAGCTCCATACAAAATCACAACAAAAACAACACAAACCATGTCTATTTCTACCGCAATAGCAGGACTGGATCTTGCTTCACCTGCCCCAAAGAAGGAAACCTCAGACAAATCCGAAGATGAACTCCCTGAGGATGTCCTACCACTATTCCCACACCCACTCGACGATCACACCACAGAGGTCATAACCTGGCGTGAGCAGTATCTTCGCAATTTCTCCTGCGCGATCCGTAATAAACCAAATTGGACTGAAAAAATCCTCGACCGCGCTTTAGTCGTCAAATGGATTCGTGAGGCGCAAGACCAAACAAGAGTTTGGCAGTGGAAGAAGATCATGACGTGGAATCAGGAGGATATTGAGTTTGCGTACAAGGAATTAGTCGAAGGGTATAAACCGTTTGTGGATGAGGCGAAGAAGAAACCAGAGCTTTATGGCTTGGAGCCGGATATGGACTGTGTTTGGAGATCTGATTCTTTGGTGGACGAAGAGCTTAGAAAAGAGCTTATTGAAGGTGGGGCTCTCACAGCTATTCGTATTATCAAATAGGAGCTTTAAAACTGATTAACCCTAGCCGTTGCGACTTTGGAGAATGTTCCGGAGGACCAAAAGGACTGGCATCCTGGATCTAACAAACAAGTACTCGACCTTGTTCATCCGTCTTTATGGCCAGTAATCTATGGCCGCTCTATCAGCCTGATTGATGGGAAGCCGATAGAATCACCCGATGACGCCATCGACACCAGCTTTTCCGAAAAGTTCTGCTGGTTACCATCTGAATTCGAAGTTGGCGCTGACGGTAAAGTCAAAATCGCCAGTTACATTAATAACCTGGCAACTGGTGACCAGCGGAAGTTATTCTACCCAATTCTAGAACGCATATTCCAACGGTTTGTACCGTTATTTAACCATGTCCTCGGAGATCTAAAGCGTGGATTCCAGCATTGGAACAGGGCTTACAGTACTGGTTCCTATACCCACGACAGTGACGAAATCGAGTGGTTGTTTTTCCAAACCCATAAAGAAAAATTCAACGAGCTCTTAGGACAATTCGAGCGCGGCGAAGAACTGACAGTACAGTTGGAGGATTTTATCCATGTTTTCCCCGACACCCCAGAAGGAGATAAGCTAAGGGATAATCTTGGGGAAGACTACTGGGAAGAACCTGAAGATGATGAAAATATCTATGATGACGAAAAAAGACAGCAGCGGGATACTGCACCTTACCAAGTTCGGGATCTAGGGCGGCTAAACCAAAATCATACTTGGACGCCCCCCGAAATCACAGATAGCTTCAAGTTAGAAGGCAAGACTGCAAAAGTAATTGTTAAGCTTGCTAACATTATCTTAACACCGGAGCAACCGATATATGAAGGTGGTTCTTGGCATGTAGAGGCAATGATGGTAAGTATTTAATAATCTCAAATCTTCAACAAGAATGCGGGTAAGACTAACTAGTCATGTGGTAGAATGAACGAATCGTTTCAACTGGTATCTACTACTATGATCAAGAAAACATCACAGAATCTGAACTAGCATTCCGTCGTACCATCGAATCTATGGAAGATATGGGATGGCAGCTTCCTCAAGACTCTAATTGGACGACTATTCATAACATGGGTAGTTCCGGCACCACCGTTCAAGAAATCGGTGGTATCAAAACCCAAAACAACCGAGCAATCGCTTTCCCAAACATCTATCAACACCAAGTCCAGCCCTTCGAGTTGGTCGATAAGACTAAACCAGGGTACAGGAAAGTTTTGGTCTTCTTCCTCTGTGATCCTTCTAAGGAGAATAAGGTACCTACTAGTAAAATTGTGGCGCCTCAGCAGCCAGAAGCAAGAAAGGATTTAGTGGAAACATTGAGGCAAGGGCCGCTCGGCAACCTACCCGAGGAGGTGTTCCGCTTGATTGTAGAGGCGTTGCCTCCGGTGGTTACCAGGGAGGAAGCGGAGAAATATCGCGATGAGTTGATGTATGAAAGATCTTCGTTCATTAATGACAGCGAGGCTGTCCAGGGCGAGAGTTATAGCTTGTATGTCCTCCCCTTGCTTACTAAAATACAAAGGAGTTGTGCTAACTAACGGCTTATAGGTGTGAGCATTGATTTTGGATACGGGAAGGGTTTAATGAAATTATCTATTTGTATTTGTTCTTCAATCTATAAGCAAGGTTTCTTTTAGCTACAGGATAGTGGAATCAAGCAATAGTCAATAGCGGTCCAAGCGAATGTGGTAGCAACCATCATTCATTCATTGTTCACCAACTATGCATGTACCAATTACCTAAGTGAAAACAAAAATGGTAGTGAACAATTAAACCCGCATAAACGCCAGCGAAAAAGAGAGAAAAAAGACAAGACATGCAATGTGAAAAAAATATCGATCCGCGAGTTGGTATCTCAAGAGAAAGTAAGAAGGGAAAAAAGAGCATCAAAATTAAAGTTCTTTGTAGGCGAATTTGAAAAGGAAATGAAGGTCGGTGGAGGAATTATACATTATTGTATAGTGGAAACGATAGTATAATAGGGGGTGCGCTCATTTAGAGTAAAGAGCCGAAGATAGTCCCACCAACCATGATGGCACCACCAACCATGCCGGAAAAGAGTAGTACTGTCGACATAGTAGCAGGTCGCAAGTGAGAACCAGCGCTTCCTTCTCCATTGCCAGTACCTGTGGCGGTTCTAAAGCCTGTAGTACCAGTTGCCTCTTCGGTATCATCATCGGTAGCGGTAGAGATAGGAACGATAATCTCACCATCACTTCCTGTGGCTGCTTTGGTGGTGACCGCTCGGGTTGAAGCAGCATCGGTAGTAACAACAACAACTAGTGTACTGTCCATGCTAGTGCCTGTCGATCTAGCAGCTGTATTCATACCAGTGCCTGTTCCAGTAGCCATGGCTGTGCCAGAAGCGCCACTGGCATTTCCAGTTCCAGTTGTCGTTGGATACGCACCCTCGGTACCAGTTCCAGTTACAGAACCTCCGTTTCGAGCAGTCTCAGTACCAGTTGGTGAGCCGGAGTTGCTACCATTTCCAGCACCCCCAGTCCGAGAAGCTCCGTCAGGGCCAGTAGTTGCTGGAGCACCCGTGTTTCCACCATTTGCGGCACCAGTAGTTGTAGGAGAGCCGGCGTTACCGCCCGCCCCAGTACCAGTAGGAGAGCCTGCACCGCCAGTATTAGTGCCAGAGCCGCCGTTTCCACCAGCACTAGCTCCAGTGGGACTGGAACCGTTTCCGCTTTGGCCTGAACCGTTGCCGGAGCCAGTGTTGGTAGGAGAAGATCCATTGTCACCGGTCCTGCTTGGAGAACCGTTTCCTCCAGTAGCAGTAGCAGCACTGGTCTGCGCTGGTGGGGCTGGTGCTATAGCATTGCAATTGTCGCCATTGGGGCAGCAGCCATTCCTTCCATTGAAAGAGCCACAATAGAACCCATCAGGACCTAAATAAATACTAGTCAGAAACAGTCCAACACAATAAAATTGAAACCTAGTTTTATTCTACTTACAACATCCAGTAATGCCGGCGCACTGAAATTGGCCAGCTGGGCAAACCGAAGAACCAATATCAACGGCCTGTTTACGCTGAAGACGGTTAGAGCGAGGGATTAGGTTCCCAACTGGAATGGCATATTCAGCCATAACAGCTCCGGCAAGGACCGCTAAAACGAGCGTAGATTTGGCAAGCATTGTGTATGATCTCGATAAGAGTTCTATCGATATATATGGTTGTTTCGGTTATCGATCGGGGTAAGACTTAAAATGGTATGGTGAGACCAGTATATAGAAAGGGAAGCAAGTAGATGAAGGTTGGTGATAGAATGCAATAAGAATGCGCTGTGTTGAGGCTGTTGGAGAATGAAGTTCTTTTTCTGAGGGAGCGAGCAGGCTAACGGGTCGAATATAAAAGAACAACCTCCTCGATAGCTTCAACAGAACCAACAGTTAAAACACGACAAAACTATGCTAGATTTTTGAAGGGGGCTGGAATGATGTCTGGAGAACAAGCACGATGGAACTGAGAATGGAAGAACGGGAATTTCTGTTCTTTATAATTATGCAACATTCCAATCGGCTGGTTGAAAACAGCTAGTTGAAGTCAGGACATACAGTCCACGCCATCGCTGTACCACGAGCGCATCCAAAATGTCTAAAAATTGACAAGTTCTCTCAATGCACGTCTGAGCTGGGTTCAGTCGTTTCCCTTTCATAGGGCCCTGCATCGCGAGGACATAATTCCCAGAAGACATCGCTCCACCCGAGAGGACGAGTCGCGAATCCAAGTCAGAAAAGCTCCGCTAGTAATCGATGCCTGTTCACAGCTTATTTCTTGGGTTTTATCGGTCTTGGATTTTGCGACGAGCGCATTGGCACCGATTTATCGCTATCGTCATTTTATTTTATTTCTTTCTTGGGGGCCACCCCTGCCGATACCGAATCCAGTCGATTCTTTCGTTTAAAGACTGCAGCTTCCCCAGCTACTACGTAACTATCGCAGACCATTCCAGCAAGGGATCTATTACCTTTGATCTCTGGCATGCACATATGCAGGTGCGATATCTGCCGATCATTCGTTGGCTAACAAGCATTGATCGTGAAGCTTAATTGATCTCCTGGTAATTTTGATCTGTATCATATTTGCTAAGATTGCCGCGAATTCTATTAGATCGATACGAAGTTATGATCGATATAAATGCTACCATCAAAAAATTAAACACAGCCGAAATTCGACACAATAGGATTTTCGATTAGAACATGCTGGATTCGGGTGGGCTGAATGAGAAACCGCGTGGCTATCAGGTGGGAGGGGAGCTTGAGTTATATGTAAACTCCGTGTTCCGGCGGCACCTTGGGGTTTTTCCAATGGATCAAATTTGGTGATGCAGAACGGCCAGGTTACCATCAATTGAAGCTCTCCTAGTTGCATTGCATTAAGGATATTGTGATCGCGCAAGTTTTAACCACTTGCGAATCGCAAGCATGTAATGTCGGTCCTGCCTTCCAGTCGCCAGGATTGTGTCTGTTGCTATGAGGGGAAAAAAATGCAAGGGATACACTCATTCTTCGCGTCGGCGCACATGCTTCGCGCGAGCCCTAGGTTGCACAGCTGTGTCGCAATGCAGGTCGAGTTCTATTCTGAACGAGTTCGCACAGATGGAATGATGTGATTCCATTGGCTGGCGGAGTTAAAAATGGACCGGGGTCACAGTTTGCGCCTCGAGCGCCACAGTGAGGATGTGGCTGTTATCATGGGGAAAAGACAGGGTAAGAGCTCTGAAATTAAATGTCGTGGAATACATTAGGATTGTTGGTATGAAATATTGAGACATTTTAATCGATATCTACGTATCGCTGCAGGTTTTGAATCCGTAGCTTTGGATTTTGATACTCAGCCTTTACGCTATTAACGCCACAAGTACGTGTGCTTTGGGTACAAGCAAAAGAAATACCAGGTTACAAAATATTGCCTGGGGATATTCTAGAGTGGCTGATCGGAACGCTTTTAATTAAATTTAAAATTAAAAGATTTAAAAGTAAGACTTTACAAATGTTTTGCGAGGTAGTAATATGATATCGCTAGGGATGTAACGGTAAGCTATCGATATCGATTCGGTATATTCGAGATAAATCTCGGCGTGCAATGTTGATCTCGATCATAGCAGGAATATATCTCTGCCATGCCCTCACATCTGCGCCTGGTCTCGAGGCTAGAGATTTATAGCTGGTTCCATTAATTCTTCTTCAAAATTAAGAACGATTGATATGATGATAAGCTTAACTATGACAATGTAATATTTCTTACCATAGGCTCTGGGTTATGCACACGGAGGACGTCAGGGCCTCTATTCCACCCCTCAAAAGATCCATTACCCCATTTTTTCCTGTGAAGTCCCTGATGACGATATTCTCTATCAAGAGCTTGTTAACTCTCTAGAAACAAGTTTATAATAGCTTCCAGTCGAGATTGAGATTCTTGCGCCTGGTTAACATCGGAAATATCACTTGAAGAATCCGAATCGATATCCTCATGTACATGTCTAGATCGATCTTGCAATGTCGATCGCCAGATACTCCAAGTTGACTGTCATCATTGCCAAAAATTCCAAATCATCCTTAAGAAAATGACTTCGCAGGAATTCTACCCTTTTTAGCTTATGGCCTCTTTCTGCTACTATCGGGTGTGGTTTGGTAGACTGTAACTACAGTATATGGCGGGTTAATAGTCGTTTTGAACGAAAACATCTGTCTATTCGGACTGTTTCTATCTTCTCGGACATAAGAATATGATAATACGCAATATCTGCTGATTTGCTCTTGTTGGTGGTGGTAGATCTGAAATACTTGATGTTGCGAAAGCCGGGCAGTAGTAAGGTTCCCTCAGCTATGATATGGTGTAATCATAGGGTCTCTGTACTTGAACTTGCAGGCTCGGGAGGGATATGATTCTCGAGGCTGTAAATGTACGGGTTGTGGGTTTGACATTGTATTGATGTGTATGGTCCCGAGCTTGCGTTTAAAGCCAGTGCGGTACATATGAATATCCCTCTACATAGCTACATGTCTAGATATATCGATACTTAAGTCGGTATATACCGAACAAATGGCACTGGAGGCACTAAGGTAAATACACACGGCATGTATAGAGCTGTGCGCAATAGTTAGCTATAATTATATATAACTATTCCACTAAAGGTCAGACAAATGAAATGTATAAGTGAGAAGGAAGCAGTGGAGGAGCCCGTATAAATATTTAAGAACTACTGATCACTGGAAAGTACAAGTGTCGGTGGTATCAAAGGCGCAGATGGTGCACCCGGCATCGGGAGAAAAACCGCTAGCACACCTTCTCTCTTCCCCCAAAATGACCCCTCTCGTAATCCAACATCAAGTTCTTGCATCGTCTTTTGTAGAATATCATCTCGAAACTCAGGTCGCTTTTTGCACTTTCCAAGGACCTCCTGCCAGGTCTTCTCCAAGATCTGTGGGATGTCGTTAAAAGTACTCTTCCATGGACCGAGCGAGAATATGTATCCTGCTTCCAAAGAATCCTCAATACTTGTTTTGAGTCCTAGCATGTCATCGAAGACCTGGTCAGGTCTCGATAAATGTAGAACTAAAAGGTATGATGCCAGATCTATCTTGATTTCGACGGTTGCATTTTCGGTTAATTGCTGCCTGAGCCGCCATAGGAAAGGTAGTAAGAGCGTCTGTATCAACGGTGTATTTGAATCGTTATTTTCCCTTAGCGATCCTTGATTTATTTTGAACACTATATTTATTTTTCGGATCAGAGGACTGTAGATTGATGATGGATAGAGGAGTAAATTTGCATTATTTTGGAAGGTTTGGAGGTATTCAGGGGAGAGCCGTGTGTCTCCTCCGTCGTAAACCGAATTGTGGAGGGGTATAAACTGGCCCTTGCTGTTTATACATGCATACACATGCTGTTAGATTGTAGTTTACCAGATTTAATGGTTTCCTCCCTCAGGTCTACTCACGCCCAGGTGGCGCTTGTAGAGTAATTTAGGATTGGTTACTTGCTTACCTTGTACTCTCTTCGGGATCTACTACAAGTTGATACCCAAACCGCTCCCAAGGCGCCGTGTAACTCATATCATAAACACGTGGGTATGTGAGATGCATAGACCCAACAGGCCTCATACGCATTCTCACCGCAACCGAAACTTCAATCTTAAACACATTCCCACCATAAAACACTCTAGCAGCTTCATCGTGAATCTGTCTATTCACCCTCAAAAGCGCTAACTTTGTCTGTGGGATTCCCGATACATCCCCTACATAAATCATACACCGACTGAGGAGTTCGAATAATCGTGGATTAGTACTGTCTTCGTCGGTTCTGGGTCTATTTGCAAAGCTGGGGTTTAGTGATATCGGTCGTGGAGTATCTGCATCTTGCTCGGGGTATCGCCAGTGTTGCATACCTGGCCCACGAAATCGGTTTCCGCAGGATGGGATTGAGATGTTTGTGAGGACGTAGGCATATATTTCATTTCTGATCTCGGGTGGGAGGTCTAGGAACCTGAAGGAGCTCGGGATTTGGGAATTCGATGCTTCCATCGTGGGTCTCAAACTGAACTGATTTAGTTTCAAGCTACAAGTAATTAAGTGATTGACGAATAATGCGGTGAGTTCTAAGTATTTCTATGTGTACGCGATACTAGTACTAGTGTTGGTCTTCAAATTCGGATTGGATGTCTTTATTTAATTTATAAGTACGTGGAGCTGAAATAGCTTGGCAATAGTCTGCAGCATCTACGAGTCATCTTTTGAAGACTCAAGGATCCAGATATCTTAGGAGTTTACGAATTTATATTTATACTTTAGGTACGTTACACATTTTGATTCTATTAAATTCTTCGATACGCATGTACCCCTTTTTGGGGAAAAAAAAAAAAAAGGGAAGGGATTAAAGACCGAATCAGATCCTAATGTTGCCTCCTAAGGACTCAATGGACAAGTACAGTACGGATTTTGATGTCTCCGAACCCTCCCTTCAGTCTCATACACAGGAGAAACAAGAACCCCATTCTCCAACGTATACACCGGAGAACGCGGAGGCACGAAATTTGGATCAAAAAGTGTCAATTTCCCATATTTAAAACCCCACCACGAATCCTCGGGAACACCGACTTTCAACTCACGGATTGCTTCTTGTATCGTGGTTTCTTGATATTCTGGGTATCCTTCGCATTTCAAGAGCATCTCTTGTTCTAGTACGGGAAAGTCGCACCCGGGACTTGGCATTAGATTCATTGTATGCTTCCACGGACCACGGGTAAGCAAGTACGCCGTTTCAATCGTTCGCCTGTGAGATTCTATCCACGGTTCATCGTCGTCTTCCCACATATACTCCCAATATTTTCCATCCGTCATAAACACGCTTATATCCACAGTTGTATAATCATTCAATACCTGCCTCAATCGCCATAAGATGGGCAGTAATAACAAGCGAGAATCTACTGTTACGGATTCATTCAATTCCTTAAGATCTTTGTTTCTATAAGGACTGTTATTTTCACGACCTTCTTTGACTTCGATCTGTACCCGACGGATGAATTGTCGGTACTCCGGCTGTGGTGCGTATATCGCCCCGGGTTGTTGAAGTCCCAGGTATTCTTCTTTTGAGAAGATTCGCGATTTATGGGCATCTACGCCAAAAGGCCTCCGACCGACATAATATTTCTCCCTGTTGAAAGGTAGAATTAATTAGCTCTGGACGAAGACTATAGGCTGACGCATATACCTCGTATCTGCGGCCAAGTCAATTATGTGTTTGTATTCGAGACTCTCCCATGGCGATGAGTAGACCACCTCGAAAGACGCCTTCGTACCCTTGTTGGAGGTGGTGCCGTTAAGATCGATCGTGATTTTGATCGGGTGGCGCCTGTACAGGAACTCTTTTACTTCGGAGTGTATCTGTTTGTTTACGTAGAGAATAGAGAATGTCTGATCTTCTGGCGGGGGTTGGTTTTCAGGCATTTTTAGTTTCAACTTCCGCTTGAAAGAGGTGGGAGTAGATGGTGGTGCGCTGGTGCGCTGGGCGCTAGGGCTTCCGATCGGGGAATGAATTGGGGGAGTGCCCTCATCGTTAGGGGAGCTTAGATCAATGGGAGAGTATGCTGTCGGGTGGGATGTTGTATTTGAGTCATCAAGAGGTAGAGATACTGGAATTGAAGGAACATGTGTATCTACTATCGTAGCCGAGTTTGTCGGAGGCGCAGAAGAGGTTGAGGCCTCTGCAGAAAGGACTGGATTTTCATCTAGGCTGTCCGTGATGAGGGGCGCAGAAGGGGTAGTTGGAACGTAGTGCACGGAAGAAGGCCGAGGGGAAATTGGAGAAAACTGGGGAGAAGTTGGAGAATATCGAGGAGAAGTTGGAGAGAAACCAGGGTAAGGTGGAGAATAGGTCGGAGATTGCGGGGAGTAATTTGGAGACTCTGGCTCAGACTTGACGGGTAGGAGGTGACCGTATATCTCTGTTCGAACTTCGAGGGGTAGACCGAGGAAATGTGGGTGCGCCATTTGGATATTTGAGATTATGTAGTAGGATAGGTTGAGAACTCGGTTAATTGGCAATGGTCTGTCGCGAGCGCCTCATTTTATAAGCAGAATCGTGGAAGGATCCAGGTTTGGACTCCTGTCATCTTCAAGGGACGGATCTCCCGAGCGTCAGACAGGTGAGTCGATCTAGTCAGGATTCAAAATCTTCGATCCCATTGTGACCGTGTGGGCAGTTATACGATACTAGGTTCTTTGAGCATAGAATTCGTTGTATCGCGTATCACGGACCGAGGTTGGATCTTCGAATTGGCATAGAAGTAAGGTCCCATTCCGCGTTGCCCAAAATGTCAGGTCATTCTCCATCACGATATTGATCTTTTCAAGCACCTTTTGCGCTATAGCCACTTGAAAGGTTGCGTCGTGATCGCATTTCGTAAAAACTTCTTCCTTCAATCCTGGAAAGATTGAGTTTAAATATGGAGGAGGGCTAACATTCGAATTCCACGGTCCGCGTGTGAAAAGGTAGGCGGCCTCAAGACTTCTAACATAGCTAGAGTATCTCTCAAGGCCTTCTGTATCTGTTCGGTGACTGAGGGTTCCGCAAGTTCCTTTACTTCTGAACTCTTTCTCAAGCGCGATTTTTAACGGATCCCACCAGGGAATGAATGTGATGTCCACCGAGGCGGTGTTAGGCAGTACCTCCCGTAGGCGCCAGAGGAGTGGCGAAAGTAATGTTCGAATCTGGGTAGTCGCTTTTTCTCCGTAATGTTCGCGACTGAGATCCAAATCTCGATTGCAGTTTTCGGCAATCTCGATCTCTATGCGACGGAGGAAGGGACGATAGCGGGGGGAAGGGAAGAGAATCACTCCCGGTTGCTGAAGATGTACATATTGGCGAGCCGACATGAATTTTTTGTCACAGTCTTCTGTGCAGTCCCCATAAGCCTTTCGAATACTGTACCACACCCATTTGATAGGCTTCCCATCGTCTACAGTTGATTTATTGATAATCAACCCGTAGCTTAGGGTCTCCCAGGGGGATTGATAAACGACTTCATAAGCACTTTCATATTCAGGGTCGCCAACCCCCAATCCTCCATCTACCAGGATGTTAATGTCAAATATACTTCGAGAATAGAATAGCTGCGTGCTTTCATCGTGGATTTGACGGTTTACACGAAATATGGAGAGGGGATGGGCCCCTCGTTTGCAGTTGTAACCACGATAAATGGGGTCCGGGAGAACATAGGTGTAGATCTGGATTCTGATTTCCGGGGGAAGATTCAGGAATGATAATACTGCAGGCTTGGAGGCTTCTGTTGAAGGTGATTCCATTGGTGAGATATGTCCGGATGTCTGTGGTGTATTTGATAATTAAGCTCAAAGGGAGAACCAGGGTAGGCTCATAAATCGCGAATCTGTGGGTCTATTGAGAATTGGGTCCCGAATTCCTGTATGCGATCCGTTTGCAGACCGAAATATCAAGCACCAGCTAATTTCTCTTGGGCCAGTTAGCGGTTCCACATGCTTTCGTACAACATAAAGAAGTGAGCGTATGTCCCTATATCGGACGAGTTAGTCGTCAAATTAGCGCGTTTCCTGTCGATACGATGTTGGTAACGTCGACATATTGCCCTCACGCGTTCGAGGGGCACAGACAGAACTTGAAATTGCCAAAGCCCAATTGTGATTGGACCAAGATCGAGAAAGTCTGCCAAGTCAAAAGCCAGGATTTTAGGTGCCTCAAATCATGCGGCGGTCTCCATGTGGCTGTAATTTGATCCCGTAATGCTGGCCGGCACTCGCAGGCGAGACCCCCTTGCAAAAAGCTATTTCATCCAGAACCACGGAGGTGTCTTATAGAATTCCAGCAGCCAATTATCTTGGGAATGAATCCCTCCAAAACCCCGTTGAAATCGGAATGATATTCCTAAATATCTCACGATGGATACTTCGCATCCTGAAATAGAAAGAAATCCTGTGTGTTCTATGCATGACCATGAACCTGTGGCTAATGCTTAAGTGAGGTAAGGTTGGGTGACATAGGAGACTAACCTTGAAGTAGTATTAGCGGGATGATGGAAGGGGTAACTGGAAGATGCAACCTCGTTCAGCCTTGGCCTTCAGGCCCAAATCGCAACCGCCCTCTCCCATTGAACACGGCTTTTTTTCCTGTCCTCGAAGTAGCGTTCATTTGGGCTAGTTAGCTTTGTCAACATTAGTTCCTTACTTAGTTTCGTTGATTGTAATTATAACTGTTGAAGAAGTTGGTTGGTGAATTTGGATTGAGCTTGATGTTCCGGCCCTTTAAAGAAGTCACAGGCGACCTGCCCACCCGCGAACCACAACCAGCACTAAAACTATGTGCGACCTTCCCTCACACGCCACCGGGAATCTTGCCAGGGGTTATTAGAGAAAAGAAAGACGACGACCATTTTAAACACAAGAATACTCAACTTCCGACGTTTTTATGTATGAATCTTCGCCAAATATCCTTTCCTGTCGTTCCGTTCTTTTTTAGACGTCATCGTCGTGGTTTCTTCAGCCTCATGTTGTCCGCCAGAAACGTGTTGGTGGCCGTCACCCTGCTGGTGTTACTGGGCTTGATCACTCTCACGCCTAGTCAGCCCCTTACTCTCGTGAGTGTTTTCTACCCCCCGCGAACTATTCGTCTGCTATAACCTACTGCCCACTGGTCCTGTTGGCGATACTGGAGAAGGTGGGGAAGAGGTGATTCGGGAGTGGGTTGGGTTGGGTTGAGATGAGTGGATGGGTGGCTAACACGCAGCTGTGCAATACAGAAACAAGTCTACGATCCAGTCCCCGTACCTTCACGACAATTCAAAATCTCCTCAAAAGTCGCAGCGATAGCCGATACCTCCTTTACTCCTCAACATGTTCCTCTCGTCATGCATTTCTCCGGCGTGCTTGGTCCGGAATGGCCGATAGTCTACTATACCTCCCGAGAAACCTACGATGCCTACTTAAAACCCGGTGTAGCCAACGTCAGCAGGGTCTGGACCCGTGCTCTCGATGAAGGCCGAATACAAGTCCGTTTCTTACCCGACAAATTCGAAATGACGTCCAGAACAGGTGTAAACGGCTTCTTGGCCGATAAATGGATGTGGGAGGATCTTGCACCGGCCAAGCACGTCTTGATCTTCCAAGCCGATGCGATTATTTGTGGCAACGCACATAAAACCGTCGACGACTTTCTGGAATGGGACTTTATCGGAGCCACGTTGGCTCCCGAAGGGAGGATGTATAATGGTGGATTATCCTTACGGAATCGCGACACTGTACTGAAAATCTTAAACGAACATAATTACGAGGAGGATCTCAAGGCCAAATTGTTCAAATTTGAAGGAGAGGACGTTTGGTATTCTAAGCATATGGATCTGATGGGTGCCAAATTACCTAGCAATGAGGTGGCATTGGAGTTTGCCTGTGAATATCACTTTCATATCCAGGCGCAGAAACAGCCGATGGGGTATCATAAAGTCCACAAGGCCGCTCCCAGTAAGATCGGGGAGATCGCAGAGTGGTGTCCTGAGATCCATCTGGCAGCACCAGGGAAGCTAGGGAAAACATAGTTGAATTACTATAACATCTACTATGTTCTGTCCTTCGTTTTTGGATTGAGGAGGCATCTATATATTTCCGTCCCTCTTCTCTCCTGATTAATACTCACCCACCCCTTTCAGTATAAATACCTCGGTCGCCTTTCATTCGCCTCTTATCTCATAGTCATCATAAATCCTCAAAAGAATGTTGCACATATAACGTTATTGGCGCGGAGTTTGGACGGTACACATACCTTTTTTCCTTTCCTTTCCTTCTCGTGTACAGATACTTTTCTCTCTTACCTTCTTTTCTTCCACTCTAAATTGGCGGGGTTTCTAAGTAGTTTTTTTTTATTATTATTTAGACTTTTGTGTACTGCTGGGATCACTGGGATCGATTAATGGCGGAGCAATTTAATGATTTGATGATTCTGTCATATCACGACACCTTGCATCTTGGTATACGTATTAGGGATTTTTGAATGTTGAAGCTTGTATAGATCATAGCGAACCGAAGGATCCTAGGATGGTAATTCGAAAAACTGACGTCATTTCGATACACTACCTGACTTGACACGCGCTCGCGACTCTTTCGTGCTATGCTTGGTATCGTTAAACTCAGTGATATATAGAGTTGACGCGCGAAAGGTCTTAAGGTTTGGGTTCTGTGGAACGTTGACACGATTTGATATCTGGTGGAACCGCGAAACAGCATCCTTGGCTTCCCGTTCCGCTGGGTCTGTGATAGCTAGCTCTAGCTATGCAGCCGTATATCATGATATCAAACCTTGTATGTCCGTGTTCGATTTGAAGCGTTTTGACGAATTTGCCAAGTGATGCCGATCGATTATATATATATAGAGTAATTGAGTATTAAGTTAAGGATATATTCCAAAGCATGTCTAGACTGTTCTTAGATCCCTAAAGGAAATTGTATACGAGATTTCGATCGAACTGTGGGGTAATTGTTTCTGAGGACTGCAGTATATTGAAATAGTCGATTATATATCTGACTAAAGGCTAGATACCTTATATATGAGCTCAAGAGCTAACACTATCAAAAGCTTATAATTCAGTATTCTCCATAGCTAAATGAAGTCAATTCCGCTCCCGCAATCATGTCATGCTTATTATGGCATCGCGATATCGGCCTTATCATTTAATTTAAAACCCATATCAGTCTCTCAACGGTATGTTTCATACATACATGCTCCTGAAGAACCCGCGGTAGGAGCTCGACCTTGAGCTTCAAAACATAGCGTAAGCTTTTTCCAGGATTGATAGCATGGTACCCGCTGAGTCATATCGAAAAACGGTCGCAAAGTTCGCGGACCTCTTGAGAAGGTTAGTTTGCTTGGTAATCTAACGGACGGACTTGCCGTCAAGGACTAGCGTCTCTTTTCCCACACTGCATAATGTGAAGGATCTGGTGTTTTTGATTCTAGATCTAGCGCTATAGCGCGCGTCTGTGGCTTTTGTCCGAGGTGTGATAGTGTGTGATATGTAAATGAATTCGTGTTGGACCGTTGGATTTTTTGTCTTCAATCCTACTGCTTAATCCCATACGTACGGGGAGAAATGGAAAAAGGAAAAAAAAAAAAAAAAAAAAAAAAAAAAAAAAAAAAAAAAAAGATTTAGGCTTTGCCCGAAGAAACTTCTCTCGAAAATCCCCACAACGGCGCTCCGCGGCTCCGGACTTCTTCCAAACTCCCCTTCCTTCATTCCGTCCCTATTACCTACAAAATGAAAAAAAAGGTGGAACTTGGATAAAAATATACTGACAGGTGGACATTTGTCAGCAGATAAGAAAGTTCTAACGGAAGCGCTAAATAAGCACGCTGCATGGCAAAAAAATGCGAGCGGTGGATTTCCCCGTCGCAAAATGCCCGCCGTACGAGGTTAACAGCAGTTGAGCTCCCATAGCTTCCTACCGAGGCAGAAATATGCTGTGTTCACCGGCCCGTTTCCTATTGGAGTCATTCATTGGTGTATGGGATCGTTGGAAGTTGTTAGCTAAGATTTATTACATACATACGTACATACGTACATATGTACCTACTTCCTACAGAGGTATCTTGCGAACAAGGGCCAAGATTCTGAGTTAGGTCATCATGAATTGCGTGCGAAGTGGATATCTTGGTGATTTTTTGTGATTGGGAAGGGAAAGCCAGCTAAGGGATTTAAAACATTGCCGGGTTCCGGCCGGGTTTATTTTGGCTTTTCTTTCTCTCTCTTTTTTTGACTCTTTTCTTTTGGAACATGATATATTTTCTCGTTATATTATCCATTGGGGGTTATATTCTTCGTTTCGATCGATGATATCATATTTAAGCAAAAGAAGCCGTGCATAACTTTTGCTAAGGATCAGATCGTTTTTTTCGCGGCTTCATCTTTGGGATCTCGACCATGCCGACCGCTAGTGCTTCAACATCTCTTGGCGAAATCGACATCGATAAGGAACTACGCCTACCTCATGATGTAGCACCATCGACTACTGATACTGAGAATGTTAACCCTGGTTTATCCGATGATATGGATGCGCCTATACCGCCCGATGGTGGGTCGAAGGCTTGGACTCAAGTGTTTGGGTCCTTCTTTTTATTCTTTGCTAGTTGGGTGAGTGGTGTTTGGATGTGCATGTGCATTGGCGGGCTTGGTAGAAGCTTGTCTTCATAATTTTACTAGGTTTAATGCTGACGATTGTGATGATGATGTAGGGTTTTGTAAACTCCTTCGGTGTTTATCAGAATTACTATGCGACCGAACATCTCAAGGGTGTCCCTGCGTCGAATATTTCCTGGATAGGATCCATACAAGCTTTCCTACTCATGTTCGTCGGCGTACTTACCGGTCCCTTATACGATAAAGGGTACTTTCGATACCTCGCTTGCACCGGTTGCTTTCTGGTAGTCCTAGGAATAATGATGACCAGTATTTCCACTACATACTGGCAGGTCCTCCTCTCTCAAGGATTCTGCATCGGCCTCGGTACAGGATTTCTTTTCGTCCCCTCTGTCGCCGTAATATCCGGTTACTTCACCATGAAGCGAAGTTTCGCAGTAGGTCTCGGTTCCACTGGTGGCAGCGTAGGTGGAATCGTATACTCCGTCGCCTTCAGATCGATGGTCGACACCATCGGGTTCGGCTGGGCGACCAGAATACTAGGATTTATGACTATGGTATTACTAATCGGCTCGATCAGTATTATGAAACCATTACAATACCCCGCTGGACCCAGAAGTTTGTTTTTACCAAGTGCATTTAAACAGTTATCGTATACATTCACGGCGGTGGCGGTAATGGTTACTTTTATGGGACTTTATATTCCTTATTTTCACATCCAGGGTTATGCGGCCGAATATATTGGATTGAACAAGGGACTTTCGTATCAATTACTTACGATTATGAACATTGCTTCCATATTCGGCCGGACGATCCCGTCAATAGTAGCTGATAAACTCGGCCCGATAAATATTATGATCCCATCGGCGTTTGGAACCGCTGTGATGGGGTTTTCATGGATAGGAATGAAATCCGCTCCATCGACGATAGTATTTGCGATTTTATATGGGTTTTTGTCGGGTACTGTGGTTAGTTTACCGCCTACTACGATAGCTAGTATGGGTGGGAAACAAGGTGAAGTTGGAACGAGATTGGGAATGGCGTTTACGTTTGCGGCTACGGGATTGTTGACGGGGAATCCGGTGGCTGGAACGTTGATTGATATTCCTAATGGGAAGTTTAGAGGGGCACAGGTGCTTTGTGGGGTGTTAGTGACTGTGGGGATGGGACTTTTTGTGACGGCGAAGTTATTAATGGAGAAGAAGGTGGTTGAGGAAGGGAGGGTGGGGGGTGAGGATGTTGACGGAGCGGATGAGAGGCCTAAGGCGGAGGGGGAGAAGAAGGTATAGCGTATATTTACTAAGTAACTTGCATATTTTCAGCTTTTTTTCTCTCTCTCTTCTGGGTCGGTATATAATATAAGTAATTAGATTAGATTGAAATGTATATATATAGCGAGCAATCGCGGTAGATTAATAAATAAATGATCATGTTTAATGTATAATGAAACTAGCACGCACTCCTTTCTCGCAAAGTAAATTTAACCGCGGGGAGGACAATTGTATACAAGTGCGGGGCTAAATCCATAAAATCTCAAAATCGAGTGACTAAATTGAAAAAAACAGATCCTAATTCCAATATCTAGTATCATATAGTACAATATTACTAAGATCTATCAATTACATCACCGTACCGACATTATAGCACCCAAAAAGCAGCAATCCCTCGTCATCACGAGAATGCGCCCCATGGAAGGTTCCTTGACATTCTGTGTTGACCATGTTGCATTTCGACCCTCAGCTATCAAAATGAGGCTTGCCAGTTTATAGCTCTTCAAATTCAAATTCAATTCAACCCCTCCAAAGAAAAAGTCCTGGCTTAGCTCTCTTTTTTTCGATAAGATAGCTTTGCCCGTACAGATACAATTCTTACCCAGAACGTCATTTGCATTCTTTAACTTTCTTTCCTAACTCGAGTTATTTCTGATTTCGATCTTTTATTCTTTTTCGGCTTTTACGACTTTTTGCTCTTTCGATTGGGATTGATTTTTATTGCTTGGGGTTAAGATAAGATAAGAAATTATGACAAAATCGCCTAGAGTACCTAAACCTCCGAGGACATATATCTGCAGGTTCTGTCAGTCTGTGTTCAAACGATCTGAGCATCTGGCTAGACATGAGAGAAGTCGTGAGTTTAAATTTTTCCCTCCCTCGATGTCATTCCCTTTTTTTTCCCTTTTGAAGGGCGGGGAGTACTGGATCCTGGCTTTGTGTGTGTGTGTGTGTGTGTGTGCGGATTCCTGTTGAGGAAAAAAAACCCGCAACGTACGACCTTACTACGAGCGGGGGATAATGATAAGATTGCTGTGGACGAAGCAGAGAGGGGCAATGATGGAGATTTAATCGGGATTAGAAAGAAAGAAAGGAACGAAGAGAAATTATGAACGGAGGCTAATTAACTATGGGATGTTACTTTGGGGAAATGCAGATACGCAAGAGAAACCGTTTGGATGCTCCGTATGCTCGTGCATGTTTTCCAGAAAGTAAGTGACGTTCCGTTCCTTTGTGTCATTTTCGGTTGGATCCGATCGAGAACGGAGACAAAGGGCTTTCGATATTATTTGACATCCGGGAGAAGATGCTAATTGGCCTGGTTATTTTCAAAAATGGATTAGGGATCTCGTCGTGCGCCATGAACGAATGATACATTTTGAACGTAAACCTACGACGCGCATGACGTCTCGGAAAGCTCGGAAATATGAACCTCGTCGCGAATCTCAGTCTTCGGTATATACACCCGCCCCCTCTTTTTCTTCATAAATGTCCTTAGGGAAAGAAAAGAAAGGGTGGAATATATATACTAAACGACGGAATTGGGATATTCTCTCAGCAGGACGCTCAGGATTCCGCGACTATATCTTCAACTACCACCCCGGCTTCCGAGCGAAGACAATCACTCCCAAAAACTCTAACGATTGATCCCGCTGCCGCGAAGAAAACGGCTGCGGAAGCTTTATCTGCTGCCGTTCTTCAGGGGATACCGAATATCTTCGATGAGATTGCAAATACCGCCACCACCAATTCACTTTCTTCTCCCGTGACGCCAAAATCTGGAAAACGACGAGCTTGCTCAGATGATGATGATGATGATACTGATGACCTTGATTCTCGACCTACGAAATTGAGGGTACTCGATCAGACGCTTACTTCTCCGGCCAGCGTAGCTCCTGTAGCTCCAATGTTTGGAAGGGGAAGTTCAAATTCCAGTGGTGGCAGCAGTGCCGCCATTTCACCCACGAAATTAACAAACAACTCGCCATCTTCGTTATCCACTACCGCAACGACCCTTGCTGCAGCGGCAAACGCACTAACCAAACCGGCAATATCAGTCCCCACCTCCATTTTCCCGGGATTTGACATCGATCCTATCCTTAGAGATCCAGAGTTCGAAGCACAACTCGAGGATGATGATGAAACAGCTGAAGATACGCTTAGGATGTTTACGCATGCTGAGCAACAGTTGTTTTCACCGCCGTTGTCGGATGGTGATAGTGAGAAGGAGGAATCTGGGAGTAGGAATAATGAGGAGTTTTTGAGGGAGGCTGCGGCTGAGGCGTGGAAGTTACAGCTCGAGGAAGAGATTAAAGCTGCGGCTTGAAGTCTTTATTGGGAATACGGTTTATGGGGGAGTAAAGGTCGTGGATTGGGGGGTTTTATGAGTACGTCAGTCTGAATATTGGGTTTGTATGTGATATATATCTCTGATACTAACTGGACTCGAGTAGATGTGTGATTTCTTTGCATTACTGACTTGCGCTCTAACAGAAAACAAAAAACTTATATTCATCTAGTATGTATTGCATGGACAGACTACTACTACGACTAGTAGTCTAGGAACAACATTATCACGGCCGGGATTTGTCTTTTCGTCTATTATTCCTTCTACCGCCCCGTCCCTCTCTTCACCCCCCCTTCGGATTTTTATATCTCTTTCACTCTCTTTTATTCTAACTATTTTGGTTTTTATCATCATCAAAGCATTGGCAGAAAAAAAAAGCAATACCCCATGTATATCAGGAACTGGCGTTTTTATGGAAACAACGAAAGCACGAAACAAGAAATAAGGAACACGAATGGGAGAATACCTATATACTCGTTTATATATATACATACCAAAGCGCAGCGTGTATTTAGTGTTTGCGAGATATATTATATAAATAACCAGTATTCTTTCTTACCTATATTCTTATTCTCACCAAGTTGCAGGAGGATATATATATTAAGTATCAAGACCGGGGAGGGGTATATAGATGGAGACAGTATTACTCCGGATATACCATCTTCCTACTAACCCCTCCATCAACTACGATCTCCGTCCCAGTCACGAACTCTGAGTTTACCAAAAACTCCACCGCTTTAGCAATATCCTCCACCTTCCCCACCCTCCCAACAGAATGCCACCGATGATCTCCCTCCGTCAATCCATCCTCCCACTTCCTCCCTTCCTCGTCACCCTTCCCATTCTCATTTTCAACATGAATCCAACCGGGAGAAATAGCATTAACCCTAATCCCATACTTCTCACCTAAAGACACAGACATCGACTGAGTCAACCCTATCAACCCGGCTTTTATGGCGGAGTAAGCTTCATGGTTGACTTCGGACTGGTGAGCACGAGTAGATGAGATGTGGATTATACATCCCGGGGGCGAAGTTTTAGTAGAAGGAGGAGGAGAAGAGGAAGAAGTGGAAGAGGAAGTTAAAAGTGGAATACAAAGGCGACTAAGAAGAAACGGAGCCGTAAGTCCCACGGATAGTTTATGATCCCATTCACTCATTATATCCACATCCGTCGAATCCATCGATGCATTCCCAGACCATACATGAGGTGTAGCAAAAGCATTGTTGATTAAGACATCTACTTTGCCTTGGAAGTACTCCGTGGCATCTGTGATCGCGGTGGATATGGAGGAGCGGGAGGAGAGGTCCGTATGTGAGGTTTTGAAGTCTTGAGGGGTTGTGAAGCCGTGTGTGAGTAGGTGGGTTGTGGTTGTTGTTAGTTCCGGGAGGTTGGAGTCTAGGAGGAAGACGCGGTGGCCTTGGGAGAGGAGATGTCGGGTCAGACCTCGGCCGATACCGCGGGCGGCGCCGGTTATTAGGTAGTTTGGCATGGTGATGGTGGTGATGGTGATAGGGTGGAAGCTGGTGACGACATCGTTGGATGGTTGCTGGCCTAGATACCTATGCGTGGTAGCTACTTAGTGTTAGTCGGTCGGGTACCTTGAGACTAGCTCAGGTACTACAGATATAAGAAGTTAGATCGAGGATAGATAACTGCGACAAAGCTGTGCTGTTGGGAGTATAGTTATTTCTCTATGCATGCTCGATACTGAAGATATCTGTGAAGTGAGTGGGGGGTTATGCATGGTGGAGGGGATTCGAAGCCGTGGAGTGGATCCGAGACCTGTTCCACTGTCGCGAAATGGTGGCGGGCCGAAGCTTCGGAGAATCCCCTGTAGCTTTATAAGACAACGCATTTCTTCCAACATTTTCTATTCTCGAGATCTCTCTGTTGTACGTATACTGATTAAACTTTAACGAACGTTCTTTTATTGAAGGATACGATATTATTTTGGGAACCGCAAGTTGAGAAAGAGAAGAGAAGATTCGAAGTAATTCTTTAAAATATAGTCATGGCTTCGGAATTTAAAGTTGCTATTATTACTGGTGGTGCTTCTGGTGAGATATCTCCAAATTATACATCTATCTCTTCCCGAGTCGATGTTTTATAAAGAACACTTGTCTAACGTTATTGATAATTGATTGGTATACAAATAGGTATCGGCCTCGCCATAGCCACCGATCTCAAAAATAAAGGCTGGACCGTCGTAATCGCCGACATAAACCCCACGACAGGCACCAAAGCTGCCCAAAACATCGGGGCAATCTTCCACCAAACCGACGTTTCCTCCTGGTCTTCCCAATTGGACTTGTTCAAAACCACGTTCCAAAAACACGGTCGTCTAGATTTCTTCGCTGCTAATGCGGGGATAGATGACAAAAAGAGTATTTATGAAGAAACACCAGAAGAATTGCAGAATGATGAACCGGCTCAGCCATTTTTGAAAGTTATCGATGTGGACTTCGTGGCGGTTGTTTGGGGGGTAAAACTTGCTAGTTGGTATATGAGACGGAATGCGAAGAAAGGTGGCGTGGTGGTTTTGACGAGTAGTGCTGCGGGATTGTATCCTATGGTTACGAATCCGTTGTATGCGGGGTGCAAAGCCGCTGTAAGTTCTCCAACCAATGGTAGAATAAGATTTAGGATCTATGCTATGTGGAATAGTGCTAATATTATCTACGAATTTAGTTGATAAACTTTGCTCGCTCCGTTTCTTCAACTTATATTACCGACGGTATCAGAGTCAACGTGATCTGTCCAGCACTAGTCCCCACCGCCATCTTCCCGGGAAACCTACGAGACTTCTTCCCAGAAGAACATATTACACCGGTATCTACTATTGTTTCGGCATATAACAAATTCATTGACGACGAGACTTTAACAGGACAGGTGGTGGAATGTGCGCAGGATCAACATTATTTTAGAAAACAAGTAGAATACCCCAGTGAAAGTCAGAGGTGGATGAATGAGGATAGTGGAGAGTGTTGGGGGAAGGCTTATAAGGTTTATTTCGCGGCTCAACAGGGGAAGTAATTGTAACTCTCTTCTTTTGTAGAATACAGAAGTGAAAAGTTGGGATATTGCCAGTAACATTGGGGGATATGATTTTTAATGAATCCAGCTGCGAGATGATCCGTCACGATAGAGATGATAACTCTCGTCGTTCTGGGGCTTTCCACTGCTAATACCCCTAAACAATCTGAATGTACAATGTTCCTTATTATCGGAGGCGGATGTATGCCATGTCGCCATCAACCATAACTATGATCCGTCATAAGTTATAAATTATACATGTCATTATAGCATTGATAAGAGACCCGGGGGGTAATTTACCTCAGCATCATCATACCCAGGCTCACCACCATATGCCACACCGTTTAAGGCGGTTTGAAGCCTTGAAGCGGGACCTTTGAGAATTAATTCGAAGAGGTCGGGGACAATGGATGGGTCTTGAACGTCGCTTAGGATCCAGATGTGGAGGATTTGACCGGAGGCGTGTTTATGGCCTGGGTAGGGGTATCTGGAGACGGACATTGTTTTAAATAGGTATATATATAGTTGACGTATGGAGATTATTTGTAAGGATTGGGATGGAGTGATATTTGGAATATATTCGAGGATAATGAGGGAATGCGTGGGTTGATTTTGGAGAGTAGAGTGGGTTATATAGACAGTTAACCTTGGTATCGATTGTGAGTACTAATTGGAGGGAGACATATACTTGGAAGTATTGTGGGGGCTGGTGATATATCAAATTAAAATATCCGGATATCGATTCCGTAGAGCTCTATAGGCAGGCATATTGGGGCAAATCGGTGTTCGTGGGGGATTATAGGAATGGTGTTACTATAATACACGGACCGTCCCGCAGCAGACTGTTAGAGGGTACACGGGATGGTACAGGAGGCATATATGCATATGGGTGCTATGGATTGCGGAACGAGTCTCTGGAGCTTATGATTTTTTAGCTGAAGCTTATATATCGTTTATACCAGTGAATCGATCTTAAAAGTGGAGTGTTCAGCATGTCAAAGTTGGCAGGGCAAGGTGCACATCTTCACGGGTATTGCACACAATGTTTCACGGATTTCCGCACGACAATGCAAGATGCCGTTCCTCCCGGCCGCGAGCCGCAGGGGCGTGTTACACGCATATATCAATATTGGACCAATGCATGTGGTGTTGGTTCCCCCTCCGGTTCGGGAGGGTTCCCAAGAGGTTGGGGTTGCATGGATTAGCGGTGCATAGACGAATCATGTCGTTCTGGTTGTACTACGTAGGATTGCATGTGGCAATGGTGGGTAGATTGATTAATATATCTCATTGATGAATGGAGAGGGTATGCTATGGTACAAAGCTTTGTAGAGATGATATGATAATAAACGGACCATGGAACTACTGCTTCACGAGCTTGCCCTTCATGGGTTCGTAGAACAATGTCATTTTGCCGTTGACCTTTTTGAAAACGATGAGGTCCAGTCCCCAGCCGCTCTTCGTCGTAACACTATCAAATTATTAGCTACTTACGACTTAACTATCTCAACTATTTTGAAGGGGTGAGGGGGACTTACATATCAAATGCAGACCAGATACACGAGAACAACGCCGTAGCCCTAAATTTCCCTGCGAACCCCGTCCCGATTAATCCAGCACCATTCCCAAAGATACTAACCTGCCTTCCGCCCTGTCGCCATATTAGTTGGTCGGCTTTTAATAATACATCCACACCATCAATTTTCAATTCTTTGAGAGTTAAAAACCCATTCTCGAAGACAATGCGAGCAATGCCGTTGGGTGAGGTGTAAGTTCCAGCATAATCTGCTGTTACGATGGAATTATACGCCTTCCAAATCGCTGGAGCCAGTGTATTATGTACTTTCAAAGACAGGCCGAAAGGATCTGTTGTGGTAGCACCAGCGAATAATTCTGAGTCCGTGGATCCAACGCTGGTTAATACGGCAACACCATATCCGAATTCTGGGAATGCTGAGATTTGGGAGTATTGGCCTGGTAGACCGCCACCCTTGAAATAGATGTTATAAGCAGCGTAGTCAGGCATTATGGCCCGGTAAGATTCCCAGGGGACCCCGACGCTGGTGATTGCATCGGTGTTGTAATGGATCGAACGAAGCCAGTCTAGACGCTGGGAATTGCTGATTAGAAGGGGAGAACGGGAGAGGAGAACTTTGTGGATTAATTTGGCGAGGTCATTGGTAGTGGAAAAGATGCCACCCGCACTATAGGTGATACGTATGTTAGGTTTGCCTACCAGCTTTAGATTTGGGGGGGGGTGGACATACGGATCGTGAACAGCTGGAACAATTAGGTCTACCATGTTCCTGGAATTTGGCGTGACGATGTCCTTGCGTAGGCCTTTTGGGATTGGCCCTGCAAAAGTGTGGTCCATCTCTAAGGGGTCAAATATGTCTTCTTTGATAGAAGAGGCCCATGATTTATTTTGCTTTTTTAGTTTCTTGCGATAGTTCCCAGTGGCCAGGCCTAGGATTGAGAAGCCGGTGTTCGAGTCTGGGGAAGTTAGTTATGCATTCTCTTCGTCCGAATGAAGTGTAGACATATAGTTATACTTACAGCTGGGAGTCTGGCCAACTTGCCAGATCAAGTCATTCTTGGAGACGGTACAAAGGAGTTCCTGGGAAGAAGTGTTATGCTGATAATATCTTTCGAAAAAGGTATCCTGGCCCGGGACGGGAGGCCATAAGATATCACGAGGGCTGTTGAACACCAGTTCTCCCATATCTCTCCCAATTCCTGCCCTATGACTGCCTAACTGCCCAAGAGTAATATCTGCCGCCTCTTCCTTAAATTCTTGGGGAAGTTTGAACTCCGGAAGGACATCTTGAAGTCTTGATTCTAGTGTTATTTCAGGAACGAATTTCTCAAGCCGAGCTTGTCTGCTTAACATCAGTGTTTCAAGGACAGCAAAGACCTTCGAAATGGATGCAATTCTATGAATGGAATTCCCATTAACTTTTGCAGGAGATGCAGATGCAGATTCGTTAAGTCGCTTCCTTCCTTGATGGAATTCGTATATCTTTCCCTTTGCGGAATGAACGATACTGATTGAGATTGCCTCTTTGCTGGAGAATGTGTCTGCCTTTAAGGTTAGCTCCAGTTGAGCTAGTGCAAACTTTATGGCGGGATGCTGCATGACTCGAGGGTCTTCGAGTAGAAAAGCCGGTGGAGGAGGGACACAGCGCCATTGTGGAGAGGAAACGGAGAGGTCGTTGCCTGCGGCGAGAATAGTGTTTCCTGTGTATATATCTGAAGTTTGTCGCCTTTGAAGCGGTTGGGACGAAAGGTTTGGGACTTTAGATTCTCGATATTAGTGTCTTCCATATATTTTCTAATTATCATATCTAGTTTGTATCGAAGGAGGAGAGGGAGAAAGGGAGAGGGAGATGTATTTTGTATTTTATATTGGAGTAGCTAGTAGGAAGAGGGACTTACTGCCTTTGACCAGGTAAAGGGTAAGTAAAATGCCCGTAGAAAAGCTAATGGCCATCCAGCAAGTGTTCACCAACCACTTTCTTCTTTTCTTCACTTCAACTCCACCCTCGACTTCATCATCCTCTACCATCATCATCACTAACTTCTCGTCAAGCAAAGGCCGCGACTCCATCGTTTGATATCCTTTCTGAGTGTTACATTGATAAGACCGAAGCCTGGAATTCGCTTTTTCGTAGCAACCGTCCTTCTTTTTATTTGCACTCGGCATCTTGAGATTGCAGAAAATACCCAAGCTAGCTAACTAGTACTGGTAAGTGTTAGCTAATTGCACCTTCCTTCTGAATTCTGGATGTTTCATGATTGGGACGAGGCTTCAACTCAAAGTTCGTTGTATTCCTTGCTCTTACCTTAAACTATGGCTTGGTCCGTCTGCTAACGTAGTTGTAGCATTGACATCGACTTGGATGTAGATTTAGATAGAGCTACCTACCTATATATCTCAAGATATCAATCCGGAGCTCAGTGGGGAAGACATCGAGTGTACAGCATTCATCATCGTCTGACGTCTCACATCGTACATCTGGGGAATATTATCCGCCCGTTATTTAGCCCGGTTCAAGTGCCGGTTCAAGTCGCTAGCCTCCCGTGGTAGCGAACCGCGTGAGCCTCAGCCGTCCAGCGACGTAACAACCTGAACTGGAAGCCAGACAATTTGGAACAGGCCTGTCAGTTATAACGTTAGCTACTCCACTGAATTCGTCAACTTTGCGCTTTGGGCGCTGCGCCATTTCTAAGAACTTCGGCTTCTCTGTGGAATCGAGTCCAAACTTCGAGTTCATGCACACACACTCTCTTCTCCTTCTTGCTGGAACAATCAAACCCACTCTTTGGATTACCGAATACGTACCGATTTTGTAACTCTCCTACTGCTTTCGACGGCTCGCTGTCGCCATGGGTCTGTTCAGCAAGCTCAAGGGCGACAAGGACAAGAAGAATAACAGAAACTCTGTTCACGGCCACCACTTGCCGCCTCCCGGAAGCGCACCTGGTTCCAGCAATCCTTCAGCCGGCGGAAGTGGCGCTGGTCTGCACCCACCATCTCAGCCTGGGTCAGTTGCTCTCTTTCTATCATCATTGCCATAAAATTATTACACGTGGGGATCGACTGGTCGCTGACGTTCACGTTTTCCTTCGCAGACCCGACCATAGTTCTGTTTCTCTTGTCCCTCCTCCCCACCAAGAGCCACCTTCCTCCATCTCTCAGCAACAACAACAACCACTACCACAACAACAACCTCCGTGGGGCTACTCCCCTTCGCCAAATCCGAATCCGCAGGCTCAAGGCCAGCAGCAGTTCTGGCCACAGCAGGGGCAACAGTATGGAGGGTTTCCGCAGGCCCCGTATGGCCAGCCGATATACATACTTCAAAATGGACAGCTAGTACCCGTTTACACGGGACAGCAGATTGGTGTTCCTCCAAATGTCAACATGGCATCACCAACGGTCGTGTCGCCCATCACCAATGCAGATTATGGATTTCAAGGGAATCAATCGCCGGCTCCGGTACCGTTCAGTAGTTCGTCGTACCAGATTCCGCCCCTCCCGGTACCCCCTTCTGCGCCGCCTTCAGGTTTAACACCCAGCCTCTACACCACCCCGTCTACCATCCCCAGTGCGCCTCCTTCTTCTAGTCCGTACTCACATCCTGAAAACCAAGCAGTCTCCCCGGTGTCCCCTGTCAGCGACTTTTCCCATGGTACCGCTTTCTCACATCACCAACCACCTTCTTCTACCTTTACATCGGCCCCGGTGGACCCTTCTGCGACACCTCCCGTTGTTCCTAAGCCGATGGCGCGGAAACCTGTCCCTGGAGTTGGTTCATCGAGCACACCGATATCTTCCACCCCACCACAGCTACCGCTCCCCACGGCCTCAGTGGTGACTCAAGGCATTGGCTCGCTAAGCGTATCGGACCCCCCGGCGTCGTCACCCGAGCTTCCCAAGCAGAAGGTTCAACTCTCACCGCAAATGGAACAAAAAGTCGAATTCTTGAAGAATCAGGGAAACAGCATGGTTGAGGCTAAGGACTATGACCAGGCGATCATGTTTTACTCAATGGCTCTAGACTACAACCCGGAGAGCGCGGTCTGTTTATCAAACAGGTCGATGGTTTATACTCAATTGCACCCGCCGAAGATGAAGGAAGCAAAGGAGGATGCCGAAGCAGCAACGAAAGCCGATCCGTCGTACTGGAAAGGCTGGTCGAGATTAGGCGATGCGTTGTTGGGGATGGGGGAAGCTTCTAGGGCAGTGGATGCCTATAATAAGGCTGTTGAGGTTGGAGGGGCATCGGTTGGACAGAATACAAAGCATTCACTGGCGAATGCGAAGAAGGCGGCGGGCCATAATCAGTCGACTACGACATCTCCCACTACCCCTGTGGCAACCCAGGCATCACCAAGTGGGGCTAGGACATCTACTCAGAAAACACCGACGCAATCGAGCACACCGTCTCTCAATACATTATTTTCTACTACCTCTGATACTAGAGCTACCGGTGCAAATCAAGTACCAAGGCCGGCTCCGGCTTCGACCACAGCAACTACCTCTACTAGTGTTGCTTCGTCTTCTACGGCTACCCAACCTTCGAGGACACAACCACCACCTGTCAATACTCAAACTGCCCCTCCTTCACGTACGCCTGCAGCCGCCACGGCGACTACCGCCACGGCGACAACTACGGCATCTGGATCCTCAGCGACCCCAGCTTCGCCATCGGCAAGTGCACCGGCACGGACAACTCAGGCGGCTTCTGGTCTCCCTGCAGTTTTGGAGGAGGCTGTTGCAAACGTAGAGGAAATTGGCAATTCTGAAGCTCCACCAGCATATGCGCCAAATCCTAGTTCGACGGATCCAACGATTCGTCACATGTCGCAACAAGCAGTCTATTCCCAGGTTATTGAGCTACGGAACACCCTTCTTGTTAGGAATAAGGGAAGCTTTGTGATCAAGCCTTACACTGCTGTTGGCAACATCGATGCGGTGAGAATCGAGTTTGTGGGAATGACTACTCAAGAGTTGACTCCGCGCGAGCTTGGTGTTCATCCGGATCAACATCCCTCATTTTCTGGATACTTCGTTAATAGCGTGTTGTATCCTGGGTGTACCTTGATCGATCTGGACATGGAAGTGTCAAAAATTGGGGAAGGGAGGCTCCCAGGCACTTATAGTGTATCTGGGTACTCTGAAGTTTACAGATCACAGCAGCTAGAAACAGCACCCATACTCCCGATTACCTTATCATCTGTACACACACTGCCAGAGGTAACGGTGGATCAGATTGTATCGCGAATGACAGTACTAAAGTATAATCGGCTCCTACCGGAGACGAATATGCAAATGTACGAGAGCTTGAGAAAGTTCCTGGGTCCTGATCCTTACCCGAATCAGACGGACGCAGATAAAGCGAATTTGAGAAATCAGATCACTGATATCTGCTATGTGTTGAACAGGGTAGATGCGACAAAGTATGTGGACATGTCGAACTGTCGCCATTTGACTAATAATACACTTGGGACGGTGGCGCAGGGGATTGGGTTGAAGAACTTTTTATTCCAGATCCTTTTGGGCTGCGAGCTATTAGTTCGATTGCTAAAGGAGCCAGCAAATGCAACCTATACAGGGCTGATTTCTCATAATATTTCCGCAAATCTGGTTATTGCAGATCTATGGATGCAGAATATTGATACAAAACGAGAGACCACGCCTGCGGGGCTCCCACGGCACTTATTGATATCATTAGTGCATCAACGACAGTGTGAGGGTTTGATTAGATTTGCGGAGACGTTCAAGTGGCCGTATATGGACGAAGCGAGGAATTACATTGAAGGGGCCTACAATGATTTGATCACGGGCAAGGCGATCGGATTTGATATGTGTGATTGGTTGTTTGGGTTGGTGAGGCCTGGAAAGTTGTTCAGGCATCTGATTATGAATTGCTTGGTGTATTCGTCGCCTTCGATTCGGGATTTCCAAGGCGCGCCGACGTTTACATGCGGACTAGTGCTCCTTAATAGGAGTTACTGGCCTAGGAGGAGCGTGCTAGGCGGTGTTTTGGGTGGGTTGAGGAACTTGACTACGGTCTGTGGATGGGTTGGGCCGGCTCCCAAGGCGGAAGGGATTGCTCCGGGGTGGTGCCAGGTTGATGCGAGAAAAGTTACAATTCCGATTCCCTGCACTAAGAGCCAGAGAACGGCGGAGGAGCTAGAGGAGGCTAGGATTGGACCAGATGGAAGAGTTATGAATGCTGAAGAGCAGATCAGTGATCTTGCGGATATCAACCAATGGGCTGTTCCGTCGTTTCCTTCAAGATCAAACCCAAATGATTCAACAGTTACCTTGAAGGGTATTCGACTGCTTTTACAACAGGATCAAGCTGTTACATCTACCCTTACGCCGTTGAAGATTTATAGAGCAGCGGTGGATTTTGACATCTCAGGAACTGCAGTGTCTTACACGCTATACTCCAACCCGACATTTGTGACGGCACACCCTTGTGTTGGAAATCATTTGGCGCATAGAACAGAGACAAAAGCGATTCGAAAGACGATCATTCCAGCGGTGGATTTGAAGGAGACTTATCTGCAATATAATAGCTTACTAGTTATTGATGCAACGTTGAAGGGGGAAGAGGTCTTGGCTAGGGCATGGTGCTCGGAACGAGGTTGTAATGCGGTTGTTTGGAGAGGTGATGAAACGTGCTTTGCGTGTGCGGCACTTATGACTATGAGTACCAATGGGCTGGGATTTAATGTGCTTATTCGGAGTGTGTAACTCGGCATGCAGGGTGCAGGTAGGTATTGTGGTTTTGGGGACTTGAAGTGGGGTCCATGTGGGGCGGTGGGGGTTTAACGGTGGGTATTTTGCGTTAGCCTTTTATTATTATGCATATGATCTAGCGCTGCTGGTTTTTATAAATCTTACTTTTTCGTCGTGTGTTATCGATGTTTTCCTTAGTCTAGTGAATGGAATCCACTTTAGACGCTATTTTGGGATCAAACTAAAGATAAATTATATTACGTATTAGAGATAGTAGCCGCCGGATTGATAGATATCTTGTGAAGCTCGAGATTTCGTGGAAGAGAGGCTGTCTTATTGATAGCAGAAGACCGATATTGGTCGGCCAGCTCCGAATTGGGGAGGTACTTAAGGTTTTTAGTTTCCCCAGATCCGACAGTACTGGAACCTGCATCTTGATTTCATATGACGTTGGAGAATTAATCGTTTAAATTTAACAACTCTAAATTGACAACAATGACAGCGACGGATGCAGCGACTGTGGTCACTGGTGAGGTTCATAAGTTTGATCGATTCCGTTATGGATAGAATTTATTTAATTAACACTGTTGGTTTCGCACAGGTAATGGACCCCGCAAGATCCTCTCGAACTCGATAGATCTCAAACCCGGCGATTTCTCCTCCATCCCCGTCTTGGATCTCACATTAGCCTTCAGTCCCAACGTCGCAGACCGAAAAACCGTTGCATCATCGCTGTTCGACGCTTGTACCCGTGTAGGGTTCTTTTATGTCAAGAACCATGGAGTACCCTCCGAAATTATCTCCGAGTGCTTCCAGGCCGGAAGGGATTTCTTCGAGTTGAGTTTGGAAGAAAAAATGAAGATATATATCAAGGATTCTGAGAATTTCAAGGGGTATACACCATTGCTCGGGGAGAATACGGATCCAGCTGGTCGAGGGGATCTACACGAAGGGTTTGATATCGGATATGAATATTCCAAGGAAGGTGGGAAGATGGAAGGGGTTAATAGATGGCCCGAGACACTGCCGGGGATCAAAGCACCTGTTTCAACATATTTTTCCGAAATGGTAAAACTTGGAAAAAAGCTTTTCCAACTTTTTGCGTTATCACTGGACCTTGAAGAGAATTATTTTGATGATCTTGTTTCGGGGAAAGGTGGGATCATGAGGTTATTGCATTATCCACCCCAGACGAAGGAAGGATTGGACATGACACAGTTGGGGATTGGAGCTCATAGTGATTATGAGTGTTTTACGATATTGGCACAGCAGGGTGGGGTTGAGGCTTTGCAGGTGCTCAATAAGGGAGGGAAGTGGGTGGGGGCTACACCCATTGAGGGGACTTTTGTGGTTAATGTGGGAGATATGATGGCTAGGTGGACTAATGACCTGTATTTGAGTACTATTCGTAAGTTTTCTCTTCCTGTCTTTCTTTTTTCGTCATGAGGCTTTGCAAGGCGAACAAGAGAGACAATGATATTAACTTGGGTAATTTTTCTAGATCGAGCAATAAATAGGACCGGGGTAAGGAGGTACTCTGTTCCTTTCTTCTTCGGGGTGGATTATGAAAGTACGATCGAGGTACTTGAGAGCTGTGTTAGTGAAGGTCGGCCGAAGAAGTATGAGCCGATTAATGCGGGGGATTATATTAAGCAGAGGTTGAGCGAGACGTATTGAGAGTTGCAATTGGGCATATACTCGCGATATGCAATTTTATTCTGGTATAGGATATTCGAAAATATGGTAGTAAATAGAACTTGAATACATATTTATGCATCATCCGAAGGCGTCCAAATTATATCTGACTGTAAGATCTTGAAATTGTCGTCTTTTATGCGGGCTCCTTCAAGGCTCATTTTTGAGTAGAAGACGGCTTGGTTCTTCCGTCGAAACCTATATAGCATTATCTCAGGATTATTTAGGTTTGACCCAGCTAACAAGCAAAGCAACCTAGGATGGTCTTTAAATAATTTTATGGCGATCGGAATTGCTTTCTTCTGTTGAAATTCAATGAGATCTTCATCTAAAATAGTTAGTAGCCATAACAATTTCAGTTGGTCTTTTCCAGATCTGGGTACGAGGCGAAGTTGGTCTTCCTTCCTGCAAGTAACAAGCTAAAATCTCCCGCAAGATTTTATATTTGTCAATATAAAAAAAATAATCTTCAATGCGAATGGTATAGAAACTCTACTTACGAAGGAATCAGGGATGGCTAACTCGGTGAGGTGTTTGAACCCGGGGATCCAGGAAGGCTTTATGTTGGGCGCCAGGTCTACATCAGTACCGTCTGGATGAACTGGATGCCAGTAAAGGCGTTTTAGGGAGTCTCTATGGTGACTAATCGCCAGTGCCATACTATCGACATCCTCGCAGTCATCTTCAAGGATCAATTCCTCCAAGCCTTTGAAAGACTTTAGAATTTTCTTGATCTGCGCTTCATCTCCGGATTCAATGAGATGTAAGACCCTCAAACTGATGCGTTGATGTTTGAAACAGCGGCTCAGACTAGGTAGCCCGTAGGAACATCTTAATTTTAAAGTATCCAACTTTGTGCAATCGATGGCTCTTGTGAGCCAGGGGGATTTGGTGAAAAAACTTCCATCAAACTTTTGGAGTGAGAGATACCGTAATGATGGAAGTAGGTAGCCGCTATCCGAGGTCGGTTTCAATTCAGTTTGACTAAAACCCAAGCGAAGGTGTGCATGTATAAGAGCACCCCAGGTATCTTCGTCGTATTCCGGGAGGATTTCACTCCCCGAGACGGGTGGAAAACAATACCTCTCCAGTATGTAATATAGGCCTTGCGATGGCCCCAGAGAGTCGCTGCTGACATTTGGATCATTTGGAATATAAACTCAATCCACGGCATGCGGTTAACCTCGACCGTGTGTATGTGTTTAAGTTTCGCTCGCAATGGGATATCCTCAAGGTCTAATTGATACGCCCCAGTTGTGCCGCCGTCTTTGCTCGGACCCCAGAACCCTTCTAACATCTGCTGGTCTTTGAATAGTTGCTCTAGTATCAGAATTGACATCTTCAGGTTTGTAGACCAACTATATTAGTTGTATTAGAAGTATTCTCTGAATCACAAACTTGGTTTAGAAGATCGTACATAAACGAACGCAGCGTGTTTTTAGGGATACTGCGCAATATTGAGAGTATGATCTGATTTTGAAGTACTGGGACGGGTGCAGTAGTAATCTCTCCTTTTACCACGAAATGCTGAACGTATTTTAAGCCGGTATGGTTCTGGTGCTGAAGTGCCTGTGTCTGAATCGGGTCCAGCCCTAAATTACTACTCAGAAGGATACGAATTGTCCCATAAAGCAATGGCTGACAATATGAACGAAACTCTTGACTAGTTATACAGAGTCGGGATAAAGTTTGCGAGTCCTAACGCCGAATATTTAAGTGCCCTTCCTTGTAACAAGGTTTTAACTAGTTTTTAGAGATCAACTTACCATCTGTTTTAGTACTAATAGGAGGACCTCGGGGGGCAGACTTGACAGGCGGGAATTTGGATATCCCTGGTTGGAAGATGAATCGGCCATTTTGGTATGCGTGTATCGAAGATGATCATGAACGCGACGATAGTTGCACTAGCTTGAAATTCGCAACTGTTTTTGAACGATACAAGATGGGTGTATCTTTGGCTGATAGATACTTAGAATTTTTTAGTATGCATACGAATACGCGCGTATAGCTATAAAAGCGATTGATTGACATCAAAACTCAGGTTCAGCGCACGTCGTAACGATATCTAAAATTATAAAAGCGGGGTGTATTGCCTCCGAGTCTGCACCGATATAATAGGTAGGGGCTGCCACGTGAGAAGTTTTTGGTTTGCAGGCTGGAGTTATGTACGCTAAGAACAAACTCGCCTAAGCAGCCAACGGGACGGAATCTGATGCATATTTCGATAATGCAATGGACCGAGCCAGTCTACCACTTATGCGACCTGCCTTTTAGCTCTCGGTTTCTCTCTTATTTTCTTTTTTAATTTTTTTGCAGCTAGAGATTAAGGTGTTTTCCTGATTAAGATTTGTTTGAGGAAACTTTCCATTCATGTATTGATCATGATCCATTACGGATTCATCGTGAGAAATTTGTGTCTCATAACGAGTGACTAGTATACATCATTAAGCATTATCTGAGCGAGCATTAGACTATCCTATTATGAATAAGTTATTAGACATTATTTTTCATGTATCCAGTGGTGATTATTAGAAATTAAGCGTAAGGCTATATGTTCATAACAACCGCATTTTGTTTTGCGTAGGGTTGTTAGAGTGGTTGGTGTGTTGGTTGGGTTGAGGTTGAGCGCGGATGAAGCTGGGTAAGCGACTCAGGCAGTATCGAGCGCGATGTCTTTAGCATGGCTCTTCCTGTGAATGGCAATACAGCTGTAAACGAAAAATACGGCACAGCTATTGTGATGAAGATGTTAGCAATGCTACGAATTAAATGTGGATTATCATAGTAAACATAGGAACCTACTTCAATCCGAGAGTAATGATGAAGATTGCAGGGAGCCATGCAATATCATGCCATCTATATTCCTGGTTAGTTGTCAAGAACAAAGACCTTTTGAGATTTTGAATTGGCTTACTCGTAAAGCAAAGCCGTCACGATTCCTTCGGCGATTACACCAATGGCGAAGATGAGGTATGTTCCCAAGGCGAGAGCTGGTGAGAAGTAGGAATATTTGCAAACAAACATGAAGATGATGGACCATAGAAAGACTATAGCGGGTCCGGGAATCATGACTACCCATCCCGTCCTATGTTACGTTGATCTGTTAGCATTGGTTGACAATACTTTGGGGAGAAATGTGTTGTTTTGTTGTATTTTGGCAATGGTGACACAGGCGATGGATTGGGGATTCAGAGCTGGCTTACCCTTCGCCGTAATCATTTCCTGGCTCGTTTGCATCTGTGATGTTGATGATTATAGAGACGACGAGAGTGACGATGGAGTGCACAAAGGTTGAGAGTGTAAGTCCAAATGGTTTTCCGATACCAGCGCCGCTCCAGGCAGTTGCGGTCTTTGGGGAAGTGAATCTCGTAAATTCGAACATTGTGGTGGCGGTGAATTCGAAAGCTAGTTTGCTAAGACAAATTTAAGAAGATGAATTTTCTTGGGTGTTAAATGTCGGAAGTGGTTCAATGGACTAAGTTTAAAATAATCAGATGAACTATGATTAATTAATCAGGAACAAAGAGGGATTTATATGCGGCTCTCCATTGATTCAGAACAATGTTCCAGCATGTGTGCATTCAGGCGAATAAGCCTTAAGGTTGTCGCTTGTTCGGGACAACCACGTCTGCCACGGCGCCAAGTGTTGGTATGCTCGTACGGTTTGTACAGCCCACCTTCCAAGACTTTGATCTGTGACTATTCGTGTCTTGCAAACCTGTCGGTTTTCTTAGTCAACGAGGTTTTCACATAGCCTCGCTCGTTTGTTCGGTAGTTGGAGGGCTTAAAGTAGATCCACACATGATAGTTGTAGATTTTGAGTTTCCCAAATCGTTTGCTTCCAGGGTCTATCTTACGAGGCGTATACTTTGGGACTGGGTCTCTATGAAGGTATGTGAGTACGTAAGAACGGATACATTCTGTTCTGAAAAAGTGTATGCATATGATCTTCCGATGAATCAGAATGGGCGATTATATGAACTTTATTTATTTTTTTGGCCTTTGAGAATAGAGTAGTGGAAATTCATAGGGTCAAAGGAATGTGAAAATGATATCAGCCCAGAGTTGGACTTGTCGGCTTTGGGCGACGAAAACGACGGTCACACGAGTCTGATCCACGACGAAAGTGTTGCATGGAAAGTGGATCTTGTCTTCATCAAGACGCCAAGAGAGCCGGTCAGTTGTACCGAACTTTTTGGATCGGGGTTTTTGGGTCTTAATAGTGTTCGCTATAGGAATTTATTCCGAGAAGGGTCTTGTGTGGGGAATTGAGATCGTATTCTTGTTCCGAATAAGTCTTTTTGTGTATATACAGGGCTTTTATTTTATTTTATTTTATTTTATAGCGCATGGAAAAAGGATGGTGACTTTTCCTTCGAATCTGGGGGTATGAGTAAGGAATTACCTCAGCCCGTTGTTCAACATGTTTGGGGCATTGTTTGTTCCGCGGACGACACCACGGATTGCCTTTGATAAGATCAACTGCTTCATGCCTCTGGGGTTCAACTTGAGATTTGGGTTCTTGACAAGTTCCTCTGCAATCATGCCGGAAACCGCAGGGCATGCCATAGATGTGCCTTGCATGGAAGTAATGGATCTACAAATTATATTAATCGTTAGCACTATCCTGCCGCATTTTTTTTTTTTAAAAAAAGCATGCTGAGATCGGCAACGGTATGGACATACTGCGGACCACGGTTGTGGGAACTTATAATGGCAACACCTGGTGCATGGATATCGACACATCTACCAAAATTGGAGAAACGAGCGCGGTTGTCGTTGATGTCGGTAGCACCGACGGTGATAATTGGGATTTGGGCGGAAAATCCGGCTGGCCAGAAGTTACAGGCGTCGGCGTTGTCGTTACCTGCTGCGACGGAAAAGTGCATTCCTGCTTGGATACCCTTTTCCATAGCTCTGAGAGCGCCAGTGGCTCGACCGTTTCCGCCAAGAGACATGCTGACAACAGATCCTGTGATTAAATTAGTGATTGTTTCATTTTTTGAATAGGTAGGGGAGGAAATACCGACCTTTGAAGTTAGGATCCTTCATACGCTGGAGGTGGCGTCTGTACGCGAATTCAAGGCCACCAAGTATAGCGGCGAAGGTTCCAGGGCCTCGACCGGGTAGAACTTTGGCACCGATAAGGTTGACATTCTTGGAGACACCGAATCGTGTACCGCCGATAGTGCCGGAGCAATGGGTTCCATGACCACCATCGTCGTTGAAGTTATTACCGTAGCCAGTGAACCCCATTGATGCTCGACCCCCAAATTCCGTGTGTGCGGTGTTGATACCGGTATCAAGAACATAGACATCTACACCCGCGCCACCGCTCTGGTCGAAGCGATAATTGTAATTTAAATCAGTGGCGCGACGTCCCTGGGCGTTCACTCGATTGGCGCTCGAGACTCTTTGGAGGTTCCATGGGGCAGTGTTTTGTGTTCGGATACGTCCGTTCTGGCGTTTCTCGAAGATATGTTCTTCATCCCATGAGGTAAGATTGTATGCCGCTTCCACGGCAAGATCTTCCTCGTCCTGGGGCATAACACTGGCATATACCAACCCGTTCTTTTCCAAGGAACCAATATTCTCTGCATCCGCCATACCCTCTGCTTCGGACTCGCTCATCTTCATTGTAAACGCTCTAATACTCTTTCCGAAGGTATCAATGCGGATGCCCTCTTCGGTTTGAAACCTGATATAAGAGCTGTCACCGAGTTGTTCGTCAAATGCGAGAAATTTATGAACATCACGTGTCTCTTTGACTCTAGTAGCGTTATACCCCATCTCATCAAATATCACTGGCCATGGTCGTTTTTCATCTTCGGTCATGGCGACTAGGTATTCGGAGATTGGGTCGTCGTCTTTGGGGTCCTTGGCATGGGATTGAGGAGTGAGACATGGCTTTGTGGCTGGTGGGAGGGTTTTTATGTTATGTGCTATAGCAGCGATTTTATCACCAGAGCGGTACCAGCGTTTGGTTGGGGTTTCGGTGGGGAAAGTAGAAGCGGATTGAAGTGTGGCGAAAAAGAGGGTAGTGGAGAGAATGATTGACTTCATTTTAGGATACTGCGGTAAGTTGAAACAAAAAGAGAGTGGTGAAATGGTCGCACAGCGACGATTGTAAAAATATCAAAAAAAAAAAAAAGAAAATTGAATTGAAAAGAATGAAAGTCACGACTAGCGCGAGTGAGCAGAAGAGCGAACACTAAGAGAGAGGCGGTGAGTGATGCCGTTGATGGTAAGAGAATCGACCCTAGTGGGGACGGTGGCACAGACTTTATACCCCATGATACCCAGGGCCGTCTTCTCTTGATGTTCGCAAAAATTTTCAATTGTCTCTTGAGTTAATGCCCGTGTCGGGGAATTTTCGATGTTCCCATATCCCCAGGCCCCTCATACAGGTCAGCAAAGAAGCTTGGAATGCCTCAAATACGTACACTATCCAGTGCATTCGATGTCAGCCTGTACAACCCCTCGAAAAAGGCAGATACTTAAATTGGAAGTCGCGGAGTTTATTGATTAAGCGGTAACAGGTACCGTTGATTGAGGTGCAGGTACCCGCGGATGGCCTAGTCGGATAAGTAATTCAAATCGGGCCTCAGGAGAGCCTTAGTGACAATGCCGGCAGGTGGGGACATGTTCAAGCGCTCTTGGAGGAGCTTGGGAGGTTTGTTCCCCTCGTTTCACTTGCGAGAAATGTGTGGTTTTTGTGGCTTTATGATGCCAAGACTTCCCCCATTGACTGTCGAGTTCAACAATGCCCAGATCTAACTACAGTTCAATCCGACACTGTTACACCGGCAAGAGAGATTCACTGAGCTCCTTTGCAAGATACGATTGCATTGGCTGGAAGCAAATCTTTTGCGGATTCAGAGTGAGACGGGGTGAATGAGATCGATCGAGGTTCTGTTTGAAAACGCGTTTGAGCATCTTCCCACATGCCCTTCTGTTGTTCTTTCCTTTTTGGACTTTGAGGACAAACGAGGTTTCCACACTGATTATGGCCTACGCGGTGGCTAGTGGAAAACTGAGGGCATATTTGTGATGAAGTTGGATATCATTGTACCACGAGCCAGGGTTCTAGATGCCATAGTTTGGTAAAAGACGCAATGTAGCCTGCTCCTGGCTGCGGTGACAGCCAAAGTTAGTACCAAAAGCGCACGGCTTGCAGTCACTTGAGAATAATTATAAACCCTTACACTGGAGCAAAAGTGAAGGTGGAAGCTGCAATGAAGTTATTTTATCGAAGGTTGCCGAAGACCGATCCCACAAGAAGTTAGAACTCGATGGGATTTTCGAAATGGCCTCCGGTGTACGAGCCTTCCAAAAGGTTAAAACCTTCAAGCGTGGTAAGCTGCCCAATCGTGACGCGCTACACTACAACTCGTCCAACGAAACCTCAGGTACTTGGATCGTGATCGGAGCGCTCTTGCTAACAATCAAATTATGAAAGATCCCTCTAAGGCAACTGAAGAAAAAAAAATAAAAAATTGCCACTGACTCTACAAACGCTTCCATATGACATACTCATCCACATTTGCGGGTATCTTGCTCCAGAAGATGGACCATGGCCATGTCAAGATCCAACCTGCAACATTTGTTTCGGCCAACACAAGCTTTTAGTAGAGAGAAACAAATTGGCGAGGAAGTTTAAACGGAGACGACGGGACTTGCCGCTCAATATTAACTATTACGCTGCGATTTCACGGACGAGTAAACTCTTAAGAGAGATATCTATCCCTTTCTTATTTAGGGCGATGCGGATCGCTCCGCGTACTGGTGTCGCTTATGAGAGATTAGCCCGGGAGCTTCTGATGATGGAAGGGAAGGGGATATTCGAAAGTGTTAGGTAAGTATGTGCCTGGCCTTGAAGAGGATTTGATCGCATATTCATCAAGTTTTCATAGAAAACTGTCAATCATCTTCTCTCCTGATATCTACTTGGACGAGAATCTTTGTCAAAGGAATGAATTTCCAGTTTTCAAGCAGTCAAGCTTCCTCGTTGCATCAATAGAAATTATACTTCGTAACATCACAAGACTTGAGGTTCTACAGTGCAAGATTGACTTTGTTGAAGAAAATCTTAAGCTAAATTCTCTTCCTCTAGCTAAAGAAACAAAGATACCAGTGGAAACGCTGATGGTTTCATATGGATGTGGGTGGTTGCTTTCGCATCTTGGGCCGCAGAGGCTGCTTATCAAAGAGTCCAGTAATGTAGGTCTCTCTCTCTCCTTTTTTTCCGAAATAGATCAAATAAACTACATTAACGAGATGGAGAATTTGGCTGAATTTATTCACTCGAAGGCTATATGGTACCACATTGTGAGGGCCCAGATTGGAGTTACCTACAAGTCAACCGTCAATACACGAACTCATGCGCTGAGGATACGAGGGGCCGATCACCCAGAGGCAGACACCAAAGTTCCTCGCCTGTATAAAGATTTAACGACTTGTGGTAATTCCCTAACGGAACTTCGGATTTTCACTTTTATTATGGATAACACTGGGCTCAAGGGTATGCTATGGCAGCTCTGTGTCGAAGTGGGTTATCAGCGCTAATTTATGTCCGTTGATATCATACAGACTTAGTGCACTGTGTCCCTCGTTTGGAGCGGCTACACCTCGAAAATCACTGGCATTCTTGGTCACGACCAGACACATTAACATTATTTGTAAGGCTATATTACATAAATGAATTTAACATGCATCCTCCTTACTGATGTCATACTATCAGGATATGTCTGTGACTCTATCCTGCTTGCATAGCCTCGTCTATCTGTACATTTGGAACGATTCAGATTCCGCCCGGGAATACGACATTACAGATGAACATATCCATGCAAGCTTCGCCCAAAACTGCAGGTCCTTGCAACAGTTGGCGCTTGGGATTCATGAAAATACCGTTATATGCAACATCCTGAGAGATGAGTCTGGAAATCTGATACCCGAAAAAACACAGCTGAGAGCTAGAGACAAGCCTGAGAAAAGAGTATTACTCAGGTACTCTCCGCACCAAGGCCGCAATTTTGTCAGATCTTTTCTTGACGAATAAATCAAGATTTTAAGTTGCCAGCGGATTACATTTCGTTTCGACTGGGACTCTGCATACACAAGGCGGTAAAAAAATTAGGATCATACCAAAAAAATCCGCACTAGCTATCCTTGTTTTAGCAGCATGAATGCACATGCATTGTCGGCCTTGTGGGCTCCAATTCTGACATTCACCGACGTTGTTTCCGCCATTCCGACACCCGCATAGAAATGTAGTTGGAGCTTCTAGCATAGCTCCCAACGCATCAGCTTTCCCAATCGAGACTCGTCGGCTTGGACCTGCATATCTCGATAAGATAATCCCATTGGCTAAATAGCCAGCAGGTATTGCATAGAAATTCTATAACCCTCCGTGGGAAAACGGAAGATATGATATATTTAAAATCTGATCGCGCTTTCAGGAGTGTGTTTTCCTTCCCCTTTTTAAACTATCGTCGTTGTTGACATTTTCCGATAATATATATATCTTGAAGTGAGCACCAGAGCCTGCTATAAGTTCAAAGCGGAGCACCGACGTTCAAGATGTTTAAATCCGACTTCCAAATCACCACAATCCCAGAAATAGTGGCAGATGAACCCTCTCCGGGACTGCCTCCACAATGGGACGATTACGACATGGATCCTGGGGCAAAATCGGATCACAAACCCCCTATCCTAAATCTTTCAATTGATATCCTTGCTTTAGTTATCGAGTATCTTTCATTTCGCGATATAATTTCCCTTTCACTCACGACAAAGGGTTTCAGACATTTACGACCCGAGCCGGCCTCCAACCCGGGTTCTGCCCCACTTTCACCTCCTCTATCCCCCGGCAATGAAGCCCTGTGTTCTGCTAGAATCCATCAGAGATTCCTGGCTCATAAGTCATCTCGAACATCGACAGAAAAATGTCCTTACTGCGCACATGACCTCTGTCCGACAAGCTGCTCGTCAGCTATGTTCCTTGATACGCAAACAGGCATTTTCTTCCCCGCATCACTTTATAACAAGAATAAAGCCTTGTTTAAATACTCAGCAGAGTTTACAAAGCGGGAAACCGCACTTCTGACACCTAATAAACGCGAATCTCTCCATCTGGGGCACAACAAGCGCGAATCGTTCATGGGACACAGTAAACGCGAATCACTCCTCATCTCTCCAAAACGTCAATCAACAATGATGCATATGGCGATTAACACCCCAAAGCCCGTGGAATTCGTCTATTCAACAATTTGGTGCGAACATCACCGATGTCCTCGAGATCTTTTGGCGCAAAAGAATACCTTCAACAACGCAGGAGAGGATATCGCGAACGGAGCGGGGAAATTCCTTCTAGAATATAACAATGAATTAAGATGGGAGAGAGCACGACGTGACAGGGGTCCTAGGTATTCTCTCTGGACTAGGTGGTTGGTCGGCTATAAATCGGATACACAAGCCCAAATACAGCGTACAGCTTCCGTAGCGGGTAGTGCGCCTCGGAGAAAGAGTATTATACCTTGGCTGGACTCTCAACCCGTTCCTTCTGGTGGGAGTACCCGACGGAAGAGTCTGATCCCTTGGCTGGACCGTGATCGCGAACCTTCTCTTACGCCGCCCCCGCCACCGGGTGTGGGGAGTGGTGGGAGCGGTGGGAGGAGGAAAAGTTTGTTTTCTTGGTTGGATAAGTTTAAGGATCCTAGCGAGCTGGAAGGAGCGAAACAACCCGATCCCATCTATGAACGATCCTTTTACGAAACTTATTGCCTTCATTGTTTGCGTCCGTTGAGAATGCAGGGCGCTAGTAGGGGTCTACATAGCCATTGGCAGGGACTTAGCTGTGAATGTCGAACGGCTAGCCATGCTATTGGCGGTGGATGTCGTCGATGCGGAGTCGCTAGCGTTCGGTTTACACTTATCGAGACCTTTGACAAGATCTGGGAAAAGAAGATGGATAAGGCCGAAGGGGCTATAAAAAACCAAAGCTACTGGCTTTTCGTCGCCACGGAATGCGAGATTATCCGTGCGGCTGGTCCGGGAGCATTGGTAGAAACCAAGCGACTTCGACCTCGGAACCCCATTGCAGCTGCGAAGGCCTTAGATACCGTGAGAGGTTATGAAGTTGTTCCGCTTCCTAATTTTAGTCCCGTCGGGCTCCAGGATCTTCCGTATGAGGTTTTGAGGAGGATTGTGGATTATCTTCGGGATATGGAGACGTTTCAACGGGATCCGCATTTCTGGGCTATGCAGGCTACTTATTGCTTCCCGAAAGCGTGGCAGGGAAGTTTTGGAGACTTTAATGCTATGAATGTTCATGAGGATCCGTGTTTGTCGTAACTAAAGTGACTGGTTATGAAGTCTTGTGTGGTTCTCTTTGCTGGAACCCAAAAATGATTGTTTCAATTTGTTAAACTTTTTTTTTGTTTCGTTTCGTTTGGTTTCTTTTCGCTTGGCTTTCAATGGTTCTGGATCGCATGCGGGTTGGTTAATGGATAATGGTGCATGTAAGTATGTGTATATATTCTTTCAAGGTTCGATATCATATTTTATCAAAGCTGGAAAAATGGTTGTGAAATTTGGGTTTGCGACTTGATGGCGAAAAATGTTTTCCCTGTTGGAATTCTTGTACGTTTAATATTTTGGTTTTACTTAATTGATTCATTATGCTTTACCAGCAATTGGGGAAGTTGGCTTTGGGCAATTATCCGTAGACTAAAGATTTTGCGCCTGAGAAATTAAAGTGGCTAGACTAGGGAGCATAAATATGACTGTTGGAGGGTTAGATCCCTTTGAACAAATTCTGCGGTATACTAGCACGATCGTTTTACTTGATTTTCTTGCAGGTATTTTCTGATGTATTAAGTAGTCATTCCATTATATTATGTTATATCTCAAATTTGTACGTAGAAAGTTGCTATATTACAAGAGAATCTATCTTCGACGACGTTCGACACAAAGGCATCACAATTGAGGTAAAGATGAATACTTTAAAGTAGAATCGAAGTAGCAGCTATTAAACCAGCAACTAAACCAAGGCTAAACTGCATCTTTACACCACTATTGGGAGTCGAAGATCCCGATGGAGCAGAACTCGTTGTAGACGCAGACCTTCTAGAGCTTGTAGTCTCTGCCGCATCAGTTGTCTCTGGTGCTTCTGTAGTTTCAACCTCAGTAGTCGGAGCGGGTGTAGTAGATTCCTCAAAAGTGGTTGTGGATTCAGCTTCAAACTCCGAGGTAGATGTAAACTCGGGCTCGAATTCGGTGCTTGTTGATGGTGCGGTAAAGGATGGGGTTGTAAATGTTGGAGTATCGATATCTGTAGTTTGAGCGCCACCTAGGCCTGCGGAAATGGTGGCCCAATCTTCGAGGGAGCCGGAGCAGACAGGAATTAGGTCTGAAGCTGTGCAGATTGGAGCGTCGGTTGGGCTAAAAAGGGTGGACGTTAGAGTGAGGGTTAATGTGGCTATGGGGGGTATAGGATGGGGAATATACCAGACTTGAGTTTGTTCGGCGTCTCTGACTGGCGTGCCGGCGTCTATTTGAAGTGATAGTAAGTAAGAATTGGACATCGAAATGGTAGTTTCTGCAGATGAGGGTACTTACCGACACAGGGCTTGAAGCCGCTACAGATCTGACCGTCTTCGCAGCAGCCTCCTCCTGAGCAATAGAATCCTGTTTCGCAAGAGGTACCTATACAGTTACATTAGTATTACAAACAACAATGTCATTTTTGTGTATATGAGAGTATCGACATACAGGTTGTTGCGGACTGTTCGCAAATAACTGGACCGACGCAGACGGCTTGACGCTTTGCAATGGCCATGAAGCCTCTAAGGGGCTGGACCGCGACCGCGACTTCGACGGCGGCAAGCGCAATGAGGACAGTGGAGAATGTGGAGCGCATTTTGAACGAGTTATGTGAGAAAGTTTTTATATATAATATAGAAAAGTTTCAATTGAGGTTTATAATAAAATCAAGATTAGAAGATAGAAGGTTCTACGGCGAGGAAGAGGAGTGAATTTGTATAGAGATACTATCATAAGCCCTTTTTTCTCCTGAGGACAGGAGTTTAGTCTTTATATGTTCATTCACGTCCACTAAACAAAAACCCTCGAAGCGATCCCTAGTATAGTCTATTCTGTGTGCCACGAGAAGCCCCCTGACGCTAAATTTTGCTTAATTCCAACCGCAACTGAATATCCAGAAGTGCAAAAAGACTTGGCAATTGCATGCAAAATGAAGTCAGTCGATTTATTATCAGGCCAGCTGCAGGGCTGTATATTTGCCTTTTTGGAAGAGCTGAGTACTTCTGTATGCACGAAGTTTTGTTTTTCGAGTATGCAAGTGATTGAGTACTCATGATTTAAGGCTGCAGCTTGCTGCAGAATTTCACTATCTTTATTTTTTACTTTTCACTTTTGTTCCGACGAGCGGGCTGTTAATTGTCTTCATCTGTGCCTGTGCACTGTGTGTGTATGTGTGTGGTTGGTCGAAGGGAAATATTTTCTTCATTTGAAAGGGAGAGTGTGGCTGTGTTACACAAGTGGACCTCGCCAAGAGTTGCGCTTTGGCGGGGGAGAAAATTAGTAATACCGCGCCTTAAATTTCGAATTAATGTTCCCCACAAGGCGAGAATAAGAGTTGTCCTTTTGGGGGGGAATGAAAGCTTAATTCATTCTCGTGAGCTCATGGTTTTTTCTTTCCTTCAGTGTGTGTGCGGTGTTGATAATGTTGGTTGCATGTTAAATTTCGGGCCCAGGGGTTAGCAGAGGCCGTCGATAGCCTGGCATGAAACACAAACTCGGGTTCATATGACACCCTTAACTCTTAGTTTTGCTCTTGAAAGTGCGGACTAGTAGTTAGGCTGCTCTTGATTGGAATCTGAAAAAATCTTTGGGCATTTTGCTTTTAGATTATCCCTTTGAAGTTCTTAACGTTATAACTACGACAAATAAATGGAATTAACCTGACGATCAGTCAATTATAATATTAGCTCAGGGGCACTCAAGACAGCGGGGTCGATAACCTTAAAAAAAAGAGTAGAAAAGGAAGCTGGTGAATGATTTTGTGTCTCTGCGGCGGAGTCGGCACGGACTCATGTCTCTCGCTTTGCAGTTTTTGTGAGGCGAATATTGCGATATTGGCTTCTGGGCATCCTGGCTGGCGCTTACGGCCATCGAATCTATACTATTTTGGTTCTGACAAGGAGAAAGTTTGGATAAGTGTGGGACTAGATTTCGACTATCGAAAGTTGATAGATAGATGAAAAATGCCTATGGACAGTGATAGGTATTCTGCTATATATGCTACAGAAGAATTTTAAAAAGTTCATATATCCCGTTAGTCTCGAAGCCAGACGCCGGGTCAGCCACCAAAAAAAATATCCCGTGCGCGTTGTACAAATGAGCAGGTTTGTAGTGGGTAGAAGGGAAATAGTACATGTACACTCCTTAACCAGAATATATCTGGTCTCCTCTTCGATGTATACATAGAAAAGATATTAAGAATATAGAAGTGGGCGTATCGATATCTATTTACATTACCTAAGGAAAGGAATGGCGGTGTTAAATAGCAAGCCTCCAACCAGCAGAGAAAACTATACAGTACCTAAGTTAAGGTAAGAATAGCAACAGTCTTTACAGACATCCAAAGTATCCTCAAGCTCAAACGTCGATAGTAAGTACACACCTACATATGTACATAGTATGTATGAAAAGCTCGCAACCCGATAACTTCAGGCCAGAATATGCAAGTACGACTACAACCAATATCCGATTGTGCAAAGAACAATACCGACGGTACCCATACCGACCAGCAGAGCATTCGGCGGGCCCTGGCTCTCCTGTACCGACGACAAAATAAGTTCCGGTACGGCCATTCGCGAAGCACCAAGTGCCAAGATCGACCAGCCTAGTGCCGTCACCAGAAGAGCTTGCGGAGGATGCCATACGTTATGAGACTGAACGATCCCAACCCCGCAGGCGAAAAGAATGGTACCGTTCAGAAGTACCACCGCGGGCGAGCTTTTTGGGAAAACATCCCAGTTTCGATATTCTGAGGCTGAGAGGGCGAGGAGCGTTGGGCCCATGGTACGGGCGAGGAATCGAGTAGGCGCCATTAAACTTAATTTCTGGCCAACTCTAATTAACTAGTCAAGTTTTGGAGATGTTCAAAAAAAAAAAATTTTTTTATTTAAAAAAGGGCCGGAACTGTGCCTCTTAGTCCAAAAATTTTTGAGGGGTAGTTTGACAATTAATATTGCAATTGGTGGCGATATCGATGGGAGGATTCGATCGCTATCGATTGGTAGTTAGCGACTGCTTGACCTTTGGGATCCCGACTGACATGGGTACGAACCTTGGCGGGGTTATCGCTGAGAACTTGAACATTCCCGGTTGTGCAACCATCGGTTTGCTGCTAGTTTGGATAAAATCCCATAGCTTTAGCTTAGGCGATCCTGCGAACCCGTAGTCGGTGAGTAACATCATCCTCATCATGCTGAGGTCCTAAATGAGTCAGCTGTCTACGTCCGTCGAATTGAAGTTCCATATAGCTAACCTACCCCCATCGGCTCGAAGTTTCTCGGGATAATTCGTTTTCTTAGTTTCGATAATTTCAACTCGTTTCGTGGTATTTCTAGCAGAAACGGCTTCGCGAAGATGTCTTCAGAACTAGGCGGGACGGCGGCCTCAACCACCATGGATCCTCCGACGACGGAAAGACCACCGATTTTCTCCCTCTCACCGGATCTTATTGTTCAACTGTCCAAAGAACTCGACGAAGATGATTTACTTGCTCTTCGGATGACCTGCAAGGAATTAAATTTCAAAGTCAAAGAACTCCACCTCGATGCTCTATTCTCCACCCGTACCGTCTATTTTATCCCTGTCAGCCTTGAGAATCTGTTGAAAGTCGCCAAACACCCTTCGGGAATCAACAAGCGGGTACGGAATCTACGAATCTGCCCCACTTCACCATATATAAACCCAGAGAGGGAAGTTCGTAGGAAGCTCGAAGAACAATCTAAAAATGAGAAACCGGGGTTCTGTGGATCCATGCCGGCCAGCCTTGTGTTGAAGATGTACGAACAATCCAAAAGCGAATGGCCGGGGGTTCAGCACATGCACAAATGGGACTTGGTTCCTAATATGCTTACAATGGCGTTCATGAATTTTCCAAATATCCAAGCTATCGAGTTTGAGTGGCGAAGAAACCATCGCGTGACTCGTTCTGAGTTCTCATTGCTTTACCCCACGGTCGGGTTGGGCCCTGGGAAGCGTCTAATCCCGGATTTGGTCAACGCTATGACAGTTTATAGTATCCCGCTTGAGTATAAACACGTCGGGTACTGGAATTATACCATGAATGCGGCGGTTGTCGCTGGGATTTCGACCTTGGAAAAAATCAGTGATAGCGGTTTGTTCGGTGATGGGATACCTTTGACTTGGTTCACTACACCGCCTCTACAACTGACGCGGATGCAATCTACATTATCGAACTTACGGGTCTTACATATCAGTTACACTGAGACCGATCGAAGGACTAGGTCCCTCCCGCTACCCCCACCCGGTGCTCCTCCACCTCCTGCACCTACAGGGAGACGAAACTTCTGCAAATGGATTGAGTCAATGGCGGGTACTATTGAAAAACTCAGACTGGAAGATCTATCATCCTCAGCCAATAGATACGCCGACGGATGTCCCCTCCCATGTTTACCGAAGTTGAAAAACGTGGAACTCTCGGGGATGAGTCTAAAAGTCGAGGCCCTCAAGGCGTTTATCGAACCTTGCAAGGACAGACTTAGAGATATCTTCCTATCCCAATGTATGTTGGAAAACCCGAAGGAAGAATGGTTCGAGGTTTTGAAACTTATCAAGGAATGTAACGGTCTGTCGAAATTCCAAATCGTACAAAGAGGTCAATGGAGGAAACAGGAAAGGTTCCCGGATATTGAAGCTTATGGAGACTGGATGTCGGGGAAAGCTCAGTGCCAAGTTATTCCGTCGACTCAAGAGAGACATGGCGCATATACCTACACCGAAGCATCACATATACTAAACAAGAATTTGGCGAAAGAACTGGACACTCATCAGGAGGCCGACGACTTTTGGGATTCTATTACCAATAATAAGTGGAAACAGTGGCCGGAGTCGAATTCGAGACGGGTTCTTAGGATTAATAGAACATTCACTTTTGATGATGACGATGATAATCCTGCTGCTTCTCCGCCTCAGTCGCCTAGTTCGGAGGGTTCGTGGTAGTTGTCGGTTTAATTGGTCGGCGGGTTATGCACGTGTGGATCACACGGGGTGGGGGTATTTATGGAGCTGGGATAGTTATAATTTTGTGATAGTTTGAGATCGGGTGGCACGTGGCACGATCGATCGGTTGATATTTAGGCGCAAAGTTGACAGCGGTTTCGACGTAATCATACTTCGTGTATTTATTATAGTTTACACATAAGACAGGCTCTTTTTAATCCCATTGGAATTAAATCTACTCCATCAGTCTAAAGAAATATTTTAAAATAGACTTCCAGGAGCGGCTTAAAGTCGATTGCTGCGTGTGCGAGAATCTACCGTCATGTAGTTATATATATCTGCGAGCAAGTATTGCGGGATTAATCGTACGGGCTCAAGTGTCCAATTTAGGATCGACCCACAGTCCCCCCGTACTTTTAGTCTAGTAGTGAGTATTTAATCCCCATCTGCTGCTCTTCTTTGACATTTGACTAGTCATCTTCTACACAACTTAAACACCAAAGAATTTTGTAGTTGAAAATCCTGATCAATCATGGTAACGATTGAAGAATCCCTAGCGGTTTCGAAGGGCCTTTCGACAGAAAGTCAGATACCGGAAAGCCCTACATCGGCGGCACCCTCTGAAAAAGAACAAATCAATTATAAAGAAAGTCTTGAGAAAGAGACCCCTAAACAGTGCGGTTGCGGAAACAAAACGATTCGACGTGAATTAAGCGATATCGGTAAGTCTAGTACCCAATCATAGTTCACCCCCCCCCCATGGCCCATATAGGACCCTTGGAAAGTTCTAAAGTACTAACTGCTGAATTCTCGTTTTTCAGAAGTTATTGGGGCAGTGATTTTATTTATTCGGGTGCTTTTGTGGCAAAAAGCTTGGATTGATGGCACTCTGACTAATAATTTTGGGCCACATCTGTTCACGGCCAATGTGCATTGTGTCCTTGACATATTCGGGCTCTCGTCGCTATTTTGGAGTTTAGATATGAAAATTGCTGTCATCTGGGGTCGTATATATGCTCCATTATTTGTTTGTTGGTGGTTTTTCGTACATCTTCCGTTTATGATTCGTTCGACGGTAGTTCGTGATGTGGAATTTTTCAAGATCTTGGAGAGTCTGGGGCTAGCTCCTTTAAATTAAGAACCTACTCATTAAGGACCTAATACGCACCATGTATGCTATACTTTTATCTGCTGATACCTTTGTCTCGTACTGAGACCTTATCACATGAAATATTTTCCTAAGAATAAAAGTAAAGTTGATGGGGAATGTTATAAAGTGATCGATGCTGAGATAGTTGAACATCCAAGAATGCATGTACATACATGTACATCGATATATATCCAAAGAAGCTCGGCGCCGGCGTCACAGATCTGCAGCGACAGTGGAGTAGCAGAACATCCGCCTGCCAGTAACAGCACCAGAAATAAAAATCCGACCTAATTCACATCATCCCTCGTCATTATCCTTCTTCACCATCCCTCTTCACCATCCCTTGTCACCATCTCTCGCCATCATCCTTCATCATCCATCGAACACCAGCACACGATTGCTTATTCAATCTTCAAGTCAAAACCATCAAAACTACCACGATGAATCAAGATCAAAGATTCTCAAAGGGGGCCCGCAGGTTGCTCCTGTGGGTTTGGGGGGGCTTGAAGTTATGATTATCGATTCGCTGAATCGATTTTTACCATTCCCATTGGAGGGGTGGTGGCCACCTTGGGCGACATCTACGCCCAAGTGCCAACATATCAAAGGAAGGGTAAGATCACTTTAATGACAAGCTAATTTGACTTTGGAGGCTCTATGACTAAAATCAATTCTCGATTCCCATAGATATTCTTGGGTTCGTTTTTGCCGCGGCGGCGTTCCTCGCAGTCGTGGTGGGATTCTGGCCGTTGGTGCCTGAGAAGTGGCACCACCTTGGGTACCTCGCCATCTTCGCCACGGCCGGCTTCTCGCTGGCTGAAAATAAATACCCCGAGGTTCGTGGCCACACCAAAAAGGGGCTCTGGGCGGCGGCTTCTGTGGTCGCCATCTACATCTTCCTTTTGATGGGAGATGGGATGGGACCTAACGGGGCCATCAGATGGGCCGGGAAGGTGTTGATCCAGAAGGCGGGGCTGGAGGCACCTTCGGGGTTACTTGACTCCACCACCACTCTTCCCCCAACCATCACCATCATCATCACTACCACCACTACTACTCCAGTGCCGACGGTCGTGTATATCATGACTACGGCTTACCGCCCCTCTAGCGACTCCTCCTCCTCTTCTTCTTCTTCTCCTTCTCTACCCTATACGTCGTCAACCCTTTCTACGGCTACTCGGAAAGCGTCAAATAAGGGATGCGAATGCCCTGATAAGGGCAATTAATACTGCTACTACTACTACAACTACTACCACAACTACTACTTCTATTATTATTATTACTGCTGTTGGAAAGCTAGGATGTTGTTGTTTGTTGGATTGTGGAGTGCCGAGACTGGGATTGTGGAAGTCGCCAACACATTAACAATAACCAACACAATCTTTTTTAGTGTAACCATGTGGTATGTAGTTACTTCTCTCTATAAACTGTGGCCGAACTGCTTTCAAATCACGTGAATATCTGCTAAATAGGATGTTATAGTTAGAGGACCAGGGCAATTGCAAACGAGTAGCTCCGTAATGCATCAGCACTTAACTAAGAGGTATATACTACCTAAGTACTTATATATACTTACTTATGCATATACTACCTATATACTTGCTTATGCATATACGTAAGCCAACTATTAGTTAACGTTAAGTACTTAAGTGTGCCGAGGCGTTTTAATGTATACAAGACTAGTTAGTACCTAGGTATTTACTTAATTAAGTCCTTAAGTCAGTAAGTTTAGGTATTTTTATCTCTCGATCTAGATCTCGTGCACTTTGCGAGACTTCAAGTATTAATACGTATTGGCTGGCCCGTGTGGAGCTAGTGGGATTGCTTGAATATTAATACATTTATAATCTTTACTAGGAGGTAATAACTACTAGTTACTTAAGTATTTTATATACAATAGTTAGTACCCTCCTCCTATCCTTTCCATCAAGAACCCTTTGCACAGGATCACATCAACAATGATCTTAAATATCTCTGCAGCCCACGAAGCACTAATTTTAGCTAATCGAGGGTATCAACAGAGTCAAGGAGGGGTTCCCAGCACCGGTACCAACTCCGACTGGAGGATTTACTCGCGAGGTCCAGGACATAGTAATCGCAGCTTGGCCCCCCCTCCGCCTCCGAGCTGTGAGAGCATTGACTCGAGTGGTTGGGTTGCAGTTTGACCGCTGCACCCTGGGAACGAGATTAACGTGAAGCTTTTTTTGATACTCATAGAACCCTTTGTAATTGTTGAAGTGATTGGGGTACCTTTTTACGTGGCGATCGTCCTCATCGGTTACCCTTTCTCTTTTGAAATGGGAAAATACATAGACCCGAAATTCCGCCACCTCATCGACTTGTGGGGTTCTTAGGCTTACGCTTATTGCACGGTGGAATTGACCTGCAGTTTGACGAGGAAGTAAGTCTTAGCGTCATTCTCAAGTGAGTGGGCATTTTAGATATCGTTTTTGAGGGCAGTAGTAGTAGTCATTCCACTGCTCGAAGGTCTGGCTATAGCGCTAGTTCGCCGCTAATGCCGTTCGTCCCAGTGGATGGAGGACCCCTGCTCCTCATATTGATCACACTTTCTTTCATGCATTCCCATCAGATACAGGCTTGCTCGTACTCTAGCCACCATTTCCCGGGGGGTCCTGCCATGGCAAGCTTTTTATCTGTCCTCTGGTGGTCGGCTCTTCCGTTGCTGATTACATGTATACAAGTATCCTTATACGTGCAAAGGAAATTTTGGAATGCCTCCATTTGTGACATCTGAGAGCAAGAATATATTAGTCTTGTATTGCAGACGCCGTCTAATCGAGGATTATGGGTACTGGTCACAATAACAGCTGGATCTTGCTTGATAGATTGTTACCGCTGCTACTGATACTATTATCACTAATATTTTATTAGTGTCCATGCACATAGTGTCACTTAGTATAGAAATCTTTCTAAGAAATCTCTCCAAGTTTCTACATTCCCGGGCTTCGGATTACTACATGAATAAGCATAGTCTATCGCGGCCCCTAGGACCCGGGTCTTAAAGATGAAGGAGTATTCCTGGCCGTGCTTATAGCCCCAAAGCTATCTTTACTTATCCAATTACAAGAAGTGAAGGTGTGTTTTCGCTTCGCGACTCAAATACGGGGAAATCTCTCCGTACGGGACTCAAATGTATCTTGTGAGATGCCCTTTGTGACGTCCGAGAACGATACCAACTTGTGATGAAGATGTGAAGTTGAGCTTATATAGAGTGTATTAAGATACCTATATAGTTGGTGTTTGAAGGTTATGCCGGGTAGTTTTAAGACGTGCTGAGGACTACACTATGCTATCGAGATAGATGGAATTCGAATGTAACTTTAATATTTTTGGATCAACTAAATTTAAATCAATCTCATTCATCCCATTCCAACACCAACCAACAACCGTCGGCCCCATCCTATAGCTTCGACCTCCAAATCCAACTACCGATACATCACCAAAATGGAGCAAACATCGATTGACAATGGCTTTGGACGAGTGTCAATAATGGACTCCATATAGCCATGATCTTCCTGATGCTCGTAGCCTGCGGCTCCCTGGCCCGTCGCCTCCTTCCGCTAGCCATCCTGCTTGATGGACCAGCCCTTCAGTTAATCAGATCCTGTGCTCAAGCTATCCTTTACGTTACAGGTGAGATAGTGTCAACAATACTCCGATAAAGTTGTCATATGCATAGGGTACAGCTAAACAAAAATGGTATAATTGCCAATAGATATTGCACTATGTGCCATGGTTATGACCAACCGCAATCCCCACCTAATGGTTCCAGAAAAGTTTCGTCTCGTATACCTTGCCGTCATTTTCTTCGTCGCCTACGTCCGTATTAGATATGTTACGGGTCTAGATCTTCGTTCTGGGCTGATGTGGATAGTTTGGACAGTGGTTTGTTGCATGTCGCTTTAGCTTTTAAAATGATGGTAGATGATATTGGGACTATTGGAAGTCTGGACTGGTTGAAGTTTCCTACCGCGACTGCGGCTACGACTGCTACTGCGGTTGAGACTGTAAATGCGACTGCGACTTGTGTTAGCGCGTATACCGTTACCGAAATGACCATCGTTATCGCAACTACGCCTGGTGCGGCACCTATCGATTCCATGACTGAACACTTGACTCGCTTGGCAATTGTTTTCGGTACTCAAACTTTTAGTTATACCCTCGGTACCGTACCAACCTCCTTCATCGGCGCTATTTAGCATTTCTTTGAATGCGATATCTATTTTGTCTGCTGGAAGGCTTTCTGGGGTGAAAAAAAAGGGGAAATATTGGGGCTATCGCTACTACAGCCATTGTTACCAATGCTAGGACTGCTACTACCACTGCTATTACTGCTGCACTACCACTACAAATATTGTTCCCTCCTCATAATTATAATCTTGCTGCTGCTACTGGCTCTTACCTCTTTTATAACTACTCCTACTTTTACTACTCCTACTATACCTTCCGGTCCCGCTTCTTTTGCTGTTGGAAATACTATTCTTATCATTCTCAATATTAATATTACGTTACCATTATCCTCATTCACTGCCCGTCAAGTAACAATAAATTTCCTAGTCCATAAACTCACAATCAAATATCTGGCTTTAGGGTATCTAAACACAATAAAAACTGTAGTTTTTGCGTTTCACGGCTCCTTTGAGTGATGGGTAGATATCTAGATATACTTCTGAGTCTAGACCTGGGGATATGAGTTTCGTGATTCAAACGAGTTTGTTGGATTATGTTAGATTCCAATGCGTATCCTCGAAATGACAATGTCAGGGTAGTTGTGTTATGTAAAGTAGGCACGGAACAATGTCCTAGCTGCTTGAAATATGCAAAGGCTCGTGAATATGGCGGATCGCGGAATAAAGCTCGATGTAATATTATAATTTTGTCAGAAAACCTTTCAGCCGACTAGCTGTGGTGGAGTTGATTAGGAGTCTTTATGAACACAATTTCGATCCTGTTTGATGTCAACTTCCATGTTAACCCGCATTTAGTGTATAATGTTGGATGTTTTTAGTTCGCTTCCCAAAATACTCCCTCATCTTATTAGATCCTGTCAATCGCAAGTAATGTATTTTGTAGCTAAGTATTGATGACTTTATACATTTGCTTACGAAATAGGCACCTAGGTGTCTGGTGAGTGTAGACAGCCGCTGTTTAATTTTCCAACATTCACCGCCTTCCTTTGCTTCGCCATAACTTCCAACAGCGAGTTTACAACTATCTGGCTCGAACGAGAATTTAAGCTGACAGCGGGCTGCACGACACCTGCTCACTCTCGCGAAGACACTCCCGACACAACACATTTCCAAGATGGAAAATATCTCGCAGTCATCGATTCTTAACCTTCCGAATGAGATCCATATAGAGATCTTTAAAAGATGTACAAGTTTCAAGGACGCCGTGGTACTGGCGGTGACGTGCCAGCAGCTACATTGTATCTGGAAGAACCATCAGAAGGCTGTGATCTCCCACATCGGTGGTAGTTGTATTGTTGCGTTTGACGATGCACTTAGGGCGGTAAGAACCTCACCATGTCTGTCTTTCAGGATGTGAACGAGGGAATGCTAATTATGGAATAATAATAGGTTCGAGCGATTGATATGGCTGAAAGGCAGCATCAAGTGCTTGCTCTTCAAAGTAGTGGGGTCAGTGTGGCGGATGCTGAAAAGCCGCCTAAGAGGATCCCAATTCACCGTTTGGGATCGTCATCTAACCCGCCATCCCCGGATGAGATAACCCAAGTATTCGCCTTGAAATATTTCGTCGAAGTCGCGTTATTTCTCGGTCATCAAGAAAAAGGTGTTCATATATTCTGCCAGCAATCGAGTTCAAAACTCCGGCTTCCAGGGATATGCCCGCGTGGCGTTGATGCTTCACACACTGGAGTTTCAGCGAAGGAAGTTGATTTTAAGATTTATGCTAGCATGTATCGGTTCTTTTTGGTATCTGCGGTTCTATCAAGTGTTTATTTGGAGCCCTTCTTTACGGATCATCCAACAAGTACGACTTTAAGAACGGTCTTCTCAACTATTCCGGCCTACCCAAGGTTTGGCACGGAGGAAGTTTCGTATCTTCGTCAGTGGGCTTGCTATAACAAACAACACACCTCTCAAGCTCAACTCGATGGGATATTTGGCGAACTTGGAGACTACCTTATTGAAAGAGGTAGAAAGGATGCCGGGTGGAATGAGACTGTTATATCAGACGCTGGACAACCAAACAACGTCCGAGATACACAAACCGCAAATGCTGTCCAGACATTCATGATGATAATAGGCTGCCACGAACTTTTCTGGCGTGTCGCCCAACAAGAATTATATTCCGCAGGAAGAGCATTTGACCGAGAGCCCGTTTGGTTCGATGGTATAGAATACAGACATTGCCCCGTGACTTTCCTCGGAATACACGGTGCTTTAGACGCTTGGATTCCGAAGAATACAGCGGATATACCCCGTCATCCTTCCATACAGTTCGTTAGTAGACCGGTAGGGTCCGGAGCTAATGGAAACCCGTTGGGGCAGATCAGGTTGTTAAAATTGTTTCATTATTTTTCGTCGCTTGATGATATGCATGGGTCATCTGAGAGTGATTTGCCGTATGAGTTGGGGTTCTTCGAGTACGTGCTGAAAAGGAACTTTGGGTTGAAATTGCGGTTTAAATGGGGGTATGGTGAGACGGTTTATAATAGCTATTTGTTGCATGGGACGGCGTTTAGAGGGGCTGAGCAGTTTAGAAGGGATGTTCCTAAGATTTTGTTAAGCTGTGCTTTGTAACCGTCTTGTAATCATTTTGGGTTTATAAATTTAGTGAGAGTATTACTGATATACTTATATGAATTTACTTTTTATTTGAAGGTAGAATGTTGATTTAGTTCTGAGGGATCGATTCTCTATGCTTTTAATAAGAATTGAATAGAACCTGGACTTGTGGAACAGACCAATCAGGTCATTTCTCTAAAGTTGCCTGAACATGTTCGCGTATAGGTTGTGCCAAGCTTAAAGCTATCGCCCCGCGATCAGTTCATGTATACGGAATGTTTGATTTAACAATCGATCCGAAATAGCGTATCCTTCTACGGACCCTTCATATCAATTGATCAATACCGGTTACTGATAAAATTCATTTTACGGACATCAATTGCGATACGCTATTGTATACTGTGATGGTTACAAGGCGTGTAACATGCGCAACACCATCCACGCTCTCGAGCAGAAGCGCTTCCTCGGATGTAGCTTTAAGGACACCATCCACACTCTCGAGCAGAAGCCCTTCTTTGGATGCAGTGTTAAGGACACCATCTACGCTCTCGAGTAGAAGCCCTTCCTCGGATGTAGCGTTAAGAACACCATCCACGCTCTCGAGCAGAAGCTCTTCCTCGGATGTAGCATTAAGGACACCATCCACACTCTCGAGCAGAAGCCCTTCCTCGGATGGAGCGTTGGGGGCGCAGGTCAAGAAAAGGCTCAACCAGGAACGCGATGATGCTGTTGCGGCTCGAGAACAGAGTCGACCGGAGGGAAACCCCATTTCTGCAACAGGGAATTTATTACTTTTGACAGTGGTAGTCCCGACCTTGCGATATCGATTCCCTTGGATTCGTGCGGGCTTGGTTTCGCAGCCGGACCGTGCCTTTGGTGTTGAGCTGGAGCAATATAGCGTCACCAGAGCTTTACTTTTGGTATCTGAGTTTTGGTTAATCGTAGTATTATCGGCAATTCTTACGGGGGTCCTGGTACTTTTTGGAGGTTCGGAAGTTGAGGGGAAATCCCAATCATTTGGTGAGGAGGTTCTAATTTTTCTGGGTTTGGCGAAAAGGCCTATACATATAGAATACGTATGGGTAAGTATACAATGAACTCCTTCCGTAACATAGAGTCGAAAAACGAAATATTATAGTGGATTTTTTCAAGTGTGCTAAAACGGAATGAATAACTCGGAATAGGGTTTCACGAATCTCTGTATTCAACTTGGATTTGAAACACTGTACTATTATATTAGGATAGTGAGAGTTGTAGGGCGTAGGGATATTTCTCGAGGGCGCCATGACAAGGAGACCATGGATTTAGAGCAAGCTAAGCTAGGCGAAATTATCAATTTGGATACGGCTTGCCGCTTTGTTGCTCATGGATTAGTTGGATTCATCACTCTAGTACTAAATTCGGCCCTCGGTGCAATCTCGAGGGGCGTTGCGGTACTGTATTTAACCACCTTTCTGTTCATTTTAATGCTCCGGGTATCGAACTTGATTGTTGACGATATAATCACGCAAAAACACCGGGCGGGTGGATGGACAAACTGGTTCAGATCATTTATTATACCCAATCTACGGTATTATACTTGGACGAGGCTTGAAGGAAATGCCAACCGTACTCAACTCGATCCGACGTATCAGGAGCTCTAGCGTCCTCTCACGGAATCTTTGGTGTAAGAATCCCCTAGAGATGCATAACCTAAGGAAGAAAATTATCTTAGTGCTAACTAATGTTCTCCGATCCTTTTATTGTAGTGTTGATCCAGTCAGATCTACGTTATCGGGGCAGGTGTACGAGCGGCATGCAGTAATGCGGTGGGTTCGGGAGAATGGAACTGATCCTATCCTTCGAGGTGGACGGGTTACGGCTTTGGGTTATATACCGACTCTGGTGGCGAAAGAGTATGCACAATGCTTTGCGCAGTCGCTTGGGGCTAAGTTGGTATTTTCTGAACCTTCATCTGTAAATTTTGCGTCCGATAGAAGGTAGGATATGAAATAAATAGCCAGCATGTCTGGTAACTATGTTTCCTAAAGGTATTGTAGTGTAGTAAATCGAGATTTGGTCTCTGAATTTGAGATACCAGTGCTAGCTTTGATTTTTCAAAAATCTGTTTTATTTGTATAATGTATACTACAATATTCGCAAGTTGTGGCTACGTACTACCTTCTAAGATTTCTGATAATTATCTTTCCCTTCTAAAAGTCATTCTCTTTACCTTTTAACTAGTCAATTTCCGCAATGCTAACGTACTGCACTCAGCTCGGGTACTCTTGATGTCTGAAACCCATTCGAGCTCCTCGTCCCAGAAAATTGGTGGCTTCCATATGGCCATATATGGTGATATTTGAACAACCGGACCGTGCATAATGCACTGCGGTTGTACTGTAGCTCATATCAAAATATCCTTGTGCTGACTAGCTTCCCGCTTCCCGTTACAGTGTCATGCCTGTTGCAAAGGCTTGGCGAAGGCCCCACTTTGACTTAACGATAGATGATTTTAGCCAATCAGGGATTGGAAACTCTCCTGTATGGTGTCGTATCGGCGACATCTTGTCCCCGCGCGTAGCTTTAGGCGTGGTCTTTGTGTATATAAGAAATGGATGGTCGCCATTTTTGAGTTTAAGAAATCACTACTACACCATTATATTATCAAAGCATTCGGTTTCTTTGGTTCCCTGGTCAGTACAATACTGAAGTTACTTTCTTTTTCGGCGATAAACTGAAAACATAAATGAGGGTATTAAATTTAATTTCGAGAGCGGCCGAATACGATACTTATTGTGCAATACACATTCAGATACCATTCTAAGTTGTTCATTTGTGTCCTAGATCCAGATGGAACTATCTCTTCGGCAAACTAGGAAACGAGCACCACGGTGCGATAGGCTAGATGACCCTCAAATCCAAAGGGAAATCGAGATGCTTTATTCCGTGTTGCTTTGGAAAGTTAAAGATATTCAAGCGGAGGTTAACAAGAGGCATGGACTGAGCGCAACGTAACTATTAATACCCTGCATGGCTTTTTCTTTAGCACAGTTGCAAGTAAGCCTTAGTTTCAAGTAAAATCTGATCGTTTTCTAGGAGGTGTCAATATCGAGGCCGTCTTCACAAATGGCGCTGTAGACAACGATTAAACCACAAGGAGTACCACAGAATTTATCCACATCTCGTCGCTCGTGAAAGATCAGGCAAAGTCTCGGAAGTAAGCATAAACGGAGTAGTGAATATAGCAGATAGAAAGATCCAAAAATGGGTCTCTCGGAATATCACCTTTACCAAAAGATTGAATCCAAATGGTATTAAGACTCTAATATACTTCAGTTTTTTGAATATATGTACTCATCTAGTCTTCGGCATCAATCTAGTCCCAGATACACATTCCAAATTTTTGAATTGCGATTCGGGAGACTTGCACTCATTTGTAGTCGTCCGGACACCCCCCAGCCTCGATTTTTTTCCTTCAACGTCAGCTGAAAGGTATATACCGCTTTCGACGATATATAGTCTCCCAATATGGAAAGTTAGCCAATTCTTGGAGCACTTCACCAACCACGAGCTCATCAATATCCCGCAAGACAAGAATAAAACAGCAATTAGTGGTCCACCTCGGAGTTCACATTATCCCTTGTTAAGAGCTTTAGTATACCGGGTATCAAACGGTATCATTCTCCCGGACAGCGACGAGATCAACAATCTCCTAGAAAAAATAAACGAATTCGGTGCTCGTAATGCCCTCCAGAAATTGCTTGCCGAAGACTCTCCTTCGATAATGGCCGCATGTGAGTTTCTGGTCATGGAGTTTTATCGGCGAGCAGATTATGAAATGCTCAAATCGGTTAGAAAATCACATCCCGAAATCGAGTTGGACTTATACGACATGCTTACCTCTGCTTTCGTGTATTCTGATCTTGACTGCTTGAAGAATCAGGATTATATTATGCGAATTTTGCAAGATCTAAAAATAGACGGCTCTCCACCAAGTGATGCATCCGAGGCTCTTGTTTTGCTCTATATGTGTCGGAAGGTAATAAGTAGAGTAGATGTATTCCTAGATTTGTGGAATGCTGAAGATATATCTGCTCAGGAAATTGATCATGCAGGCGCTGAACTCGGCGCACTGGAATATATGCCTTTATGTACGGATTGTCCGGTCCAAATGAAGTTGTTGCTTGACTCTGGGTTTGCTGCTGGGCAGTCAATATTTCTCCTCCAGGCTATCATTCAAGCTAGACTCGAGGCGACCCTTATTCTATTTGACTATTTAGATCTAGAGGTAAATGTAGATCTGCCAATTTCGCAATCTGAGTGCTTGGCTTTTGGGAGTATTTGGGAAGCATTTGATGTATCAACATTTTATGGAATCATAGAAAAGGTCGTTTCGGAGGAGCGCTGGGAGGGTGTTCCCCCTATACCACGCATTTATCGAGAGGATTGGCTATTGGTCAGGTTGGCGTGCCTTCAGCCTGAGATGGAGGGCTATGTCATCCAAGTTCTGCAGCGAAAGTATCCAACGATGGGACCTAATTTATTCACATCCGCCATTGACCTAATATTCCTTACGCCTGATTTCTCGAATATATGGAATTTTCTCGCCAGATCCAATCCTAATGGGCATTCTTTTTGGAAACAAGCAGTATCAGCTTTGCAAACATTTCTGAAGGCTGCGACAGATATAAGTGCAACGAAATTATGGCAGAAAACGATCTGGGAAATTTTGGTCAGGAATACAGACGACATACCGGCAATAGAAATCCTCGAGACTTTGCTGAATGCTGGTGCTGATCCGCAGATTACCCTTGCGCCTAGCCTTGTCGATAATCTTAACAGTATACTAAACTCGCCACTTCTACAAACAGAATTAGGCGGTGGGCCATTGGAAGTCGTGAAGCCGATTGATATAGCATTCCTTCTGCAGGAACCTTCCGCCTTTTGTCTCCTGTTAAACGCGCTGACATCAAATGATATCGATCAATTTATCCAGAAGCTTACATCGCTTCCGGAACACGAGCTGCTTATCGCCGGGCCACAGTTTCTTGACGCCGCTCAAAATCGAAACTATAATCTAGTCGAAAGTTTGTGGAACAAGCGTTTCGAAACTATGGACCAAGCGTTCATCTCGGCATTCACCAAAGGCGAGATCGAGATCACCAAGGCTCTAGTAACACGATATACTGCTAGCTCCCGACACCTCCGCTTTGTTCTGGCTCTCATAAAAACAATTATTGGCCGGAAGAAGATTTCTAAAATATACGAGGAAGGTATAAGCCTGCTTAACTGGATGCTACAGGGAGGTACAAACTTCAACGCAATTTCTGAATTCCAGGAGGCGAGCACCCGCTATATCGAAGAGTACAATAGTCTGCTATTGGAAACCATGAGGCATGGAACAATTGAATTATTTAGGGTTCTGCTAGGATTTATATCAAGACAGGGGTCTCCCGGCTCGTTTCATTCTTTTCCTGAACTACAAAAACAAGGAATAAATCCTGTACCTCATGCGGCTAGATTGGAAAATCTCGATTTCTTGAAGTGTTTAATTGAACTCGGATTTGATATCAATCAAGGAGTTCAAAGAAAAAGCACCGTGGGTAGTATATCTCCGACAGAGACGGCCCTAGGCTCTGCCTTGATGAGAGGAGATCTCCGAGGCCTTACATATATCCTAAAACAGGGGGCCGATATTTATGCTCCTTGCGAGGGCTACGCTTCTGGGGTCGAAAACGCGGTGGCTTGGCGACGTATTGACGCTGTAGCTTTGATTTTAGCTACGGATCCGGACTGCTACGATTTAGCACTCGCAGCGTCTGTTTCTCTCGGGCACAATCTTATTGAGGACCACATCCGTGGAGAAAGGGTTGCGAACGGAAGCAGTGGATAGATCATACGGTGCCAACACTTAAGAAGTGGCTCCTTGGGAGCTCTGCGTTGGGTTTAAGGTCTGCTCTATCGAAATTCGATAAGTCGACCCAAACAGGGAGGTTTTGGGGTGACCCTCTTAGCGTAATATTCTATGGAGGGCCTAATTTCTGTAAGGAGTGCAATGTCGAGTATCGATATATTTGGAAGCGAGTTTTCAACGAGGCGGACCGAGCAAAATTATACTATGATCATATGAGCTTTGGATACACAAAAAGCTTCTATTTTATGGCCAGTTATTCATCAATTAAATTATTTAAATTCATGAATTCATCGGGGTAGCTTGTTGATTACGCAAACTTTGAACCTAATTAGTTTTATTACTTTCGGTGCGTGGATTCGTGCATGTCAAGCTCTTGCAGTTGCGATAATATATTTTATCAATCCTGGATCTCTTCCCTCTAATGGTATCAGTGTGACATGATGGTTGCCGCCCATAAAGGGATTTTAGGCCGCTCCTTGTACCCGTCTGTCCAAGTCTTTCTCCACCCATCGCTTCCTTCCTCGGCCGGGAGCGCGTATACCAAAGTGACATACCAAGCCTCCTTTTCGATTGACCCCAGTAATAAGGGGCAAACTGTTCGATTTAACAATAGGTTGCTGTTCGAATCCATGTTCATCGTCTCTCCAACCCTGTTAGTCGTCCCAGCATCCACAATGCCGACAGCACCGCTCCTAGAAACTGCGAATGCCTCGTTAACGGAGCCGAATCTTCCATCATTGCCCTCCGCGTAGATATCCAATTCTCTATTATCTCCACGTCGTTCGTTGCTAACCGTAAATGACCCCTCTGCTGTCTTTATTGGTCTTGCTGTTGTGATATGGTGGATCCTAATATGCCAGTTCGGTGTTTCTTCAGCAGGTGGTATTAACCATGTTTTGATACCGACGCCTTCTAATGGAGTCCAGGTCGATATTAAAACAGAGGTCCCTTCAATAACTTCTATACCATCAGTATCACACTTCTTCCGAGTTTTCCATTCGGCGTCGTCTCCATACGTGACGGAAAGCGTTGAATCTGGGGCAGAGCTCCAAAGAGAATAGGAACCTGTCGAGACTGAATATGCAAATGCGCTGCTATACGCGAATTTTCCATACTTTGCATCCGCCGCTCGTAGAGGGTAGTGGCATTGTTGTTTACTGGATAGAAGGAAGGTATGACCGCCAAGACGTGTTATTATATGACCCGGGTGCTTGAGAGCCACAGTTTGGGGAATCGAGGCTGAAGGAAATGGTTCTTCGGGACTGGTCCAGAAAGGATGGTCTGCCGGTACGGCTAAAGGTGCAAAGGAAAGCATTGCCCAGTATGGAGAACCTGGGGAATTGTAGTTGTCTGACATGAATTGGTTTGGGTAAGTGTATCCAATGGTTAGCGTGCCTGAAGGTGTGAATGCGCCAGGTTGCTTTGACCACCATCTTAGGTTGCGAAGGAGTAGGCCTTTGACGACGCCCCAAGTAAGTGGTGCGGGGAGCTCGACGTCCGCAAAGGCTACGGCGGCCCAGAAGCCAACCATGGCGAATTTGTAGGTAAGAGAGCGGCCGAACGCAATTGCACGTCCTATATAGACGGGTTAGAGGTGAAATTTGCCTATAAGCCTTTGAATTTTGTATGCGTGGAGCTTACCATCCTCATGAAAGTAGTACACAAAATTTAAGGCGTATAGCCTTGCCCTCTCCTTGAATTTTTCAGCGCGCACGGGATCCACGCCGCCCGCAATTTTTGCATAGAGAAGTTGAAGATACTGAATCGCGAAAGAACCGGAGTAGTAATCCATTTGAGTATAGTCTCTCGGACCGTCGTTTGACCATCCCTCTCCGCGATAGAATGTATCTAGATGATTCATGTCTTTCTCCATTCGATCATGGTCGTATGTATATCCATTCTTTGAAAGACCTAGATTGGCGAAGACTCGAAACCAGAGCCTTTATGTTGTGAGCATTCTTCCATGTGTTCTGCGTTCAACAAGGTCTTACCAATTGGTATTCGGCATCTAGAGCTGAGGTGTCAGAAAACCATGTAGGGGGGTGGAGTAATTCAATAAAACAAGACAGACCTCTTTTTCGGTAATATCAAAATATTTGGCTACGTTCGCCTTCTGCCTTTCATTCAACCCCTCCCAGAAGTGATCACCAGCCACCGCTAATGTGAACCCAATAGGGCACATTTCCACCATACGTTGGTCAGTGTCAAGCGCAGCGCCCCAATATTCTTCGTGCTCAGGGTCAGCCCCATTTCCTAACCCTTCGACAAACTTTTGTGCCCCTTCCCACTTATACCCCCCAGCTAGTAGCGCAGCGAGCGCCCATAGCGGTCTTGCGTATCCTTCGATTTGAGCAGCAGTTTCATCATACCGGGTTCCTGTTTCTCCAAGTTTCACGGCGCCGAAGCCTGGAGTCAGACTTGGTATTAAAGGGTCAAGAAGGGAAATACAGGCTTTTGCGAAGTCATCTCGTGTCGCTAATGGGTTTCCAGCAAGAGGGTTGAAGGGCTTCATTGCGAATTATGGGTTAAAAATACAACAAATTAATGTGTTGTCGGCACAAGTTTGAGTTTCGCACACTTACGTTGGCAATTGGCAATCGAGTCGATGCAACAACCACCGCTTATTTATTGCGATGCAATAATCATAAGATATATTGCGGAGAAATCTAGGACTCAATCAGTTCCGAGATATTAGCCTGTGGTAATAGCATCAACGTGGCTACCTTTGTCATACGATCCGGCTGCCTAATATAGCTAATAGTCTTTCCGAGCAAAAACCACGATACATATTCTACATTTTATACTGAACGAATGCACCTGATCCATGAGGTTGTCGACTTATAATTCCTAACTTTCGCTTCCCCGTCGATAAGCTTTTGGTGGGGCTCTTGGTCTGTGCTGGTTTTATTTTAGCCTATGCATTCCGGAATATATTATAAATTTAACCACTTTGCCATTTACCCCGGAATAGGAAAACAAGGTGATTTTGTACGACCATGCCATGACTTGGGGTGCGGGTACGGCTTGCCGATAATGAATTTCTCCACCAATCCGAAGCTTGCGATCATGGGTGTTGCTAGGATCAAGTATTTGCGAGTACAGGGGGAGGTGGTGTATCACTGTTGTAAATGCGCAGAAAGATTGATATCGGGCGAATGGGAAAAGCGGAAACAGAGGTATAGCATGTTTTGGCCATGGTTATGTAATAGTTTTGAAGTTGGATTTGCGATCGTCTAGCCGATTGAGTTTCGGTTGAATGTGGTGATATAGCTCTGAAGCAAGAGGGGACGGGAGATAAGGGACGGTAGTTAGTTCTCTGGGCTTAGAGCTGAATGGTAGAAGATATGTGATACTGTACAGTAAGTAAAAGATGAAGTAGTTGGGAACTGTAGTATGAACTTTATGGTAGCAGGTCTTAGCCCGAGCTTATTAAAAGACTAGAATCCCTCAGCTTCGGAGCTCCAGGTTTTTAAATTTCTCGCATCGGATCTCAAAATCAATCATAAATTTTCTGGGCCTTGTGTACGAACTAGGATCAAATCCCGAAAAGACGTCGACTGAAGCTCGCCGTCGGAGCTCTTAAGTTTATCGCAACTTCAATAATGGCGAAAGAACCTCGATCTGTCCGCTTTTTGCGGCGAATTGTCAAGAATGAAGCGATGACAACAGACCCAATTGAGATATACAACTGGAGGGTCTATCTTCTGGCTTGCGCATCTTGTTTTGGCGGTGGGTATACTCCTTAAACACGTTCTTTCGTTGGTTGCTAGCCTAATTGTATGACTTATTCTATCAAGGAATGCTTTTCGGTATGGATATCGGCATCATCGGCGGAGTGTTACAAATGGCTTCTTTCAAAAGGTATTCATCCTCCTGCAGTGCGCTCAGGTAGAGTGTGTATCATCGCACACTAATCATCAATAGCGCTTTCGGAACGGACAAACTCAACCCATCGGACTTAGCAAATACCAATGCGAATATTGTATCTTGTTTACAAGGAGGCTGCTTCTTTGGATCCTTGATTGCGCCATGGTTTGCAGATCGATTTGGAAGAAAGCCTGCGCTTCTCATCTTCAGCGCGGTTTGCACTGTGGGCGTTATCATTCAGACTGCTTCGTCGGGCCACATTGCCGCTATTGATGTTGGAAGGTATATATACCCCTGCAACCATCGATGCATCCGAGAGGTTTGAGAACATTATATTAAGCTAGACAATTTAGATTTGTCGCCGGGTTGGGGGTCGGGGCTGCAACAATGATTAATCCTCTCTACGTAAGTCGATCTTCGGAGGAAAATGAAAAACTTATAGCTAAGAGTGGAATTAGGTTTCGGAAAACGCACCCCGTGCTATTCGTGGGCTCTTAACTGGCTTGTATCAACTCTTCGAAACAGCAGGAATCATGTTGGCATTTTGGATTAACTATGGTTCCCTTCGTCACGTTGGAGGGCATGGGGCATGGCAAGTCTCGCTTTCAATGCAGTGCATGCCTGCTGTCTTATTGTTCTTCGGGATGTTACTCTGTGATGGTATGAAACGTATCAAATACTACTCCGAAAATGATTTCGCGCTGACCACCGTGTTAGAATCTCCTCGTTTTCTAGCAACTCAGGATCGATGGGAAGAAGCAACAGGTATCCTAACCAAAGTTCGTATGCTACCAGAGTCGGATTCATATATTCAGGCGGAGTTAGCGGAAATCCATGCGCAGCTCGATTTTGAAAGAGGGATTATTGCGGGGGCAAGCTATTGGGCAAGGGTGAAAGAGATGTTTTCGGAGACGAGTTAGTACTACTGAATAGTTATTACAATGAGGCGTTGCTAACGGAAGTACACAGGTAATAGAAGAAGAGCGCTGTTGAGTATCGCACTTATGGTTTGGCAGCAGCTTACAGGAACAAAGTAGGCATAACATAAAATATTGGGCTTATATTGAGGTTTGCTAGGCTAACTGATTGATAGTGCTATCAATTTCTATGCACCTCAGATTTTCAATAACCTCGGAATTACTGGTACACAGAATGGTGAGCCACGTCCTTGTCTATTTCGATACTACGATGTTCTATTCTAGCAATTAATACAATTCACAGGCCTTTTCGCAACTGGTATCTATGGTATCGTCAAAATGGTATCCTGCTTCTGCTTCCTACTAGTGGCAGTCGACTCCCTTGGAAGACGACGAAGTTTGATTTGGACATCTATTGGCATGGGTATTTGCATGTTTTATATTGGTGGATATGTGAGTATCAAAAATACTCTACACAAATGCATCTTTCAGAGTGAGACTAACAGTTCTGTTTAGATTCGCGCCGACCCACCCAAGCCCGGCCAAGCCGTTCCTCCCGCGGGATATGTTGCACTCGTCTGCATCTTTATATTCGCGGCTCTTTTTCAATTTGGCTGGGGGCCTGTTTGTTGGATTTATGTTTCCGAAATTCCTACGACTAGATTGCGAGGTATCAACGTATCTTTCGCTGCCGCCACTCAGTGGCTTTTCAACTTCGCAGTTTCACGAGCAACTCCTCCAATGGTGAGACTTTAATACTGTATTAAGTTTGGAGTTGATACTAACAATTTTCACTAGTTGGTTCATGTTGGACGATCCGGCTTCGGTACTTATTTCATATTCGGCTCATTCAACTTCGCGATGTGTGTCTTCGTCTGGTTCCTAGTTCCAGAGACGAAAGGAATTTCACTCGAAAGAATGGACGAACTCTTTGGAGCGGACAAACATGTTTCGGAAGGACTTGATCTTACGACTGCGGCTAGGGATCGTCAAGCTGTGTCGGAGAAGCAAGAATTGGCCGACATCGAACATATTGAAAACGTTTAAGACATCCTTTTATCACTTTAGATCCTTGATTCCGCACTGGCCCATGTATTTGTTTGGGGCCTGTAGGCACCCAAGTATGGATGTTGATGTGACTTCCTATTCTCGCATGTGTATATGAATAAATGAATTATTTTTACCTTTTCAGAACTTTGTGTACTGCCGTGCTGTAATATTGTAAGCGTGTGGTCTTGATCCAGGTGCTATTGGTTAAAAGGTACTTGGCCTAATAACACGGCAGCTGAATGAGGTCTAAGTTGAATGAGAAAGGAATTAAAGCCAAAAGAAACGCTGTTTCCTGATGGCTGTTGACCTGCATAGTGGTTTGTCTTCCTGAAACTGTGAGGCGAATTTGGATTATAAGTATGAGAAGAAGCTGTTTTGGTCTAGTGAATCCGCTTCTACAAGTCATAGGCATAAGCAGTATATTAGCCTATGAGGATATCGATATATTGATCCGGCATGGTCTCGCAAACCAGACAATTCGGCACGGCCGGACAGACCTGTTCTGTTCCGTGTTGGAATTTGCAAAAGTCTGCTACCTAATTGTGTTGCGGATGCAATAATCCGGACTTGGTTAGAAAGGAAACCCGTTTTATCTAGAGGATATCTGGGTGGTACACGTGGGAAACACTGGCCAAGTTTCAGAACGAGGGACGTAAAAAATGCTGCGTGACCTATCCTGGTTCTTAGGATCCGGTACCTGCTATTCGACATGTTTTATATTCTGCAGGACCCTAGTTGGCAGCCGTTGCAAATGATGTAATTGCGCACGCGACAGTCTTTTCACATCACATACAAACCCGAATCTTCAAAAGAAGAGCCTTTTCTCTGGGTATAGGTTTAACACGATATTTTCTATCGCTTCAGGGCTTTTTATTTGTTTATAGTGGCCGGTGCACTGGTTGAAGTCAGTATGTGGTCGATGGTACAGTATTACAAGCTTCGGAAGGTTATTGAGCAGGACCACGAGAAGCGCCAAGACCCTTCCGAACATCCTTCAGAGCTCCAGGTGGCCGACGACAGACCGGGGAGCAAAGATGCGAATGATGAGGATGGAAACAATGATGAATCGAACAAAGGGCTCAAGATAGAGGTAAACAGTCATGACGACCCCATTAACCCAAAGAACTGGCCGTTGCTCTCAAGGTCAAAAAACATAGCAATCCTTGCGCTCCTGATTGCTGTGCAAGCGTGGGCAGGCGCTGCTGAATCAATGGCCAACACGTCCGCCAGTCAAGAATTCGGCGTCAGTAAGGAAGCGGAAACTTTGTCAACAGCAATGTATCTTTTTGGCATTGGATCGGGTTGTCTATTTGTTGGACCATTGTCGGAAACCGTTGGAAGGAATCCTGTTTACCTTACATCGACTTTTTGTTTTCTATTCTTTGTCTTGGGGACGGCACTTACGAAATCATTCGGAGGGCAAATTGTGTGCCGGTACTTCGTCGGATTATTCTCCAGTGGAACGCTGGGTATTAATGGTGCTAGTGTGAGGGACCAGTTCCGCCCGGTGAAAAGGGCTTTTGTATTCCCGGTTATCGCGTGGGCAAATGTTGTTCGTAAGTTATATTTCGTTTCAAGAAGAATGGACTTCAGCTAATACCGCGTAGCGCCAACTCTCGCACCGATTGTAGGCGGCTGGATTTTACAGAATCCCAATCTTAGCTGGCGTTGGACAGAATGGATCACCCTCATCATCTCAGGTTTCGCATTCCTGGTTGCCCTTGCCTTTCTGCCGGAGACGTATCTGCCTATCATTCTGGACTGGAAAGCCAAAAACCTTCGACAGGTCACCGGGAAGCAATATTTTTCCGAGCACGGTGAAGAGAAAGGCTCATTCTGGAAGCGCCTAAAACATACCCTTCCGATGTCGCTGACCTTCTTCCTAAAGGAACCTGTTGTTACCGTCCTTGGAAGCTACCTTGTCCTGCTTTATATTTTGCTGTTTTCATTTCTATCTGGGTTTGAATATATCTTCAAGAAGACATATAATCTTTCCGACGGGATGACCGGATCTTGCTTCGGAGCGATAGCAGCAGGGGCTACCGCATTCACGCTTTGTGCACCTGGGTTATACTCATGGGCACGGCATCATACCGAATACGTTTCCGGCGCGCATATAAAGCCCGAGTTCCGTCTTTGGCCAGCAATATTCACAGCGCCACTACTCCCAATCTCCCTCTTTTGGCTTGGCTGGACGAACGTCCCTACAATATCGATTTGGTCAGGGCTCGGAGCATGCTTTTGCTTTGGAATCGTCCTGATAGCGATGTATGTCTCTAGCTATGAGTATATCATTGATAGCTATGGAGATCATGCGGCTATTGCGCTAGCGAGCATTACGATGGTGAGATATTTGATTGCGGGTGGGATGACGTTGGCGGCTAGACCAATGTACGAGGGGATTGGAGTCAAGTGGACGTTGTTTTTGCTTGGGTGTTTAGCAGTGGTGCTGACGCCTGGGCCGGTGTTGTTGTATATTTATGGGCATAGGATGAGGAAGAAGAGCAAGTGGGCGAGAAGTGAGGTGGGGGTTGTAAATGATTAAGTAGATTTATTTTATTTGTCAATTATCATGACATTTAAGCGTTTTTGTAAGTAAATCTTTGAATTGTGGGTAGAGAAGTTTATTACATTTAGTTAAACTCTGTGGGGTTGTATGGCGTTCCGAAATTGCAGCACAGGCGATCTAGTTCATACCGTTACGGAGATTTGGGAATCGGGAACCCTCGTAGCTTAACCAGTTGTCGCTGTTTGAAATTCCGCCCATGTGATCCTAGAGACTACATTAGATGTATCCGCAGCAGAAAAGTCATTGAATACTAACCTTTACGATTCTAACAAGACTGGTACCAGGCTGACCATCCTTTCCATGACCCTTCTCCATCTCCGGCCGGTCTGATCCCTTATCTCCGCTCAGTTCCCAGAACATACTGCCGCCCAGTCCCTCCTGATGAATCCAAGCTCCCTTCCATTTTGCAACTTCTTCGCTGTCAAAACTGATCATTTCCTTGGTATCAGGATTGTAACTCCAGCTTGCTAATAACTGTGAGTCGTGAGAAACATTTGAACCGGGAAGTGGCAGGGCACGGTAATCGTAGACTCCTTGCTCCCAACTTCCCTGGCCGACGCCACTAAACGCAGTACCGGGGCCTTGGGTATTCGTGAAAGATCGACCATAAAGTGGGATACCCAGGATGATCTTGTGTCTCGCAACACCTTGGTTGATATACCAATGGACGGCTTCAGCACCGCTAACTGGACCACCGTAAATGTTTGCTTGGTGGTTGGCCACGGGGTCCCAAGAACTAAATTCATAAAACTAGAGTGAGAATCACCGTATGAAAGATTGGGTGGATCATGGACTCAAATACCAACCCGCTGAAGTCATAAGCCATCAAGTTCCAGAAGTCGAGCTGCTCATCCATCGCCTTGACGTGCAACTTTTGGTAGTTCTGAGGTCCACATGGTGCAGCTATAGTCAGAAGGAAACGATAGTTCGCATGTTTCTTTGCCGCATGTGCGTCTAATGCCTGTCGCAGTTCTCTCAGGAGATCGACATATCCTCTCGCCTGAGCGTCATCAGAGGGATATTCGTAATCAACATCGAGACCATCTAGACCATAGTCTTCGAGAAGTTGCACCGACGATTCTACGAATTTTGCACGTTTAGCGGGGTCGATAACCACGGGGTGGAATTTCGGGGAGTATGTCCAGCCGCCAATCGAAATCTAAGTGATGACGTCAGTTAGCGAGTTTTCCCGGAAGATGCCGAGAAAGGTGTTGGGAGGTGTTGTATTTGAAGGTGCAATGTCGTACAAGAACTTTGAGATGGCGTTTCTGCTTCTTCAGGTTGTAGATAGCCTTGAAGTTGCCATAGAGATTGGATTGAGCCTCATTCCAGGAGTCACCTGTTTTAAGTCCCCGAGTTATTAACCTTATAGCCACGTTGGACGGTCGAACGCCGTCGTTGGGGGCACCATACCCGGGTAGTGGATATCCTTATCAGACCAGGCGTCGCTGAGCTTAACTTCTCCGGAATCAGGAGATAGATCGGCGAATGCGTATAAAATATGCGTCAGGTCATCTGCGGGGATGAGTGAAGGAGGGAATTTCCTTCCGTAGATACCCCAATTGACGAAGTAGCCGACTGAGAACTTGCCGCCTGACATGGTGAGAGTTTACGAAGTGAGGGGTTGCAATTGGTATGCGGGGTATGTGAAGTAAGCTGAGGGGCAACGCATTCTTAGGTTGTAGATTTCAACCATTGAAATATTTGTATTGCCCAGGTGCTGCCATGGCTGGGAGTCAATTGACTGGTTCGTTCTGTCATCCTATCAAAGAATTTTTTCTTCTATGGCGCGCTGGCCCTCAGCTCTACTCAGCTCCAGCACGGTGATTACGTATGTTCGCGCATCAGTCTCATCGGCCCTGGTTCAAAAGAAACATTCGGTCCCTCAATCGCACTATGTCTCCCCAAATCCAGTTAGCCTAGAATTGAACGTTCGCTCTCGCTAGCAAACGGTTAAGGCTTGGCATATCATGCCAGAACCGACGCAACCATTCTGATACTCATTGAGCCGTTTTCTCATGATAAAATATGTTTTTATGTGAAAATTCTGCAGTTTTATACGCCGTAGTTGCTTTTAGTAAATTGCGATAAGAGTGGAGCTAGCTCCAAACTAGTATACGTGCGGGGTGAATGTAGAACAAAGCTGATATAGATCACTCGATTCTAGCCAGCCCGAAAGTGTATAAAACGGCAGTCATGGCCCGTTACTTTTCCCGTCTTTCAATCCTGCACTTCGATATTGTCAGTAGAAAAACCTATTAATAGAACCAGTTTTGCAAGATTGCAATATTTTTTTCTCTACGAAGAAAAAAATTCTGCTATTATCTTTTCTAATCACGATGTCAACCTTTCCAATTACCGCTAGGGTTGAAAACAAGAACCTTGTTATCAGTTGGACAAACCAACCCAATGTCCGATATTTGGATATACAGCTACAGCGGACTATCAAAGACAATGCTAAACCCTATTATACGAAGCGTGTATCGTGTGATGTTGACGCGCTGGTATTGACGCCGGAAGATTATGCAGCTGGCCACACCGCCTATGCTCTTGTACCCAGATACGTTTTTGCATATCCGGTGCTCGCTCCGGCTTCTGTCGACGCTCACGTCGACTTCGAATCATAAAAAGCATGGACTGATGGCCCAATCAATGACTTCGGTGTCAAACTTGGTAAAAATACTTCTCTTGCTCGCTGGAGCAACACTTGGGGTTCAGTCGGATACTTTTTTAATGGCGTCGTTTGGACGGGCCCAAATGGGGCAATTGCTTCTACTGGAGATGGACGGCCTTGTAATCATGTCGTGCTGGATTTGGGCGATGCTAAAGTGGCTAGTGGGGGCAATGGGACCGCGATTACCTCTCCTTTTAACGGGATGGAGGACCCACAAAAATCTTTTTTTATCGGAGAAGATGGATCGGTCAACATTCTCAGAATACTACTACCAGAAGAAGATACCTATAATCCTGGAGAAACCACTACTGTTGCTCCCGCCAAATCCGCCATGACAATAGGCGGTGGCAGCGTTTGCGTTGTCTATCATTCTTTTGATTCTTTCAAAGGTAATTGTTGGGATGCATGGTGGGTATCACCGGATGGTCATCTCAGTCACGTTCAATGTCTCGGCGCGCCTCAGACTTCTCCAAAGACTTGGGGTCGAACAAAAGTTTGGCATGATGACGACAGTGTGTCTGCTTTGACGGTACAAAGTCTTAAGGTGTATGTATATGGAAGCGAACCTGAAGATAACAGCGACTTTATAATGTGGTTTGTTGCAAAGCATGGCACCGGCCAAAAGGGTACTTTATACCAGACTAGTAGGGTTGCCGGCGAGGTTTCGACGGCTGAAGTGCAACAAGACGACTCGGAATGCTTTGTTGCCCCTGGTTCGGGTATTTCATCTGAGAGGTCAGATAACGGACCTATAGTGGCTTGGATCACAGCCGATGGAGCGGTTATGACTCTTCTGCAAGATTTTAAAGTTGAGAATGATCCAGTCTTCAACCAAATTGCACCACCTGGAAGGTATGTTATTGCTTCGGTCTAGATCATGTCAGTATGGAACTCTAATATCTCTTTCTAGTGCTGCTTTGGAATCTACCGTTCGTCTCAATGGACCATACATATGGTGGTTTGGACCAAATTACGAGTTAATAGGGGCGTACAGCTCCAATCGCTTCCAGAAGGATGTCGAATGGAAAGATGTAACTTGGAGTACCTGGGAAGTTCTGCCTGCTGGAGTAGGAAGAAAAGGGAAAGATTCTATTGCTAGCAGTGAATATCCCGGAGCGGTTTGGTTCGCTGGCGCGGATGACCTCCCGCATAGTATTTTCTTGGACGATTCGAACCAGGATGACATGTGGGAGTAGTTGGTTTACTTGAAGTGACATGTTTTCATATTTGGGAAGGTTAAACTATAGAGTAATTGGAATTATTAGTTGTCATTATCTAAGTCCTGCACCTTAATATTCTTATTATATGGAGTAGAAGCGATGTTGGATTTTAAGGATCGTTTGTGTTGTCCCCGGATTGTTTCGTGATTTTACACAACCACCCGGCTGGCCTGGTCTCGCAAACGGCTGGCCTTAGTCTGTAACTCTGGTCTGTAGTCTGACTAAACCCTGAAACTCTAGTGACTTCAATGCAACTCCCTATGAGATCTAGAATCTTCCTTATGTCTTTGCACTATATTGTTTTATATCTTTTTAGTTCTCTGTTTTGGTTGACCTTTATCACGGTGGAATTTATAGGCCAATTGATTCGATCAGGATTCTAAGACGTTTGGGAGATCTCCTTGGTAGACTTGAACGATTGGGTTAGCGATTTCCCCCGATAACGTTTATGGTAGATAGCTCTACTTACAGACTTTGCAGTATTCCCCGGCTAATATTCTGACACCGTCCTGTCCGACACAGTCCTGTGTTAAAGTCCAAGTGCTATTCAAATCACGGCGAAGTCAATACCTCTGATCTCCTATTTTGTATCGCGAAAAGGGTAGCATATGGAGCAGACCCACATAAGGCAGTATGCATTCTCATCCCTCACAAATCGGGATGTTAACGTAGTAGAACTATTACAACTACGCCCTACAGTCCCCGGCGGAAACGAAAAAGTGTATACATAACTAGCGCCGCCGGATTCTTCGTCGAGAGAATAAATGAGTTCTGATGAGAGGAAACCTACGCCCCCAAATGTTGATTCTGCATAGTAAGTCGAGCCCTTCATTACGATATTGATATAATCTATCCTTTCTTGAGGTTCCTGGACCCAACCGGTTGGCGCGCAGTTGCCACCGTCGGTACTGACTTGGGTGTAATTAAATCCGACTACACCATTTGATATGACCCAAGGGGTGGTGGCTGTTGGTGGTGTGGTTGTGGTCCCGGTACCGGTTGCCGTTTCGGTCGTTTGGGTGGGCCTTGAGACTAGACGGATAGTTAGTACTGAGAGAAGCCCGATACGGACTTTGATAGTAAGCTTACTAGAAGTCATTATGCTACTCGTCGCAGCAGGCGACTGGGATGAATTCTTCCTTCCAAGCACAATGCCTAGGCCCGCTGCTAGAGCAATAACCACAACTACCAAGACGATAATCGGTAGTAGAAATAGAAAGGCGCGTTTCGATATTCCGCATATCTTGCTAGCGCTTAGCCGCCCGGGATCGTCTTCTATAGATTGACCCTGAAAGTGTTCTGGAACAGGTGGAGGTATTGGTGGGGCAGCTTTGTCTGATGATGCGAACCAGGTTGACCCGGCCATCTTGCGCTAGCCGACTGGGATCTAATTTCCTAGCTTTGTAGTTTCTTTGGGGTATTTGATATCAAAATTTGAGACTCGTACTCGGAGTTACTCATCGCGATACGGGTAGCGCCATGAGGGGAAGCGACAATCCTTCTGCCGATGGGTCAGGGACGCTTTTGTAGTTTTTCTAGTGCAGGAGCTGTAGCTGCGATTGCCGCGAACCTTCTTGGTGAAGCGGCTGAAATGCAGGAGCCTCGCACTTCAACTTGGCAATTTAAGCCCTATGGCAACCACGCTACTTCCAACGACGGTAAGTTCCAAGCAAATAACTTATCACAGGCAAGTCTAAGTGTGAAAGCTGTCGCAAAGTATCTCTTCGATATCACTAGGTTGAAGATTTTAGATGTTTTAGGATTAACTGCCGTTCGATTTCAAGCACAACCGAAAATCGTGACCGAAGCTCATAAAACACAACAAAGCGCCACTAAATAGAGTGAATAACCAAACACCTACGCCGATGGGTCTGGAAAAGCTCTTACGGCCCAAACTCGCCGAAATGCGAGCTACGTATCATAATCTCCAAGGGCAAAACGGGTTAACGTATACAGATATCTAGCCGTCATCTATGGCGCCATGGCCCGGAATATCCATTCGTAGAGAGGCACTATTGCTCCGACATTTGTGGCCTGTTGGAGTGCAAAGGGTAGAGTAGGCGAGATGCTATTACGAATATTGAGTAACCTCTAATCAATGAGCTAGAGGTCGAAACTTTCTATACCCGTGGTTCCAATTGGGGGACGGCGCTCTGGGACCGAGACCAATTATGGCAGACCCGAAAATATTCGAATTTGTGGAGGCAACACGCCAGATGCTAGAAACCCAACAGTATTCAAGAAAAGGCCCTTCACGGAAGAAGCGAAGGTGAAACAGCAGCGCTGGAATCCTGCAGCAATCTTCATGGTAATCTTAAAAATTATGAAGGGGTTTGGCAAGAAAAAAAAGAAAAGAAGAAAAAGAATTACCGTCGCCAAAGCATATTATGATCCGTTAGGTTTCACGCATTAATCTCGAGGTGGACGAGTCGAGTCTTAAGTGGAGGCCAGTCGGGCCCTCAACTACAGTACCATATACAGGTCATAAAGCTAGTGTACGCTGTTGATATTTGTTGGTCGAAAACAGAGGGATATAGATGGCTTTATACCTTTATCCTAGCTTCGATAGTGGTAACAAGAATGCCCAACTGTTGCAGGTTTAGTCACACTTGTATACTTTTGACATATCCTATTTACTAGCCCACCCTATTACTAGAATATGTGCAATCGAATGCCTACATTACGCCATTGGCCTACCGCTGCCAGGGCTAATTATATAAGTACCGCGAGGACGGGCTGACGCGTTTTCTTTAGGACATTGTATGTATGTACATAGATAGCCAATTAAAAACGAAACAACACATTTTCGATTTAAGGTGTTGAAAAAGGTTGGAACGCGCGGTTGGAAAAGTTCTATGAGATTCAAATAGCAAGTCAGCGAGATGTTTTGGGGGGTATATACAGGTATATCTATAGATAGAAATATGAGCTTGTGTTATACATATAGTTCATATCCCGAAAACTCAAATGTGCCCGCAAGCTAGGTGGCCAACGTATGTACTTACACGTGGATACATTTACATGCATATACATTTACTGGAAACGACACATGACCTGGATTTAGGTATGCCCAGAAGGCTGCTTAATTTGATCTCACGCGCTTGGCTTGGCCTGGTATGTAATGGTGAATGATCCTTCCCACTTCCTAACTAGAACCCGAACGCTACATCATGAATCAACCATCGTTTTTCATGACATCTGCCTTGCTTCTTATTCTTAACATCAACCGACCGAATTGAAAATAAGCCAGCTTTTCAGATAGCGTCGACTATCTCCACCGGTACAACCTAGAGCAGGAAGAAAGTTGATATACCTCTGGCTCCTACTCACCAGCTACTTAAGTAGCTAGTAGGTAGTTGTGTAGGCTACGCATATCATTCGGTTACTTTTGCTACCATAATGTCATCTCACAGTAAGCCCCTTTAAAGTTTGTCAAGAGCCCACAAGGCGCCCCGCCAACTAATTATTAATTGTAACACTGTTTCTCCTTAGCCTTTGAAGATGTCGCTGCCATAAAAGTGGAACCAGCTGATGACTTACACCCTGTACAACCAACCGTGCTTCGAAATATACACGACGAGCCTTCGGGTTATGCTCCGTCAAGTACTTCAGGATTCAAAGACTATCCTATATTCGACAACAGCTCTAGATTTACTGCGTGCACTAGCCCTGCCCCGACTGAGATCGCGGAGTACGCCACAACCGGCCAAAAATGCATTTTCCACTGGCTCCCCTGTTCATTTCAAGCCGATCACTTCGACGATTGGCTAGAACACACCGAAAGTCATATTATGCGCGCGGAATGGGGAAATCAGTCGAACTTGGTGCTAGCTGGCATGCCAAACTTATGGAACTGTGGCTTTGGTTGTGGTTTTCAAATTGAAGAAAACCACGACCCAAAATCAATTTGGGAGGATAAACTTCGCCACATATACCAACACCTACTAGACAAAAGGCCGGTAGAAGATTTAAAGGAGGATTCGGCCTGGATGGAGTACTATCACCCACATGTTGGCATACGGAAGCAAACCTCGCCTGTTAAAGACCGAGATGTCGAAAAGGAAACGACCCCGTTGATTTCGAACGAGCGCCTGATTCTCTCTAGAAGCATCGTGCGCGTGCGTAGGAGTCTCCCCTGCAGAGATTATTCTATGCTCGATTGCAACGATGTTTTCTTGAATCGAAGGATCCTTGATGATCACATGCTACATGTACACGGAATCAAAGCATATCGTTGTCTTAAACATGGCTGTTCTTATCAGACTGCAAGATACGATAACCTGCGTTCTCATGTGAAGTGGCGCCATGGGCCCGGGGTTGACACCACAACCAAACGTTCCGAAAGCGCGGAGCCAACTGAGTTAGCTGAACATAAACGACCACGTCACCATATCTATACGAAGCCTATACCAAGGTTCAGCGACACAGAAACCACTGAGAATCGCAAAGGGAAAGTTGACAATGAAAGGACACTTCTCCATCCACCGTCCAAGTTTAGAGGCCTCCTACCAGCGCTAGCGGATACATTATCTGCGCTACAAGTCGACGGATCTGCGAAAAAAGAAATACAATCACCTAGGGATGAATTTGAACTTACCGTTACTAACAATACAAGCTTCAGAGTCGATAATATTTTGGATGCAGCTGAGTCTGGAAGAGAAAATAAAGCTCAAAAGCATGTGGGGAGAAGTCCTCCACTGGAGATCCTAGGTCCGAGCCCGTTCAATACAAGCGAACCACCAGGAGAAGCAGGTGCGAACCAAAAAAGCTCTACAATAGTCCCAGATCACATAAGAGCCACTAGCCATAGGGCGGCTAAGGAAACGGCAATCGACACTCTTGGAAATCAGCTTCTCCGTGAGACTGCTGCTCGGGTGAGGGCGTACGCACTACAAACCGTAGCAGAGCTACTTCGGCAGCAGTTTGCGGAGTGCTCGCTGCGTTTTACGAACCCAAATGCCACTGCGGATACTGGAGAAAGCTCATCCAGTGGAGAGCTTGTGTCATCTACAGAGTCGGGCAGCCGAACATCCTTGCCAACAGCTGAGCTTAATCAGGGGCGATCAATTTGGAACAAAAGAAAAGCCCCGAGCCGGCAAGAGGGTGAAGGTGCAGACGATGACGATGAAGATGATGAGGACAACAGAAAGAAAAGGCCTCGTATGAGCAAATCCAGCTTATGCACCCCATGCGTTCGACGATACGCTTGCATATATTTTGCCAATGCCATGGATTCCAAGGATAGTCACTTCCTAAACGTTGACCTTACACGATGGCAAACAGAATGTTATCGGTCAGGCTTTGAGACCGTAGCGAGAGTTAAGTAGGATGCCTAGTCTTCTCTCTCGTCCCAAGCGAGCAATGACTCAAATGTTGTCTATATTTATAGGAGCCATCTCTACAGTCACCATCAATGGGGATGTAAAAAGTGCTATCGGAATTTTCCAACTGCCGAAGCACATTATGATCATAGTCACGGTGACTGCCAAGAATCAACAGAGACAGCACCAGTCTTTCTATCTCGTGAGCAAATCAGTCAGCTCAAATCCAAGAAGCCTGTTCCTGGAGTCAACACAGAAGAGAAAAAGTGGCGGTCCATTTTCAGACTTGTGTTCCCGGATCAGGAGAGTATTCCTTCGCCATGTAAGTCTACTAGAATTTTGTGACTGGCTGAATTTAGCTGTTCTATTGGTTGACCTTGAACTTCCCGCTATAGATTGGGAAGCAATATCTTTGAATTGCAAGAGACAACATATTGATCCTTCCCAGTTATTAAACCTTCTGAAGAAGCAATTCGAGACGGCGCTCCTGACAATCAGGAGCTACTCAAGCCTTTTGACCAAGCCCTTCTTGGGATTAAAATCGTTTGGGGCAATGTGGTGGACGCTATCATGGAGAATTATCCAATCTCTGAGAACCCGAACGATATGGATATGGCGTCCTGGAAGGCTGTCTTCGAGGACATTGTGGAGAATACCGCGCGAAGTAACACGCGGAACGACGAAAGTGATCCTACACCCTCTCTTGTCAACTCAACGAATACTGCGAGCGAAAGTATCAGTGAGGTAGCTTATGAATTTTTCCAAGGAACCGCCTCTCCGACTATTCTGGAGTCTACAATCCCAAACCCCTTGTCGGACCCCCTATTCGGACTTGATAAGGCGCAGTTCAATGAACTTCCAGCTTGGGCAGAACCGTGGAAATTTAACCCCTTTACAGGAGAGCCTTTGGGAGGCAATTCTGCGTACCTGGGTGAAACGCCCATTGAATGGTTAAGCCAGGAGCTTTCACAATTTACAAATAATGAAAATTCGGACAGAACGGAGGCGGAATAGCTATAATACTCTATTCAGAAACTCGATTTCGTAAAGGTTATGATTGGATTTAAGAAGTCAACAAAGGTCAAATCAGCCCTTTACATTGTTGTACCACTTGACTTTTGTCCGTGTTCCCCAAAAAAGCCTAAGGCACCAAACTTTAAGGCCAAACTAAGTACTCAGCTAGACGAAGGCGGGGACTGAAGTACGATAACCCAGATTAAAAATACAAAAATAGGTAGTCGACGGAAACAAACAATTCAAGGAGGGCTGCCCTCCAAATCGCGATCAATAGTTTCCAAAATTTTTGGGATACTTTCCCGATCTGGTGCTTGAGGGAATGTGAGCCGTTCCAAAACTGCGGGCTCGGAATGCAAGTAGGCCAATAGTTGTGAGTCGCGACCGAGAATTCGGTTCCGTTTATGATCCTCCCTAAAAGCGGATTAGACTTGAAAGTAACGTGATACTAAGTCGTGAAGCACTAGATATAGTATCTTACCTCGATTCATCATTCCCTTTCTGAAGAGTGTTACTCTGGGAGCTTGTGCTGGAGGGTTCTGCTTGTGTAGAAAAGTTTAGTTAGAAAATTTCATGAAGTCTATGCGACTAATACTCAACCATGTGGCCGCGTAGCCAGAGAATTGTCTATCAATCGTGTATAGGACGGGCGGGTTTTATAGTACCATTGGATTGCGCGTTTGTAGAAGCCACAGGAGCCATTCTGCCTGATTTCCTTCAATTTGAAAATAGGAGATACGTTGTATGGTAGTATTGATAGTGAAGTGAGGATAATAACTAAACGTGGAACTTAAAGCTGAAGAAATTTGTGAAAGTTTGGTGATAGCGGAGATATTCTGAAGGGCGGTAAGTGCGAATAGTTCAGAGGTTACGGTTCCGTTCGTAGATGAAATGATAGTCTCGGTCCCAGGGCACCGTTCAGGCCTCAAGTGTATGAAATGATATCTTGATGCAGGTAGTTAAGTTTTATTTCCATTTGGACATACATACATCCATATTTATACATTTTCAACATCGTTGATGATAACTGTATTAACTTATAGATATTGCTCCGACCACGTTGAGATTATAGATGGACAATTAGAGAAACACAGATGTTGAAAATGCACGTGTGCACGTGTGCCAAACATAACCTGCACAATTCAGATTCAATGAATCCCTAAAATTAAGAAACTCGATTTCGCGGATCGCGAAGATGTGCGAAAGTCCAAATCGGATTTATAATATTTATGCAAGGCGGGATATGAGCGAAGGGGATTGTGAACGAGAGTGGTCGCGTGTGTGCGAACACCTAACTACCAAGGCCAGAGCGAAGCACTGGTTTGGGATTTTAGAAATCGCAGACCTGTGCGATTCCCTACTTTGCAAAATGCCCGAATGAGCAAAGCTCATTGTGCATGGATGATGTGTTGCACAAATGTCTGGTACGATGTTGGCGCAACACACAAGCCTGGATCTTGTGTTGCATTTTGGTATTCCTGTTTTTGGGACAGTCTCGTCTGAGCTAAGCTGGTTTAGTGTCGAGACTGCAGTCTCGTTTGGTCTTGTTGGCTTCGTTTCGCTGCGAGACTGAGTTAAGGGACCCTGGTCCTCATGCCAAACTGATGCTGTATTTAGCCTTAACGGACTGTTTCTGCAATACTCCAGCTATAAATCAATAAAATCTCGCACCTCTACCTCTGAGCCCGATAGCCAGTGCTGAGAACATAAGTCAATCTCAGGATAAGCCAGTGTGCCGATTTCAAAAAAAATTTCGTTCTGTAGGTTTCGAGGATCAAAAACACGTTGACAACATATAACCAATATAGATATCTAATATTTTGATGCAATGCTTCGAGAGACTTCGCACCACCAGTGTTCCTCACCCATGTATATTCGATGAGTTGAATTGAATGCTCCTCAGGCTGATAAATAGTCGAGCGCTCTTTCCTGTCCCGGTAGGTTATCTGTCACACTTGTATGAGTTTAGGCTGGGTATTATAATTTAAGCGCACAAGGCTGGCTTGTACTGCTTCGCTTAGACCCAGAAATCGCAGATATCGGTATGTGTGGGGTTGCCTCGCCACTTTCTGGTATTGTCCGATGGGCTTAGGTCAATCAATCGGAGCCAATTCTGCATCTAGTTTCTCGCAATAGATATTCCTATTCTACTATAATTATTGGTCTGGCGATGTGACCTTCCAGCCTCAGGTTTGGTATATGTAGAACTTTCACATACATGCATTGTGGCGCAGTATATTCCCTCCTGACACTCTATTGATTGATCGGGAATAATGTAGGATCATCACCGTTTAAATCGATCGAGAGGCAAAAATAGGCTCGGCAGTGGTGCCTATATTTTGTTAATCTATCCGTACCCAATCTGGGCTACTTATGACTATTCAAAATATGTATATATCTTTGCCTGGTCAGAATTGGTTGATGGGCTCTAGTCTCGATGATAGCTGATATAATGAAGCTATAATGTTTAGCTTCTCTAGAATTCTATTCTTTTACTCTCATCCTAAGGACTTATTTCTAAATACACGCATCTTTAGCCCAAAACTAGGCTTTACTTGGTTCTCTCGTATTCTTCATTTACAAAGCAAATCTAAAGCATGTTCTGTCCAGTTCAATTTCGCCTAGGGTCAAAGTGATACCCATGCTATTTCTCTAGAACCACAGCACTGTCCTTATAAGTGTTCCGTTCTCCTACTGAAGTATAAAGCCCTACTATAACGTCTTGTACAAGCTTGTGAATGCGGCAACCCTCGACAAGTGGGCCTGATAGTTGTACTTCCATCCCATCTTTACTTTATATTCATGATTGGAAATACGTCTTGGAGTTAAGAAGGCGCTAACATTTTCCCCTTCGCCGTTGTCATTCAGGGTATGAGCGAGATTATTTTTGATGATTTCCACTTTCAACAAGCTATTGCCAGCCAATGAAACCGTAGCTTAACCAGAGTACTGTACAGCCATTTGAACTATGACGTCATGTTTAAACCTTGGTATCGTGGGCCCGCGGAGTACTACGAGATGCACCGCATCATTATTCAAACAGGTATATTAATCAAAGGTGGTCGTAGGCGCGCGCGCATGAGCCAAGTTATGGGAAGGGGTGGTGATCAGTTTGGCGATGGATTAGGAATCTGCAAACATTTGACCGATGCCTATTCTGTGATCAGTTGTGGGTCAACTGGATGCGCTAGCTTTCTGACTTTCCCGCAGGTTCGGAGGGTCCTTATCTGCCAACTCTAGTCGATGCTCCGTTGTTAACATGTTATAGTGTAAATCGTAATAGTGTATGTGGATCGCGACTAGTGTAGCCAGCCCGAGCCCAAAATTTTGAGCGGTTACTAGTCTTAAGGCTGGGATGTTTTGAGCTTGAACTAGACTACGGCTGTGCCATGATTTATCATAGCACCGTCAGGCCCGCGGGTCCGCTTTTGTTCTATTCTTCAGTAGTTGAATTCATGAAGTCAGCTCCTGAGATATTATGGTATCGTACACGACGTATAAGCTGGAAGATCTATCCCAACGAATGAAATGTATGTTGAACGCCTTACATGCTCCTGCAATAATATTTTCTTGTTTTAATTTTGCCCCGGGCCCATGTGTGTGTGCTGTCGCAAACAAGTGGCAAACCTGTGGTATCGCGAGGTATCGCCCTCGAAAGTTACCCGGAGAGATTCTAATCACTAGTCAATGCGAATGTAGAAACACGATGCGAGCCGTGGCTTAAATACCCAATCGACGTCTATAGATTGTTAATGCACTGCGCGATGTAGTGAGAGCTGAAACGGGAGATAGCCATATACAACGGTTACTTGCTGATCATACGAGATCCATTAAGAGATAGGGTAAAATTGCCAGTGATGCAGTTTAAGGTGGACCCACAGAGCGATATAAAATGCGCAGTGGCGCAAGCTAGATTGTCGATCTTGAGACGGCCTCATGACCGTATTCATATACTCTCCGTTTTCCTGTGAACTCTATTTTTCTCCTCGAGACGAAGGACTTTTAAAGATTCCACTGGTCCCGGGTTGGTTTAAGCTACGTTGAGCCAAGATTTAGCGAACCAGGCAATCCCAGCAAAAGCACAGACCGGAAATAGGAAGTCCGACCGAAATGGGGCTACTGTATCTGGTTAGATTGTGTCACAAAAGCAAAATTCAACACAATGAAGAGCTAGGAGTAACACATCCAGATAATCTGTCAATCAGTTGTTGCATGTTGTCGATGGATGTGATTATAAAAGCTACAACTTTAGGAGGTGAGCGTGGGGTAGAAGTTCGAAAATTATGATATCTTTTAAACAAATTACCAGAAAACCAGCTTACTTAGTTACTAGCACTATAACTCTTCTACAATATGCCTATGTAAGTTGCTAGACAATCCCTTGGGCTGGGGCGTATGGCAACGGGGCAACATTACCCTCGCTGTCTTTACTACATGAAATGTAATATCAAAAGTTGGTTATATTCTAATATCGATCTCTCTACCAGGTTAAACGATCCCTCACGAAAGTACAAACCTTTCAAGCCTCTACGTTTACCAGGACGCCAATGGCCTGATCAGACGATCACCAAAGCTCCTAGATGGCTAAATACGGATCTCAGGGATGGGAACCAGTCATTGGCTAACCCTCTGGTAAGATAGTTGTTCAACTTTATCAACTATGGCCTCTCTAGCTAAACCATAGAATAGGACGGAGAGCAGAAACTACGTTTCTTCAATTTGCTAGTCGAGATCGGATACAAGGAAATCGAGATCTCGTTTCCTGCCGCGTCACAGATCGATTTCGACTTCACACGACATCTAATTGAAACTCCGAACTTGGTTCCAGAAGACGTTGTCCTCCAAGTGATCTCACCATGCCGCAAGGATCTCATCAAGCGGACTGCCGAGGCCTTATATGGTGCGAAGAAAGTTATTTTCCATCTATACCTAGCAACTAGCGAATGCTTTCGGCGAATAGTTTTCAACAATATGACGGAGGACGAAACTCTGAACCTTGCGGTCGAGTGTACAAAGTTAGTCCGAAGTTTGACAAAGGATTCTCCAGATCCTGCCGTCAGAGCAACTGAATGGCAGTATCAATTCACCCCAGAGACTTTCTCTGATACTTCACTTGAGTACTCCATCAAGCTCTGTAATGCGGTTAGAGAAGCATGGGAGCCTACAACACACCCAATCATTTTTAATTTACCGGCGACTGTGGAACTCTCGACACCAAATGTCTATGCCGATCAGATTGAGTATTTTTGCAAAAACATTTCAGAAAGAGAGAAAGTCTGCGTTTCGCTTCATCCTCATAATGATCGTGGCTGCGCGGTAGCTGCATCAGAGTTAGCGCAAATGGCTGGAGCAGACCGTGTGGAAGGATGTTTATTTGGCAACGGGGAGCGAACTGGAAACGTCGACCTTGTTACTCTAGCTCTGAACCTTTACACCCAAGGTAAATCTCGGCCTCAGGTTTTGCAGTTAGTTATTATTAAGAGTATATCGAACGGCTGGCTAACATTCATCTCAATTAGGAATCTCTCCTGGTGTCGATTTTTCGGATATTAGCAAAGTCATCAGCACAGTAGAAGACCTAACCAAGATACCCGTTCATCCAAGGCAGCCGTATGGTGGCCAGTTCGCAGTCTGCGCCTTCTCTGGTAGCCACCAAGACGCTATTAAAAAGGGTTTCCAGTCTCGCAAGGACTTGACGGACGACGATCCCTGGGTGATGCCATATCTCCCTTTCGATTCCCAGGATATTGGCCGGAATTACGAGGCAGTAATCCGGGTCAATAGTCAAAGCGGTAAGGGAGGAGTAGCATGGATAATTCTCCAAAACCTTCACCTAGATATCCCAAAGCCACTGCAGCAAGCCTTCTCCAAAATTGTTCAAAAGCACACCGAGACGGTAAACCGAGAGCTCCAGCCGGCAGAGATCGTGAAGCTGTTTGAAGAGGCTTACCTTCCAAAGGCCAATTCTCCAATCAGATTAGTAGACTACTGTATCAGGACAGACAGAGCGACCTCCAATGATAATTTTCCTATAACAAACGAGGCTGCTGAGCAGCAGAGCGGCCTCCATTTTGAGGGAACTATTGCCCTGAACGGGGTGGAGAAACCTATCAAAGGAGAGGGGAACGGCACGATCTCAAGTCTAGTAAACTGCCTTAACGGGCTTGGGGTTGACCTTACCGTTAACTACTTTAAGGAGCAAGCTGTCGGCTCGGAGGGTGTCAACAATACGAAGGCTGCGGCGTACATCGAATGCTCACTTTCAGCCAAAAACGGTGGTAAACGGGAGCTAGTTTGGGGTGTGGGTCTTCACGAAGATATGGTGCAAGCTGGTCTGATGGCATTGCTTAGTGCTGCTAGCTCCGCCCATGAAAACCGGCTAGAAGATGCCACCCAACTAAAGTCGGCCACTCACCCACACCTAAAAACTTCGGCAATCAAAGTTCCAAGCACCATGGTCACAGTTACAGAGCTGTGTAGTGATGTAGACTAGTGAACATGGGCCTCCCAGGGACATGTAGGAACTATGCTATCTCATAGAGAGATTTATAGATATCAACTTGGGAGTCTGTCAAGTTTGTAGGATGTTGATGGGAGATCGATTATCGGGAATCTGGGTAAATGGGTTGGGTGGCCAATTTCTTTGTTTCATACGCTAGTTTAGTGAATACTTGTTACTCGAACGCATAGATTGGAACCCCATAGCATCAAGGCAGCCTTTTGACAAATTTTTACAAATCAACTCGTTCCTGTTCTACGATAAATTAAATCCTTAAATTGAATAATCCGAGGCTGTACGTAGCAATGTTCAGAGACCGTCCATATCGGGTTAGCCACTTTTAAGATCTTGCACTTATTCCCGACGCCACAGTCCGTCTAGTCGTTTCCCGGCGTTCGTACAGTCCATCCACTGGGACACTTGCGGTTCTGGAACACTCCTATATCATGCAGGAAGGTACATTAGGCATACTATATCCTTCGTATGCAGATCCGGATGGGTTCTCTTGCTTATACGACCCGGATGTTTTAACCCTATCAGATACTGGCTAAACCTTTCGCTGTCGTCGACAGTACCACATATGGTGATATTACTTTTTTAAAATGTTCGAACGTTAGGTGTTTCCATTTCCCTGTCACCGAGGCTACATACATATGCTACATGCACGTCTGCTCCGCTCATACTCTATGCATGCAAAAGATACCCGATACCAGGTACAATGATTCACTACGAATTTATCTTCTAATCTGATAAACACCGCTTGGGATAACGCAGCCTGAGACAAACACTTCTAAAAAATCACTATTAAGGCAGAATTACTCAATTTATGTTCTAGTTTTTGTAGAATACACGTGCCGCCAGAGCCTTCGCCTCGAAGATATTTACATAGTCGGTTAGTGTCCACGGTAAGATGCAAGGATGGTATCGTCCCAACTATATTACCGTATTAGTTGATGTTAATACTTTAAAATGAAAATGGTTCGATTTTAAGTAGAGAACTTACTTGAGATACTTTCCGCTGAGTGATTTTTCCATGTTGAGTGAAAGATTTCCGAGGACGGTTCCAACGTCACTCTGTAGTAAAGGCCAAAAAATCAGGAACCATTTCTCAAATTCAAGTTTTGCAAGACGTGGGAAGCCGCTCGGGTTCGCGAATGGGCAATCGAGAAACCACTTACCGGTTTTACTATTTGGCCACTTTCTTTCAGATTTATAAAAATGGACTGTTCTTGGTGTGGCATTACATCTCCGTGAACATCCCTCAACGCCTTTTGCATATCTGTATCCACGATTCCTGGTGCGATGGCGATGGATGATATTGCAGGTTCCTCATGAGCCAGTGTCATATTGAGATGGTTCAATGCGGCTTTACTTGAGCCATATGCCCCCCAACCCGTCTTCCCAAGAATTCAGACCATCAGTACTGGTCTTCTGGAAAGAAGATGACACAACACAAAGGCAACCTGTGCGTACTTAGGGTGAGGAGACTTACAAATGGCAATCCGACTGCTCCCGAGCTTACCATCACCACCCTCCCATTGGATTTTCGTAGCTCGGGAAGAGCATTCCTGATCAAGTCCACATTGGAAAAAAAATTTACCTGAAATGTGGTCGCCCAGCCTTCCAAATCCGCATCCTCGATTTTAGCGATGGGATCCAATGTCCCATGATTAAGTATTAGTGAATCTACTCGTCCCCACCGAGAAGTCGCACGGTCTATAATAGTCTCTCCAGCTTTGGGTTTCGCCCCCGAGGAAGGTGAGAAGTCCACAGAAACAGCTTCGAGGTTTTTATGAGATTTCGCCAGAGATTCAAGTGATTGAATATTGCGAGAGACAGCAAGAATGTTGGGGGGGTTTGGTAGTCCGAGAAGATGCACTAATATAGCGTGTCCAATGCCTTCAGTTTTCGACAATATGGATGCTAATATTAGTTTCATGTACTTGATAAAAAATGTTCTAGGTCTGCAGAAGAAGCAAGGGCCCGTGTATATCTACGATATATCCATACCTCGCCCTGCGCCAGTTAATATAACAGTGGGTACGTTAGTCATTTCAATATATCCTGAACCGGGGGTCACAGATAACATATATAAATTGTAGTACTCTGCGTTACCGAAAATGTTTCTCTGCATAAGCATGCTACGAGTGAGGTGCAGCTACAACCTGTTTTATATCTTCAGAAATGCGTTTTGCAAAAGCCCGATATCGCGATCGGTATATTCGATCGGATGTCAGAATAGAGTATTTCTACCCAGATAACCAGAGCGAATCCGGTATGAAGTTGCTGTGTTTTGTTGGCGCTGGTATCATGTTGATTTTCGGACTATTCAAAATAGCTCCGGCTGATTTCGTAAACCAGCCTCTTCGAAGTTCTAGCTAGTGCGTCTTATTTCGATCGGTTATAGTTACTTAAGTATGCTTTGATAAAAAACAAAAAACAAAGTTGCAGTGCAGTTAAAGCATAGGTGTGCATGCATACACATGCAGGACATATGCACAAAGTAACAAGTTTGTAGGTTTTCGAGGCATAATCCTTACCAGATTAAGGCTTGAATTGCCTTACCAAGGCAACCCCCAACTTCAGTCCCAATCTAGGATTTTACCGCAGTTCGCGTTTAATGAACATGGGCCTATCTTTCCCGTACATTGGAAGTTATTTGAAGACGGAGCGGGAGAGCTTGTCTCCACAATCCCCACAACACTAATATTGAGGATGTAGTAGCACAAATCTTATGAATGCAATGGAAACCATCGCTATCCTTCTTTTAGGAAGAACAGCCTTCAGAGCGAAGCTATACGTCATAGCTTGCGGGATTTATTGAATCGGTCTAACGTAGCTCATCGACCAGCTGGGACTCGCCAAAGAACTCGGCCGCCGCAATGACCCCCACCGGCTGTGAGAAGCTTCGGTTTTTCTCAGTCATCGGTTGCACTTACGACGGTAAACGGAGTTAGGGTGTTGGTACCTAAATAAGCTCCTTAAAACAAAGGTGTGGATCCGACGAATGGGACGAAACACTCCAATAAATACCGGAAGCTCACAATCAACAGCGTAGAACTTTAATTTAGTGGAAAACATCCACGTAGCTAGTATGTCTTCAAATCTAGATCGTCTAGATATAAAGCGATCGATTGTAATTGTGGAATAAATGATTGGCGCACCGGACTATCCTGTTGCCACAACTTCGACCGTCTAATTTTCCTTGAGCCTTTACATAATCTCAAGGATCTAAACTGCAACTCAAGGCTAATGATTCCTATTCCCATTATTTGCAACAAAAACTAGCTCAGGCCACTATTCCTGCTTGGAAGAATATTGAACGGTGGCGTTCATTTTTATTCGTGGTTCTATTCTACCATCATGTCACAAAAAGCCACGTCCGATTTAGTTATATATGCGAATGGCAGCGCTGTCGGTAAATGCAGCCAAGACATGATAGGCTCGAACAAGACTTTGGCAATCTCTATTATTCTTGGTGAAGCTAGCGGCCCTACATTCGGAGGTCGACTTATCAGCAAAACTGCGGGGTAATATTTTAGTCAAGCTTCTTTTGTGGCGCCATTTCTTGGAACGGCGCTAGCCTCTTCATATGCGTTCTTAAGAAATGAAACTCCGTTCTCGCTCCAATACCCATCTAGCGAGTCAATTTCAATCCCAAGGAAAACCCGACCTACTATATAGAGTAGCTTTCGTAAGATCACGCCCGATGCAAATGGCCGATTATCGCGGGGCGGCACTTTTAACTAGATGGAACCACTTTCCGCATTGCTTTGATCTTAGGCAAAGTAGATAAACCTACAAATAAATTCCCCTCAAGCTCAACGGCGTCGAACAGAAGGTTCTCTTGTCGATTGAAACAAACCGCCTTGAGCTAATTCAAAGTGAACTGTAAGATATCAGTTTTGAGGAACGCTGCCTAGTACTATGTCAGAATACCCTCGTGTTCAATCTTAGATTGCTTATATATCCGAGCCGCGTACTGCTGCTAGTCTCCCTATTGGTTTTATCAAAGAAGCTGGATATTGGATTTTTCTTTTGCCGCATCAGCATAACACCGGATTATCGATATCACTACTAAGTATTCATATCAAATTTGGAACTCCACTATACTCAATCGAATCAAAAATGAGTGCTATGGGGAGGTCCATACTTCGACGTCGAGAAATTCAGTGTGGCATAGGACGTCTCTGTGTTCTAAACTCAGTTGCTGCTCCGGTACCTCACAGGTCCCTGGGTAGCCCTGAGGCCCCGCGTTCAAGATATGGAAGCACGCTCGCACTCGCGGAATCTAACGAAATCCAATCATTGCAAGATTCTAATGATGTGTAAGGATCTGAGAGAACTCGAGCCCCACAAACTTTTTTGTTTGCCAGATATCATCGGTATTCAGTACTATCTATACGTTTAAACTTTTCTGACACTACGCATTAGCATAACCGGAACGATTGGGAACAAAACTCTCAAAGTAGCGAAGAGGAACCACCAAGAAAGCAGTAAGCAAGAATTTTAATACAATTTTGGCGTCTAGGTTTCTCGATATAACTGACGTGACTAAGATATAGCCACATGTACAAAAAAGGTCAGATCTGATCCCTAGAGAATCTTGCTCTATGGTACCATGGTCGGAATGCTCTGCATTAATACATCCCACGACTTATCGATTAACCTAGGTACCTAGGTATTGAGTTTCAGGGATGCTGACTTATTTAAATTCTAGGATGAGGTGGAGCATCCACCGGATCGCACTTTTGAAGAGATGGTGGTACTATTCCGTGAAATTGAAGCCTCTTTCCCAAAAAACCTCGGGGAGGATAGATGGTACCTTGTTCTTGTAAGCATCCCCACCCTATTTTCTGTTTGAACGCAGTGCGGTTAGACGACTGAAACTCGCTGGATTGCACTAAACGCGAAACTAACGCCCGCGTAAATTCAAGATAGCAACCCTAACATATGCGTCTGACCCTGCCCATGTTGCCGACCTTTATTCCTACTTAATATCTCAGCCTAAGTATTCAACGAGCGAATCAAGAAAAGCACTGATGAGACGAATCCGTGAAGCCCTAGTGAAGCTTGTCTGCCTTATTGGTGTATGTAAACCAATCACTGCTATATTTAGAATTGACGACGTTGAAAAGGATGAAGATCGAGATTATACCTTTAGCAGGGACGGATGGCAAGCGGATGAGAAAAATTTAGAGCGAGGAAAGGAGTTCTTGGGTAAAATCTATAGGCATAATATGCCACGAAACGATGAGAAATTTATCGCCCATAAAGATTTCGGTACGTATTGATCCACACAGGATGTTCGCCCGGTGAATTTGGTATCTAGAAGATATCCGATATATGATATACAGCAGAACTGACGGTACATATATTTCCATTCGGAACAGCCTGGATCACTTATAATATAACCTACGGTCTATACCTCTCTGATCACACTATATTAGACCCTTTTGATACAGAAGTGGTGGCGTTGTGTGGTATTTTGATACAAAATCTCGAGAGCGTGACTGCGTTCCATTTGAGAGGAGCGAGAAGACTTGGTATGACACCGGAAGATGTGGAAGGGCTACATGCATGCGTAAGTTATTTGTTAAACCCCCTTATAATAGTTTGATCAATCGACCTCAGGGTTTGGGTGTGAGCTGACACTGCCGTCGACTACCTTATAGTGCGAAAAGATCGCTAGATTTTGTCGTGTCCGAGTTGACAAAGTGCCTCGAGTCGCAGATATTGAACACGAAGTAGCATGGGAATAGGATGCTCAGAGTATGTCCAAGAATAAGGAAGAAACTCAGGTTATTGTACAGAGATTGCCGCACGAAGTACATTCCCTACTTGGGTCGTCTAAACTAGGTCCTGTTCAAGAGTTCCATGCATCGTTGGGTAATTGTGCTATCCAATTCTCTTAATTTTGTGTTGTAGGGAATCGGATTGATGCAGCTTAAACTTTCATCCACCATAACGAAGCCACACACTGTGTTTATGTAACTATTGCACTGTAATTAAAAATAATATTTGGGAGAATCAATTGAAGAATTTGAAGGGCCGAAATATCGAGTCTCGCAAGGCACAATGATACTTCAACGACCGGTTTACTCGTCGCGTCGTCCCAAGCCCGAGATCATTACAACCGACTTTCCGTTGGATCATAGCCGTTTACTTTGACAATCGTGACGGACACCGATAGGGCAGATTCTACGTATTAATCATATCGATAGAAAACGTATATTTAGATATTTTATTTACGTAACTAGACTTCAGCATCTTCGGATCCATGCACATGAGCTCATATGAGGTGCGGGTTTGGTTACACAGCCCATGCAACAAAGCTGTGCATTTGCAGACCAAAACGCAACACTGCCTCAAGAAATATATTCTCTTGGCGCTTTAAGGCTGAACAACGTGGTGTTCCCCTGATATCCTGGTATTATATAATGCCCCGGGCTCCAGCATCTTGAGTCGGGTCAGAAGCCAGAATATTTCACAGTACCTCGCACACCTATATCAACGGAAGAATAGATAAAAAAACTTTACAAAAGCAGCGCAAATTATACCAAAAAAACAACGAATGCAAAATAGTCATCCCCAAACACTTACTGTGTCGAATGGTCTGGATCCACTGCTTCAAGAAGGAAGGGGAGCTGGAGGCGGCGGCGGAGGTAGCGGTGCGGGAAGGGTTCGACATCGATCCCGAACTTGTGCATACATAACTGAAACCATAACCAATTGTATGACCTTATCCTAAGCGAACGAATTCCCAGTGTCCAAACCTAACTAACCGGTTACCAATTTTTAGCGGCAAATCCACTATACACTCAATCCTATGGTGTCAAATGCCCGCACAATGCGGCCTGCGCTTATTCTGCCTCCTATGTCGGATGCGTTGGTACATCAACATCGTCGGGGACCACCTCGGTGACGCCGACGACGAGACCGGTGCCTACAACTTGTATCGCTTTTGAGGATGTGGCAGCTTCCCTTTTAACCAGAACTGATATCTCACCTCAGACTCTTCTTTGGTAGGCTAGCTCCCTTCTAGAATTTTGATCGCGGATCTTGTTACGTACGTATGTAACTAATTGGATTTTAGCACGGGACCTTACGTGCTCTGTCAAACCTTTACCCTAGTGCAAAGTGAGAATACTTTTACTGGGTTTACCTGCCGTGCTTCCACAGTACCTAGTGCCACTGCTACCGGGGGTTCTTGGGGAACGTACCCCCCTACCAGTATTCCGACACCCATCGATCAGCTTTATCACATTGCCAAAGCTCCATATACCGAGACGGCAAGTTCGACCTCTACGGGGCCGGCAGTGACTTCTCCGTCCTCAGCATTTCAGGTCCACCCAGGAATGGACATATTATCTATTCCAGTCCTCTTGTTCTTCTTCCTCTTGTTCAAAGCCCTTTGAATGCATTTATAAAGCGGATTATAGACCTTACTTCCGCTACTGATTTTTATCAATCTACAACTCTGTCATCCTAGTGGAGTTATATAATAACTACTAAAGATATTTCTTTGTATATAGAAATGGATTGTAATAATTGGCAGATTTGGATCGTATCACGATATATGTTTCTGCGCATCTTAATGCACTTGTATGTACTGTTCCGAAATTCTAGAGAGCTAGGAGTCCCGAAAGAAAGTACATTTTCCACCACCCCGCTGGAACTACCCCCCCATGTTTTGGAGCATTGATCGTTACGGCACCTTACTCCTAGCTCATCTTCCGGTTCTTGTTTGATCGTAGATCTATAGACTTAGACGTATGCTCGTTTTCCTTATTGGCGTTGTACTATAGGCTATCCCGAAGACATCAACCAGGTTTGCGACAAGAGCATCAGGTGCGCCCACTTCATTTAGACTTGAAGGCTTCGCCTTCAACAAGTATGCTGGGGTTAACAAAGCATGCTCCACGGTGATATCTTCGAAACCACTCCGGAAAGTTTTAAATTCTTTGATATAGACAAAAATTGTATATTATTGACCCGGTCATGGAATTTGTATTGAGTATCGTCAACTTCTCGAAGATGACCATAAAAGGCTCGCACGGTGATCATAGCGCCAAACAACCTCTATCCCTTGTCTTAACCGGATGCCATAGATTCCGACATATGGATTCTTCCTTCGACCTAGACTCATCAGCTAAATCTCTATTCTTAAAAACTAAGTAGTACGACAGAAAGATGTGTCAATTGACTAGCCTTTTGATGGCGTTTCGGCGTCTGGCGATCGATGAGTTTTCCTATTTGAGCAGCCCTCATAGCATACATCTCATAGATCTAAATTCGAAATCGCGGATTGATTAAAACTGATAGACAATGTAAGAATAATAAAAGATGGTCATTAAAACTAAGTTGATAAATAAACAAGATTACAAGAAGCATCGCTTTCGATCTAAATAACATTTTTCGATACATGCATGTCCATAAATTCATATCAAGATCCCTCCAAAAGCTTAAATAGTAACTTCACTTCCATCAAACGCAAACATTTCTAAAGCCATACCCTTGATCAATATCATTCCTGACTCAATTTGCCCTGTGGGTGTTTGTTTAACAAAGTTGGGTCCAGCTTGCTTCTTGATGTCCTTGGCTGGCGCTTTTGTAGGTTGCAGTGTTGCCATTCTTTGCTCATTGGCAAGGTCAAGAATAGGAGCTGCAATACAAAATCCTGCTATTTCAGTGCCACCATCGACCATCTTGAAGCTGACCTTCGCTTCGCTCACCGAAAGCCCGGCAGCTACTGAGACTTCATAGAAAGTGCCGATAGATGCCTTAACACCAGCGGTCTTTCCTTCCGGCTTTTCCGTCTTGTCGATCCTGTCGCCTACCAGACCCGTTGCGGAAAGCCCAAATTTGGCCGGGCATTCACCGTTATCTAGGCTTCCAATTTTGAGGGTACCTTTGAACCCTCCCTTAAAATCCGCCCATGCCCCCAAAGTGGACCCTTTACCCCATGCTAAGCCAGCTCCGAGTCTTGCCATTCCGAAAACGCTCGCTTCGGCCTGCATGTTCAATTCGTCAAGGTCGAAAAAAGGCTTGAAGTTGGCGCCACCTTCAAATCCAGTCAATCGGCTTTCTGAAGGAGTTGTGGGACGCAATTCCATGGTTCCGTCGGGGATCGTGTAGTTTAATCCTGTAGTAAAGGCTCCAGCGACCTTGAGCTTACCTTCAAGGCCTCCGCCCACCATAACTACTGGTCCAACCGACACAGCTCCGATAGTAAAGGGTGTGATACCAGGGACGGGGAACAGGGCTACCATATCATCTTCCTCGGTCGCATCGAGGTCAACTGCAACCTTGTGTTTAATGGGAAGGCTACCAGTGACTCCTTTGGTTTCGACCCAGAATATGGGGTTGAGGAGCGAGCCACCGTTCATAAACCATTCAGCCCTGATGACCAATCTGCCTTTAGTCTGGCAGCCATTGCACTCGCTACTAAATTCCACAGGCCCGGTTGTAATGGGAGGATAGAGGGTTTTCTTTGCGTCTTCTTCTGTGGTTGCGAAGTCAAACGTCATAGGTTCACCCATGAGCAAGAGAATAATCGCTTCTTGGAAATTTACAACCTTTTCGACAATAGTAACGACAGCTTTGGCACCATTAGCAGCATCAGAAATATCCTTCATGATATCTTCAGCGACACCAACGATAACACCAGAAGCTAACTGAAAGTTATGAGCAAAGGCCTGTCCGACTTCCCCAGGGATCTTAGTGACGCCGTCAATGAAGGTATCTTCGGCGACAGCAAGTTCGGCAGGAATTTGTTTCATTCCATTCGTGAATGTCACTCCGGCATCGAAAAGTGCACCAGGAATTCTTTCCACGCCCTTGGCACCTTTGACAAGATCAGAAGGGAACTTTTCGAAGCTGTCAAGCGTATTGTCTTTGGCAGCACGAAGCGAGGATCCAAGACGTTCAAAAAAGCCGGGCCCGGGTTTTTGGACTCCACCACAGAAGACACCTAACATCTTCCATAAGTAGAAACAGTAGGCCTCCTCACGACGCATGATCCGTGCAGGAGAGGAAGTATCGGATGCTGAAGTTCGTCGAACATGTGGGCTAGTGCCGATTGACATCTTATGGTTCGGCGTGACCTCCTCCCAATCAACATTTTGGGTGGTGAAAGTCGTAGTCAAGTTTTTGGCATCGTTATCAACTTGAACGACTTTGTAGGGATGCCTCATGGCGTCGGGTCCACAACCGTCATGGTTCGCAATCAAGTAAAAGTAGTCGGTATCAGCGCCGTTGATCCAACCCCATTCCTTTTCCGCGCGGCCAATGGCTGCTTCGCTCCGGAATTTCAACGTTATAGTAGGTTCCTTACAGACGATGCTTTCGGTAAATGTGTCGAGTTCCTCGAGGGCAAGGAGGCGATGTTTCTGGTCCGGCTTTTGAATATCCATGTCAAAGACAACTTTACTATCCCCTACAGCCAAGACATTAGTTAGGTTTATTCTTCTTCGTCTTTGAGAAACAATTAATAGAAAAGAAACTTACGGTTATTGTGAGCCCAAAGGAGTTTCACCTCATCTTGAAGATTAAATCTGGACCAGTCTTCGTCCCTCTTTCGCAAGTGTGGATATAATTCCTCCGTGCGAATAGGTGGGACGTTGATAGGATCTTTTAGAGCATGTGAAGGGACTTCACCGAAAAATGCAAGCACTTGGGCACCACCCAGGCCTAAACACAATGCAACTGACGGAAAACTTGGTGGCCGCATGGCTTCTAAGTCTGTTGATTAATATTAGGGAAGTTATCACAATCAATGTGATATGAGAATAAGATAAACGGTATATAAGGAAATAAAGCAATAAGAAAAAGAATAAGAGAAGAGAAAATAGGAATTGCGATCAACGCGTCTCTGCCTGCAGAGTTGAGAATGTAAAGCTGGTTGATTGATAGTTTGTGACATTATTGAAGTACCGGCTACCCATTTATATATCAGGGCATCGATCGTATCTAGTACAAAGCTACAGGAACCACACTGTGAAGAAAATATCGTCAGCAAGCCTCTGAAAGAACGCTAGTATCCGCCACTGATGCAAGCATGGCTTGATGCGTTTCGAAACTCATGGTAAAGCTCTAATGCCAATCCCACCCCAAAGCCCAGAATTCAGTATGATTGAAAGACAACTCGAAACATGGGTCCAAATGTGGTAGTACATCATCCCAATAATGGTTTAGTACTTTTTCGCCGCCAATGTAGCACAGCCGAAGCTTAGCCATTCCACCCGTTTTGGCACGGGTTGGCCTGACTATCTGCATTGCTACACAATGTTGGCGGAGAGTTTTGTTTGATGTCGCCGAAAACAGGTTAAGTCGAAAATCTCAGTCTCCAGAATATTTTTTTCTTCGGTACGGAGTACGCTGACATCACAAAGACCCTGCCAAGAAAATAGGACGAGGCACCTTGATACGAAACAAGTTGTAACGTTCGCATGATATTTTGAGCTCAGGGGAAGACTCAATTATTGTTGTCTTAAAACCATCGAAGTCTTCATCACTTAGCTCGTCATACGCCTATATAAACATCAATACGGCCCCGCCTTCAGGCTTGACCAAAATCTTTACGATCCGTCCCAACCGACTCAGTTACACGTTGAAAAAACCATTCATTAATTAATATTAATTGCAACTCTTTTCTCCTCCACCGCATTCCTTCGTTCCCAAGGCTGGCCTTGTGATCTGAACTCGAAATCTTACTTAAAATAAAATCGCATTCAACCAATCTACCCTCAAAACATCACCATGAAGGCACAAACTTTCCTTGTCGCAACTCTTTTATTCTTCACAACCTCGTTGGCTGCCCCGCAATCTTACGCAGATTTAGCAGGGGGGCGCAGGGGGGCTCATCTTGTTCAAAGAGCTGAAGGCGATCTTCCACCAGGAGCTTTCAAAACAATCATGATCAAGCAGCTCACTGCTGCCATAAAGGATCCAAAAGTTCTTTCCACGTTAGAAGCAGTCCCAGCAGATGTTTTTGACAAATTGTATGGATTAGAGGGGACACAACTGGCTACGGCGGTAAAGTCCCTTCTTTCTGGGCAGACCCCACAAGGAATTTAGACTATCGCATCATGTTTGTGATAAAAAACATTTATTATTCGGTTGTTAAAGCCCAGTTTATTCATGTATAATCGCGATATTTGTCTTCTTTCAAATCTTATAACTATTTTGCACCGATAATAAACCGTCAATTTGGAGGTTGGATGCTAGTTTTGACTTTTGGGGAGCTTCGGGCGTCTGTAAGCAAAATTATGATATACACAATTTAAAACGCAATTGTTGATCGTGGAAACTATGGTCTGCTTCAATAAATATGTTTTCTAATTTCGTTCCTTACGCATTAATCATAAGCTTCCAATTTCTACAATTTATTCATTGTGGGTTCCTTAATATATTTGATCACGACCGGATGGCTACCTAAGCTGCCAACAATCAAAATTGGATCGCCTTTGTATTGGAGTCGAAAAGTAGATCCTCCATCCCGATTGCATCGTTGTCATCATATTTAGACAAATAATTACCCACATTTGCCAATTACCAGTTCAAAATATCCTAAATATTCAATATTTAATCAAAACCCTCTTTGGCTCTAGTTGTAGTCCATGAACTCAGCATCACCCCTGCACACGCAACACATCGAAGAGCTATCTTGGATTTGAGTTTGGGGCGAGAAAGATCTAATACCAGGAAGAAAATGAATGTTTTTGCATGATCCTGATATCGCTATTGTTGATCAAAGTTATGTCGATGCTAGATTTGCCTCATACTTCTATCTTCAATCCGAGCGAAGTGAGCAATATTTCAGCGTCTTGGTAGACGTCCAGATTTTGGAAAGGGAATCCCGGCAGAAGGATCCACTACCCATTCAAATACAGGACTTTGATCAATTGAACGAATATTTATCGGCTGGGCTGGTCTCGCTTGGTTGCCACGCAACAAATACAACACTTTAGTCCTTGCACAAAAGATCTCGATCTCAAATAGTCATATCCGAAATGTTATTTTAACATGTTTTGCATCGAAAATTGAGAATACAATTAATACAATTCAGCTAAACCGGAGTACCACGAGTGCACACAAGTATTCCTAGGTGGGGGTCATATACAATCGGCAAGTTCTAGGCTCGCGCGTAATCATAAAACATCCAATGGATGCCATCTAAGAAAAAAAACAATTTTTAACACGGTAGAACGGGTGCAACATGGTAAAAACCAACCATCAACATTGCAAAGACGCAAGATCGTGCAATATGGTTGGCAAGCAGTCGCCCGGCTTCATCGCCTCCAACGATGAAATAGACATTCGAACGTGTATGCATCCTCAAAATACTATTACGTAAGGACGTTCTATACTCCAAGCCGTCTGCTCCGCTTTGACAAATCCAGAACGCTTCTCAGAAAGGTCGATTGCTTCAGAGCAGGCCAGTTTTCATCCACAATGGCAAGCTCTGCGTGCTGCGACTCCCATAAAGCGAAACCACTTAATCGATGCTCACCGCCAGGCCGAAATATTGAGCCTATCCGCGGTAACCCTAGTTGCGCTGAGTAAATATTCTGAGACATATCTGCCTCAGTAATCGTCGCGATAGCCTCATTCGAAGAAAGACCTTGTTTTATCTTATTATCAAGAGCCATTTTAGTCGCTCTTAGAATTTCGGAACGCCCGCCGTAACCAAGCGCGAGCTGGAGGTTGAACTTGAAATTCGCTGTAGCGGCCTCAGCTTTCTCAATGGTCTCATTAAGTTGATCCGGGAGAATAGACCTGTCACCGATGACCCGAAACCGAACGTTCAAAAGGGCAAAAGGTACATCGCCCATCATCATCTCGTTAATATAATCCGTTATCATTACAAATAATGGATCTAATTCGTCACGGCCTCGCTTCAAATTATCATGTGACAGAGCCCATACGGTGAGGTTCTGAATGCCAACACTGAAGGCCCACGACATAACCTGAAGGAGTTTGAAGGCGCCAACTTTGTGGCCTTCGGTTACAGTGCTGAGCCCTCTGATCCTGCTATAACGACGGTTGCCATCCATAATAACTCCCAAATGTTGGATTGGAGGACCGTTTCTAGAATCCTCCAAGAGTCTTCCACGGTAGTAAGAGCATTTCACCAGTTCTATGACGTCCTCCCAAAGATCAGGGAATATAGGTATGGGCCGCTCATCAATTTCCATTCCTGAAATACGGGACCCAGATTCTGCGCCACCACGTTTACGAAGACCTTGGCCTGGTAAGTTTTTTGGGGTGGATTCGCCTTTGGTACCGAATATTTCCTGGTAGAGTCCAATGGGTACATCTTCCAAGTTTGGGTATCTAGTAATCAGGAGCTCTAGAGTACCATCAAATGTGAGCATTGATGGGCAGGCACTATAGTGAAATAGTGCTAGGAATCGATGAACCTTCCGGATACACCACCATGCAGTACCGCCCACAAAATCCCGCTTGTGGCGGGCTTGATCTTGTGTAAGCACTTTCCCCGATAAACTTATAGCAAACCGTATCAAAAAGGCGAATCGAATCGAGGTGAGGGGCTGCCTGAAGAAAAAGGGCAAACTGTTGCTTTGTGGATCGGTGCACACTTTCTGCAATTTAATGCTCTCCAGAAGTTTCTCCAGTGGTACATTGCTGTCGAGGGGGAGCCGGTTTCGCAGATAGTTCTGAATCTCCGCCATCGTATTCGGCACCCCTTTCCCATAATCTTTTGGATCTAGCTTGTTTGCCATGGCCATCACACCTTTGATGATTATCTCAACTTCATCTGGGGCCTGCCCAGAAATTCGTGCGACTTGGCCAACGCGTACGCAAAAGTAGCAAAGACAAAGACATTCGTCTCAAATTCAAAGAGTGGAATGTTGCGGTGTATGTTTTGCAGCCACCGGACAACTTGCTGCCGTTCAGCGCCCTTGTTGGAACGAACCATAATATATATAAAAGCCAACGTCCGAGTTAGGCGACGCCAGGGGTCTGACTTGTAGGTACTGTGGGCCTCAATCGCTTTCGACATGCCGTGGTGAGATAGTTGAAGGGACGAGGCGATGAGAACCGCAGAGAGCATAATGTCGCCGCGGTCGTATAGAGAATGTAACTCTTCGAATGAATGGTATTCGTTTTGCCATATAAACTGGGTGGTTCTAAATTCACGCCATAGATGGTAGAGCCTCCTTGCGCACCGAGAAACCGCGATCGCTGTGAAAGGGAGCAAGACGAGTAGACCACCCGCTAGCATAAGGATTACTGGGTCCATTTTTTTTCCAGTTGGAAGAAGACGCGATCTCCGTTAGGGTTTTGAGAAAGCTTTCCCCCCGGAATAATGCCGAAAACTGGAATGAAAGGTCCTCTAGATGGATAAGAATAAATGGTTATTGAAGTGAATATAAAGACTCAATCTGAAATGGGGAATGATGTTCTTATATAATTATACTTCATATAAATAAGGAAAAATCAAAGAATTTCTTCTAACTATATCGATAGCAAAATATTGAGTAGACGATAAAGGCCCTGGTGCATAAATTTCACGCTTCGTTTACACAAACAGCGTGTAGAACCTCTCCACCAACTGTAAAAAAGTAATCTTATAAGTTATCCCCAAGTAAGGGTCGGCACTCTTGCAGGTCACCGCACGCGCTTTTACAGGTCACTACAAGGCTACTCCGCTCTATAGCCTAGAAGCATGCAGGACAGTCCAGATCATCGACCGGGAGGAGAAAGCACTCATTCCACTGGCGAAGCTTTGAACCAATAGAATTAATATTTGCTATCACATTAGCAGGGACAGGCATATTCAGGCAAATTCCGGATCCCTCGTTTTCCATGGTCAGGCAGATGGTAATTAGGTAGAAAGGAAGGAAGTCTGGGGCCAGAAGAATCTCTCAATGCACGTAAGATAGAGATTAATTGGTGGTTTATAGTCTTATAAACTCCAAATTGAGCGCCGACCTAATGATTTGCGTTTTAGATCGCCGGATAGCTAATAGTATCGGCAGCCGCAGTTGCATCCCAATATGATTGGTACTATAGAGCTAAGAATCCTTTTGAGAAAATACTGAACAAGCTTTTTTGTGTATCAGTCGAGCAGTTTTCTAATCTGTATCCCGAGCGTAACGTCTTGTTGCGCACACAATGCTCAAGGTTCGGAACCTATATACCCGACTTGAAAGGACTATGGTCTTAGTCTTGGATGATCTGGCAATAAACTCGCCTGACTGCCGGGCGCGGAACCTCGCTTGATTTCTGGAGTGCATTAGTTTCATTTTTTTCTGTTGATGTAGGCGAGTAAACACATTGACACTACTCATACACGTCAGATGATTTGACTAAAATAGGGAAACCTCCTCCAGAATCCCTGCAGGGTAGCTCCCGGGTTCCGAGAATTTGAATGTTCATGCATGTACCATGGATGACCATGAAATTTTTTATTAAATAAACGTTTGGGTGATAGGGCCGCAGAGGTGGAAAGTGGGCTTGGGTGCTCGGGACTGTTGGATATATAACGGTCATTGGATCTGCGAGTAAACAACACGACTTTCGCACAAAAAACTTCATTCCACAAGAAAAGCGTTAAAAGATGATTACAGTCTCCCGCAGGGACCTGCGCAACCCGAATTTTTTAAAAGAAAACAAGAAAGCCTACTATGCTGAATTGAGACGGCCGCTAGTTGGCACCGAAGGTGTCGACCCAACAACCAACACATTGATGGGCGATCAGGCGAAAATGAGTCTGAATTCTGAAGTCCATTGACCAAGTACTTAAAGGTGCGATGCGCAGCGAATACGAGAAGACCACGGGCATCCAGCGACACCTATTCACTTTGTGCTTTGGTTATATTATTGGTGAGAAAATGGCAGACCCTCGTATACGTGCGCTTTTGGGTGCTGCGATACTGGAATATGTGTCAGATTGTTCAACGTTCGAGAGTGTGAGACAAGCCATTATAAATTTTGAAGAAGAGGCGGACAGCAAAAATGGTAGCGGATTGGAGGTTTCCAGAGCGGTTTCAAGACGGTCTACCCTCGAATTTGTAGACATACGATCGTTTAATCGGATAACAGGTCGCGGAACCAACCCTTCAATAATATACCCAAACGAAGCTTTGTCAACTATGACATTGGGGGCTGGATGGGCTGGTACGATATATGAGATCATAGCGCTAGGCTTTCCGGAGTGCATGCCCCCTTATGAGGCTTGTGTTCTCATGGAGCAAACAGCAGCCATGATGAATTTTATAGCATCACTCCCTCGCGACCAGCGGACAAACACTCAAAACGCCCTAATACCCGTTTGGTCCGAGCCGGGCACGGATTTGGCGGTGGATTTTAAGACGTTATCAGATTACAGCGATAATACTCGCGGACCAGAATTGTCAGCCATTGGGCAATATTCGGCATCCCACAACAACCACTCTCGATATATTATGCTCGCTGTGTTCCTCGCTGCGGCTAGACTAGGAAAAACTCCATTATCGGGTTTTCGGGATATTCACTTGGCGAAGGCGATCGAGCTAGCACCGAAAATCCAGGTCCCTACGAACCGCCTATGCACGCCACACGAAGACAGAATGCCGCGAATCACCAGCATCATTACCCATTTATGGGAGTACATTGAACGCAGTAATGACCAAAAAACAGATGACTGTATTGCGTCAGCACAGCGTGCATTGCATCGAGTCATAGATGAAGAAATTCAAGGTATCTGCTGGATGAGGAAGGATCCAGCAGTTTTATGGGCGGTGTGCGCAGCACTGTTTTGGACTATGTTGAACATTGACGGAATGGCTGCGTTTCTTCTTCAAGGAGACGCTTTCAAATTTCTTGAAGTGGAAAGTGATGGTTTCGAGGACTCTTGGTTAGATGAGATTTACGCCTCAAAGCCAGTGAAGCCTGAATTGTAGGCGAGACGCAAAATCCCAAATGGTCAATTACATAATGTTTCAAATTATATAGATGAGGAGATTATTATCACAGCTGCGCAGTAGTATCTTGCATCATTAGCTCCATATATATTATCAGAACTTTGATCAAAAACCATAAAAACTTTCAACAAATTTTGACGGGGTTTCCATCAAAAAGAAAATAAAAGTGAACAGGATTTGATGATCAATGTATTAGTTGAGAGTGGTATTGGTTGGCATGGAGAAAAATTAAATATAAAAAAAGGGTTTTAATAAAATATCAGTTTAATCGAAGTACATACATATAAATCATCATAAGAAATACTAGTCCCAAAAAAACCCAGATCGTACTAAGAATTTGGGTTTTAAGGAAATTGTGTAAGTGAGAATTAGGATCTTTATCTCAGCTCTGATATTGCGAATTATTCAACTGATATCCGGTGGTAGGTAGGTATACGTAGGTGATGAATATAGGTTAATATGTTGTTTAAATTAACTTATTTATGCACAATTAATATATAAAATGCATTTGGTACTTTTGGAAATTGTGTGTACTTCTGATACGTTTTGGCCATCATACGAAGGAAAAATAGGAGACATATGAGAACTTAAAAATGAAGTCAAACGACAAGGTTTCAACTAGCTGATGTTAAGATGGCTTAGCGCGATGTGCATTAGAGCATTGTCGTTGATTCGGATGAAATTATATGCACCATATTCCGAGAGCAAGCTTAGTCAGAGATGCCGCCACCAAGAATTGCAGGCCCGATGCATAGAAACCACACCAGCCGAAACTTTGATTCGACTGATTCGACTAGAATCTTAATGTAGCTATCTTATTCTTTGCGCTCTAGAGGAGTAACCAAATATGATCTAATATAAAAGTTCGGTCCCTCGAAGCTATTAAAATGATAGTATCGATACTGGAGTAGCAAGCGGCCACGGCAATAGCTACTCAACCAAAGTTTCAAACATTCGAAGGGCGTAAATTTTGGAGCAGAGAAAATCAAACTCCTGGACCGGGCGTGTTCGAGAAAGTCTGATATCCGATGGCTAGTATTGAATAAACCGTCAGCCAGTATCTAGATGCCCCAATAAAAGAAGTGAGAATAAACAACAAGGTCGCAGTCTTAAAAATGTCCAGATACTGCTGTATCATGATTTACTGCCACTAGCTTCCAACAATATATCATTTATATAAATTTAATATTTATAATAAAAATAATTTTGTGGGGTAAAAGGAAGCAGAAATAAAAAGCATGTAGGTTCTACAATCTAGAATTTTTGATATAGTTTTTGCTTATTTTGCTTGGTATTATATAAAAAAAAGGTATATCTTATTATGGCGTCGTAAATGTATGACGTTCCAAATGTGTCAGATGTTTTTTATGTATATGTTGAATGAAAATAAGGGCCCTTTAATTAATCATGTTTGAGAACTACTCTACCTACTTTCGGCCACATTAGGCGCCCACACGTCTTATTGTCTGGCCTATTGTCTGACCTATTGGCTGGTCTACTGGCTTGCCTACTGGTTGGCTTATTGGCTGGCCTATTGGCTGGATTATGGGCCGGTTTGTAGGCGGGTAGGCTGCCAACCAGCCTGTCTACCAACCCGCCTACTAGTTTAAAGACGTACAGGCTGGCCTGTGAACCAGCCTGTGAACCAGCCTGTGAACCAGCCTGTGAACCAGCCTGTGAACCAGCCTGTGAACCAGCCTGTGAACCAGCCTGTGAACTACCAGCCTATGAACCGCCAGCCTATGAGCCAGCTTATGAAACAGCCTGTGAATTAGTCTGTAAACTATTAGCCTGTCTATTGGCTTAAAAACTTACAGGTTGGTCTACTTCTCTTTGTGACGTCTGGGAACGAGACCAGGTTGGTCTAAAAATACCAGTATTAGTCTATGGGTCAGTCCTAAAATGGGTTGAGTGGTTATTAAATGTGATTAAGGAGCCCATTTTTTCTGCCTGATATACATAAAAACATTTGACACATTTGTATGGCGTCCTAAATGTGTCAGATTTTTTTAGGTATATATTGAATAAAAAAGTCGACCCCCTAGTCATATTTAGGAACTACGCTATCTACTTTCAGTTACACCAAACACCCACACATTTTACTATCTGGCCTATTGGCTGGCCTACTGGCTGAATTATGGGCCAATTCGCAGACAAGTAAGCTGTTTACCATATCTACCAGCCTATCTACCAGCCCACTTATTAGCTTATCTACCAGCTTAAAAACATACAAGCTAATATATAAACTAGCTTATACTAAACTATTAGTCTATAAACCACCAGCCTATAAACCAACCTATGAACCAGCCTGTGAACTGCCAACCTGTCGACAGCTGTCTACCAACTTGAAGACTTACATACTGACCTAGGAATACCAGTGCCAGTCTACAGGTTGGTCCGAAAATAAATTAAGTAATGACTAAATATAATTGAGGGGCCCACTTTTTCTGCCCGACATATACATAAAAATATTTGATATATTTGGGACGCCATACACGCAACAACGATCCGTAGCTTTGGTGCAAAACAAGGCTTCGCTTCCGGGTCGCTTAATGTTACACAGGAAATCTGCAGCACAGATCCCAAGCCTCAACTACACAGGGCAACCACAAAATCTTTGCCACGTCGTCAGTGGATTTTCTGCTAGCCTCCGATAGATACTCAAACTTGGAGCGTGCTATTCAACGACAAGAGAAAAAACAGCCAGTAAGATTCAATTTTAAAATGTGATCGCACTTCATTAGTAATACTCAATTTTGTGATTTGGCGCACGCGCTATCCGGAACTATGGAGGATTTATCGAATTATCCAGAAGGAAGCCCGAGTATGCAGGATGTAGGTTGGAAGGGGATGAATGGGTGTAGCGATGTATTACGATATTGGATAAACCGAAGGGAGCGGGGTTATGGAAAGGTTGCACAGTTGTCGGCATATGCATGCGATAATTGTTGGGGAAATGCGGTCAAGGTTACCCCTCGCGGGATAAGAAGTTAAGGGGGTAGTTTTGCCGAGCGGGTCGCAGGTCGCTTGGGAATCTAGGTTGAGTCCCAAGGCTGATCAATTTGTGAGCCGCATATGCATATGCGGTCGCCACGAATAAGAATTGGGACGAATACGTTTCTTGGATGAACTAAAATCGCCGAACAAGTATCCTAAGTATTTACTTAATTTTTCTGTCCACTCGAACATCAAAAACCTACCAGTTTGTACAGAGAACTTCCCGTAAAACTTCCAATATTACCATTCCTGGGTAAATATTGCGAAATCAGTAATTATAATTTTGTCGCTGTTCGGGAATATATGCTACTGGAGCACCCACGCGATAGAACTACGATCTAACATGCTTACAGTATGTTGAGATTTGCTTCAATTCTGTCGTAAATTAGACGTGTAAAAGATATTTTAAAATCCACGCAAGCGAGTCGTTTAATTTAAACTTTATTGTTTATTTGGACCCTACTTGTATAACTAGAACAACTACTTTGAAGTCCTGTACCGTAGATGCGTCGAGTCCTGCCCTCATGCCAGCAACAACCCTCCTGCTCAAGAACTCTCCGAGCTCTGTGATAACAAATCGCCTGCCCTATCATAATCATGATATGTTGAGAGGAACTTGCCGTATATTGCCAATTTTGTACATGTAAGTTGACGTGGCGAAAGAGCAGTATGTCCGCATTTACAACGTGCATTTGGCGTGCGTAGACAATCTAAGAGTATCTTCAGAGCTCTACTTCCCTACTTGCAGCATTTTATGATCAAGGCCAGCAATGTGGGACAGCTGACGTCACCTTCTTCTGGTTCAGCATGGATCCCATGTAAAGACTTTCGACGCCGGCAGTCTTAATGCATGAATCCACGAAGCCCTACCCCGCCTCGTTTCAATATACCCCCGCCCCACCAGCCGTACTCTAATATACCAGCCCCGAGCTCCAGAGCGAGTTAAAAGTTAACATTTAAGACCCATGAATTCCCAGTCGAAATACCTTTTACCGAATACTAGCAATCCAAGCAACCATCTTAATCGGACAACCAAGATATCAATTATCATCAGCCATGGACATGTAATATTCACTCAGCCACTTTGAGCAGAGATATTACCTTTTATCTAGGCTACCGAACTCTAATAAACATCGTAACTAAAACCGCAAGTATTACTGGCTCCAATATGTCTAAATACGATCAAAAATATCCTAGCCCCGAAGACTTCGAAGTCGCCATAATATGTGCACTACCACTAGAATACGACGCCATCTTCCTTTTATTTGATGAAGAGTATAACCAGAACGCATGCGATTCTGATTATAAGACAGGCCGCATTGGGAAGCACAAAGTAGTGCTAGCTTTGCTCCATAGGATGGGTAAAGCTAGCGCCGCGAGCAAGGCAGCTGCCATCAAAAAAGATTTTCCTGATATAGAATTGTCTTTCCTCGTCGGAATCTGCGGGGGTGTGCCTTACTACAAGCATAAAAATGACCAGGAGGAAATCCTACTGGGAGACGTAGCGATCGGCAATGCAATCCGCCAATACGACTTCGGGAAACAATACCCAGGCGGCTATTCCATCACAGGGAGCTTGAAGAGCCCTGAAACAAAAACTATTCTCACAATGTTGACCAAGCTGCGGACGGATAGCACCCTAAAACGCATCCAACAACTGGCAGAAAAGAATATCAAAACCCTTCAAATCAGTAACGACATATACAAATATCCAGGTGCCTCCGCGGACAAGCTATTCAAACCGGAATATCGCCACCAACACCGCGGATACCAGAACCCGAGCTGCGGTGCGTGTAGTAATGGGTCGGATTCAGGTTCGATATGCAACAACGCTGTGGACTCCTCGTGCGAAGATTTGGGATGCGAGCAGCAATATCTCGTACCGAGGAATAAACTCTTGAGGATGCCGAATGGGAGTATTCATCTGCCATCCATTCACATTGGGATCATCGGGTCAGGTGATACCGTTATAAAATGTGGAGAACACCGTGACAGGCTCGCGAAGTCGAATAACATTATCGCATTTGAGATGGAAGGTGCGGGTATTTCTGAGGACATACCGTGCATCGTTATCAAAGGTGTATGTGACTACGCGGACTCCCACAAGAACAAGAAATGGCAGGATTTCGCAGCAGGGACAGCATCTTCTGTGTTGAAAGCTATCCTGGAACATTTCGTCTTATTCAACCACAAAGGGGATAGAGTCCAGTCGCCTCCCCAGTCGCCGCCGCCGCCACCCTACTCACCCTTTGTACGAGCGATTGCGATTCCGGAACGAATCGAAGATCCAGAACGCATGAAAAGGGTGCGTGATATACGAAATAAGCTGCCGCACTTGGTCACCAGTATTTCCGATGATCTGGCAAATAGGTTGCGATGGACTCCATATCTAAGTGCGGCCCCATCCGCTATTTGCGTCATAGCGGCTTGCCTTGTTGCCGGAAATCAAAAAACAACTAGTATCATTAAAGTCGATATTCAATCAATCGAGATCGAAGGAATCAAAATCACGCCGTAAGTTTGTATATTCATCTATCGATCTAAGAAACTAGCATTACTGATTTCAATAGACGTAAATATCTTGGCGCAAACTTAGAATATTGCAGCCAACTTGGAAGGAAAGCATTTAATGATGCTGAGACGAGGATGGGTAGGCTTCGGAATCAAGCCAAACTCATGACAGGGATGACAGGGCCTGTATGCCGTAGTCCTATGCTAATAATTCATAACTTTGTGGATATTTACTAAATGTTGATTAAACAGCTATCACAAATCGTGCAGATACTCAATGACTCCAAGCCCGACTTTTCCAGTCTTGAGAAGTGGATGAATAATCTAGTCAATTCGGCGGCCACCTGCCAGAGCGAAGCAAAGATTATGAAATCTAACTTTGAAGCTCTCCTGGAATTCATAATGGAGCTCAAGACACAAGCGATAGATGCATGCTGTAAGTATTATATCTCTTATTGCATCAAATTTCCTACGGTAAGTGATGCTTATACATTATTCTGCAGGTGAAAATCAGAGTAAGTTGGAAGAGGAAGAAAAGGTTGTTAAGGCTACTAAGGATAAGTTGGAAAATGAAGAGAAGGCTGCTAAAACCGCATCCGCTGCTCAGCTTCAATTAGCTAAAGAGGAAAAAACTACAGTGGAGAAACAACTGGATGAGGCGAGAAACCAGCTCAGGGTTGCACAAGGCAAAATGGCCAAGATCCTGGAAGCGAACCCCAGCACGTGGGCAAGCACTCAATCTAGGATTGATGAAATCAATTCTGAGCTGAATGGAATTGACAAAGTACAATCAGGTATTTACACACAACTGCTTTCGATTGCCACGTTACAATTTGGTCTTGTTGGAAACAACACTGATTAAGCTACTTACAATGATGTATACCTACAACTAACTGGATTATTTAGCCGAAAAATCGGTGCTGGCTGTGTTTGGAGGACTTTTGGGGATTGGGAAGCGGGCTCGTAAAGAGCAGAATGAGCGCAAAAACAAGTTGCTAGGTGACCGCGAAAACCTTCGGGGCGAGCAAGAACAAGAGATGAAAAAAATGAATGAAGATCAACAAGACGCTATAAAAGTTGTCGAGATCTGGCAGGCGAAGGTTTTGGAGGCGGAACAAGAGCTAAATGAGTTTCAAAAGAATTATATCTCCCTTATTGAGGGGCAAAATCAACCAGCAGAGTCTCTTGGTATTGCATGCGAGGATCTTAAGGCATTATCTGATCAATCTCTCGACTTGGTGAGAAATAATTACACCTCCTGTTTTGAGGTTTGAACTTACAGAATGATGTAGGAAACTATTTCTGTGATTTTAAACCGCTCGATCGCTGCATTAAAGAAGTTAAACCAATACATTGAAAAAATGACTCGATTTTTCGTCGAAGTGTCATCATATGTCGACGATACTATGAGGGACCAGCTAGGCCATTTCAGGGAGCAGACGGGGGACGTTGAAAGGTTAACACAGTCGCGAACACTAGAGGAAAACGAAATTCATAAGACGGTGAGAGTACATTCTACCTTTCCTACTAATTGTTAATTAACATATTTATAGAACGCTATCGTGTCGGCATTGGATCTGCATGGTCGCTTTACTCTTATTAAGAATATTGCTAGCGTTTATATTGATGTGTCTGAAAAGTATATCACGCCGGGAGCTAACAAGATGGATGACCTTACATTTAACGATATGGACAATTATGAGGAGCAAGTGAACGAGTTTCAGAAATGGGGTGAAAAGGCGGTAACTGAAATTGAGGCATTAGCAAAAGAAGTATGTTTCATAACACCCCGGCTTTTGTTAATATTTGCAAGGACTAACTAGACTTACTTAATTAAAGACAAACAAGAAGATAGAGCAGGATGTCTATAAAAACATGGCATCGCTCGCCCGAAAGCAAATAGGATTCGAAGAATTGTTTAATAGTTACGAGACTGAGTAACGTCTAGATCGATAATTATCGATAATCTAGTTTGGGCTTGAGACATTGCATCGTTCGCAATCACGCCAGATGATAGAAACTGCTAGGTTTCTCTTCGTTTATGTTATATGATTTTTTTTTATCCTCTAACTATTATTTCCAACCCCGTTTACTGTCATATTAGGATTTTGTTTAATAAAAATATTAACGAATTTTATTAAGTTTACTATTATATTAGAATTTATTTTTTGTCAAAACGAAGTTTCTAATTAAATTAAATAAAATAAACCTCAACTAAAATTTCTAAATATAATATTTATTTTGATAAATTTAAATATTTGAAATTTATAATAATATTAAAAACCAAATCTTAATTTATTTATATTTATAAAAATTTAATAACCAATTTATTTATATTTTAATATTAATAAGTTATCACGACCCAGCCATATTGATTAACCCGATTAAGAAATATATTTTGGTACGATAAACATACTTCTTGTTTCTACCTTTCTTTATCCCACAAAATATTTTTAATTATAATTATTTAAATTCTTCAAATTAAGAGTTTATACATCTATTTTATACTTTATATACAAATATATTATAGAATAACATATTTTTTATTTAATTAATGTTACACCTATCCCAGGATTCCTTGGCAAGATTTTCTAAAACAGTTTAACATTCTGCTAATGTGAGGATGGAGCAGTTTGAAGCGGTTTAATAATTTTGTTAAACCACTCCGCATGAATTTATAGATTTGAAATTTCAAGTCCAAACCATTTTAATAAACTTAAAAATAATAACAAACTACTTTATGTAATTTTTTAAAAAATTTTAAATTTATTTAAAAATTGCTATAGAGTTTTATAGATTTACTAAAAATAGAAATATTTATATGGTAATTTAATATATTAATTTATTTTAAACTTTAAATATTATAAAATATATTAAATTAATATTTTAAACACAAAAACTAATTTTTTATTTTAAATCTTTTTTTTGCTACTATTTTTTATATAATTATAATAAAACATTTTTTTAATTTAAAAATATTTTCCTTTTTATTTTTATAAAAAATCTTATTATTTATTTTAATTGTTAAATTATAATTATTATTTTTATAATTATTTTCTTCTTTATTTTTAAATATTATAATTATATTATTTAATATTATTTTTATTATTAATACTTCTTTTTCTAAAAATCTTTTTTTTTTAGAAATAAAATTAAAAGTAAATTTCTTTTATTTTTACTATCATAATTAAGTAATTATAATTTAATATATAATTTCTAATTATAGTCAACTTCATCAATATATCATAATATCTTTAATCTTATTAAATACTTTTTCTAAATTTACTAATGCAATAAATATTGTTAAAATGTTTTTAATTATTATTACAAGAACTAAATATTTTTTTTTTAATAATTTTTAATTTTTTAACGAATTTTTAATATTAACAAATAATTCTTCTAAAAATCATTCTACTTTATTATATTTTAAATTTAAAAGAGTATTAAAAAAAGAATTAAAAAAATTAAAAAATAAACTAATTGTTACACCTGTCCCAGGATTCCTTAGCAAGATTTCCTAAAACAGCTTAGTACTCTGCTATATTTCTCAACTCTATATGTTCAGATCTCTCAGAGGATAATATAGTATTCGGGGTAAAGATATAAAATTATATAAATAGAAAGTGTAACACAATAATTAGCTATAAAACTAAATACTATTCAAATAGATTATAAACTAAATTAATAAATTAACCGATAAAGTCTAAAAGTAAACCCAAAAACTATCATCGTTTAAAAATCTATATATACATAAAGAAGTTCTCTATAAAACTTCAAGATACAACAAGCAATTAATCGTAAGTAATATCAAAATCGTAAATGTTCATAAGATCGTAAGCGCTTGCAACCATCCCAACCACTAATGTTTAAGTCTTGGCGTTAAACCATACATATATAACCAAATGGTCCAGTCGTTAATATTTCCGACTATTCCGAAAGAACAAACATGTGTTATTTCAAACAACACAAAATATATAAGTGCAGAATAAGAAGCATATTCTTTTAAATAGGAAGATTCGAGAAATTATACAAAGAATAATTCTATAAGTAAAACAAAAGCAAGAAACAAAAGCATATTTATTGCGCCAAGCCCTATTTTCTAATCCAGTTAGTTAATATAACTAGGTTGTAATACTATCTCCTTCTTACAAGAAATTTTGTTATTCGAAATTTTTGTGCGGGATTTTTTTATAAACAGTAAACATTCCAAAAGAGAAACATGGTATTACGAGGAAACTTCACACAAAAAAACATTATGTGTGGGAATTTATATTGAAAAACTTTCTTATACAAGGATTTCTTTCAGGAATATATTTCGTAAGGACTTTCAATTATAAGAGAAAAGTCATATGCAGTTATACAAAATTATATAAGTAGGTACATATATAAAAATAACAAATTCGTATTTAAAATTAAAATTAAAAATTTAAATTATTTCATATCCTTCGGTTGGTACGCATTTAATATATCTTATATTATAAATAGTAACAAGATTCAAAAACGTCAAAAAAAACAAAAACCAAGCAATACTTCAAAGTATCACAAAGAATTTTTCAAAGACTTTAATCAATTCGAAGTACAAGCAGAGGTTTCTTGTGATTACTGTATCAAAAAAGATTATCCTTACTTTGTTATAAAGGGTTCGGTAAAATGTTCGGTTTGTGCACATAAAAAAAAAAATAATTATAACGCAATACCATATAAATAAATTTTCTTTTTAGAATCATATTCTAATTCTAATTTATAATCTTTTCAATATCTCGTATCTCAGAAGCACGAAATTGCAAACATCAAAAACTTTAAAAAATAGCTACACGATTTAAAATTATTTAGAAAAATATTCTAGATTGATAGGATAAAATCAAAAAGGTTCAAGAAAGTCTATCAGATTTTTTAGATTTTTTTAAGAAAATTGTAGCGGAAATAAATCACTGCCAACAGAAATTATCCATCATTATTAATAAACATAAAGAGAGCTTAGTTTATACAAAAACAATTCTATTAAAAGAGAATACTCTTTGAAAAAAAATAAAGGAGATTGATTCAGGTATTCAAGAACAACTAAATCATTTAAGAGAAGATACTTAAAATCTCATGGATCCTTAAGTTAACGATAGGGAAGCTATTCTGAAAAAGGTGTTTGACAAAGATTTCATATTTGTGGAATATTTTTACATGCCACAGTAGAATCTTCCAGGGTCTTTAACTATTGCTGAGTTTTTCTAGAATCGGAAGGAGTTTTTTATGTCGGAGTTCTTAAAGGATATTTATGGAGATGTTCAAAACAATCTTGCTTAATTCTTTCTTGTATTTGTAACTCTTTTCAATTTTAAAATAAAATGTTTTGTTGAGAGTTTCTTTTTGTATTCACGAAGTTTTTGATTTTTAATATCGTTTCTTTGTCTAAAAGGATTTGTTCGTTACGTACCTTTCTATTGGCGTGGCTTGCTTAACGAGAAGTTCTAGATAAGCTTCTTCAACGCTAAGAGGTTAGGGAAGCTGATTTAGACTAATTGTACCAGTAATACATAAGGAGGTGTATTTGCAGTAAAGGGTGTTGTTAAGTATATGTAAGCCATAAATATTATTATAATTTTCACTTCTTACTAATTGGCATTCTTTCTAGGTTGTCCATGTCTTTTCTTTGGCGCTGCATTGCCCTGCTAAACGAACATCCCGAATTGCCTTAGATAGGACTAGATAAATTCTAAAAAGATATTTTCCTCTAGCTGTTAGAAGTCGTTTTTTGGGCCATAGAATAGAGACTATTGAATAAAATACTCATTATTCTTATTGGGTTTTTCGAAGATCTTTTTGATGTCGTATTCGGTGTAATCGTCGTATTCGATTTCCATATCTTTTAGGTTTTCCCGTAGTCCAAGTGGAGCAAATTCTAAGAGAGAAATATAAAATATGCGATGAATTTGTAAGAATCCAAATATGTCTAATTCGTATTGGTGTTTACTCAATTATCTTTTGATTGTGTAGGAACCGTATTTTTGAAAATCAAGTTTTTTAGAACGTTTGATTTTCAAATTTTGTGCAAGTAGATATGTTTTATTTTCTTTTTTTAATAAAGGAATTTTTAGATGCTTTTTATTATAGTAATGAATTATTTGTTCTTGAGAGAATTGAAAATCTTTCCTAAAGATATTATGAAAATTCTTTATTTTTTCTATATGTTCTTTAACATTAGGTACGACTTTTTTGGGTTGGAGGGGGGGTAAAAAGGCTTTTGGAGTCCATTTATGTAAGACTTCGTATAGCGATAGTTTTGTGGTTAAATGTTGCGAGGTATTATATGTAAATTCGGTAGAGGGGAGGAGAGATATCCAATTTATCTATGCATAATTTATAAAACATCGGAGATATATTTCGAGGGTCTGAATTAAACATTCTAAAGCATCATCCATCTAAAAATATGCTTTAAAAGCAATATTTAATTTAATACTAGTTTAATTCATAATTGATTACCAATATTTACTCTAAAAAAATTGATTTTGGTCGCAAATATGTTTATATTAGATTCCATACTTGGAAAAGACATATTAAAGATAGACATGTTGAAATTCGGTTATTCCGAACTTTTCATGCTATGGTATGAAAATAACAGTTTTCGAGAATTTGCAGGTGATAACTAGGATTTCGTTAAAAATGAAATTGGTAAGTAAGTCTCGTGAAAATTGTATTTCTTAAATAAAGTCATAAATAATAACTTCAAAAAATGCACAAAATATGTTGTGGGGTTAAAAAGTTCCGTAGGGCTTATGTCAATTGGGTTTATTTCGATAGTATATATCGTAAGTTTTGATGTATTTTTTGATATGTTTTTTTATGTTAAGCCAATAATACAATTTTGTTAGGAGTTTTTGAGTACGATTTATTTCTAAGTGGTTATGAGTGGGGAAGTTGTGATATTAAAAGATGATTTCTGTTTAAAG